CCTAACCCTAACCCTAACCCTAACCCTAACCCTAACCCTAACCCTAACCCTAACCCTAACCCTAACCCTAACCCTAACCCTAACCCTAACCCTAACCCTAACCCTAACCCTAACCCTATTGAGTGAAAAGGTCTCTTTTGCTGTACATACACACATATGCCATGTAGAAAGTCCATATAGATGCTTTGACACTACCAGAGAGTACGGTTTGTAACACGGTTAGGGAAGGGGTTTATGCATTATAACCCTCACTGTCTGCGGCACAGGACAGTGTACACATAGTCTCACTTCTATAGCATGGGTCTGCGATCTTCTTGAACGAAGCCTCGGCCACAGCAATCTTTTTGAGAGAGTTATACAACTTAATCTGCCCTATGTCCGCACATTCATGGTTATGACCCCATTCCCTCTTGTTGGTACAATTTCACGCTATGTACCTCCCAATCTGCTCGATTTATCAGTATCTGCGTTCTGCTCCAGACAGCTACTTACAAGCCTCGGAAAAGGATGCACCCTGGGCTGCAACGAAGGCTGCGCAAGTGCTATAACCTGTTGATTGGGCACACGACTGAGACGCACCGTATGCGGCCGTGGTCCAAGCGTTCCCAGCCCAGTCGCCACAAAGTGTCTAGTACGCTGGTATCAGTAGCTATTACATAGCGACATGCACATCGGGAAATAGGACCAGCCTGGCATCCGGCCAGCTCAGGTCCCATGTGAGTGCACGAAGAGGACGCACCGTATCAAAAATGGCCACGTTCTGGGAGAAAAACTGGTATGGATTGCATTGGCTGGCAGGCCAGGCACCGATCGGTTCTGGCCAAGAGGCCGGATTCGGAAGGGAAGAAGTGATGTCCTGCGGTACATTGGGACGGGACCAGAAGTAAACAGCAATGCCAGTAGAGTCCCATTTCACTGAAACAATGAAGCAACAAAGGGGGCGGTCAGTCAAGTATCCTATGAAAGTGGCCAATGAACACACGCACTCGCAAACACACCGCCTCCCACATTGTTGAATGGTTCTCCAAAGTTGTTCGGTGTGTTGTCTGTCAATCCGCATCCCGAATCATTCGTTTCCTCGGCCGCGCAGTTGTATCCCTCACTTCCAGCCAGTGCAGGCACACCGCTAGCGCCATAATTGGTGGGAATCGTGCAGCCGGGATTAGTGTGTATGGAAGCAGTGTTGTGCGTGGCATCTGAAACGCCTTCAATGATGTCTATCTCCCCTCCTGCAGGCCAGTTCGGGCCGTTGGACCAAAATGCTGGCCAGGTGCCACATCCTGTTGGCATATGCGCGATGTCGCCTATGAGAAGGCCACCAGTAAAGGATCGTTGAGTTGTGATGCGAATGCTCGGACGGCTGGTGTAACCAGAGGGTAGGGGCTGAGCAGTGGAAACGCGCATGATGGCGCTTGTGTCGGAGGTGCTGACTAGGCCGAGCGAGTCAGCAGCGGACTGGGAGACGTAAGTGACAGTTCCATGGGTAGGATCTGAATCGGTCCAGAAGTCCCAACCGTCGAAGAAGGATGTACCCGCCTGTGAGAGCAACTGTCAGTAACGACCTGCAGAAGCAGAGAGAAGAGAGCACACATAGGTCTGAACAAGATTCCATCCTGCCGGGTCAGATGAAGCAGCAGCACTGGATTCTGCAGGTGCTGCGGAGGAGACTGAAGAAGGCTTATTTGACGTTGTAGGCCCTGCGGAGGAGACTGAAGAAGGCCCATTTGGCGTCGTAGTTCCTGCTGAGGAGTGCGATATACTTGCTGACCCAGAGGCAGGCGATTCAGAAGACGACCCAGAAGCAGGCGATCCAGGAGACAACCCAGTAGGTGCGGTAGTTGTTGCGTTCCCTCCTTCCCCAGCTCCCAATGGCACCTGCCCCCCTCTAACAACACAGCTCTGCGCTGCTCGCTTCACTCTCTTCCCTCTCTGTCCGGGTGCTAGACCGGCGGCAGATTCGTGATGTCCCAGCAGGTGGGCGGTAGACGAGATGAGGGTGTTGGAGTGCTGAAGAGCGATGTGGGCACCATGGGCCACTGAACGAGCAAGGTCGTGTAGTGAAGGCGAGATGAGTGTTATAGAGAGGACGGGGTCGGTGAGTAGAGATAGGAATAATAAGGTGGATGATGAAATGCGCATGCTGGTGAATTAAAGTTGCAATGAGTGAATGGTGCGAATGGTCGTTCTATGCGATATGCTGGGTATGAGAGATGCACAAAGATAAATAGGTCGACAGTGCCAGGCGCATGTACGTCGAGAGAGAGAAAGGTATTTGAAGAGAGTGAGAGGTATCTTCTATGGCATTGATCGGGGTGTTGGCGCAGTGGCCTCACAACGCACAAAAGGGGCGAAAACAGGGGTGCATGGAGTAGTGGCGCACAACACGTTTATATATTTTTAATTTCTTTCGCTTAGCTCGATTAAGCGCCCGTTCGTTGGAGTGTTTCGTCGTTGAATTAATATCCTCATTCGCATTTGATAGTCGGGTAGGAGGCGGCTTATGTACGCTTCGTCGATACGTTCTCCCCTTCCATATTCAGGCGTCCACTTATAGCCCTCGACAGCCCAGCGCCAGATCTAGACATTAATATTATGCAGCACATTATTAGACGACGCAGTTTCTCTTCTGGGAAAGAATAGCGTACGTACCAGGTACCATCTTAGCTCTTTATCCAATGGTCTCACCTTCTTCCATTCTTGTTCGCTATTTTCAGGCTCAAAGAATCCCTCCAATGTCTCCTTAGCCCCTCTTGGTGCTCCCCCACCCTCAAGCGTAGGGGAATAAATCCGCCAGGAGTCCGCTGCATACCTTCCTACACCCGCATAATTTGCCACTGCAGTTAGCGGGTACGTCTTGTCTACTCTGAGAGGATACAGCTGAGTCGAGGGTGGGGCGGAGCCATATTGCTTGGAGAAGGTGAGGATGCGACAGGCGCGAGTGTTCTGCAAGCCGAGGGGACGGAGGACTTCTACCAGCTCTACCTCAGGAACTGCAGGAGTGCCTCGTAAGCCTGCCAAGGACTCAAATGAGTATTTAGGAAACAGCGAACCATGTGACAGGGAAGCGGCGTCCAGCCATCTATCCAGGATACGCCAGAAAACGGGCGTTGCTTGTTTCCAGCTTGTCTTGTTCAGGAGGATGACAGCTAGGAGCAGGCGAAAGGGGTCGTCCGCGACTTTCTCTGCGACATGTTAGAAGTGAACCTGTACATCATGAAAGGGATGAGAGGCACCTTGAATCAAAGTGGGTTTTATAGCAAGGAGACGGCGGCGCCATTCTTTAATGTCTCCGCCAGCATTTGACGGCACAAAGCAGATCACGAGTGAGGGATTGTCACAGGAAATTTCGGAGCGCAGGTGATCGATTCCGTCTAATTTCTCTGCCACGTTCGGTGCACTAGACACGCTCGGTGTGATAGGATCCGACTTTGGAAGGGGCACCTTGCGAGGCAAGATGTGGTCGACCCAATTATGCGACCTGAGCAGGTGTGGGGTGAGGATGTCACTCTCTCGCTTGACCAAAGTCGCCCAAGCTACTTTTACGTCGAATACACCGGCATCAACAGTTCTCTTGGATTTGTAGGGAGTATTAGTTGGGGAAGGCAGACAGGCAGATTTCTCTCGTTTACCGTTGGACCCTCGTCGTTTTGTGGGAGACGGAGTCGCCTCTCCGGCTGACAATTCGTCGTACTCGATAGTCCGCCGTCCGCGCTTAGTAGTTGTCACAGGGCGCGTGGGGGTCGTTGCCGGCGTCAGTGGGGTGGAGTACGGTGATGATTTGATGCGGGGAGACCGACAGGGTATGAGACGGTACGTCGCCCTCTCAAGATCTGCCTGGGCGCGGCAGGAGGTGGTGGGCACTTGACAAGCAGTGGTGTCGTCAACCAACAGCGGTATTGTTCCCAGCTCAACGCTCATAATTCGACAATCAGATATCAAATGTGTAGAGCTAGTTGACGGAACAGATGCGCTCGCTGGTCGAATCAACGCCTTCGCCGTTGGGTGGACGAATGCACCTTTTTCTTTGACTTCCCCGCCCCTGGGGAAGCGCCCATGGTGTGAATGCCTCCGTCATCTCCATATCATCCGTCATCAGCGTGCTCATCGTCTCAGGGTGTCCGCTCATCGTCCTTTTACCCTTTGCTCATCGCGCTCACCGTCCATCCGCAGCGAATCGCCGTCCCTTCCCTTAGCTTCTCTTCTCACTTTCCTCATTCCTTTCCGTCTCTCCTCTCAGCATGGAACCCCACTCCCCTGTCCGACGCAAACCATCTCAAGCTCGCCGTGCTCGGGCTGCCTCCCACCTTCCTCAACCCCAGACACCCGAAACGCACGCAGCTGCACTCCTTGCCGTGCGCAAGTTCATGAAATCCTACACGCCCTACGATGTATTCCCGGTATCGTTCAAACAGATCGTTATAGATACGCAGCTTGAAGTGAAGAAGGCGCTGCAAGCATTGCTGCAGAATGGTACGTCCCCAGTCCCTCGGCCCTTTTCTGTGGTCACTACGCACATGTACTCAATGCTTTCCACTCACAGGAAACGTCTCAGCGCCATTGTGGAACTCGGAAAAAAACCAATTCGCCGGGCTCTTTACAGTGCTCGACATCATCCACCTCATCCAATACTATTACGCCACCGCCACGTCCATGGACAGCGCCGTCAGCGACGTCGAGCACTTTCGTCTAGAAGCCATCCGCGATATCGAGCGAGCCATCAACGTTCCCCCTCCTCCGCTCATATCTGTTCATCCCTTGGAGAGTCTGTATGAGGCGTGCAGGATGATGCTTCAGACGCATGCGCATCGCTTACCGCTGATCGATAAGGATTCGCAGACGAGCGACCCTCTAGTGTTGAGCGTGTTGACGCAGTATAGGGTATTGAAGTTCATTGCCGCTAACGTGAGTTACCGTGCCCTTTGAAATGGAATTGTGCTACTACTGATGCTTCAAAGTGCCGAGATACCTCACACCTGCACATGTCTCTCCGCACCCTCGGTATTGGAGCGTACGTTCAACCTGGGGTGAAACTGGACGACCCACATTGGCCCCTTGCAACTGCAACAATGGACACAACCGTGTTCGATGTAGTACATATGTTCTCTGCCCGAGGTATCAGCGCTGTACCGATCGTAGACTCAAACGGCAAAGTCATCAATCTGTATGAGACAGTAGACGTTATCGTGCGTTTTTCCTTTTTGACTCTCAGGCACCAGGCACCAGACAACTAACTTGTAAATAGACGCTGGTGAGAAACGGCGCGTATCAACATTTGGATCTGACGATCTCCGAGGCCCTCTCACACCGGAGCGCTGACTTTCCCGGTGTGATTACATGCACGGGCCGCGACTCGCTCGGAGCGCTCATGTTCCTCCTCCGGCAGAGGCGCGTACACAGACTTGTAGTGGTTGAAGGAGAGGAAGTAGAGGAGAGCAGACGCGGCAGGCTAGTAGGTATCATCAGCTTAAGCGACGTGCTCAAGTATCTTGTTGGGCCCATAGAAGGGGGGGCGCTGCAAGAGAAATGAAGAACACGAGCAAAGCGTGTAATTTAAAGGTTGATGCGGGAGCTGACATATACGATAGTTGACCTGTATGCTAGATGTGTGAGCGACAACAATGACAGTAATGGAAATGTATCGAGAACTAAGAGATATACGTCTGATTATACGCGCGGCTAATTTTGGTGTTCAATCGGTGGGGGCAGCTATGTAGCCGTCTTGTTTTGTTTTCCCCACTTGCCTTAGGAAAGCGCGCATCTGGCCAAGGACCTGCATGAAATCCATCTGAGCGGCTCTGCTGCCCTGGTGTCAACACACTCATATTTCGACTATACTTCTGAAAGACGCACCTAGCTGGTGTATGCCTAGCCTTAACGACCCGAGGGCGCGGTATCTGCTCTGGACAAGGTGTGCTGTTCTTCTCTTAGTCATCTGACAGCTAAGGGGATCATCACCTTATCTCACCTCGCACGGCAGCCATGCTTGCCCTCCCCTGACCTCGCTTCTGGTGGTACCATAGGAGAACGCCACTGCCGGTCAATAGACCTGCGAATTCATATATCTCCATGGGCGATCGGTGGCAGACAGCACTCACGAACTCGGTGCTTCTGGTAACCACTGCACCTCGGGAGACTCTTCTCGCTCCTGCTTCACGTGTTCTCGGCGCTCGCGCTTTCGAGGTGGGCTGCAGAGGTCGATGACTTCGTGGGATGCTGTAGGTCCTGTGGATGGGGGTGATCCCAGTCGAGGTTCAAGTTTGGCAGATTGAGCCTCGGATTTGCTGCGTTTACGTTTTTTGATTTGGCTGGATGTCTGCTCGGTACAGGTGAAGGGTACAGTTGTTTCTAACGCAGGTGGGGCGGCTTGGTCACTTCGCGAGAGTACCTGTACTGTTTGCGGAAGAGGGGACACATTTGTGATGTGTAACATCCCATCCCCCTCTGTTGGTAATATCGGCCTTGTCTTCGGATGCGAGACACGATGGATATGGTATTCACCATTGTCTAACAAGGCAACAGCATGGGCGCGGCGTTCTTCTCGACTCGCTATTTCGCCCTCGGCTTAGTCAAATCCTCGTATGTTTTCAATGCTCACCTTTTTCAATCCTTATTTCGCGTTTCCAAATCCCCCAAAATAGTGCTACTGCCTCAGCGACATTCCGTATTCTCTCCCTATGCCAGGGGAGTGGAATCTCGTGGGGCCATTGCTTGAGAACGAAGTGCCTCTTCGACATGTGAAACAAAACATCCGTCATTTCGGCAACGAGGATCTCTCGATCTGGATCCAATAACACGTCAACGATGTTAGACGGTTACACCTGTCACTTACACAAGAATGTCCTGATGTCTTGTCTCAGCATCTTTTTGACCGTGCTGAAATGGATCCTCTTGAGAGTATCATGGAGTAGGGTTCGATTGTCTCCAATAATCTTGATTTGCTGAGAAAATTCTCGATCTGCTAATTCAACCTTGTATCCAGGAGGATAGCAGGTTTCCTCAAGGCGATGACCAAGCCCAAGGAGGTGATCCATGAAGTCTTGGGTGAGCGCTCAGCACAAAGAAGTTTGTGACTAGACGATGGAAAGCAGAAGTATGAGTCGCGTGACTGAGGAATCCCCATATCAGACCCGCGCCTTAAATAAGACGTGCTTATCACTTTTTTGTAGCTGGGGCCTCACGTGAGGTAAATAGATCGCGTCCTAGGAGCACTTCAATATGGAACTTGTGAAGAACAGGCTGAGTCGCAACCGGATCGGCGATTTTGATGATCAAGTTCTGCCGGATCCCAGATGCTGGATAGGCGGCGAGGGCACGTCAAGAGCGTGCCGGTCCAAAAAGAATGCATATAGAGTAGCATTCGAGGTTGTCCGAATGAACAGGCACGACAAGTCAAGTTACGACTAGCCGGTTGAAACATACACATATTCCCTTTAACACTAGTGTGCCATAACCCTGTTATTGAAGCAGTTATAGTCGAGAGTAATAATTCGGGTCCACGGATCACAGAGAAGCCATCGAAGAGGGTCAGGCTCAGGTGAAACACTTATAAAATCGTTCCACTGGAGTCCTTCTGTACCGATCCCAGAACAAGGTGCCACAATATAAATCAAAGGCGCCGAGAAGTGACATATTGAAATGCAATCGTTTCTATCCAGGAAATCCAGAATTTCCGATTAAGTCAAGCGCAGAAGAAACCCGTCGACAAAGGGGCGGATCTGAGCCTTTTCCAATGCACGTGACGGGGTCGCACGTGGTTCAAAAGGCTCCGCAGCTCTCAACTTTGCCGCGACGACAGATTGGAAGGGTTCCTCAACGTCCATTGCGCGCTCCTCGTCGTCCTTGCTGACCATGGGTAACGTCGCTAGTGCCTGTAAAACATGCTGTGGCCGTGAGCAGTCGTCTAGATATCCGTTTGATTGCTGACAATTCATCTCAGTACGCTCCCCCAAAGCGCAGGGGTATGAGCCCCTGTTGCTGGAGAATGAGCGCGAAGCTGTTGCGGACCTATTGCAATACCTTGAGAGTGCGTCATGGTACCAGTTCTGTTCAACGGACACTAACATACTACAGATCGAACTACAACTAACTTCTTCACTGGGTCCCCATTGGCAGCCCTCACAATTCTTTCATTTTCAGACAACGTCGACCTTCAGCGAAGTGCAGCTCTCGCCTTCGCCGAGATTACCGAGAAGGATGTCCGCCCCGTTGGGCGTGATACCCTGGATCCTATCTTATTTCTTCTTGGAAGCCATGATACAGAGGTGCAGAGAGCAGCAAGCGCAGCGTTGGGAAATCTAGCAGTTAATGGTGTGCAGCTCCGTTTTACCTCCGCAGCTACATCATTCATCTCCGTCAGTCGAGAACAAACTTCTGATAGTTAAGCTCGGTGGTCTAGAGCCTCTCATCCGCCAGATGCTCAGCTCGAACGTCGAAGTTCAGTGCAATGCCGTCGGTTGTGTGACAAATCTGGCGACGCATGGTGAGTATTGCCGGCGGTTTGAGCACGCGCCCCTCTCACACGTATCAAAGACGAGAACAAGACGAAAATTGCCAAATCTGGCGCTCTGGTTCCTTTGACGCGGCTGGCACGGTCGAAGGATATGCGTGTACAGCGGAATGCGACTGGTGCTTTGCTCAACATGACCCATTCAGGCAAGTTGTTGTCTTCGAGGTATTGTGGTGATTCCAACTTATACTTTCATAGATGAGAACCGACAGCAACTCGTTAACGCCGGTGCCATTCCTGTTCTCGTCGGTCTTTTGAGCTCGCCTGATACCGACGTGCAATATTATTGCACCACTGCTCTGAGCAACATTGCGGTCGACGCGAATAACCGCAAGAAGCTTGCTCAGACCGAGCCGAAATTAGTTCAGAGCCTTGTCGCGCTCATGGATAGCCCAAGTCTCAAGGTCCAGTGCCAAGCAGCGTTGGCGCTGCGCAATTTGGCGAGCGACGAGAAGTACCAACTCGAGATCGTCAAGGCTGACGGCCTTCCCCCCCTCCTTCGACTCCTCAACTCTTCGTTCCTTCCGCTTATCCTATCTGCTGCTGCCTGTGTTCGTAACGTTTCCATCCATCCGGCCAACGAATCGCCTATCATTGAAGCTGGTTTCCTCCTCCCTCTAATTGACCTGCTCTCTTATGAGGAAAATGAGGAAGTTCAATGTCACGCTATCAGCACCTTGCGTAACTTGGCAGCTAGCTCGGAGAACAATAAAGGAAAGATCGTTGAGGCAGGTGCGGTGGACAAAATCAAGAAGCTCGTGCTGGACGCGCCTCTGCTGGTACAGAGCGAAATGACCGCTTGCATTGCAGTTTTGGCATTGAGTGGTACGCGCACTGCAATTAACATCCTCACAGCCTTATCTTTCACTAGATGAACTGAAACCACAGCTACTGGAAATGGGAATCTGTGAGGTTCTCATTCCCCTGACTAATTCCAGCAGCGTCGAAGTGCAGGGCAACAGCGCGGCCGCGCTAGGAAACCTCTCGTCGAAACGTGAGCACACGCGGACATGTTAGCAAACTTCCACTAACTGTTCTACGCAGCGGAGAACGGACGTTCAACTGCCGATGATTACAGCGCATTCAACGATGTCTGGGACAAACCTGACGGAGGCTTGCATGCCTACTTGTACAGGTTCCTCTCCAGCACGGACGCCACTTTCCAGCACATCGCCGTCTGGACTATTGTACAGCTTCTAGAATCCGGAGGTCTGCCTTTGTCTATGAGGATTTTAGAATACACCGCTGACAGTGTTGCAGATGAGACGCTTCTCCGTAACATCAAGTCATCTAAGCTCATTATGCCGCACATCCAGCAGCTTGCAGTATCCCAAGCACCAACACCCGCTTCTGGATCACCTGGATCGGATGCTGGCGGATACTCCGAGGAGGGCGAGGGCGAGGGTACTGGGGAGATTGCTACGCTCTCCCGCCGAATCTTGGAGTTGACAGATGCAGCAGATGAGGATTTGCGCAAGAGTGTACACAGTGCGCTGGGTGCTGCGAAGGACGCGTAATGGTGAAATAGTGGATGGACTTCATTTTCGATTTCCTTTTTTTTCCATTTGTTTACTCGCACTTAATACCCTGTAGCTTTCTATGATTCTTTTCTTCGCTCATGTCCTCATGATAACACGTTCACAGTGACAAGTTTACGATACAATATCTCTCGAACCAATACGTAAGTTAGCTCCACGCGTCCGGCGTTTATGACCATGATTCCTAGATGCGGTTAATATAGGTTCCCCATCCATCGACACGGGACTACGGCAGCAAGTGTGGTCCACTTGCTACGTTCGGCGTATAGCAGGTGGCTGTTTAGAAGATTTACTTGCTGTGAACAAATTCTTGCAACCCGCGCTTTTCGTAGCTCCATCACAGACGATTTTCAGAATTTGAAGTCCGTAGAGGCAAGATGTTAAAGTTCATACCACACGCTATCAGGCAAGAAATCTTGATTCACTTCACCTCCCACGAGTATGTAAGAAGATGAGCGCTACATATTAATGCAAGTTGTGCTTGCGATGAATACATGATCCCATCTCCCCGTACGTCTTGCACAACCCATGATCGAGTGCTCTAAAATGAGGAAGGCAGAGGAGAAGTAGTGGTCTTTCCAACACACCATGCATTACGCGCGTTTGTTTACTCTCACTGTACGACACGCATTAGTGCTCGACACATACAGCCTAATCAAATTACATTTCGGTGTGGCAACTACGCGAATTACATGACGGATTGTATTACGTAAGCAGGGGTCACTTCAGGTCCAACGAACAGTATACGTCTGCCCAACAACCACGATGTCGTACAACAACGTCCAGGCGAGATTGTCAGTTTTCTCAACTGCATCACAGTCCTCGCTTGATTACATCCCATCTGTCGGCACTCCGCCTCCTTCTGGTGGACGACAATCTATTACGCCGATACCTAAGGCCAGCGGATCGAAGAACATCTACGACCGGCCACTCAACAAAACGCGCAATGCTGAAGTCTCGATGGCAGCGTACACGTTTCTGTTTTCAGAAGTGATACAGTATACGCAGAAACGCGTACATGGGATTGGGGACTTAGAGAAAAGGTATGTCTTACGTCTGGGTGGTGAAGGGATCACTCACTCGTGATAGGCTGGGTCTGTTTGGGTACCGGATAGGGACGAGAGCGCTTGAACTGATGGTATGGCGGTCTGAGGGTGGCTCGAAGAATCCAAAACGAGAAACTCGACTCCTTCCGGTTTTATATGTCGTGCATACCCAACTGTGGAAAGCAATCTTCGGCAAGACGGCGGATGCGATTGAAAAGAGCGTAGAGAATGATGATGAGTGTGAGCATACGTGCGCTGAACTCGTGTTTGCCCTCGTTCATACGTGGAACAGATATGATCATCGACAACGACCCTCCAATAACACGGTACATTTCTATTCCGAAGGAGATGAGCCAACTGAGTTGTTCTGCTCTCACGGCGGGTATTGTGGAGGCACTCCTGGACGGACTGGGCTTCGTGAGTCGCGTTGGATACGCGCACTACGCGTGCACATGCCGCATGTTCTGACCTAACAATTCAGCCCGCTCGGGTGACGGCGCATTCCGTTCCGAAGGAGGGATTTCCATTTCGCACAACGATCCTCATCAAGCTTGACCGGTCTGCGATGGAACGTGAAGAGGCGTTGAAGTGAATCCAATAGCTCCTTTTCTTTTCTTTTCTTTTCAACTCTACCTACCATTTCTTCTGTAATTTTCTATTATGGTCTTGTTACTGTAAGAATGCAGTTTAGGGTCTGCCCCGTTTCCGTCGAATCTCTTTGGACGGGAAGAAGCAAAGAGGGAAAAAGTCCAGGACCCATAAATTGGTCCCGACATTGACCGGACCCAACGACGCCGTCCATATTTTAGCACCCTGGACCGCTCCTCCTCTTTTCCCTCCTACCATTGCTTGTCACAACATTGGAATCTCACAGACGACCAAGGCAACGACGTCGACCGTAGAGGTGAGTAACGACGACGGTGATCCTTCTGGCTTGTCTCCATCTCTTATCTCGTCTTTTGCCGCTCGTTTTTCCTAGTCCCGCATCGCTTTTGGCACTCTCCCCGCACTTGTACCACCACGGCGAAAAAGGACATCGTCCACAGCACAGACTTGAAAGGTGAGCACCGTCAATGGCTTGGATTCGTCCATTGCTGACTATTTGCGCCTTTTCTACTGTCGTACGTCCAGTTTAGACTGTTTTACTAGAATCATACCCCAGTTTCACACCAAGACATGGCAACCGGTATTGCGAATACGGCGACTGCCGCAGAACTGTTCAACCAACAGGGTGGAACGATGGCAGCACCTGCCTTTCTTGACTTGGCCGACTCGGTGCGCATCGTTCCTTCGTCCTTAGCTTCCGCTGACATGTCACACAGGCTGCCCGTCAGTCATCCAATCTGCCGGACATCAATATGGTGCGTATATGCGCATACATCTATCTCTATCGTTGCTGAATGTCATGCAGCAACGTCTCGAACAGAGGCGTGCTGAATTTGAGCGTCAGCGCCAGACCACCCGCAAGGCGTTCGAAGATCAGATGCGCAAGATGGACGAGCTCCAGCTCGAAGAAGAGCGCAAGCTTCTCAGTGTCACGCCCGACCCTAACGGCCATCAGCATGTTGCGCTGTCGGCTCCGACGACTCCACCCCGAAACGCGAGCACCATTGACACCAATGTAGGCATGCAGACCTTCAACGCGCTTGTCAGCCCGGTCATCCTGACCAACGGGCAGAGGACCACCAGCGGCCTCTCTTCCCGTCAGGACATTCTCGGGTACAAGGCTGGCCTTGGAATTGGCAACACGCCCAGTGGCTTCTCCAACGAGGCGTCCGGAGGCGACTTAACCCGCCAGCCCATGCCTGGCGCGAAGTCCATGCCTGGGAGCCGTCGTGGCTCAAAGAACAAGGACGACCCCGACTTCTTATCCCTGGCGAGCTTATCTATCCAGGACCGTACCCCGTCAGCTCAGGGTCAGCGTGACCTGTCGGCTGAAGTGCCCAAGGCACCGCACACTCACGGTCCCATGTCACCGGTGTTCAACGACAAGTTCCTGCTGGATGATGAGCTGGATAAGGAGATGCTTGGTGCGTACAATTTGTTCGGCACTGGGTTACTCTGACACACCTCTAGCCTCCGTGGCGCAGTACCCGGACGGCGATGACAAGTTTCCTATTCTTGTCAGGCGCGACTCCTACCCTGGAAGGCTGTCTGTGGCCTCTGCGGCCCTGGACCTTGCTCCCTTGTCACAAGCGCCGCAGCGTAACTTCGGCGAAATCGGCTCAAAGACCTCGGAATGGCCCCAGTTCTCTGGTCCTACTCGCGCCGAGATCAATATTCCTGTCAATCGCATGGATCGTGGGCGCGCCGTCACCCAGCCCCAGCTTAACATGAAAACTGACGGCCGTGCTTCTATTCCGTCTTTGTCGCCAAACGGTCCCCAGCAGCTCAGCCCTGTTGACTCTCGCCGATCATCCCCTCCTGGACCAAGAGAAGGTGCGAATGGTGTAAAGTCGCTGTCTTCTTCCCGCTCGGTTCCCGGTACACCCCTGGCGCCCTTGCCTGGTAACAATGGCATGGCCGTCCAGCGCCCCTCGGTGTCGCCGGGCGTTGGCGATGTCCCTATTCAGATTCTCCAGGCGCAGAACCAGATGTATGTATCGGCTGAGATGCCTTCGGCCTACGCCCGAGGCGGTTTGCCCAACAACGCGCCTTATGCTGGCAGCACTCTCAGCTTTGGCTCAATCACCCAGAGTAACTCATTGGGTTCAGGGTATGGCAATAGCTCGTACGGGTCGACTCCGTTGTCTGCTCCATATGATTTTGACAACGAGCCGCATATGTACGGGACTAGGTACAACCTGGGTGGTCGGGCGATGTCTGCGGATCACGGCAAGATGAATGGCTTGCATGGACCGAAGCACAAGCGTGGAGATCTTGACCGTGAGTGTGGCAAGTGGCAATTCATGTATCCGTACTCAAGTCATACAGTGAACCGTTTCGCGGGCACGCGTCTCGAAGACCTCGCTGGAGAGATCCCCAGTCTCTGCAAGGATCAGCACGGCTGCCGGTACTTGCAGAAGAAGCTCGAAGAGGGCATCCCCGAGCACCGTGACATGATCTTCCGCGAAACCTTCGGCCACTTTGCGGACCTCATGACGGATCCGTTTGGTAACTACTTGTGCCAGAAGCTTCTGGAATTTGCCAACGATGAGCAACGCAACCTCATTTGTGAATCTGTTGCACTTGACCTTGTCGGAATCTCGCTCAATATGCACGGGACTCGCGCTGTGCAGAAAATGATTGATTATTTATCAACCCCACGCCAGGCGCGTGTTTACTCTGACGTGTTCAGGTGTCATGCTCATCCATCCTGCAGATTCATGCGATCATCATTGCCCTCAGCATGAATGTCGTGACCCTAATTAAGGATCTTAACGGCAACCATGTCATCCAAAAGTGTCTGAACCGCCTCGCGCCTGAGGATAATCAGTTTATTTATAATGCCGTCGCTGCACACTGTGTCGAGGTAGCCACTCACCGCCACGGCTGCTGCGTCCTCCAACGCTGCATCGACCATGCCTCGGAAGCGCAGCGCATGCAGCTCGTCAACGAGATCACGTACAACGCGCTTACCCTCGTCCAGGATCCCTATGGCAATTATGTCAGTTCTTTGTTTTTGTTCCCGCCATCGTGCCTGACGCACCATACAGGTTGTACAATATATTTTGGACCTGAATGATAATAGGTTTAGCGACGCTGTCATCAGACAATTCGTTGGTAACGTGATCCCACTCTCGATGCAAAAGTTTAGCTCCAACGTGATTGAGAAGGTCAGTGGACTGTTCATTGTGTTGTATACTTTCTCATGAGCGTTGTAGTGTATCCGTGTCGCGGAGCCCTCCACGCGCAAGCTGCTTGTCGAGGAGTTCCTCAGCCGTGCAAAGCTGGAGAAGTTATTGCGTGACTCTTTCGGCAACTACTGCGTGCAGACCGCCCTCGATTATGCAGATCCTGCTCAACGTCTTTCGGTAAGTGTGTAATTACCCGCTTACGGCGTGTGTCCTGACGGGCATGCAGCTGGTCGAGGGCATTCGCCCCATCTTGCCACTCATTCGTAATACCCCATATGGCAAGAGAATCCAAAGCAAGCTGCAGCGCGAGCAGATGGAAGGCCTTGGTGGCCAATTTGGCGGGTATCATCATCCTGCGCAGCAGGCTCTGGTCAATCTCGCAATGGCCAATGGGCTCAACCCCCAGATACAACAGGCCCCGCAGTCTCACGGACTCGTCCAACGGGGTCTACATCACGCTGCATCCATGAGTGAACTCTATAACGGGCCCTCGCCCATGGGCTACCCCCTCGGCCAGCCTGGATTGCCGCCACAGCGCCAGCAGCAGCAGTTGTTGCATGGCCAGCAGCTGTCGGCTCCTGGTCTGGACCAGTACGGTTCGCACTTGCAAACCAGCCCCAGCGGCTCCCTCCTTGGCGGTCCCCAGGGTGCTGGCGGGTATGGTCCAGCGAACGGATACTCTATGAACCATGGCTATGGCGCGCCCGGCGGCAACCTAGGCCTTCCTGCTGCCGAACCTGTCTACGCGCAACACGGTGGTTACAATTACATGTAAACGCCCAATCCTCAAAACAAGATGCCGGCCCATCCGTCCATTCGTTTATTGTCGGCAGCGCTGTTGTCCGACTGTGTCTATACGGTCTCTGCTGATTGTGCTTCGTTCCCGGTATCGTACGAAAAGCTGTCTCTCAAGGCGCTCGGAAAAATTGTTCGGCGCGGTGATGCGCACCGCAGCTAGAACTTCACTGTCTTATTCGCCCATCCGTCTCGCATCTGTATCGCTCTTCTGGCATTCACTCTTCCTATCCCTGCCGCCCCTCTCTCGACCCCTTCCCTTGCACGTCGCGTACATGTTCGGACGCATCTCCCCCTTTCTCACCACCCCTTAAACCCAAAAACTCAAGTTGTACATCAACAACTCAAGCCATTCCATGTTTAATAGCCGCACTGCGCGTTGTTCTGCTTTTCCCCATGCATCGCGTTGTAAACTTTGCAACTTTTTCTTTTGCACTGAAGTTGACGATATTATTTCGTTTACTAGACTGGCATTTTTAATGTGATATATAACTGGAGAATTGAACTTGCTTACCCAATATGCCTCCGTGATTACTGCCGTCTCTCTGTGGGATGTCAGCTAACTTCATCACCGCAACCGCTTAACCCGGTCAATCTCTCCTCATCGTCCTTTCCATCGTCATCGTCGTCTCCTTACCCCTTCTCGCCGTCAACGGCAGTCACCGACATACATGCGTTCCCACCTCCTCGACACTCTCCCAGCAGAAGAACGTCAAATCATATCACACGCTCTCATATCCCTAGGCATAACACCGCAGTCACGAGAGTCACTTGACGAATGGGCCCGTGGTTCTCTCTCTCCTCGTTCTCGCTTCACGGACTGGCTCGCTGAGGCAATCAAGTCCGCCGCTGTTACAGAGGTCGACGAGCCCTCAGGTGTCCGTGCACTCCTCAAGAGCTACTATGACGTCCTTCGGGCTGGCGAGATGTCCGATGCTGGCGGCGTGCGAGCAGCCGACGTCGTTGCTGACATCCCTCTCACCACGTCTCCCCCTGTCACACCGATACCCCCGGGTTCAGATGCACTCCTCGTCCTACTCCCTCTTCTCATTGTTCTCTCTACCCTCCTATTCCTTCTCCTTATCTTCCTCATCTTCGTCATCCTACTACGCAAGCGACGCGGAATCATCCTACGGGATCATGACGGTCCCCTAGACCTCAGCCGCGAGGATATTATAGAAGGCGAGGGTGGATTGGAGGGAGTAGAGCAGCGGTGGCTGGACACCGTGTCGGAGGAGGTTAGACGGGATTACCGCAGAGCGAAAGGTATGCCCCTATGTTGTCGTGTGAAGGCGGCAGACTGATCTTCCGCAGAATGGCAACAGTATAATCCTCCCAATTCACTACCGACAGACATCACTCTCTCCCAGTTTCTGTCCATCCAAGAAAAAGGCGTCTCTGCATGGAGTTTCGAACCGGACTATCTCTCCGCATCTGTCCTCATTCAGTCACGTACCGAGCTCACCTTCCTTTCTTCCACCGATGCCGCCACCTCCGTTCAGTCCAACCTTCCCCTCCCAAAACTCAATGAAGTATACTATTGGGAAGTCAAGATGTTCGACAAGCCAGAAACGACGTCTGTCTCCGTCGGGCTAGCAACCAAGCCCTACCCTTCCTTCCGTATGCCGGGGTGGGCAAAGCATTCGATTGCATATCACTCGGATGGCTCCAAGTCCTACAATTATCCATTCCTCACCAGTTCCTATGGCCCACACCTGCTCGAAGGCGACACACTGGGTGTTGGTTTCCGCCCACGCACCGGCACGGTCTTCTTCACCCGTAACGGGAAGAAGTTGGAGGATGCATTTATTGGTCTTACACGGCACAACCTGTTCCCGACTATTGGTGCGGATGGGCCATGTACGGTACATGTCAACCTCGGGCAAGCTGGATTTGTATACATCGAAGCGAACGTGAAGAAGTGGGGACTCGCGCCTGGCGTTGGCACGCTTGCTCCTCCTCCGGCATATGGCAGTGAGAGAGGCAGCATCCTACTCGAGTCGGGTGGCGCGACTCCCTCCAGCCCACCCGCTCTGATATCGGCACACATTGAACTGCCGCGCCCACGGCGGACACATCGTACGCGTCGTACAGCCAAACCACACTCCATCTCCTCTCTTCCCGTCGCGCCTTCCCCACTCAGAACGTCCATTTCTTCGTCTGCCCCTGCACAGGGAATTTCACCCCTCCGCCGACCTCCTCCTCCAGTTAGAGATGACTCAGACCATGAGCGGGAGGATCGAGATGCCTATCTTTCCCCGACAGACGTGCCCAGTACCTCGGACGTGGGGGGATGGCGCACCCACACCGCCGATGCGATGCCACCGGCAGACGTCGACGTCGATGCGGAATCCAGCGGTCCAGGGTCACATTCAGATGCAGAGAGCAACGAGTCTGCCTTGTCGCATGAAGGGTCGCCGCAGTCACCTAATCCCCCCACACCGCACGTGAGCGACATCTCTATGCAGTCGTTCTCCCGTTCGAACAGCGGGAGGAGACGATCCAGAGGTGAAGGGCATTCGAGAACCTCATCCACTGCATCGGCAAACTCTCTCGGATCGGTTGCGACTCTCACCCCGGGATCTCCTACGATACAAACCACTGGACTGGCGCAACACCCAACAATCGGGGTTGAGCCACCTACTCCGGGACCTCCCCCCTACGAGCATTTGGAGAACGGGTATATCCGGCCACCGCCTGCGCATCAGGACAGTCCGTAGCTTGACAGTAGGCACGGAAGTTGCCCAAGAGAACGAAGCGATATCACTCATTGTCATATATAGGATCCTCATTTTTCCATCTTCTCAGTATCACTCAGCCAGTCGTTGCTTCAGTCTCATTGTGTCGTGTATTCTCATGAAGCAGAAATTGCAGTCATTATCTGCTAGCACTTGTGCGTGGTGTGATTGGAGGTTGTTGAGGTTGAGCCATAGCCTGTTTAATATGGAAATATTATTAGTACGAGAACTTGTGGTGCAAATGACTCCGTCCTCTGCACGTGACTCCATCGTCCGAAATCTCCCCTTCATCGTCGAAGTCGTCGTGCGCGCACTTCTTTCCGTGTTCACCAACGCCGTCTTGCAACAAGATGGCAGACATCGACGAACAAGTAACCAAAGCCATCAACGGCGACCTCGCTCACAGCAGCAGTGACACACTCACAAGAGAACCTTCTAAGCCTGTAGGCCCGCAGATGTCCGAAGTCGCCACCCCAGCATCCAAACCCGCCGCCCCGCCCACGCTATCAGAGGATGAACTCGCAATACTTGCCAAGCTTGCTGACTCTGCGTCTCCTGAAGGTCTCCCTTCTTGGGAAGAGGAGCTGCAGCCCATGCTATTCCGTCGTCTCGTGCACAATGTCTATCGTTTTGTTTATGACCAACCGACCAACGCCGCAAACCGGACAGATATACCCAAGACAACGTTCGGCCTCGTCTTCAGAGGGTTCGCCCCCAGAGGACCACCCAGTCCGAGGAACACTACTGTACGGCTCCCCGTGCTGCTGGAGGGTGAGGCATTACAGAAAGAGGTAGACAAACTCCGTTCGATGCTGGAAGAGTTTGACGAGTACGTGTATGCGCTTTCTCTTCATCATGCCCTTATCAAGAAACAGGGGACCTCCATTCACCATCCAGCGGTTAGCAGAACTCTTATTACATCCATTCCACGAGCACCATCTGGTCGGCAAGTATCTGCGTGCTGTACAGCGCGTTTTGTCCGTCGCTAGCTCGTTCGACCCCCAGGTGTATGCTCCACTAACAAACGACTCTCAGCCAGTTGCGTCGAGTTCAACAGCAGCAGCAACTCCCTCTACACCCTTCCAGCTCGCGTCTACTCCTCTCTACTCGCCCATCCCGTTCCTACGTGGTAGAGAACTTCCTGTGCGTTCACCACGAAAGAATTCTTCCCCGCCTTTGTCACCTTTGGACATTGTCCCCAGACGCAGCCCAAACACGTCTCCTCGCGGGTCACCACGTATGCCAGCAAGGCGTGGAGGTCCACGCGTGGCCACCTCGGCAATGTCGATGGCTGCGCAGACTCGAAAACGGGCGAACTCTTTGTCTTCCTCCAGCTCGCCTGCCGTTCTTTCGCCGACTATTCCCTCTCCCTCCGACTCCAAGCATTCCTTGCCAGAAGCTTTCACATTATCCCTTCCCACACCCGAGCTCACCCCATCCGGTCCCGGCTCAGGCAGCCAAAAACACTCTCTGACTCCACCTCCGATATCCCCACCGATGGGGCCGAGTCCTACACGCGTCGACGAACTAGACAACCCAGAGTCGCACAAGCTTCTCTTAGCCGAGCCGGTCGCCCTGAGTAGCGTGACAACTGGGAGAGTCAAAGTTCGCAGTCCAGAGCTCAAGCTGGCAGAGATGGCAGCAATACTGGATGTGATACACGCTGCCAAAGGCTCTGCGCGGTCCACGAGCGAAGACCAGCCAGTGACTGGGTTGGGTCTGAGTTTAGGAGAGAGGTTCGTCCCTTCTAGCGTGGAAGAGGAGAAGCCAATGGAGGAGACACAAGACGTGAACGAAGGGAATGAAGGGACTGGAAGTAACGGTAGTGGGGAAGCAGAAGAAGGGGAGGTCGAACGAATGGTCAGCGAAGAAAGGGAAATGGAGGTCGAAGATCTGCCGGCAGATGAGGATGGCTGGGAGGTTGTGCAAATGCCTGAGAAGGATGAGGAAATGAAGGATGATTGTTGAATGATTTCGGGGCGATGTACAATGAACTGTATTCTGTTGATGTAACTATGTAGTGGCATAAATTTGATTCAGGTATCAATCACGAATTGAACTACGGTCAGTCGTCGGTCGACAGGGGCGCGTAGAGAATTACTGTAGCGATCCGTTGGGCTGTGTCCGTATGAGGAAGTAAAACAGAGTAGGATGAAACAGATAAGCCGATGAGCGAACTCTTATGCATTTGAAACGTTTGAAGGAAATCACACGTCTAGTCCATTGTAATAATAATGCATTACTGATACATCCAAGTCGTGAGGTCGTAAACTACATAGGTCGCTCGAGGGCCTTGCGATGCGTAATGTCCCGCCACACATGGTTCCAGTAGTGCTTTTTCTTTTCATTAGCCATAGGCAAGGCAGTCGTCGGCGAGTTACCGTCCCACCAGTCGAGACTACCAAAGATGGAACTAGTCAGGTGCGTCAGGTCCTCAAGCGCTTCGGCAACTTCGGCCATCGCCTCCGACTCGGCTAGGGAGAACATCGACCCAAGATCAGAGGCTGTCTCCCCGTCCAGGCGGTCTTTGTGTGCATTGAGCCAGTGCTCTCGCAGACTGCCGATGAGTTCCTCCAGTGCGTGCTGTGATGATGGAAGGAATTGCGGCAGAGGCATCTGGGCGCGGAAGCAGTGCGAGAGGGCAAACATGACCATGATCTGACTGGACACGAGATGCATGCGCGAATCAAGCACCTCTCGCACGGTTCTCTTATGCGGGATATTCTCTCTGAGATGCCGTAAACCGAGGAAGAGGTCGAGAATACGGCGAATGTTGACCTCGACGCGACCGTAAAACTGCGTTGGCTTCTACAGGGGTTGTCAGTCGAAATACAAGGATGCAATTACGTGCACGAACAGGGAGCAGGCTGAGCTCAAGCATCATGTCGCCAAGAAGACGATCAGCCATACGCAAGCGTTCCTTGACCATGCCCTCAATTTCCAGACCAACATTCCTGTAGTCCTTCTTGACATGGCTGGTCTTCAAGAACGGCCGGCTTAAGGTGACGTAGTCGAGACTGAGAGCGTCGATAGCCTTTGCTATCTGAGTCATGAACTCTGTCCGGGCTTGAAGGGGGAAGATGAGGAGAGAGGCGATCAGCGCGGCCATCAAACCAGTAATGAGGGCAGAGGCCTTGGATGCGCCCATTGTCCAGATGTTGGAGTCCTCCTTCCATGGGGCGAAGACAATCGTAGGGATGGTGACCACGCTGGGTAAAATGTCAAAATCATACAACAGTATTGTGAATAAACACGTACGCAGTGATGGCACAGCTTGGAATGCTCGAGCGGAGAAACACCCACGATGCGGGGATTTGGAACGCAGTGACCATGGCAACCTTGGCTGCGGCATTGTGCCTGCATATGATCCAGCACAAGTAGGCGTACGCACAACCGACAAGCGTTCCCATCTGGGAAACGTCAGCATGAGATGGGAGGGAGACTACAGAAACTCACGACACGGAACATGTTCTTGCGAATAATGGACCCAATGTCCATATCCAAACCCATGATGAAACCGATGACCTGCCACTGCTGGTTGCCTTTTTCGAAGTTCTTCCTCAGTGGGCTGTTCTTGGGGAGCACAGCGGGAATCGAGAGGATGAGAGCACCGATGGCTGCACGGATAGCGTACTTGACATGCCGAGAATTCCTGATACTACGGATAAAGCCCGCCAGCTTCATACGGGGCTTGAATGTCTTGCGTGAGATACTCATGAAGATCTTGTTGACTATCGAAAAGCGCTGCGCAGGGACGGCGTCCTCCGTGGAACCGGGCTTGCGGCGGACGACAACATCGCTGAAGGGTGCGGCAGTAGGGGCGTAGGGGGGTGGAGCACCCCCCTCAAGGAGCTCCGCCTGGGCACGCTCAATCTCTTCCTGGGATTCCACCTTTTCCTTGTCGGTGTTATCTGCAGGGCTCGTTAGGAACTTGTGTTAGATGAGAAGGCAAGGTACTCACCATCGGTGCGGTGGTCCGCAGATGCGTTCTCGAGCGACGCGCTCTTCTCGCTGATTCCGAGCCACGCCCAGCTCAGATGCGGCTTCAGAAGCCTCTTCCTCCCGGCGGCATTGTACGCCTTGAGCAGGTCCTCGGCCTGCTTAAGTGCCTTCCAGCATTCCTGGGAAACCTCGAGCAGGGAGGCAAGGAACAAGCAGATACCGAACATCTCCCGATGGAAGACACGCTCCATGGTCTCCTCGACGCTCTCGTCTACCCCGGCAACATCGTGATCGGCAAGGAGCTTGTTGAGAGCAGCGCGGATGTCGGTCCTAAGGTTCTTCGAGGCAGTGTCGATGGCGGTGCGTACGGTGAGGCAGTGTTCGGGTTGGAGGGGCACACGAGCGCCCCCTGTGCGCATCTTCTCACTCATGGGGATGGGGATCACGGAGTCCTCTGGCAGGTCATACGACACACGAACGCTCTCCATGCAGAGAGCAAGTGCAGCCTCCAGCTCCTTCCCGAGCGCCTGAGTACCAGTCTCAACTGTGTCCAGGAAGAGGAGGTGGCTGGCATCGAGGTGCTCCAGGGAAGAGTTCTTGATTGCTGGCAGACCGAGAGAAAGCTGAGCACGCAGGCGCTCGACGGAGGCGATGAGATCTTTGAGTGGATCGGCGGGGAGACGGCCCCAGCGGAGCTCGAAGGTCGCTTGCAGGAAATTGGCAGGAAGTGCTTGGGACTGCTTGAAGAGCTGTGAAGCGAGGTCGTCGAGGTCTGAAGGCTTGCTCTCAAAGTCCGTACGATCAAGCATCTGCGTGGTCGCGGACTTGAGGAGATTGTGCACCGTGCCGTAGGCCTCGATGACGTTTTGGGCGAGGGGGGAGCGGTTATTGAGTAGCAGGGGGAGGGCGCAGAGGAATGAGAGGAAGGCAGCGGTAGCGAAGCAGAAACCGGGCTCGGTGAAGGATTCGACGGACATCTTGCCTGTACCGATCTTGACGAGGAGGACCCAGACGCCAAGGTAGATCGATGTAGTGGATGCGCGCATCAGACGTGGGAACCTGGAGATCATGTATGCACCTGTAGAGGTATTAGATAGTACCAGAAGACAAGAAAGATAACGCACCAGTGAATGCATGGAGGCAGACGCCGATGGCAATGACAGCGCGACTGGAAACACAATCCTCGCCGTACTTTCGTGCGAGGAAGCGGGAAAAAGCAAGCATAGAGTTGCCGTACCCTAGACCCCACATGGCCCCAGCACTAGTCAAGACAGTTGCCTCGATCTGAGCGCCGAGTCCAACGTCGGGGAAGTAGTTTGTCTCTTTGAAGACGAGGATAAGATGGGGGAAGTGGGTGATCGCGTTGACGAATGGGAGTGTCATTGCGATAGCACACATGCATGTGGCCAGCACACGGCAGAATGCGGGGAGGTACCAGGTAGGCTGTGAGTTGAGCCATGCTATAGGATGGAAGGATAACTTTGGGAAGGAGGGCGCCATCACCAGGATGCGCAAAGCAAGAGGGGGTACTAGTGGGTGAGTAAGGTAAGAGTGAGGGGAGTTCGTCCCTTCCAGTGGCCAAGAATGTGGGTTAAGTAGGTGGCCAAGAATGTGGGTTAAGTAGGTGAACCAGAGATGAGAAGCCATTAGGAACGCTGTCCGGATTCCCCTTTACACCCCGTCAAACACGTCGGACAAGCCATACAGTTTTACAGGGCAGAGCTGATACCCCCTTGCATTACCGTTTCAGACTGCACTGGGTGGCAGTGTGCCGGCCGGCAAAGCACGGCATGAGAGAGAGGCGCAGTACCGCCATATATATATGCAGCGTCAAACGGTGTGAGAATACGACGTTGTAGACAAGAGAGCACAGGAGTCAAAGCGTTTGTAAGAGAAGGAGTGAACAATGAGAATGAGAAAAGTGAACGAATGAGGAAAGTGAAAAGTGTCATATGTTTTTGTCACGCGCAAAAAGCTATGCAAGGGTTTCCCTTCTGAAAATGGTCCGGCCAAGGATACGCAGCCCAACGGCAACCCTACGCAGGTGGCTTATTTCTCTCTATCATCTGCCCCTTCTTTACTCGCTCAATAGGAACAACAAGCAACAATAATGTCAAACCAATTTGAACCACGCACTTTCCTTCGTCTCCATGCTCGCGATCCGGACGACGACCCTTCCCCGGGCACAGCACGAGCAACAAACTATGTCATCCTGCAAGGACATGTGGCCCTGAAAGGCGCCCATGCTGGAGCACTCCTCGGCCCATTGGCCACCTTCATCCGCTACTGGGGCAGGCCGACGACAACTCAGATGCTGAGAGGAAGCGTCGCGTTTATGGGATGGACCGCAGCGATTGCGACGATCGCGGGCGTGGCACGTGTGTGGAGTGCAGAACCGTATGCGATATTCGACAGGGCGTATCGGTGCGTGTTCTTCTCTCCCTTGCGCACCCTGATGCTAACCATTTTTCCTTCCCCCGGTTGGTATTGCTAGGCTGAACAACAACCTATCGCAGAACAGGGTCGATAGGATCTCTCTATTCTCAGCCGGCCTCGGCTCCGCCTTAGGTAGCTTCTTCCTGCCCGGTATAATCCCCTTGCGCACTCGCATTCTCGGAGGGTTCGCAACAGGCCTCGCAGGAGGAGTCTTGGTGCACGTTATCTCTGCTTCTATCTGGGCGGAAGACGAGGAGATGACTCGTAGAGTGCAGCTGGAGCGGCAAGCCTTCAAGGAGAAGATAATGGCGCTTAAGGAAAGCAAGAAGGGCGAAGAGGCAAAAGAGAAGAAGGCTTGATTGATGAATTCCAAACTGCTGTTGAAGTATTGTATATTTATTGTACTCTTGTCGTGAGCTCACTGTGACGAAATTAACTTGTGATGCATCTGTTTATGGCTCAGAGCTCTACGGCGCTCCCATAATAAGCCACCCCAGTGCTATCCCATAAAGACAGCCATGCATGTGCACAAGGCTACAACCATGCGATGCCGGAGTCCAAGGACTCATGAACTGTTGATGAACTGTGTCGTGTCCAGGACACCAATTTGTGCCCTACGCGGAGATGGTTCGGATGTATCCCACTAATAGTTGACTGTGGCTTCCCAGTTCCCAGTCTCCTTCTCACTGTCACATTCGTTCAACATGTTAACGGTGCAAACCCCACGTATCACTCCATAGCAACATCCCCCATCCCTTTTGTGGCTCAAGTATCTTGATGACTCCGAGTGCGACTGCAGGGAGGAGCCTCCGCCATTCGAATGGGGCGACGACGGCGATCTCGTTATGTCGTCAGACCGTGGGAGATTCGCCAAGCTGTGGAGAGAAATCGAACCCATCGCCAATGCGAAGGGGTATGATCTCAACATCAAGGAGCACATCGAAGGGCATGGCCACTCAGTAGACGAGTATTTTTGGCTCCCTGATAAGGTACGCACGTCCTTGTATCAGTCCTTTACGATTGATGGGAGCGTGTACTAGAGCGGGATGGCCATCCCGGCAACGAAAGATGGGCGCCACTATTACATCAGAAGTATGGGAAAGGATACGGAAGAGCACAAGTGCATCCTGCGACTGCTCCAAGATATTTCTTTCGAGCCTGCCACCGCGATTCCAATCGACATCTTTGAAGGACCGCGAGACCGAGTGTTTATGGTCATGCACCAGCTGGCACCGCACTGGCTAGTTCCGTGGCACACCATCGAGGATCACAGCATGTCAGTGGCTTACTTCATGCGCATAGTTACTCGCATGCTTCAGGTGAGTAGGTCCATAGTGCAACGCCCCTCCAAAGACCCAAACTTTTCCAGAATATCGCACGGCTGCATGCTGCAGGGGTCGCTCATTTGGTGCGTTCATCTCAACCATTCCAAAGCGTCTACCTACCTCAAGCCAGGACATCCGCCCGCACAATGTCATGCTCGACAACGATGGACTACCCGTTTTCATCGATCTTGGAGTGAGTATCGTCGTTGGTGATGAGCCGAATTTGCCGTTATGCACGACACCTTGCCCTGGGACAAGGCTTGTCCCCTGCACTACCCAGTTCGGTTTCCACGCGCCACAGCGTGTTGCAGAGCAGCCGTTTGACGGTCGGGCGGACGACGTTTTCGGAGTAGGCGTGTTTCTAGAACGCTGCTTCTTCGCAACTCCATCACAGAAGGTGAGGATCCTTGCTAGATGTGCAGCGATACGCGGGGGGGCGCTGATTTGTGCACCGCAGGCTCTTCTGAAAGAAATTCTCACTGAATTCGAACGGCTCCTTACGATGATGCGTGAAGAAGATGAGTCGTTGAGGATCAAAGCCGGTTACGCGTACGATCAAAGGGTGAAGATGGTCATTGATCGCCCGGATCTATTGAACGATGAAGCAACATCGAGGATGCCGTTCTGATGGATGTCCCAGGGGGACAGCGCAGCCTACAGCCTTCAGCTCAGTGTATCTGTGTACCTTTATGCCTCGCCGATGACCGGGCAGGCGCAATGCATGACGTTGATTGTATTAAGCGAATGAATCTAGCGACTTGCGGTCAGTGTGTAGCGATGACATGAACTTGATGGATAGGTCCGCATTGCTGCCTGAGGTCACAGCTGGCTGCGGACATGACGTTCATGGGATGGACCGCAGCGATTGCGATGATCGCGGGCGTGTGTGGAGTGCAGAGCCGTATGCGATATTCCACAGGGCATATCGGTGCGTTCTTTTCTCCCTTGTACACCCTGATGTTGACCGTTTTCCGTTCCTTCGTTTGGGATTCGCAGGCTGAACAACAACCTCGCGCAGAACGGGGTCGATAGGATTTCTCTATTCTTAGCGGGCCTCGGCTCCGTCCTAGGCAGCTTCTTTCTTCCCGGTCGCAGGCCTCGCCGGAGGAGTCTTGGTGCACGTTATCTCCGCTTCTATCTGAGCGGAAAACGAGGCGATGACGCGCAAAGCGCAGCTGGAGCGGCAAGCAGTCAAGGGGGATGCTGGAGCTTGCGGCAAGCAAGAAAGGCGGGGAGGGAAAGGAGGAGACGGCGTACTAGTAAGTCGTGAATGTCGAGCTACTCCTGAAGTGTTGTACTCTTTCCGTGAGCACGAAATGAATGTCCTATGCCCACCGCTTACGGCTCAGAGCTCCACGGGGCTCCCACATTAAGCTACGTAGTGATACCAGGATGGATCGGATATATCCCGGTACCAGCTGACGGTGGCTTCAGATGTCGCGGTTAGGTGTCTCCAAATCAGCGTTACAGTTGTCCATGGATAGAACGTTCCGCTTTCTCTCATCCCTTCTCACTCATCCACCAATGTTAGCCAAACAATTTCCTCAGGCGATACCATCATCATCAGAAGAAGAGTGGGAAGCATATGCCTGTGGCCCGTGCTATGTACCGGCTGATGAAAAGCTTGCCATGGATAAGCCAATCGAATGGCCCCTCAATGTTGATCTCCAGATGGACACACGAGTCGAGTTGGTCGAAAGCGACAGTACTGTGACTACCGACTCGGACGCTAGTTGGATCTATGATTAATATCTCGCGCCGGACAAACCGTTCGAATGGGACAACGAAGGATGTTTGGCTTCTTATACGGACCGTGACCGATTCGCCGGCTTGTGCAGACAAGTTGAACCCATCGCCGTTGCAATGGGGTACGAGCTTGACATTGGCGAGTATATTGAAGGGAAGGGACGTCAGACAACTTTCCAAGAGTTCTGTAAAAGGGTACTGCGCACGTCTCCAGTCTACTACTCCTCAGTTAATTGAGACAAATAGAGCGGGTTGGCTATCCCAGCTACGAAAGATGGCCGCGGTTTCTTCGTCCGTAGCATGGGAAAGGGCTCGGAAGAGCACAAATGCATACTTCAACTTCTCGAGCATGCCCCTTTCGAACCCCCAATGCCACCCCCCTTCGACATCTTCGAAGGTCCCAGAGACCGCGTGTACATCGTCATGGACAAGCTGGGACCACACTGGCTGGTAGCCCCGCATACAGTCGAGGGCCAGACGATGCCGGTCCAGTATTTCTTGCAATATGTAACGCGTATGCTGCAGGTGAGTTGGACTATAGAAAAGCATCAGTTGAAGACTTAGCTTCTTCCAGAATCTTGTACGCTTGCATGCAGCAGGGGTGGCCCATCTAGTATGTATAGTGCCTCACTCATGTTATAGCGTTGGCTGATGCAGATTGCAGGATATTCGACCTCATAACATTATGCTCGATAGGAGTGGGCTCCCGCTTTTCATCGACTTTGGAGAGAGCCTTGTAGTCCATGACGACGCACATGCACGGCTGTGCACAGTGCCCCTTCCTGGATCAAGGCTTATTACCGACACTTACCAGATCGGGTACCATGCGCCCCAGCGGGAGTCTGGGGAGCTCTTCGACGGCCGTGCCGACGATGTTCACGGAGTGGGACTCTTTCTAGAGCAATACTTCTTCGCTTCTCCCACACAGAGGGTATTTTTTCCCCAAAGAATCCAAAAGTGAGGGACCAATGTTCGCTTCATAGGCCATTGTTCAGGGGCTCCTTCCTCAGTTTGAGAGGTTGCTGCAAATGATGCATGAAGAAAATGAGGCAGTGAGGATAGATGCGAATCGTGCTTATGATGAATGGATAACCATGGTCCTGGCTTGTGCTTCTATTCTCCTTGATAACAATGCCACGGTCAGGGTGCCATACTGATTGGTACCCCAGCAAGGCAACAAATCCACTCGTTTGTCTCTTACAATACATGTGTATTCACTGCGTTCGAAAATGATACCTAGGGACGACAAATCGCGTGTGTGAAAAGGGGTGCATTGAATGTGCGTTTACTGACTGACCACGATTGATGTACCCTTGCAGATCTGCACCAAGGCAGGCGTCCAACTGAATATGCTTTGTCAGCGGTATACCGTATCAATTTGAGACCCTGCTCACAAGGGTATACATAGCTTCGTCAGCTGCCTTTCGGGCTTCTAACCCGTCGTCGATTTGATGCTTCCATGGTCCCATGACCACAGTGTGCACCAATTCATCGCGGACGGGAGTTTGGGCATAAAGATCTGGCAGGATATGGGGGAGCTGTGGGCGAACGAGGTGGGATTTATGACGGGCTGCAGCAGTGAGGGAAACAATTGCGAGGCGTTGCACATTCTGCGAAGACCAGTCAGACCTGGAACTGCTTTATGATATAGGAACTTACGATATCGGTGTCACGAAGAAGCGTGAAATAAGGCGAAAGGATAGGCTGTAGTAAATCGTTGTAGGTTTGCGTATTATCCATGAAAACATAGCGCATAGCGGTTGCCACGGCAGCCTTGACCCCGGGAGGATTCTCCCGCGCCATGGAAGCCTGAAGAAGTCAATGAGCCAATACTCCTGCGAGACAGGAAAAATGACTTACCTGAAGACGAGGCAAGAAGCGGGCAGGGCAGGTTGTGGTGAGCCTGCCTAAGCATGCAGCAGCGATGTTCTTCACGCTTTCGTTCTCGTTCTCGCTCGTAGTACTCGCAAACAGAGGCTCCCATAAATGGTCCGCCATATGCTCAAGCTGATGCCTGGGCCCATGTGTGACGACCTTGCTCATTATGTGAGGGGTGAATATAGGTGTCAGGGCTTATGACTCACTTCTCGAAGAGCATGCAAAGCGGACAGCCGACTGTGTTCCTCTCCTTGTAAACCCCGGGCGATGACAGGTAGGAAGGTCTGGATATTTCCAACAGCAATGCCCCCTGACATGGCATTATTATCGTGAAATGACAAGAACAGAAAGAACTCACCAACCGCGGACGATGCCGCTATCCTCACCTGTTCAGAGGGCGTTCTGAAGAGATCAAGGGAATGATTGAAGACATCTGGTTGTTCAGATATGTCACTGTACTCCCAATTAGGTGCGAAAAAGATGGGATGGGCTGAAACGTACACGGGTCGGCAGAGACAACGAAAGAACAAGGAGATCGTCGTCAACTGAGTGTGCAGCTAGGGTCCGAATAACTTGGCTCGCCGATTTGGGAGCAAGAGACGCGCCTTTGCGCTTGAGCAGCTGCTGAAGATAAGGGAACGCATCGACGTGCTGATTCCGCGGTCCACGCCTGATGACACGCAAACACCAATCAACCTCCTCATCGAGCCATGCTTCTCACTTTTCTCTGTCAACTCCGTCAGCACCATCGCGTACAACACGCTCGACGACATGCAGTCCGACGGCCTGCATCTCGCGCCTTACACTGCTCAGAGACTGAGCAATGCAGACGCCACGGTGATGAGGGCCTTACCGAAAGACGGAGGTGGGCTTGCAGAGAAGATCTGGATAAGGACTGCAGCAACTGTGCGGTCAATTCCGGTATTGCGAGCCAGATGGGCCACTGAGCAGCTTGGCCATGAGGGACAGTAGAGGAGTGGAGAATGGGGCGAGCATCCCTGAAAGAGTAGCGTTGAGCGTTTGTAGCAAGCTGAAGCCAGACGTGAGCGTCGCAACATTTCGTTTCAGCGTGAGCTGCTGGAGAAGGGACTTGGTCGCAGGTGGTACCAGCTGCCGGAGCTGAGATAAACCGCCTTCGTTTTCTACCCCCTCCATACCCTCTCCCTCACGTTTCCTTTTGCCGAGTCGAGTCGAGCCGCCTTCGGAGCCATATACGCTAGCTTGCTTCACAAGCGCGGTAAGCGTCGCCCAGACCTCGATTCGTACGCTCTCTTCCCTATCGGCAAAGCGAAAGACGAGCGTGGGCCCAACAGACTTGTATACCGATTGCAGCAACTCTGGTCGTGGGTGCCAATGACAGCCAGGAGTACTTCCAGAGCACTTCGTATGACGTGTCCTCATCTTCGTCATACCTGCATTATCGGGTCAGTATATGCGAGGCGCAAAGACTCATGAACTCGCTCTTCGTCATCCACTTCGTCATCTTCGTCCATAACATTCCCTACGTGAATCTATGACAACAAAGTTACCAGTGTTTCGCAAGCAATACCATCCAACTCATGGGGTCATTTTTCATCAACTCTACTTCGACCGCACATATCTGGACCAGCATCGGTGTCACCTCCTTGCCGCATCCTAGGGTTGGTCTTTGTGGGCTCCTCCGCGTCCTTTCCAACGAGAAAGGGACGATGGGCTTAGGTGTCGATCCTAACCGAAGACGCGTATGACATCCGCCCGTGTGGGGAAATATGCCTGTCCGGATTTGGTACCTGGCATTGCTACCCTACCCTGATCCTAGTACGTTCCGTTATAAGGTCTAACTCAGCTTCATTTTATCCAGATACAAGCAGCGGGAAACGTACCCTTCCCCTAAACGCTTCCACAGTGATCGCGCCCCTTTCTTCCCGAAACATACGAGTCAACATCCACTTCCCAGCTTCTTCCCCGCACCAGGGGATCAGCCTCTCTCGACAACCCCGCAAATCGCTCCCGATCCAGCTGTCCAAATAGGCAGCCTTCGACGTCCCACTCAGAAGGACGTGTGCTGGGAGAGGTTCAGATCGTATGTGGCGGGGTTCAGCAGAGTGGAGTCTATTAGCCCCTTCTGATGAAATAGTAGCGCCCATCTTTCGTTGCCGGAATAGCCATCCCGCTCTAGTACACGTTTCCATCAGTCGTAAAGGACTGGCATAAGGACGTGCATACCCTATCATTGAACCAATGATGCTCTTCTATTGAGTGGCCATGCCCCTTCGACGTGCTCCTTGATGTTGAGGTCATACCCCTTCGCATTGGCGATGGGTTCGATTTATCTCCACAGCCTGGCGAATCTCCCACGGTCTGACGACATAACGAGATCGCCGTCGTCGCCCCATTCCGATGGTGGAGGCTCCTCCCTACAATCGCACTCAACCATCAAGGTACTTGAGCCACTGAAGGAACAGTGTGGGACATTCTGATGAAGTGATATATGGGCGAACGGATGTGACTTAGTAGTGGTGTCACGTGATAATGGTCTCGGATTCACCAAACTTGTTTGAGCCTTCACTGACTAAGTTGTGGGGCAGTTACATAGTGAGCATACTAGAGATGTACGCAACGTTAACTCTCAGGGCTCGAACAAGGATGCAGCCGTGCTCACGTGACTGCGATCCGGAGGCAACGACGCGACACAAGTACTTGACATATGAGGACCGGCCGCCATTTAACTTGTTCCGAAATCCGTCGCTCAATATCCAACAATGTTAGCCGCACAAGTACCTCATACCCTCTCGTCATCATCAATAGAAGAACATGCTTGCAACAAGGATCTCGGAATCGACAAGCAACTCGAATGGATTTACGACGACGATGTGGATGCCGAGTTGGCCGCCGAAGTCGAATTATTGCGCGCGCCGTACAAGCCATTCGAATGGGACGACGATGGCGGTTTGCTTTCCGAACCGGACCGTGACCAATTTGCTGGCCTATGGAGAGAAGTTGAACCCATCGCCATCGCGAAGGGATATGCCCTCGACATCGAGCAATATGTCGAAGGGAAGGACCGTCCACATTATTGGGAACAGTTCGAAGGAAGGGTATGCGCATGTCTTTCGCCCACTGCTCCTCGGTTGATTGAGACGATCAGAGCGGTTTGGCTATCCCAGCTACGAAAGATGGCCGCGTTTACTACGTGCGAAGCATGGGGAAGGACTCAGAAGAGCACAAATGTACGCTCCGATTGCTCCAGTATGCTCATTTCGAACCTCCGATGCCACCCCCCGTCGACATCTTCGAAGGACCTCGAGATCGCGTGTATGTGGTCATGGACAAGCTGAAGCCGCATTGGCTGGCCGCGCCGCACACTGTCGAGGGCCAGACGATGTCGGTCGACTATTTCTTGTACACGGTCACTCGCATGCTGCAGGTCAGTCGATGCACAAAAGACCATTAGTCGAAGACTCAGTTTCGCAGAATCTAGCGCGATTACATGCAGCAGGAGTGGCTCATTTGGTGCGCTGACCCCCCTGATCGTGTTATGATCTCAACTGAACGAAAGTTCAGGATATTCGTCCATACAATGTCATGCTTGACGACGACGGCTTGCCAGTATTCATCGACTTCAGACAAAGCATCGTAGTTGGCGACGAGCCGAGCAAGAGGTTGTGCACGGTGCCTCATGCTGGCACTACGCTTATTCCAGAGACGACACAGTTCGGGTATCATGCGCCCCAACGGGAATCAGAAGAACCCTTCGACGGGCGCGCTGACGATGTTTACGCGGTGGGTATTCTTCTAGAGCGCTCCTACTTCACGACGCCGTCGCAGAAGGCATAGAGTGTTTTCGGAGCGATACAGGTACGAGTCATTGATGTTCACGTCACAGGCGATTGTCCAAGAGCTCCTTCCTCGATTTGAGCAGCTTCTTCTAAAGATGCACGACGAAAATGAATTGATGAGGTTACCTGCTGACTGTGCTTATGATGAATGGGTAACGATGGTGATTGAGTTCTAATCTCTGGACAACAATACGAAGGCTAGGATAGCATATTAATCACACCTCCGATGTAGCATTGATGTCATTGGCTGTCGCTTCGCAGAAGACTGCTGCACGGGAGGCGAGGATGGCCTTGATGAAGACTTCAGACTCTGGTGAGCAATCTGCTTAAGCTCATCTAGAACTGACTCACCTGCGGCATCATCATGCGCGTGACCTACGCGAGAGATGCTCGACTGCTATCGTCAGCTGCCCGCCTCTCCATATAAGAGATGAATTAGGAAGTTGTCGGGGTGAGCGTTGTGCGAGTCTGAGGGACTGCACAATTGCTTGCTCCGGTCGTTACTGCGATACCTTCTCCCATGTCGTTATTAAGCACTGCATTAGGCGGGCGAATGTCCTGGGAAATGAGCAGACGCTGTGGTATGATGGATGAACGTACCAAATGAGTGACTCCTGTTGCGTGCGTGTGTTATGTTCTGAGAAAGGTGGCCGACTTAGCTAAAGCATGACGCTGGCATGCTCTGATCGTGAATCGTACGGAGCGGAACTAGGGGTGTGCGGTGCCGATGTGGATTGTTATCGCGTGCGGCTCATAGCGGATATCCGAGTCACAGGTGGAGCAAGGGACTTAAGGGACGGAGGCGTTAGGGGTCAAGACGTAATGGAATATTCGGTGTATGACGTCATGGCCGGTGCGCTGTAAGAGGAGATGGTCTAGACTGTTGACGTCAATCGGATGAAGATGCCGATTACGTGAATATGATGTGTCAAGTGGGGGAATTCTGTTCTGCGTCGTCTCTTCGCTGTTACTCTCTCTAACTTTGGACACTTCACTCTCATACGATGCATATTCCAACTTCGATTGTCAGTCAACAATATTCATTCAACAATTCATTCACTTTAACACAAGAAATCCCAACAATAAAAATGTCATCAACAAAACATCAACAACAATTATTCAACCCTGCTATTCTCATTCCTTACTATTCATCACCCTCTAACGCACTCTTGGTACTCGACATACGCCCTCCAAGCGCTTATGCTCAAGCTCACCTACCAAACTCACTCTCTCTTCCAATCCCTACAACTCTCCTCAGACGACCTGCATTCCCTCTATCCTCCCTAGCACAGATGTTACCCGAAACACAGAGAAAGGTCTTCGATGGGTGGAGAGACGCAGAACTCATTGTCGTCTTAGAGAGGGAGAGGGACGGCCTAGGAGAAGGCGGGCGAGGGTTGGTAAGAAAGTTCGAGCAGGAAGGCGCTAGAGTTGGAGGTATCAAGGGTGGATGGGACGCTGTGCTCAAAGTATTGGGAGAAATGGTCGTTCAGGGTGAAGAAGGGCATACGAGTGCTGGGAGAGCCATCGCTGCTGTTACTGGAGGGATGGGGAGGGACCTTCCGAGAGCGGCGTTCCAACAGAGTGAGTACCCTTTTACTTGCGTGCGGGTGTGGTACTCATGTCATTGGGTAGTTACGACAACAGCGGCGAGCGCGAGACCGCAGGGTCATTTTGGGCTAATGATACCCCCTGGGATGGGACTGAAGAATGGATTCCCGTTCACTGGGGGTGGGAGCGGGAATGGCTGCGTCCCTACTCCACTGACATCCGCGCCTGCGCACACGTCATCCACATCCACGTCAACACCCGCCGCCCATACCCCCTCCCCTTCCCTCTCCCTTCCCCGCACAACCACAACCACAACAGCAACCACAACCTCAAACGCACCCGCACCCGCCCAACCCCCCGCTCCCGGACCAAGCTCCACCTCTCTCCTCTTCTCCAACCCATTCTACGACAACATCCGGCAACATCTTGAGCTTGCGCAGGGCGTGACGGGGGCGGGGTTCGAGCCGCTGAGGTTGCCCAGAACGGTGAGGGAGTGGAGCGGTTGGAAAGGGATGCCGGGTTGGTTGGGGGAGGTGGTGCTTAGGTCGGAGGAGGAGGTTGCGCCTACCGAGCAAGGGCAGGGGCAGGCACTGGATGCTCGCAAACATAGTGGGCACGCAACCCCTTCACCCAGCTCCTCAGCCGTTCCCCACCCCCACCCGCGCACACGCATCACACACCCAAACCCAAACACAAGCCCAAGCCCAAGCCCAACCCCAGACGGCGGCGAAGCGCTCGCAATGCAGTTCTACCGCGTCGAACTTGCGGAACAGAGACGGTTGATGGGGGTTATGGAACATCATTCTAGGGAGTGTTTTGTAGTTTCTGGCGGGGAGGGGGGGAGCGTGGGCGTGGGCGGGGATGGGGAGGGAGTGGGCCGTGGTGCTGCGGGCGGTGGGGGGATGACGGGGGGCGCGGGGTTGAATGGGTTTATGGGAGGTGTGAAAGGGCTTATGGGGGGGAATGGGCTGCACGGACCGGCGACAGCGACAGGATCTACACCCGCTACTGTGAACGGGAACGGGACCGGGAATGGGATTGGAGGCGCCTCCCTGGAAGGGAAAGATTATGCCCAGTCGCACTCCCAGGCGCGTTCGCACACCGCCCGTGCTGGCTTCCACCCCCCGGCAGACGAGACCGAATTCCCATTCTCGATCACAGCAGGTATCGAGAAAGGTGCTCTGAACCGGTGAGCCCCCTCCCCCCCTCTCCCTCCCTCTACCCTCCTGCCTGAGTGCAGCTGCTGACTACTGCGTCTGCAGGTACCGCAACATCTGGCCCTTTGCACATACGCGAGTGCGTTTGCCAAAAGGCACTGCGAGCGACGGGTCGGATTACGTTAACGCTAGCTTTGTACATCCTCGTGGTACGCGCAGGAGGTATGTGTGTGCGCAAGGACCGCTCGAAGCTACCCGGGGCGATTTCTGGAAGTGAGTACCGCCCAATCAACGCCTCATCTGACTAACTGATCGTGCTGCTCTGCGTATAGCCTCGTCTGGGACCAGAACATTACTACTATTATCATGCTAACGAAGCAGACTGAAGCGGGGCTGTCAAAATGTTGTCCATACTGGAGTCAGCCGCTAGCTGGGCCATTCAAGCTTAAGCTCCTCTCTGCCCAAGGGGGGGAAGATGAGCCCGGAACAGGAGTGGGAGGAGGAGGAGGAGGCGGGTTCTTCGACATGCACGGTACAACGGACGAACAAGGGCCTATAAAGCGCGTATTCGCTTTGAGCAAACACGGTTCCCAAGGAGAACGGATCGTCACCCAACTACAGATGGTCTCCTGGCCGGACTGGGAAGTACCCCATTCGCCACGCACCCTGCTAGGCCTGATCGAGCAGACGAACCAGCTTCGCGCTCGTGCGAAGGACCCGGACGCTCCTGTGCTCGTGCATTGTTCGGCTGGCGTGGGACGCACGGGGAGTTTCGTACTTATTGATGCTGTTTTGGACGGGTTGAGGTCTGAGCTCTTGGAGAGGAAGGCGAGGCTCGATAGGGGGGATAAGCTCTCCCTCCACAGGAACGGGAACGGGAAGGCGGAAGGCATGGGCATGGGCTTGGGCTTGGGATCGGCAGTCGCTCCCCCCTCCGCCTCCGCCTCTGGGGGCACGAATGGGAGTGCAAGCGCTAGTGGAAGCTTCTCTTCCCTCTCGTTGTCTTTCCGCCTCCATAGGCAGAGCTCGATGGACAGCTCTGCGCCTACATCTCGTTCTCCCAGTACGGATATCTCCCTTCCTCCTTCGCCTGGCCCGGCGCACGCCGCCGCCGCCGCCACAGCAGCAGCAGCAGCAGCAGCAGCAGCGAAACTCAGCCCGTCGGAATCGATAGTCACCCTCCTCCCCTCTCACTCGCCTCTATCCCTCACCTCCAACCCCAACCCAGAATCCTTCCATCACTCATTCGACTACACCCTCCCCCGTAGCAAGCACGCCCGTGCCCACCCGAGCCGCACACCCACACCATTGAGCTCCATGCACCCCGATCCTATCCAGCAGGTGTTGGAGGATATGCGCGAGCAGCGGATGTCGCTCTGTCAGAGCTTGACGCAGTATGTCTTTTGTCATAGGGCGATATGTGAGGGGGCGATCGGGATTGCGCGAGAGGTGTTTGGGGAGGACTGGCCTGGGGATCTTGATGCCCATGCTGATGTGGATGGTCCCACGCCGGCATCGCCGTCGATCCTTTCCCCCAATGCCATGGAGCTCGATTCCCCGGAATTCAACTTTTCACACGCTCACACACCGATGGCATTGGCCAACCCCAACCTGCACATGCACGCAAAACGCGCTGCGAGCAAAAGCCCAGAACAAGTAGAACGTCTCCTCTCCCTCAGCCCGGGGATGGACGTCTCCCTCTCACCCTCCGGCTCCCCTTGTCCTGCCGCTCCTGCCATGCTGCAGAATGGGGTTCCTACTCCTACTCCTGGCATGGGGTTGGTTCATGAGAGCATGATGAGCAGGAAACCGAGTGTGAAGAGGCAGATGACGCGCAGGGGAGACGTGGCCTGCGGTGCTGCTTCCCCAATGTCGATGCGGTAGCGTGGGAAGCGGGTGTTGTACACCGCATTGGCGTTGTTGTTGTATCGGAATAGGATAGGGTTTCTTTCGCTTTCCTTCTTCTCTCGCGGTATCTTTTTCCTTCTCGGCTTGGTTTTCCCGCATATGCTCGCCTTTCTCGGTATTTGCCCGCTCGCCGAGCGGCCGCCACTGTATCCCCACCACGTTATACTACTAACCGCACCATTTCTGTTTTTCCTGTTACTGTTATAGGCATATTTGTCGTAACGCTGTCTTGTTTTCCCGCGGTGCGATGCGCGTCGCAGCCAGATAAGGCCAGAAGATGAGTCAACTTTCGGTTTCGGAGTGTGGACTACACATTTCTCGCCTTTGTTGACCCTGTCGGTTCAATCATCTTGTCCCAAGCAGCGTTTTGCTGATTCGTGCTCTTCCCGGAATCCTGGTGCTCCACAGGACTCCTGGTTTGTTCTCCATACTGCAATCCCGGCTCTTCATGTGCGGCCATGAATCCAGGAGTGGTGACCGGGCGCTCAACCCTGAGGTCGACAAGAGTCATTATTTGTTGCGAGTTAGCGGACGGAGTAAATGAGTCATAGCTTCAGGTTGTTAATCAGGCCCACTGCAGGCCTGGTCATTCCTTGCCGTACCCGTATAGCTCATCAAAATCCTCACCCGAAGCGTTCAGCTGTGCCCGCTGGTTTGGCAGCAGTTAACCTTGATGAAAAAGTTTTCCGGATATGTGAACACTACCCTTTGGTGCGCGGCACCGTTTTCTCCCATGGCTCTGACTGAGGAGCCTTTCCCGACCACACCCTGGATCCTTCGGGATACCTGATCTAATGGGCATTGGCATGAGGCAGGGCATATAAAAGCTGTCGTTTTTTAATGCCCTCCATGAACTGTGACAATTTTGTGACCGACAAGCTCTTCAAAGCAATGAGTTTGGAAAGACAGCAAGACCGTTTGTTGTGCTGGCTGAACCATCCCCGAAACGGCGAGTCATGTGTTTCGCGGTGTTCCATAGAGAATCTCATCCTCTGCGGTCGGCAGCACACCCTCTCTCTAGCACATTTCGCAGCGTCCCTATCGGTGACAGAGCCCAGCTGATTATCCACTTGTTGCGCTTGCTGTCACAAGCATATCATCGCGCAGAAGAAATCTGGAGGCCAGGAAACCCCTACCGAAACTTCCTAGAGGAGATGTGGTTTTTGAATCTGTGTCTTGCCGGATTCCTCTTTTGTGTACGCCCGTGAGTGTCGGCGTGAGAGGATCGATGCCTGATCGTGTGCTACAGCGAGCGGGGTATCCAGTCCCGCGTACGTGGATTTTTGAAGAGATACGCAGGCTGGAAGACTTAGACAACAATCGAGCCCCCTCACCACTCGGCGCTCCGTGGGAAGACATTGAACGCCGAATGACCGCGTTGATGTGGATGAACACCCACTTCCGTGGGACTACGTGGCACATACAGGATCGATAGCATTGTGTGATTGATCGATAGAATGCTTTCCTCTTTTGAGTACGATATAATGCTCCGCAATCATACAAGTAACGTCAAGAATCAGACTGCCCGACAGTCCTATTCCTCAATGAACTAGTGAAAGGATCAGTCGTCATATCACGGAATCAACTGACTGATATTCACCTTTCGAGATTCCTTGTCATTCACTGAGCTCTGACTGCCGTACCCTTCAGCTTCCTTGACGGTGATCCAGCTAATTTTGACCCCTTGCCTCCTGATTAGTGGCCACAGGTCGGGATTCGAAAAGTCCTTCCGCGTCGCTTCTTTTTTCAGATCTATCATGAATCTATAAAAACGTAAGCGGTGCCAGCGCAAAATTCGGAATAGACGCACTGCTGATACGCGTCCACCTCATCCTCTTCCTTTGCCTTGTCTCGCATCGCCTTCATACACTCCAACATCTCCTCGCTTCTTTGCGAGTCCGTTGCCACCTGTAATAAGACGGCCGACATATCTTCCACCGCTTTGCTGACAAGATCTCCCGCTTCAAGCAGTCCCTCGAAGTCTTTCAGCGGAGTCCGGAGGCTGATTAACCTACCTGGCTCCGGGGCAACGGACGGTGAAGGCGTGGGCAATTGTGCGTTGTTTGTATCTTTGCCCTTGCCTTTGGGCGACGTTTTGGCGAGTAGGCTGTTCGAGTCGCCTGTGCCCGTGGTCGCACCGAGGATGTCTTCCACACTTTCGTAGAGATACTCAGGCGCATCCGCCGTTGCGCCGTTTCGACGTTTGCTCACCGCGGCTTTCGGAGGCACTGAAAATCTTGTCAGGAATAAATCATCAGCCAAACATGATAATACTTGCCCTTCTTGATGTTCATCGCCTTCTTCAACCTCTCAATCGCAGGCTTGGCCCGATCCAGCACGTTCTCGGGGGTGGTGAAGTATTTTACAAGCTCTGGGTGAGGCGGAGGCAAGGGATTTTTCTCAGGATCAGCAACACGCGCGCCGTGAAAGAGCGCTTGTTTGATGCGGTGCAGCGCAGGATTGAAAGACAGGGCAGGATCAAACCACGGCGCAGTGTTCCTGAGTAGCATGTGAGCGTAATATTAATCTTTCGGAGAGAAGTGAACACGTACCCCTCCTCGTCCTGCGTGGCATCCATCAAGTCCATAGCATCTACGAAGTCATCCATAGCCGACTGCTGTTCCTGAGTCGGGAGCGTGCTGTGTTCCTTGATCCTTTCCCCGGTCTTCTTATCAAATAAGTCGGTGAGTGAATTGAACTTGTACTTTCGGACATCATCTGCGAACGGCATCTATGTCCTTTGCTTAGTTGTTGCACAGCACGAAGATGGAGACGGCGTACCTGGACGAAAAGTAGACAATCCACGCCTCCCCACTCGACCGATCCCAACGGCTGCGCTTTGCATACGCCAACCTTTGGGTCCGCCCCGTCCCTCCAGACGTAGCGTACGGTCATCATGACACCTTTCTCTGCCATGACTTGGACGATGGCGGAGAATTGAATTTGGGCTTTGGCGGACGTGTCCGAGGGATACACGTAGGATACTTCGCCCAGTGCTTGCTCGCGATGCCACTGTGTGCCTGTTAGCTCTTGATTAAGCATACTACCCATACACTGTGCTCACCTTGGACTCGGGGACAAAGCCGATGACTTCCATTCCTTTCGTTGTCTGCAGCTTCTCAAACTCGCCCTCCTCGCACGGCACCCAGGTGGCGCCATACTTGTACGCCTTGACCAGTTCCTCCTTCTCCACAGGTACCTCTTGGCGCTCGTTCTCAGGCTCTGTCCTCTCCTCATCTTCCTCCCCGCGCATCTCCTCATCCTCCCCCTCGGCCTTGGGCTTGCTCTCTTCCTCCTCCTCTCCCCCTTCGTACACCACGTAATCCGTCTGAAGTCCGACGGCATGCCACGCGCCCCTCCCACCACGCTTATGCAACTTCTTCATGCTGAGTGGCTTCGCCGCGCTTGTCGCTTTAGCCACCTTGATGGGTATCTCGAGGAAGCCCTCTGAGCCAGCGGCCTCGGCAGTTTCACGATCACCAAGTCTCATCCAGGTGGATGCGAGCGTCGACTGCGTGCTCTTGAGCTGTGGTGAGGAGAGAGAGGCGATCGCGAGGGAGATGTTGCCGACCATGCCCAGTCCCTCTGGCAGATGGGAGATGAACTTGTGCCAGAACTCCTCGTTTACTTGCTGCGAGCCGTGTCACCTTTCCGCAATGTTTAAACTTATGTGGTGAAAAATGATACACACCTTGACCTTGCTCTTTCCCTCCTCTACGAACCCGTCTTCTTCGTCATCAAACCCGACCCCAATGATGCTCGTCTTGATCTCCAGCTCGCCAAGCTTCGACGCTGTCCGGTCCCAGTCATCAAAGTTACATTCCGTTTCCCCATATGTGACGAGGGTGATACGGCGTTTCCATGCTTTCTTATTCCCCAGATGTAAGGACTGGGTTTGGATGGCGACGATGAGGGCATCAAGGGCTACAGTGGGGGAATAAAGGTTAGACAGGACATAAGGCAGGAAAGAAAGAAACGGACGCTCGGCAATGGTACCCTCTGGCTTGACGGTCCGCAGCATGTCGATGATCTTTGTTGTCGGCGCCGAGAGGGGCACGAGCTCGACGATGTTCTCGTACCCGTCGTGCTCGTCGTTCACCTTGTTGTTCGTCGCTAGCCCAAATCGTTAGCCACCTCTTCTGTACACCTGAATATGGTAAATGCGTACTATCCGTCCCGAACAGGATCACTCCGCACTCCTCCGTCTTCCTCTCTGTAAAGATCTACATGCACATCAGTCGTTGCGCCTCCGGAATGAGTGACAACGCGCACAAACTCTTGTATTTTCCTAATGACATACTCCAGTGCCCACTCAAGCTTAGTGAGGCCATATCCTTCCTCCGGACTTCCTGAATCCTCGGCAGGAAACATAGGCTCGCCCATGGAGGGGGAGACATCGATCACGAAGATGTTGGAGGTGTACTGGATACATTAGTATTATTTACTGCATGCTTGGTTGGCGGCTTACACCTGCGCGTTCTCTTGGAGGCATATTGGCTGGAGACAATGAAGTGTACACAATGGCTGTTCACTCTGACTTTGATATTCGCCGCGGTAAAGCACGACGCGTGACTGGACGATGACTGGAGGGTCGCGCCTGACTTTTGGCTCGGATAAACAGCGAGAAGATAATCCGGTCAGGGCTCAGTCCACTTTGCACATGCGGGGAATTTTTGGACAACCTCTTCCACCTCCACTGCTTGTTGTTTAGTGTCGTGTGCTTCCTCGCTGCTCAACTTGCTTGTTCACCTTGAGGTTGCGAGGTAAAAATGCTCTCAAGGGCTGCTCGGAGACGTTGTGCGCAGCGTCTCTCTACAAGGGAGAAGCATCAGCGATGCACGTTCGCATCTCATGTCGCCCCGCCTTCCACGGTTGAATACAATGCCCTTCCCCAGCGCGACTGCAGCAGCATAACGCCTTCCTATGCCACTCTCATGCACCGGCTGGTCAGGGCACGGAAAATCCTGGGCGACAGACCACTCACGCTATCGGAGAAGATACTGTATTCGCATTTGCATGATGTGGAACGTAGTTTGGCAGGTGGGGGAAGAATAAGGGGAGAAAAATATCTGTTGTTGAGCCCCGAGAGGGTCGCCATGCAGGATGCCAGTGCACAGTGAGTACTTCATTTTTTCTAGTGCCAGCTGTTAAGTGTTGCTAGGATGGCCCTCCTGCAGTTTATGACCTGCGGTCTCCAGCGTTCCGCTGTCCCCGTCTCAGTCCACTGCGACCATCTCATCCAAGCGCGTGTGGGCGCATCCTCCGACCTCGCATCCGCATTAGACCAATCGAAAGAGGTATTTGACTTCCTCGAATCCGCGTCACGCAAGTACGGTTTCGAATTCTGGAAACCTGGGTCGGGGATCATACACCAGGTCGTGCTGGAGAACTATGCCGCCCCGGGGATGCTTATGCTTGGGACGGATTCGCATACGCCTAACGCTGGTGGGCTGGGGATGTTAGCCATTGGGGTTGGAGGAGCAGACGCGGTGGACGCTATGACTGGCACGCCGTGGGAACTGAAAGCCCCACTTGTCGTGGGCGTGCACCTGAAAGGGAAGATGTCGGGATGGACAACACCAAAAGACCTGATATTGCACCTCGCAGGGAAGCTTACCGTACGCGGCGGCACGGGAAGGATTCTGGAGTACTTTGGTCCTGGTGTGGCTACCCAGTCATGCACGGGTCTCGCGACGATCGCCAATATGGGTGCCGAGGTGGGTGCGACGACGAGCACGTTCCCCTATACCTCTCAGATGAGAGAGTACCTCAAGGCCACGGGGAGGGAAGAGGTGTCTAGGTTCGCGGACGCCGCTGCTCAACATGGCCTGCTGCATCCCGACAAGGATGCCGAGTACGACGAGCTTATCGAGATAGTGCGTTTCTACCCCCGCAGGTGTGAACAACTCATAAATTGGCACGCAGGACCTGAGCGATCTCGAGCCACATATTAACGGCCCTTTCACACCGGATCTTGCTACCCCGATTTCTAAGTTCGGGGAGCTCGTGAAGGAAAAGGGCTGGAAAGACGAAGTGACCGCTGGTCTGATCGGGAGCTGTACGAACAGTTCCTATGAAGATATGGTGCGCTCTTTCTTTGTATATCTATCGGCCTGCAAGGTGCTAACCCGACATTAGACAAGAGTAGCGAGCATTGCCCGCCAGGCTAAGGAAGCTGGTCTTAAGACGAAGATCCCTTTCCTTGTTACTCCGGGATCGGAGCAGATTCGTGCTACGATCGAGCGGGATGGGGTAACGGAGAGTCTGGAAGACGTGGGTGCTCTGGTGCTGGCTAATGCTTGTGGTCCCTGTATTGGCCAGGTGGGCTTTATATGTCGCAAGAAGATGAGAGGCGCTTATGACTTATAGTGGAAACGTGAAGAGCACAAGGGGGAGGAGAATGGTGTGTATTCTCGATGTGATGTAAGATCTCTGCTGATTTCTCGCAGCTATCCTCACCTCTTTTAACCGGAACTTCCGTGGCCGCAATGACGCCAACCCCAAAACAATGAACTTTCTCGCCTCGCCAGAAATTGTCACAGCGGTATGCAGTTTCCCTTGATGGCATGACATTTACCTGACTTGGCCCAGATGTCCTTCGCTGGCCAGCTGTCGTTCAATCCTATGACTGACACCCTGGTCGACGTCTCTGGCAAGCCATTTAAGTTCTACCCCCCTGTGGGGGAGACACTGCCAGAAGTGGGATTCGCCGTTGGCAACCAGGACTATCGTCCGTCTTCTGCCCCTTCACCACAGCCAGACGCGGAGATCTTGATTTCACCCACTTCCACGCGGCTTGAGAAGTTAGAACCGTTCGCGTCACATTTTGGACCGAGCAATCCGAGAGGGGACGAACTCCCTACGATGCAGGTACTTATGAGGGTGCGGGGGAAGTGCACGACGGATCACATTTCTGCTGCTGTATGTGCTTCTTTCCGTCAGTCTGCTTTCGTCTGATTGGTGTTCTAGGGCCCGTGGTTGAAGTATAAAGGTCACTTGACCAACATCGCTGAGAATACTCGTGAGCATTGACTTTGCCACCTCGAAGTCTGCTCAATTATTGGGTTAGTTATCACGGCGGTGAATGACGAGGGCGGCGAGGTGAACGTTGCCATTGACTACGAGCCGGGACAAGACCCAGTCCAGGAGACTATCCCGCACGTTGGCCAGCGGCTCAAAGCTCGCAATCAGCCATGGGCGCTTGTCGTGGACGATAACTATGGGGAAGGCTCGGCGAGAGAGCATGCTGCGCTTCAGCCGCGCTTTTATGGGTGTGCAATGATCGTCGCGAGGTCTTTTGCGCGGATTCATGAAACTAACTTGAAGGTTTGTGGATGGACACTCGTGGCGTTAGATCATACTGAGCGTGCTACAGAAACAAGGCGTACTTCCCTTGTGGTTTGTGGACAAGGATGACTATTCCAAGATAGGAGCCGGTGACCGCATCAACACCATCGGGCTCGATAAAATCATCGCCTGTGATCCTTCCGCACAGGTCACGTTAGAAGTGACAAAACGGGACTCTGGCGAGGTGCTTCAGATCCCTACGAAGCACACGCTCTCGGAAGATCAGATCGCTTGGCTGAAAGCGGGGAGTGCATTGAACTTCATCCGCGAGCAGAAGATGGGTAGATCATAGCCGACTGTAGGATAACTAATAAATGTGAATTGGAATATCCGAAGTTCCCCGCAGTGAACCAACAGACCGGAGCCTGTCCCGACAATCACGGTAGGGGGCGTGCCACGGATCCAAAATTCGTCGCGTGCCACCTGCTTGCCCTATAGCGCCTGTTGTACGCTACACGGTCCACCCCGTCGTTACTACTCTTTCTCCACACTCATTCAACGATGGCGCCGGGATATTACAATGCTGCCCCGCTTGCAGAGAAGGTACGATTATTGAGGTGTTGGCACATGAGATGATGCTGATAGTCTGAAAAAGATGCGGGACGTCGACCCGGACTTGCGGTAGGTGCACACGAGCGGGCCCTAGAGACTACTCTCATATATGCGCGCGTAGATTCATGGCGATGAACGACTTCATTACGGACATGCGGTCAGGAGGGTTGAGCTTTGACACGCAAAGCGAGTCTACGCTCGTAGACGAGGTTTTGAAGCACATGGACGATAGCAACTCGGAGGTGAAGAACTTGACCGTCAAGTGGTACGCTATCACAGCACAACGGCAGCGAGTGGCAGCTCAGTTTCCTACAGCGTGGCCTTGATGATCAAGCTGGTAAGCGAGCAGAAGAAGGAGCTTATCATGAACTCTCTTGTTGGATATCTTGGCGGGAACAAAGACGACGTTCGAGATTTGACCAGTCTGGGTACGAGAAGCGTATAGTCACAGATGCTCAATCTAATCGCATATGTAGCTTTGAAGACGATAACGATGGAGATTCCAACAGTTGGTCCCCTTGCGAACCTTGTAGCAAATACGCTCGTCCCGCAACTGCTTGTCATACTCAAGAACGTGTGTTACTCAATTTTGCTCTCTGACGTCTGCTAAGCGCTCGATAGCCCAACACCAAACCCGAACTCATCCTCGAGTCTCTGACTGTTCTCACAACCGTACTATCACGACTATCTGCTCCCTTGACCAAGACTCCCGACCAACTGCAACAAGCATTTGACATTCTTCGGAATCTGCTGGACCACTCGCGTGTCGCTGTACGGAAGCGTGCGATCGTTGCCTTAGGTAAGGTGACTCTTCATTTCTTCAGAATTATTCTGATGTCACTCAGCTAATCTCATTCCCCTTACATCACCGAAAACATTCCAACCATTGTTAGAAGCCCTTTTGACAGCGTTCTCCAACCCTGCCATATCCGTTTCTCAACGAACTACCGCTGTCCAACTACTCGCGGCGGTTGGTCGGCATGCTCCAGATCGACTCGCGCCCTCTGCCCCAGCAATCGTCGAGTCACTCATTAGTGCTCTGGAAAGCGGCGCTAAGGATGAGGATGAGGAGTCAGAAAGGAAAGAGATGGAGGAGCTCAAGGAAGGTGCCTTGCAGGCTCTGGAACAGCTTGTCTTGGGTTGCGGCAAAGAGGTGACACCGATGTTGGTGCAGATATGTGCGGTAGGGGTAGAGTTGATGAAATATGACCCCGTGGGTTTGGCAGCAGTCTTTGGCGAAACACTGTTGACTTGCTATAGAACTACGCAGGGGATGCTATGGACGAAGATGAGGACGAGGTGGAGGAAGATGAGGAAGTGGATGACGAGGAGTGAGTTCATGTCTTTGCGTCTCGCATCTATTGACTCGATAATGTAGGTATGATGATGATGAGGACACGTCATACAAAGTACGACGAAGTGCGCTGAAAGTGCTCCTTGCTGTCATTGGCACTCGACCAGAGTTGCTGCAAACGCTATACAAGTCTGTTGGGCCCGCGCTCGTCTCTCGCTTTGCCGATAGGGAAGAGAGCGTAAGGATCGAGGTCTGGGCGACGCTCACCGCGCTTGTGAAGCAAGCTGGCGTATATGGCTCCGAAGGCGGCTCTCCTCGACCTGGCAAAAGGAAACGTGAGGAAGAGGGTATGGAGGTGGTGGAGGACGAAGGTGGTTTATCTCAGCTCCGGCAGCTAGTACCAGCTGCGACCAAGTCCCTGCTCAAACAGCTCACGTCGAAATCAAATGCTGCGACGCTCACGTCTGGCTTCACCTTGCTACAAACGATAAACGCTACTCTTCCAGGGGTGCTCGCCCCATTCTCCACCCCTCTTCTTTCCCTCATGGCCAAGCTGCTCAGTGGCCCATCTGGCTCTCGAACTCCGGAGTTGACTGCACAGTTGCTGCAGTTCCTTACCCAGTTCTTCGCTGCAAGCCCACCTCGGTCTTTCGGCGAATCCCTCAATACTGTAGCACCTGCATTGCTCAACCTCCTTGGGGATCGCTTCCCTCGTGTAGCTGGTGAAGCTTTCCGTGCGGCAGGGGAACTTGTCAAGGCTGTCAAGATGCTTCCTCCAAGTCATCTAGCGAAGCGATACGCGGAGCGCATATATACGGAGACCGTTCGTCGCCTGAACATCGCTGACACGGACGCATTCGTCAAAGAGCGTGCTCTGGAGTTTTTGGGCGACGTCGTTAGCGCTGCTGGAGAAGTTGCCAAAGACGATCAGTGGATGAACCTTCTCCGAGCTAGAGGCGAGATGCAGGCCATCGGACTGCATGTTGTCGAGCGTGTTGTACGCGATGGTGCTGATGGAGTTGACAAAGCGAAGTGGGAGGCATGGCTCGACGAAGACGTCGATTGGTGTTTGGGTGTTATAAGGCGTGGTCCTCGAAATCAGCGCGTAGAGGGATTCCCTTGTCTTCAGCAACTGCTCAAGCGCAAAGGTGCCTCTCTTGCTCCCGAAACGGCAACTCAAGTGATTCAAACACTTACTGCACACTTGGTGGACGACGATCTCCTTGTCCTTTCGCTGTCCCTGTCCACGCTCACCCTTACCCTCACCGTCTTGCCCCTCGCCTGGCAGACTGTTGAGCAGACCACGCTCTCTCGCATCTATTCGCTAGCGCTCTCAGGTATCTCCGGTTCGGTCGAGCCCCTGCTCGCGTTCATCGCCGCACTCGTGCGAGCCGACAACCAGATTGCAAACCACATTGTGCAGAACCTACTTATCCAATCTACCAAGGGACAGATGGGAGACAAGGCAGGCAAGGGTGCTATGGCTGGATACGCGACCGTGGCGAAATGTATCGCGGTATGCGTACGGGGAAGCCCGCAGGATGCTGCTGGTGTGATCACCACGTTCGCAAAGCCGCTTCGAGTATGCATGGTTTGCTGATTTTTGTCTTTCTATTCTGAGCACTTGTTAGACTGGAAAGAAGGAGAATGATTCGGCAGTCGTTTTGGCCTTACTGACCTTGGGCGAGATTGGGCAGTTCGTGTACGTTCGAGTCCATCCCATCTTTTTCGTACCTAACTGGAAGTACAGGGATATGTCTGATCAACCAGATGTCTTCAACCATTCTCTTAATCTCTTCAGATCGTCCTCTGAACAAGTGAGAATAGCGGCATCGTCCGCGGTTGGTGAGTTCTCTCTGTTCTTTTCATTTCACGATAATAATGTCATGTCAGGGGGCATTGCTGTTGGAAATATCCAGATGTTCCTTCCTGTCATCGTCCAGGCTTTACAAGGAGAGGAACACAGTCGGCTGTCCGCTTTGCATGCTCTTCGAGAAGTGAGTCATAACCTCTGACACCTATGTTCACCCCTCACATGATGAGCAAGGTCGTCACACATGGGCCCAGGCATCAGCTTGAGCATATGGCGGACCAGTTATGGGAGCCTCTGTTTGCTAGTACTACGAGCGAGGACGAAAGCTTGAAGAACATCGCTGCTGCATGCTTAGGCAGGCTCACCACAACCTGCCCTGCCCGCTTCTTGCCCCGTCTTCAGGTAGGTTATTTTTCCTGTCTCGCAGGAATATTGGCCCATTGACTTCTTCAGGCTTCCATGGCGCGTGAGAATCCTCCCGCGGTCAAGGCTGCCGTGGCAACCGCTATGCGTTATGTTTTCATGGATAACACGCAAACCTACGACGATTTACTACAGCCTATTATTTCGCCTTATTTCACGCTTCTTCGTGACACTGATATCGTGAGTTCCTATGTCATGGCGCAGTTCCAGGTCTGACTGGCCATCGCAGAATGTGCAACGCCTCGCAATTGTTTCTCTGAATGCCGCAGCCCGTCATAAATCCCACCTCGTTCGCCCACACCTCCCCAATATCCTGCCAGATCTTTATGCCCAAACTCATGTCCGCGATGAATTGGTGCACACTGTGGTCATGGGACCATGGAAGCATCAAATCGACGACGGTTTAGAAGCCCGCAAGGCAGCTTACGAAGCTATGTATACCCTCGTGAGCAGGGTCCCAAATTGATACTGGATACCGCTGACAAAGCATATTCAGTTGGACACCTGCCTTGGTGCTATAGACCTGCAAGAGTACATCAATCGTGTCATTGCCGGTTTAAGCGACAAGGACGAAATCAAGGCGCTCTGCTATATGATGCTTTTCAGACTGTCGCAAGTCGCACCGACTGCCGCCGTCCAGCGCCTTGACCAGATATCCGTACCCCTCGAAGACACCATGAAAGCGCCTGCAACTACGAAGGATACGGTGAAGCAGGATTTGGAGAGGGCGACCGAATTGCAGCAGAGCGCTGTCAGGGCCCTAGCTGCTTTGGTGAAAGCTGGTGGTCTGGGACACTCAGCACGGTTCGACGTGGTGGTGGAGAACACGAAGAAGGGGCCTCTTTCTCATGATTTCAATGAGCTTGTGTCGAAATGAATGGTAGTCGGTGGCCAGTGTGCTGATGAATAATGTATTAATGGATGAATCCAAGCTTTGCTGTTTAGACTTGCATTTATGCCAGCACAGGCCAGTCAGTAAACGCGCAGATAACGCGTCGGGTGCAGAGAGAGAAACCCTCGAGAACATACACGCGCCACTTCCTGCAGGCATCCACACCTTTGAACAATAACCACCAACGACGCATATATCTTCATCTAGAGGACTTGGTAACTGCTCTTAACCTTGACGGTCTCTCGTTTGTTGTATGCAACCTCTCATGTCTGGTTTCTTATCTCGTTTCCGACCAACTCAACCGTCTGCGTCCTCCCAGCCGACTGGCACAATTTCGCACACGACCCCATCTGCAAACGCACCATCAGGCAACATCAACACCCATTTCCTACCCGACCCTTCTCGCTTTGGCCCCAATGGATATACACCACCAACGTATACTAGCCCCCCACTCGGACCCATTCCTACCGGCGTAGTCCTGTTGCGAAACAGACTCAACACACTCCCCAACTCGAGCTGGTACAGATTTGCGCCAGAAACGAGGCTCCTGGTGCTCAAAGAGCTTTGGAGCAGCTTCTGGGGACCATTTGGATCATGGTTCGACGATGATAACGACGACATCAAGGAGTGCTTTGAGTTGGAGGGCAGTCTGACTAAAGCACAGAAGAAGGTGCACTCCGGCGTTGTGGACGAGGAGAGGGAAGTCGTAGGAACTGGCAAGTGCTGCGAATATATATTTGAAAAGGGGGACGTTGGGTATCGTTGCAAGTGCGTATTACGATGTTTGTATGGATATGCATCTGACCTTTTCACAGGGATTGCGCGATGGACGATACTTGCGTCATGTGCTCTCGATGTTTCGAGGCCTCGGATCATATAGGCCATATTGTTACCTTCCATGTTGCGCATCATGCCGGTGGGTATTGCGACTGTGGGGAAAATGAGTGCTGGCGCATCCCATCAACCTGTCGACTGCATTGTGCCTCGTCTGAGCCCAGCACGGGCCCCTCACTTCCGGGCGCTTACATTCCCACGGACGCGTTCAACTCAGCCCTGCCATCATCTGGTAGTCAAATACCTGAAGGCTTGCGACAATGTATGGTCCATACTGTCGCGTTCGCCATTGATTATATGCTGGATGTGCTTGACCTTGCTCCTGATGATACTGCTTCCCCAAACACCGAGGCCGACATTACCAAATCCTCGACCAGCGACGCTCTCGCTGCCAGCGTTTTTGGTTCCCCAGCAAGTAATGGCATTCAATCTCCCTTTGCTCCTTTTAGCACGTCACCGACACGAACCAATCCTGCAGCCGGTTTGTTCGGGACTTCACCACCCACTTCACAGCCGCCAGGCACAAGACCTGACGTGCAGTATGCTGTCGTAGTATGGAATGACGAAAAACACAGCTTTCAAGAAGTTATCGACGTATTACAGGATGCAACAGGTTGTGATCTAGACACTGCGAAACAATGGACGAGCCGGATTCATACGATGGGCCGTGCTATTATTGATCGGTCGAATGATCCTGCGCGAGCTCTGTACATCGCGAGACAAATTGCTCTTGTGGATCTCGGAGTCACCGTACGACGCGCATCGGACACATTCAGAGAAGAGGTCGCCGCTACCATCATCGAATGGCTGGTCGACTTAACTACCGCCCGACTCGGTGGCCATTCCCACGCAACCCGCGAGATTCTGCTGCAGGCACTGTTTGCTCCCCGCCCGATGTCTAGCAGTGCCCTTTCTGCTCATGGACAAGCCGCTGCTTTGGGAAACCACTTTGTCGACTACGACGGTTTGCTGTCCAAACGTATGCCCCTTACTCGGATCGAATACGGATTCTGTTACCACACGAAATTATGGAGGGGACCCAGGTTGATGCTGAAGCAAGTCTATGTCAGCCTGTTCAGAGTGTCCCCCACCGTTCGTGTCCACATGGGTATGTCCTCCGTTTGCACTTTAGGACTCTAATTGATGATGTACCATAGCCACGTTGTACGCACAAGTATATCACAACATCGTCAACGACTACCTTCTCGTAGATCGAGAAGCGGAAACATCCATGCGTACCTTTTCCGACCAGCTCTTTTCCGTGCCTACCGTCGCATATCGCCTCGTCGGCACGACTCCTCTCCCGCAGCGCATCCTCGGTTTGCTCATGTCCTTCTTCACCAACCAACTTTCCGACGGTGGAAAATGTGTTCTCCTTCCCCCCCGACTGAACGTTGAACCGGACGTCAACTCGTTCCCATTCCGATCCAAACGCTTCATGCCGTTGTTCAATGACATGCGCGCCCTTTGCGCTGCTAGTCCTATCGCTGCGTCAGGGGACAGTGCTGCCCGCGTCCTTATCACCGACTTTAAGCTCCTTGGTGCCATGTGCGACCTGTGTGACATGTTTTCTGGCATCAATCCCAATACGCGACAGGCGCAGGCTCACGTTGAGTACGAGACGGACGCGTGGGTGAGCGTGTTTAACGTCATGCTGTGCCTCGCCCGGTTGATAAGGGCATTCGGCGAGATGTATGCGCAGACCCAAGCAAAGGATCTGTCAATGTATTATCAAGCCATCGCCTACACACTCCAGCGGGCCTTGGTAGTATCCAAAAAGCACCTGGAGATTTCCGGGCGAGCCAAGACTGGACTTGGCAACTTCCATCAAGTAGCATTTGGAGGTCCTACCAAGGAGCTAGTGCGATTTGACGTAATGGAGGGATATGTCAGCTTCCATCATCCTCTTCATTGGTTCCTCGCCGAATTGCTCAAACACGTCAAGTTGCTGGGGGACGAGTCCATGGCGCAGGCTGAATACGGCAGTCTCCGTACCCTGGTGCTGTCCAAAGTCGAGGGCCACAATTTCTTGGTGATCATTGAATTCCCACTACGAGGTATCATGTTTTATCTCTTTCATATAATTAATGTACTGACTGTAAGCCAGTGCTTGCCATGGTGGCTCAGGTTCGCTCTGGTCTGTGGGTTCGCAATGGGTTCGCAATTCGGGGACAGTTAATTCACTACCGCGACTTCATGCTTCGGGAGCTGTGCTACGATCAAGACCTCTTTTTGGTTCAATGTGGCCTTGCTCTTCTTGAGCCGCAGCTGGTTCTCACTTCTATCATCGACCGATTCCACCTTCTCGCATGGTTCTGTGGCCGAACGGCGCACGATAAGTATGATAGTGGCCAGCTTGGTACGATGCTTGAGGAGTTTTTCTATGTGCTTCTCTTCTGTCTGGGTGAGATGTGCTTCGTCAACGGTCTCACAGAACCGGAACAAACTCGACGCGAGGTCATCCATGCTCTAGCTCTTGGACCCTGCAGCTACACCGAATTGACTAAGCGGGTGACAGACCGAATTATGGAAGCAAAGTCTTTCGAGAGGAGTCTGATGGCAGTGGCGCACTACAAACCACCAGTGACGCTCAGCGATGTCGGCACGTACGAGCTGCATGACGAATTCTTCGACACAGTAGATCACTTCTACTTCCACTACACGAGGAATCGGCGCGAAGAGATCGAGGGTATACTCAAAGCTCGCCTGAAGAAAGAAACCAATGTCGATAACCCCGTACTGGTACCTAAGCCATTGAACATCAAGCGAAATGGACCGTACGCAGGCATTTCCGCCGTCTTCGCCAGCGAGATCCTCGTTCAAGTTCTCTTCTATGGTCTCAGCAACTTCATGCCCACCTTGACAGTTCCGGCAAGCTCTATGCCGACGTATGCCGATGTTGTCATTGATCAGACGTTGCACCTGATCATGTTAGCACTCGTTGAAGCACCAGAATACTTTCCTGAGATAGCCGCTCGCAAGACCTTTACCAATCGTCAGACTCTCGTCACGGTCCTTTGTGCGCTGGAAACAATGGATCGGTTCAATACCTTTCATCCACGAATCACGTGGTGCTTGGATGTTTTCCAACGACACACTCCGAACGAGCTGAAGCACCGACGGCATGACGACGATGGAACTTCACGGGCAGAGGAATTGGAGGCTGCGAAGAAACGCGCAGCGAAAGCACGACAAGAAGCCATCATGAAGCAGTTCCAGGTGGCTCAGCAGACGTTCAAGCTTAATAATCTAGACAATGAAGAGGATGGCGATGATGCCCTAGATGACTTTGATATGGACTATATGGATGATGAGGAGCCGCAAAAATCTATCGGGACTTGCATCGTCTGCCAGGAAGATCTCACTCCAGAAGCGGCATTTGGACTGCTTTGTTCAGTCATGCCAAGTCGGGCGATTCGTACAACGCCCCCGCACAGCGTTGAATGGCTCGAAGATGCTCTAAGTGCTCCCTTGTCTTTGGATCGCAACGTTCAAACATCACCTGTTAGTCCCATGCCGTCAGCCCGGAAAGGCAAAGGACCTCAGATCGCGGATTCGAGCAATGACGAGAAGTGTGCTTTCTTCCCTCTCGGAAACACCAGATACGGTCTATATGCGTCCGTTTGCGGTCACATGATGCATGTGAAGTGCTTCAACGCTTACACCGATTCTGTCGAACATCGACAAGCGCACCACAGCACGCGAAACCACCCCGAAAACATCTCCCGCAGGGAGTTCGTTTGCCCGCTGTGCAAGAGTTTGGGCAATGCGCTTCTGCCTGTGCAGGATTTCGACTGGAGCGAGACGTATCACCAGGGAACCAATATGAATTTGTCTGATTGGATTCGCCTACAACAGACGAACCTCCTCCGACAATATCAAGATCGCTCGTTCGACAGCATTCTTTGCAGCAACAGCACCGGAGAGTTCAGTTGCTGGAATACAGATGATTCTGCTCTGACCCCTGGTTATGGACTCATTGATGGCGATTGGCAATTGAGCGAGACCATACAGACGATAACTCAGTTCTACGGCAACTTGACGAAGCATCTGAGACGACGCCTTCTGTCACCACATCCTGGTGACGACATCGGTGCATATCTACCAGACGAACTTGTAGTCTACACCCTTTCGATGATGGAAATCGCCGTGCGAGGCGAAGGGGAAGCTAACAAAACCATCGCGGATTGTCTTACAGAGCGACAGAGCCGAGTCATTCGAGGGCTGGTATATATGCTCCGTACCCTCTCGAATAGACCGAATCCTGCTGCTCTTGACGGTGCTCGACAGCTATTTACTCGGGCAATCTGCATGCGCATTCTTCCCGACTGGGCGAGAGAGAGGTCTCTGAATTCGCCGATGCTACTCCGCGATCCTCTTACCATCCTCGTGGAAACTGCTGCCATTGCTCCTGAGATGTTGCACTACATCGTCGTTCTAGTGTACCACGCAGCTCTGATGCGCGCGTCTATAGCGACCGTATTGATGCTGAATCGACTGCCTGGTCGGCCGCAGATTCCGGTGGATGGACCGTACCAGGAGATTTTCGGGACGTACACCCAATATATCCCTAGCCTCGTACGTCATTCACCACAGCTGCAACAACTTGCAGAGTATACGTTGGTATCTTTTGGCACGGATCGATTTCGGCAATTACTGTACTCGTACACTCTTCCTTTCCTACGCAGGGCAGCCATTCTATTACGAGTGGTGCGGCCCTCACGTTTCGGCCCCAAGACGATCACAAATCCACAGCAATCCGAATACGAACGGCTACTAGACTTGATGAACATCCCTGCACCCAGCCGACTGCACGAGTCCGAAGCACTGACAACTTTAATGGACGGCTGGACCGGACATTACTGCTCATATTATTCCTTCCGACCTGACCATTTCGAAATCAGACAGGAGCATCCTGCTGTCTATCGACTCACCCGTCTACCCGCAAGACTGGATACCCTGTATCACAAACCTCAACGCTTTCTGTGTATGCGTTGTCGCACTGTGCCAAACGATCCCGCCATTTGCATGTTCTGTGGTACCGTATGTTGTGTACAGAGTTTTTGTTGCTCGGATTCTATAGCAGAGGCAGGAGAGTGCAACATGCACATGAGAGAGTACGTGCTGTCCATTACCGAACTCGTGCTTCCTAACATCCCTTTAGCTGCGGCGGCATTGTTGGCATGTTCTTCCTCGTCAAGAAGTGTGCGATTCTGTATTTACACGCTGGGAATGGTTCATTCGTCCATGCCCCGTACGCCGACGAGCATGGAGAAGTCGACTTCAATCTAAGGTATGCCGTATATCTTTTGAACCGAAGTTGTAGGCGCTCACACTTTACAGACGGGCACGACTACAACACCTCCACACCATGCGATATGAGGACCTGCGTAAGCAGTGGCTGACGCACGGCATCCCCGCGATTGTGGCTCGCAAATTGGAAGGGGCGATCGACCATGGAGGCTGGGGCACTCTGTAAGGTTTCTCAATTGTATTACCGTGTATCATGACTGTATCCCAAGTGATATCACGCATCAAATACCATGCAATCAATACTGTGCATTCAAGTGAGAATGTAATTTGTGTGATTCACTGGGCAACTTTCACCGCATGGAGAATGTAGCAGGAAGCAGTACGACCAACTTTTTCTTGGTGCAAGCTGGAAGTATGTCGATATTAGGAGTCGTCTCACGAGCCCGTTGTTTCATAAGAGCGTCCTCTACATCCGGCACACGTTTCGGTTACACGACGTTGGTATCATCATTGTGCCCCTTTCTCCTTATCGACGTAGGTCTTGCTCACGCGGGTGGGGCGACGGTTTCGGATCCACGAGAATTGTAAAATATAGATTTAGAAGCAGGAACCCCAGGAAGCCCAGAGGGCTGTTTCTCTCGAGTTCTAACCCCACTCACGTGATTTGTCCTCCTGTCACTCCAACAATGTTAGCCGAACAACTTCCTCACGCCCTTTCATCAACAACAACAGGAGAATATGCTTGTGACCCATGCTTTCCACCGTTGAGTACGGATGTCGAGATTGATAAATCACTCGAACAGTGGTCCAACAGCGACAGGAGTGCGATTACCGACTCGGACGATGAGCGACTCCTTAATCAATATCGAGAGCCGGACAACGGACTTGAATGGGGCGACGAGGGCACTTTCGTTTGTGAACCGGACCGTGACCGATTTGCCAGCCTATGGAAAGAAGTTGAACCCATCGCGGCTAGGAAGGGATATGCCCTGGACATAATGGAATATGTTGAAGGGAAGGGACGTTCAACAACTGTAGAAGAGCTCATTTCAAGGGTAAGCACTCGTATTCAGCTCACCCACTCCGTTTTCGATGATTGACATATCGTTTCAGAGTGGTTTGGCTATTCCGGCTACCAAAGATGGTCGCTTTTACTTTGTCAGGAGCATGGGAAAGCACTCGGAAGAGCACAAGTGCATACTTCGACTGCTCCAGTATATTCCTTCAGAATCCCCCATGGCACCACCCGTCGACATATTTGAAGGACCAAGAGACCGCGTGTATGTGGTCATGGACAAGCTGAAACCGCACTGGCTGGCAGAGCCGCACACAGTCGAGGGCCAGACGATGTCCGTTGAGTATTTCTTGCACACAGTCACTCGCATGCTGCAGGCACGTCAGTATATAAAAGAGCACCAGCCCCAGACTTAGCCTTCCCAGAATCTAGCACGGATGCATGCAGCAGGCGTCGCTCATTTGGTATAGTTCTCTCAATCATGTCATAAGTGTCAACTGATTTAGAGTCCAGGATATTCGCCCAGACAACGCGATGCTCGACAGCGATGACCTCCCAGTTTTTATCGACTTTGGAGAGAGCGTTGTAGTTGGAGACGAGCCCACGAAGCCGCTGTGCATAGTGCCTTGGTCTGGTACCAGGCTCATTGCCTCGACCTTCGGATTGGGTTATCAAGCACCGCAACGAACCGCAGACCAACCTTCGACGGTCGCGCGGATGATGTTCATGCAGTGGACATCTTCCTGGAGCGCTGCTTTTTTACGACTCCCTCCCAGAAGGTCCATCATCTGTCTTGCTTAACAAAGTGGTACCCGACTGAACTCGTATCGCAGGATATTGTGCAACAGCTCCTCCCTGGGTTCGCGTCGCTTCAGAAGAAAATGGTACAGAAAGAGGAGTCGCTCAGGACCACAGCAAGTCAGGCTTATGATGAATGGGTGACCATGCTCTCTGCTTTGCCCCTGCTCAGCACATCGACACTGAGGCTACCGTACTGAGCAAGTTGATTTATTTCAGTATAACCAGAAAATAGGGAAAAGGCAGACAAGATTCCAAGCGGACAAGATTCTTGGCGGATTAGGGCGCTATGGCGGACGAAAGCACTGGACTGGATCGCTCGGACCTGATTCTCCCCATTGGTTATGTATGGACGCGTTCTTGGGACGATGATGAGGACGAGACTGCCGTTGTGCACCCGGAAACTGTGCGATGGGTACGAGGGACGTTCTTCTTGTGTGACTCTTAATCGTGCCTCTATCGTCGTTCCCCTCCTCTCAGATTGTTAATACTGTAGGCTTCCGAAGGACAGCGTTTCGCGGTATGAAGTTGTTAAGAGGTTCTTCGGTCCATGTCGTACCATAGCGAATAATGTGAATACCGTTCTGATCTGAATACGAAGTATTAGTGGTATCGTGTCTGGTGCAGGATATTGCTTAGAATACGGCGTATGACACAGAACCATATAATTGAGAAGCGTTTCCCAGTCTCCAATCTCAATCGCACTTCCCAGCTTGGGAGCGACAATGGCAGTGAAAAATACTTTGGACAACTCGATGTAGGCTTGTTTCATCACCAACCTGCACGTACCAACACGCATCACGTGTCAGGAGGACCACCCACTGTTCGCAACCTCGACTTTCTTGGTTCGCGTTAACGCCCACTCCGTTAGTTAGTTGCTTTGTTATCATTAAAGATACCGGAAATGAACAGGTATCAATCGAGAGTGAGAGACCGAAAAAAACCTGAAGGATTTGGGTATCTTCGTCTGGTCTCTGTCTTAATTCCAGATTCGCCTTCAATTGATCTCACAGGCTGGGCAAATGAGTTCTTACACAACGCCTTACGACACACAATTACACCAAGCAGCACGAAGGCCTTCACTTAGATGCTCAAACAGGTTGAATAGTCATATTTCAGGGCAGGTGCGCAAGAGTGGGGAGACAACATAGTCAGTACGGAGCAAGTCAAAAGCAAGCAGAATAAGGCGACGGAGAGGCGAACGATCAACAGTCCGGATCAGGAGAGCATACATATGTACATCACACTGCTTCGGGGTGTGCAACGTCGCTCACTCTTCCTCATCATCATCCGCCTCCTCAAGCCACTTGAGGAACGGCTTTGCGGCCAAGCGGACTTTCTTGCTCGTCTCCTTATCAACGTACTTCTTGCTGACGTGGGTGCCCCACTGGGTGACAGTCTCCTCCTGGATCCAGTCATCGAGGTACCAAGCCATGAGGATCTTGGGCACCTGCGGGATGAGGTCTGGGCGGTCGAGTCCGACGTAGCGCTCCAGGCCGCCGAGGAGAGACTTCTCAGCCTTGTCACTATCTTTCATGGCGATGATGAGCTACAGCGCGGTTAGCACAGTTCAGGTAAGAAAAGAAAGGGATCCGTACCTTCTTAATTGCCGGAGTCCAGCGTTTGATCATCTTGCTCTCAGGCACGACGGGCGGATTGTCCTCGGAGAACAGATACTCGCCGATAGTCTGCATCGTCTTGTACTTCTTGTCGATGCCGAGCTGCTGGGCCTTTTTGTAGAGGTCGACAGAGGTGATGTCTTCATCCTCACGATTCTCAAGAAGCCACGTCTTCAGATGGTAGTAGGGAGAATCAGTGTCTTCCGCTTCTTCGTCGTCGTCATCTCCGCCAATGACAAGAGAGGACTTGAAGGCGCCTTCGATGGAGGCGGTGCGGGCCTTAACAGCCTCGGGCGAGGTGTCAGCGGACCAGTCATCGCCAAGCCCAGACTTTTCGTGCACTGCAGGCAGTTCCGCCGCCTCGGCGTTGATCCTCTTAGTCAGTTCATCGTCTGACCCCTCTCCGTCGTCGCCGGGCGATGCGTCGGCGTCTCCATTCTTGCCGTTCGCGGCGGCGTCGCCATTCCCTTTCTTTTCCTTCTTAGACTTCTTAGGCGGGTTCTTGACGATGTAGGAACTGAGCCGGTGGCGCATGTCGACGTTGGTGCGCTGCCCGCAGGCCTTGCAATCGCGCACGATCATTTCGTCCTTGGTGACGATGAGGTCTGTCTCTGGATTCTTGCAGCTTCCGCACAAGACGTATTTATCGATGAATCCATCGAGGAGCTCGCGCAGGCGCTCAGACTGGTGCGCGCCGTTGACGATGAAGCGGTCGGCTTTGGAGTCGTACATCGTCTGTGCGCCGAGCTCGGACCCAAAATACTTGGTGGGGTAAATAGGCGGGCGGCTGAGAGCACGAGCAACATCCGGGATATTCGGCAGGACAGTCTTAATTCCATTTCCTTTGCCCTCCACCTTAGTGAGAAGGATGGGCATGCGGTAACGGTAGAATTTATCCTAATGCGGTGGTTAGAATGGGCACGTGTACAAAGGCGAGTGACTCACATCGACATCCCGGCGAATGTTAACAATGCCAGCAGCTTGAGCCATGTTGTGCAAAAGATATTAACGCTGTTGTTTATCAGTGTAAATGAAAGAGATTCGTGACGAAAGACTCACGGTATGGAGGGGCCGCTTTCTACTACTCACTCGTATACGAAATTGCGTACAGGGACGATCGTGGTCGGATAGTTTCGAAACGGACAAACGCATGAAGCAGTCGACGCTTTCCAGACTGAATAGGTGGTCGATGTTGGCCAGGGTACTACAAGGACAAGAACTGTCAAGTAGAATATTTGTTAAATGTACTAAGCAAGCACAAGCAAGAGGCGCAGCGTTGAGATGATGGCGGTAGGAGAACAAGTGACACAGACGGCTGTCCCCGCGCTTTACGTGTAGGAAGCGGAGGCAAATTTTACCTTTTTCATCACCGGCGGCTGTCCCGGTGCGGCATGTCCATTTCGCCTTGAACAGTCATCAATTTATTCAATTCATCAACAGTCACATTGTCATTTTATCCAGATTATTATACATTGGGAATAAATTGACCAGGATATATCCAGCACAGGATATTGTTGAACAAATAAATAGACCATCCTTCAGGAAAAAAATCAGTATCCAGCAGGGCGTAAAGGCACCACGCTCTCCCCGCTGCTCCCGAACCGCGAGTGATTCTGATCCTTGGCAGAGGGTGGGCGGTAAGTTGCGGTCGATACAGAATCACTCTCCTCATATCTGGCCCTTCTCGAGCTCGTCATTGCTGCTGCCGGAGCCATGGGGCCAGGCGGCATCCCCGGTGGAGGCACGTATCCAGGATATGTACCGTATCCGTTACCCACTTGGGCCATGTACTGTCTTGATGGCGGGATCTTCCGGGAGGAGTTGCGGACACAGCACCTGCGTATCCATGTGATGATCCCTATTAGAACGAGGAGGATAAGAATCCCAACGACCACCGTGACAGGGATTGCGATCTGCAGATTGGCGCGATACCATGCCGAGATGATGGCGCTGATGGACCCAGGCTGACAAGCATTGTTGTAGCACTTGCCGCCGTAGCCGCAGGGGGAGCCGGCGATTAACTGAGATTGGAGGATTATACATTGATTGGCGTTTGTCGGATCTTGGCAGGAGACGGAACATGATGTTTGGACTTGAGGACAGGCCGTGCTCAGGTTGAGCGAAGCGCCCACAGACTGACATTGGGCTACAGGACAGACCCGTAAGCAAACGTTTGATGTTGTGTAAGGTAATGCTCACCTGTGAGCGATGTGCACAGCCCACTGGCACAGGCCATACCACTTAGGCCGCAGCTCGTCCTATCTGGGGTGGTTACATCCGGTGGACAAGCCCCGGAGTTACCAGTGCACATCTCTGGCGTGTCACACTGAGAGTTGACAGCCGGCCTGCACACTTGCGTACTCGGGGAGAACTGGCAGGTGCTGGAACAGCACGGGCTATTGCTCGGGTCACAGACGGCGCCTGATTGAAACTTGCACGTCTGTGGGTCGCAGCAGGTTGAGCTCCCGTCCAGGCCGGGATCGCACTCTTCCCCAGGCTCAACGATGCCATTTCCGCACATTTGGAGTGAAATTGTATGAACCGAGGCGGAAGGGGTGACTAAACAGGTAGTGTTCTCGTTTGCCATGAGGGAGCAGATGTTTCCCACCGTGCACTTGGAGAAGGCCGTTTGGTTCGGCATCGATACTGGGTTCATGATAAACTCTGCGTTTGCGTCGCACAACGAGGTCGTAAACGGACAGCAGCCCTGATTAAGAGCGCATCCGGAAGTGCACTACAAATGTGTTAGTCTCTGTCACACCGAACATGCGAGGATAATAACATACATCATGCTACATTGAGTCAGCACTGTTATCAACGCCATCGTGGGTAAACTCACAATAGAACCAAAGTTATGACCGATTTCATGACTGACAACCTGCCATTCCATCATCGTAGGCGTAGTGACCCCAACACCCGAAACGGTCTGTGATCCCTGGGTTTGCGCGTTTGTCTGGCACAAAACACCAAGCCAGGCGACGCCGACCTCTTCGCCCGTCGGGCAGCCGCTCATGAGATGCCACAGTCCAGCGCCATCACCCGCACCCTTGGCGCCCCTCCACGCAGAAATCAGGTTCAGCCGATCGTTCAGCACCACACTGTTGCTGCAAGGTACGTTCCAAGGAAAGGCGGGGTCGGTTGTGTTCGGGCACACGGGGCTCTGGACGGAGAGACTGACAATACCGAGGGAGATGTTGAATGTCTGCTTGTACAAGGCTGAAGCTTGGTTTAAGTCGTTTAGGATCTGGGTGGTGGCATTCGTTTGCGAGCCGTATTTCTGTACATAGGTACAGTCTGCCGCTACTCCAAGGTAAACGATCTTCTGCTCTTTAGGGCAACCGGAAGTGTCGCCAATCTCATTCGCAAAGCTACGGTCGAACATCAGAAAATGCGCGGTTAATGAGAGAAAGTCCGACGTACTTGGAACTGATGTTCATCCCACCCATGCCCTGAATATCGTCCCTCTTCCAATGTTTTAATCCCATCTCATCCAACATATCCTCCCACATCGGGTGACCGCTGCTCGAGCTTGGCATCGCTAGGGTATGGGAACGGAGGAGCGGGTTTTCCAAAAAGTAGTTCGCGGGAAGGTGGTCGTGCGCGCATGTATGGCCCCCAGTTGCTGCGTTTGGTGATGGCAGGATGTCCGAGTCGCGGAAGACGACCAGCCTCGATTCCGCCCCTGCTGAGGCGGGAGCAGGGATCGCATCTCCTTCGTTTCGCAGACGGTCGTATTTTTCTCGCAACATCACATGTCGCACCACACCGTCAGTCTGGAAACTGCCTTCAAAAAGCGGTCCCTCGCCGGAGAGAGGATCGAAGGGATGAACAAGGATTCGCGCCCATCCGAGAGTAGGCGTACTCGAGGAAGAAAGACCACCCGCAGCGTCTTCCCTGAATCGCTGTGCGGTGTGTGTAGGGCTGAGGACGTGCCCCGAGAAGGCCAGCACGTCCTGTGCGGTCAACGGACCCGTCTCTTTCAGCTCTGCAAACCCCGTTACGGGAGAGATGTCATAGTACTCTACCCTCGCCGCCGGGTGCACCAAGTACTCTGTCGGGGTCAAATGAAGGTTGAACGTCTCCCCTTCATGGTCTAACGAGAGTCGAAAGCTGTCGGTGGAGAGGAGGGAGCGGGGGTGCCGTGAACCAAGCTTAATGCCTGGTGTACGAGGAAGGATTTGAAGGGAGTTGATGTGCGGGTGTGAGAGGGTGAGAACAGGTCCGTGTGCGCGAGAATGGCCTGAGATGGGTTAGGAGGCGAGCACAGGAGAGAGAAGAGACGGACCTGATACGAGAAGGGAGAGTGCGACCAGCGCGAAGAGATGAATTACTGGTCGCATGGACGTCAACAAACGGAACACAGGTCAGTCTAGTCGCCAGCGAGTGTTGAAGACAGTCGTCAAGTAATGCACACAGCAAGCCAGAGTCTATGCCAGCTGGTTGGCTACAAGGTAAATAACCAGAAAGAAAATAGGAGAGAACGGCGAAGTACTACCAAGCAAGTCGGCCAAAAGAGCACAGCAAAAGAAAGTGAAATGAATGTGTACTGTCGTCTTGGTCGTTGCTCCTTGCCCCGCCTTTTGGCTTCTTTCATTGATCGGTTACACAGCCACTCCAGGGGTCCACTCGGCGTCGGCCCGGTTCCGACGCAGCGGTCAATTCTCGGACTTGTCTCTTCAAGAAGAAATTTATATTCTTGCTTTGTCTGCCAACGTCGGTGAACAATATTAATGTTCAACAGGAATGGGCCAATCGGGATATCGGGTTAACGTCCCGACTTTGATGTGGGGCAAGACCTTGGTTCCCTGTAGCAACTCCTCCACACGGATGAGGCAGCTAAATATGCGTGCAGCGTGTATTGCTGGTCATTCTCATATCTGCTTTCCACCCCAATTGCCAACATTAGCAAACGATGTCCCAACCGCAAGTTGAATACCGCCGTCTTGGAAACTCTGGGCTGCGCGTCAGCGTGCCCATCCTCGGGGCGATGTCCTTTGGATCGAAGCTGCAGATGCCATGGGTGATCGAGGAAGAAGAAGCGTTGCAGCTGCTCAAAGCTGCGTGGGATCGGGGGATCAACACGTGGGACACGGCCAACGTACGTCCTTGTTCTTTCTCCTTTCCACTTCCGGTTTGCTCTCCCTCACTCACATGCCCAGGTCTACTCTGCAGGAGAGAGCGAGCGCATCATCGCCAAAGCGATCAAGAAGTTCAACATCCCCCGTCACAAGCTGATCATCATGACAAAGTGCAAGGGGTTGGTGCCTGAAGATCTTCGCGTGCGGGGGAACGAACACACGCGCCATCTCGCCTACTCGAAGGAGTACATCAATCAGTGGGGCCTGTCCCGCACGGCCATCTTCAACCAAGTCGAAGCCAGCCTGAAGCGCCTCGACACGACCTACATCGACCTATATCAGATTCACCGTGCGGATCCCGAGGTCCCGTTCGAAGAGACGATGCTTGCGCTCCACGACATCGTCAAGGCCGGGAAGGTGCGGTACATCGGGGCAAGCAGCATGTGGACGTGGCAGCTAGCGGAATACCAGCATGCGGCAGAACGAAACGGGTGGACGCAGTTCGTCAGCATGCAGAACCATTTCTCCCTGCTGTATCGGGAAGAACAGAGGGAGATGGTGCCTTACTGCAACTACAAGGGTATTGGGCTTATCCCCTGGGGCCCTGTTGCTGCTGGACAGCTCGCCAGGTCCTTGGAGCAGCAGAAGACGACCGCCCGCGCTGAGGGAGCGAACAGGAACTTGACGAGCGCGGACGAGGAGATCATCAGGCGTGTGGAGGAGGTGAGCAAGAAGCGGGGATGGACGATGGCGCAGGTTGCGCTCGCTTGGATTGACGATAAGGTTTCGAGTCCTATTGTGGGTTTCTCCTCGGTGCACAGGATGGAGGAGGCGATCATCCCTGATAAGAAGCTCACGGCAGAGGAAAAGAAGTACTTGGAAGAGCCGTACCAGCCTACGGTTATCAAGGGCCATGACTAGGCACAAATACAAAGAACGAATAGCATTGTTGTCCGTTGTGCTGCGTACATGAGTGAATGGATGTATCACCGACTAGGAGTTGATGTATGGATCACAGATGCTAGAATTAAACAGCGCCGCCGGGTCCGGGTTCATGATTCCCGCATTAACAGCATCGATATAGCTCCACTGGGTAGGCGGGGCAGTAGCGTCGTTGGCGATCTTCAGTGCCCAGAATATCCATCCTGCGGATTGGCTGTAGATGAACTTTTGCGAGTCGGACCACTGTTGGAGGAAGCTGTTTGTCGTGTTGAAGTTTACGGCGAGGGACCATTCGCCGAACCACATTGGGGCGTCGCCGATGGCTGCCGATTGGAGGGTACGGTTCATGTCTGCACTAGCTTCAGCTGATACGATTCTCTTGGAGGGACAGACGCACTGCAGATGGTTTGAAGGTATGACTCGGCATTGGGATCCGCTACGCCGCCATAAGAGAAATACAGATGGTTGTCATACGTCGCCGGCCCTTTTGCGGCATCAGCAGGGTTGGCCACCGGGTCCGAAGGGTCATTCGAGTACTGCCAATCCCGGTTCATGAAGTTAGTCACCAAGCACTCCGCGCCATGCTCATTCAGCAAGTGTGAGAGACTTCCGTAGCCCTGCGGGGAAGGGAGGAGTGAGCTGAGCAAGGGGGCCTCCAGCCCCAGCTCGGCAGTGAGCTCGAGGATGATCGGGATCGCCGCGGCTAGACCTTTGGTGAGGATCGGGTCTTGCCAGAGGGTGGAGTTCGTCAGCACCGACGTGTCGCATACGATCCCGAGTGCGGCTTCTACCGCACGAACGGCCATGACGAAGTTGACTTGGTCTGCGGGGGTGAGTACTGACCCGTGAAGGGGAAGCGAGGGAAGACGTACAGCGGCTATAGTCCGGCGTCTGGGTGTAATCCATGATCGGCTCGTTGACAGCTTCGATCGCGAAGACGGTGGAAAACGCAGGATGGACATGCGAGAGATAGGTCATCACTGCCGTCCAGGTGACCCCGCGTTGGTAATTATAATCCGTCTACAGTGCAGTCATCCGTTAGCCCAAAATGCCATATCGGGGCTTGCTGCCGAACATACATAGAATTCGACAACTGAATGATGATGAGCTCACCCCGCCCTGCCCACATGGTGAGAAGTACGTACTGGTGGTACAATTGCCAGCGAACATCTGGAGAGGCGTGGCGACCCCAGGAAGCGCATGATGATCAAGAACCACGGCGATGTTCGCAGCTTTGAGCATCTCGAGCCCGCGAATCTACCGTTGGTCAGCATCTGGCATCATGCATCGGACCACTGAGAAGCGACTTGCCAGCTGTTGCAGTCCCCCCTGTGCGTAAGGCTCGAGTGATCGGTCGACTATACCCTCTACGATCCAGAACCCGAGCGGGATGCGCACAGTGTTCAGCTTAAAGCGGACAATGTCGTCCACTTCCGTTTGGGTCAACCAGGTCTCCCTATCATACCACGTGTGAGCGCATATACCCTGACTGAGGGAGGACGTACCAGTGCTCCTTGAACACGGCGTTCGTCTTCTCCTGCCCGAGATAGTTGGCGAGGCTCCACTCCGAGCCTAGACAGGTCGAGCAGTCATCACAGTACTCCCCTCCCATAGACTGCCATTCCCCGACAGCCATCCAAGGCTCGAAGACGAGCCAGCTTCCCAGCTGCAGGCAGGTACTTAGGAGCTGGAAAGGTGTACTGGGAGGGACGTACGTTAACCCCATAGATGGGCTTGGAGAGGACGCGCGTCCTGTTAGGCCCGTTGTTGAGCGTTGAGACTATAGATTGGATACCTGAAGAGAGAGCGTTGTCGGTGAACGGTACGCTTGAGTCGTAGCGCGGGTGACCGCTCGACGCCTGCCCTAGAGCGAAGGGAAGGGAGATCAAGAGGCCTAGGGAGAGGAACATGTTGCCCATGAGCTAAGGGATGCGGGTAAGGAGTGACAGCGTATTATAGCAGTAGTACGGGTGGAGGAGAGCGTGCAGAGAAGACAGAGAGTGAGCAGCCTTCCATCTTCTGGAAGGTTAAGAGCAGTGAGCAAGACAGATGAGCTTCCATATCGCCGATCCAACACATTCCCCATGATGAACTGCTTCTTCAGCGTCTAAGAATGCGACTTGTCATATTAAGCCAAAGCAATAGAAAAGTCAGGCATCTTTCCAGAGGAAGAAAAGGAATGCATTTGATGAAGCGAAAAGATGGAGAAAGTGGGGTGAAGAAGCAGGAGAAGGTATATCCCCGCCTGAACGAATCGTGTACGAAATGAACGCGTTTCATTCACGTCAGGTGCGTGTTTACCATCATGTCCGAGAAAAGTCCGATTAATGGCATGGCTATTATGCTATAATTATCCTGTACAATGCATGATGCACCGTAAATACATCTTCTAGTAAAGAGACTGAGAACCGATAGGAAAAAACACATTGGAATATAAAAATGTCTCGGGTCCGTATTGCAGAATAAAGATCGGAAGTGATCAAGCCTGCTGGCGGTCATCTACTTCTTTCATCTATTCGAATTTCCTATGGATACAGATCGCCTCACGGGTCGATGGAAGCCGAGTCGGTTGAACGTAGTGTACAATACAGTGCGTGAGGTAGTGAATGGGCAGGTATCTTGCAGAGGTGCAGCGGGCAAGAAAGGCGCCAGAAGTGCGATGCAGAGAGATCGAAACCGGATAAAGTGCAGTGGTCAGTTGTTCAGCACACCATCAACCACTGATCAACCATTCCCCTCCCTGCCCCCATTCATCCCGCCAATCCTCCCCGCCAACACACTTACAACCCTCACGATCTCCTCCAGTCCCTCTGGCGTATTCTCGTCCCTCATCATTCCCCCCCTCACGTCTAGCGTGAACGAAGGTCCATACTCTGCAAACAGCGCATGATCCGGTATGTCCGTATCCACATGCAGTGGCCTGCCTGCCTGCAATATAGTACAAGGGGTCAGCTCGCAGAGAGAAGTGAGAAGGGGAGAGAGGGACGAACGATAATGCTCGTCAAGTATGTCCAAGCACGGGCGGCGTTCGCATTATTGTACCCTCCCCCGCCCAGCCAAAGTGTAGGCCGTCCCCAGGCTAAGACGCGTTCGCACATCCAGCCCAAGCTGCCCTGGTCCTCCCTCTCCAAGCCCAAATTCCCAACTTTGCACGGGTCGCCAGCTAACGCATCTAGCCCGCATTGGACGACCAGGTACTCGGGGTCGAACGACTTCCTCACCAGCTCCACGGCGGGCCATACGCGTGCATACGTGCCGTTCCCAGCGCCTTTAGCGAGAGGGATACAGATGCTCAGCGGGTCGTTCGTGTTTTCCCGTGTAAGGGCAGCCCCGGAAGCGGGATAAAACCCAGGAGAAGAATGATGTACCGAGAGCGTTAACACTCCTTTTCCGTGGGAGAAGGCAGCGTGTACCGCATCCCCGAAATGCACGTCCAAGTCGAGGTACATGACCCGGGGTCGTATGCCGTGTCCATCAACAGTAGGCGCACGTAAGCGCTGGATAGCGAGCACCACGTCTTGTACATAACAGTACCCGGCTGCGCGTGCCCGGTGCGCATGATGCCGTCCTCCGTCCCAGTGCAGTGCGTGGGTTAGGACGCCCTGCCTGAGCGCTGCTGCTGCTGTGAGGGATGCGCCTGCGACTGCGAGTGCGTATGCTGGGAGGGAGGGGAAAGGTGGGCAGTCCTATATCAGGAGTTATTACAGCTCTCGGGGGGGGAGGAAGACGCACATCGGTCAGCCCTAGGTCGTCTAGCTCTTCATTTGCTGGAAGGGAGCAGACCTCGGGGTCGAGCAACCACCGTACGTACTCTCTCTCATGATACGCTTCCAGATCCTCCTTCCTCGCCATCCCCGGCTTGAGTATGCAATACCTACACTGGGAGTCATCAAATGGCTGGAGAAGAGAGAACGCGTGCAGCAGGGAATAGAGATATCTTGAGCGGGAAAGATTGGAGGGGAGGAGGGAAGTGAGCTGCATCAGTTGGGGGGAGAAGAGCAGTGCTGTTGTGCGTGTTCGCGGGGAGGAGGGGGATGGCACGTCGTTGGATCCTGCACTGTTATTGTTTGAGCATGTCGTGCCAATGGGGCTGCTCATCGTCTCCAGAGTGCTTGACATCGTCCGCCGAGTGCTTGACGTCGTTCGCGCCGTACATTGCATGTCGCGTAACTCCGCTCGGCTCCGATTTCTTCAGGGATCAATACATTTGTTCGAACAATTCGCCTCGTTGTCTACTCACTGCGGACATTACAGCAACCACCACCATCAACAACCATCAACAACATGTCCTTACCCGCTCAACCCCCAGCAACCAACCCAATCAACACAAAAGGCACACCTTCCAATCCCTACATAATCGGTTCCCGCGCCTCCAAGCTCGCGCTCATCCAAGCCAACCTCGTCCTTTCCTCTCTGCGTATCGCCCACCCCACACAGTCCTTTGACATCCTCACCGTTTCCGTAGAAGGAGATCGGAACAAGTCACAGGCGCTGTACCTCCTAGGAGGGAAGAGCCTGTGGACGAAGGAATTAGAGCTGGAACTGCTGGGAGGAGGCGTGGATATGATCGTCCATTCCCTGAAGGATGTGCCTACTACTCTGCCAGAGGGGTGCGAGTTAGGTGCCGTGCTCAGTCGGGAAGACCCGAGGGACTCGCTTGTCGTCAAATCAGGACTGGAGTATAAGACGCTTGAAGATTTGCCACAGGGGAGTGTGGTAGGCACCAGCAGCGTCCGGAGGGTCGCTCAGCTGAAACGGACTTTCCCGCATCTCCAGTTCCAGGATGTGGTGCGTCCCCTCCTCCCTCCCGCTTCAGCAGCAGCGACTCCTAACCCTGCCTGTGTGGTGCATAGAGAGGCAACCTCGATACCCGGATTGCGAAACTTGACGCAGCCACAGGGCCGTACACAGCGCTCATCCTCGCCCGTGCCGGGCTAGTACGCATGGGCTGGGGAGAACGTATCTCCTCCGACCTCTCTGCTCCCTCTTTCCTCCACGCGGTCGGGCAAGGGGCGCTAGGCGTCGAAGTCCGGTCTGGGGATCAGAAAGTTGCAGAATTACTCCGCGGCGTTGGGGATCAAGCGACCGAGTGGCGCACCACTGCTGAACGAGCGATGCTCCGGGTTTTGGAAGGAGGATGTAGCGTCCCCGTCGGAGCGCACACTGTGTTCCAAGGTCAGGAGCTGACTCTCTTAGGAAGCGTGACCAGTCTAGACGGGACGGTACACGTCCAGCGGGAGGTGGTTGGCGTCGTTTCCTCGGAAGAGGAAGCGAGGGAGGTTGGAGAGAGGTGCGCGAGGTTGTTGGTCCAGGATGGGGCGGGGGAGATATTGAAGGATATTGGTAAGGATAGGGAGGCTAGGGCGGCGGCTTGACGTGAATGGAGATGGGATGTAACAGAATAAGAATGAAATGAAATGGATTTGTACTGCTCTTTTCCTGTTCGTTTTCTGAGTTTCTTTTTCTTTTTCTTTTTCTGTTCTTTTTCTCGTTCGGAGAAGTTGCGGATGCATTGAGGAAATCAAGCGCCCGTGTGACTCGGAGTGAACAACCCGTCATTCGTTCATTACTGAGGCTTGCGCGTCCTACTTCTTCATCCCATCCCAACCAAATCAGCCAATTCAAATTTATCAAAATGCCCCCAATTCCCATCAATTACTCGCAATTCAAAGGCAAGACACTCATCCTCGTCCGTCCATCCATTTCAAGCCCAAACAGAAACTAACCAGGAGTAACATACGCATCCCTTACCTAGCCAATCGTATCAGTAGGGAACGTACCCCAGCTCGCTTGTGATCTGCTTATTGCCTCCCTGGGACTGGGGAGACTGGAGATCTTGAGTCCGGAATGGGTCATTTCCTGTGCTGGAGGGAGGCAGGATGGAGTACGGGGGGTGACGACCCCGCTCGAAGGTGCGAGTGCTCGACTTCCAGAGTACAGAGTACTGTAGGCTTTTGGACTCTGATATGGTTCTCAGTATTCGGAAAGGAAGGCGTTGATCTCGTTGTTCTACAACAACGTTCTCCAGCGTTCACGGTCCGCCTCTCTGCACTGCATCGTACACCCACTGACAGCAAGCAGATGTACAAAGACCAGTTCACCCAGCAGATCACCGCTTTCGTCCGCGAAGGAGAGTTTGAGAACGTACTCCTCCTCTCTGGCGCAGACGTGATAGGACGTGATGATAGGCATATGCTGTTCGCCCCGCCCCCCGCCCCCCGCCCCGCTCTTCTGATAGCACACACTGACGCCCCGCCGCAGTTCTCCGATATTTCACTACCCTGCTACTTCTGCGCAAACACCCTTCCACACCCGGCTGACGCTCACGACACCGGCGTTTCTCTCCTCCCCCTTACCCGCACTTCCCCCCATACCAGGATCTGGCCTCCTAAGGCGCATGCTCGCCCTCCTCCCCGCACAAGGACCGAGCATAGGCGTCCTCCTCCAGTTCGCGATGGAAGGCGATAACAGGGGGGATGCGCATTTTCTTGCCGAGTGCGCGGCTAAAGTCGGGGATGTGCGTGTCGCGAGTACGTTTCCATTCTAAGCGCGGGTGATACGTGTTCTGACGTATGACGGTGTAGAATGGGAAGAGCCGCCGAGCTGGCGGGTTGGGCTGTTTGGCACTCCGCAAGAACAGACGTTGTATGGTTAACCCCTTAGCACAAAATCCATCATATCATACTACTGTACATCTACATCTACATCTCCGCTCCCGTCCTAGCAGTTTCAAGCTGCTCCCTCACCAGTCTCTCCCCCAACTCCCTAAGCCTCCCCCCCTCCCCCTCCCGGCCCAACCCCCTCAGGCAACCCAGCGCCTCCCGCGCAACGTCCATCGCGCTCTGGGGCATGCCCGCCAGGTGCGCGACTTTGAGCCCGTGACTGTCCCTGTTCACCCCTGGGCGGAGCTTGTACGAATATGCAAAGTGGGAGTCGTCTACTTCGTCTACCGAGGTGCAGAAGAAGCCTATGTGTGGGAACGCGTTGCCCACACCTGTGCCCGTCCCCGTCCCCGTGCCCTCCTCGGGAGAAAACCCGAGCATGTCGACCAGCTCATGAAAGTGAGTCGCGAACAACGACCTGCACTTGTTCACCTGATACAGGTGGTTCACGGTCGCGAACGCGATTGCCAGACCGTCGAGTACCGTCGTCCCCCTCCCCACTTCATCCATGATCACCAGACTGCGCCCCGTCGCGCTCTGGAGGATCTGGGCTGTCTCGAGCATCTCGACCATGAACGTGCTCCTATCCCTGAACAAGTCGTCTTTTGCCCCAACGCGGGAAAAGACCTTGTCCACTATTCCTATATGTGCTTGGTCGGCGGGGACGAAGGAGCCGGTTTGGGCAAGAACGGCGATGAGCGCTGTTTGACGCAGGAAGGTGGACTTGCCTGCCATGTTGGGCCCGGTGATGACGTGCACTCTGCAGCTGGGGGAGAGGGTCACGCTGTTGGGCGTGAAGACTCGGCCGGCGTCTAGCAGGCCAAGCTCGACTGTGGGATGCCGACCGTTTTGCACGTGATAGGTTAGGCTATGTTTGTTCGTCAGTTCAAGAGGTAGAGATAGTTGAGTAAGCGTACCCGTCGTCCATCACTGGCTTGACGAGGCGTAGTTCGTGTGCGGCGTTGGCGAACCCGATCGTCACGTCAACCTCGTCGATGATACGCGCGTTCCGTCTGAGCGAGGTCGCATGGGAGTTGACCTACCACGCTGAGATCAGACCTTCATCAATGTTTGACAGGTCCACCCACCTCTGATCTAAGCATCTCAAACGCTTTCCTCTCCGCAGACTGGATGGCCTGTTCCGCGCGGGCGATCTTCTCTCCAAGACGGGTCCAAGCAGGGTAGAAGAACGACTTTGAAGACCCAGACTGGCCGATCATGACCGCTGTTTCTGACTCGGTGATCTTGCGTGAATCTCGCTTCGGGTTCCCGATCCGGATGTGTAGACCGTGGTTGAGCGAAGACTTGAGCTGAAGGGAAGGGGCAGAGAATTCGGCTTTTAGCTGTTGTTCCATCTCTTCTCTTTGTGAATGAAGCGAAGCGAGATGATCATGCAGTCCCCGCAGTTCGGGAGAAAAGCTGGACGGTGATGAGCGACTGAATAGTGAGATGAGAAGGATAGGCTCACTCTGGTTTCATCGTCCACACGATGACATCAGGTTTGAGTGCCGGTCCCCGGATAGGCACAACAGCTTCCCCCGCAGAGTCATCATCTTCCTCTCTCGGCATGCCTAACGCAGCTCGTTCCTGTCGGCGAAATTCGCTTTCGTCCACAGCGCTGTCGATACGCTCAGCGAGAGGGGTGAGGTTCCTCATTCGATCTAGGAGGATGTCCGCATAATACCATTCCTCCGCCCGTTTGCCGCTCTCCTGCAGTTCCAGCTCGCGTTCTTGCAGCACCCGTGCTTTGATCTGGTCGGTCACGTTGATCGTGTCCCGAATAGCCAGCAAATCATTAGCGTCGCCTCGACCAAGGAGGAACTTCTGGACAATTCGAGAAGCATCTTCGATCTGGTAGAGGAACTCTTCCAGGTCACTCCGGAGATGTTGCCTGGCGTGGAAGAGCGAAACTAGGGATTGACGCGCGTTGATTTGGCTCAAAGACGTGCTTGGAGAACCTGCGAATTATGCTCAGACGTTTCAATGCATTATGGAGGATAAAACGCACACAGCCATCGCGCAAGCAGCCTCGTCCCACTGGTGGTGATAGTACGCTTGACTACGCTCAGCAAGCTTCCTTTGGCACCTCCTTCTAACATTTCCTCTCGAATTTCGAGTGCCTTGATCGTATGTGAATCGATCTGCATTCGTTCTTCGTGCCCCTCTCGAATGGGAGCGGACAGTCGTGGCATCAGCTCGAGCAGGTTTGTCTGAAGGAAGGTAGTGAGGAGCTCGACAGCAACTGTCTCTGATGGCGTGAACGTTTCGTCTGAGAGAGGTAGGAAGCTGAGACTTGAAGGGACGTCATCAGACTCTGTTCTGGGTGCCTCAAGACTACCGATATCATCAGCCGAGGGCTCATCAGCTTGTGCTGTTATGGGAGGGCTGATATCTGTCGATTGAGAATGTTCAGATACTCCCGGAGAGATGTAGCTGATCCAACTGAGTTCTTCTCCGATCTGAGCGCGGACTGACTTTCCAGCAGTGCCCTTCATACTTTCGTGCAGAACGACTTCCTTGGGAGCGATGCGCGCGATATCGTTGCGGAGTGTCAGAACTGAAGTAGGCTGTGTGAAGAATTCTCCGGTGGAAACGTCGATCCACGCCAGCCCATATTCACCGTCCAGATGCTCCGAGCCACGGTCTGTGGTTCCAATGTCGGTGCTTCTCCCTATGGCAAGCAAGTAGTTGTTTTCGTATTGGTTGAGGAAGCTCTCGTCGATAAGAGTTCCAGGAGTGACAACACGAGTCACTCTGCGATCGAACCCTGGCTCTGATCCTAGCGGCCGTGGGAACTCTTCGCACATGGCGACAAACCGCTTATGCTGCTGTACGAGGGTCTTGAGGTGCCGATCGAGATGCGGAAGAGGGAATCCGCACATGTGCACACGGGTTCCCTTTTGACCCCAGGCACGAGAGGTCAATTTGATATCGAGCAATTTTGCAAGCACGGGTGCTTGGTCGAAGTAGGATTCGTAGAACTGACCGACGCGGGTGAGGAGGATACAGTGTGAGAAACGCTGCATGTTCTGTTGTATCTCCCGGGCGAGATTGGTTTGAGGAACGGCTTTTTCCGAGCTGGGATACTGGGCGGTTCCCTCAGCGTCTGAAGGGAGTGAGATGGAGGACGGAATGCGACGGAAACACTTGCCTTGTTGTGACTCGCCAGCAACAAGCCTTTTTCTCCGTTTTCTTCCTTTCGCCGTTCCTTCTTGAGCATCATTAGTTTTCAATGTATCTGATGTCTGTATCATTATGTCATCCACATTCTTCTCCGCATCTTCATTTAATTCTAATAGCTTTGCGGACTTCGTACCACTTCCACCATCTTCGTCTAGTTTTTTTAATTTCCTACGCCGACGAGGAACTGGAGATGCAGCGTCGTTGGTTATTTCTGGTTGGATCTCAGAATAATTATGGCCGGAAGTAAGGGCGATGTCATTTTCCTCTGCAGAACCAATAGCCGATGAGTCAGACCCCACATGTTCAGGATTCCTTAGATAATGGTGCACCTGGTTGATGAGAAGAAACCGTCTCCAGTCGGATCCTAGACACAGTCTCCTTGGTTTCGGGATCGACATTGTTAACCCGCGAACGTCGACGGACATTGGGAGTTATTGTAAGTTCCGGCAGAGCTTTAGCCTCGGTACCGTCTGGAAGGACGTGCACAGATGGAAGGTCTTCATAATTCCTCTTTGTGACAGATCTAGCATAGACACAGTGACTTGTAAAGAAGAACCGCCGAGAAAAGGAGACACTGGTACGTCGCGCAAGACATTTCATAGTCCAGCATGAGGTGACACACGGCCCAACACGAACAGACAACGGATAGACGAGAGGACGCGACGCGACGAAAAAGAAGCCAGGGTGTTCAGAAAAGGGTTAGGGTTAGCGGAAGCAACCTGACGGAGTCTGAAATGTAAAATTCCAGGCGTGTTCTATATCGACGGTCGTTAGCGGACCAGCGTGTTTGCGCGTGTCAAAGTCGACGCTCTTCATCTCCCTTTCTCCCCAAATCTCTCCCTGCTTATACTGAACAATAATGGCTGGTCGTCGTGGTGGACGCAAGAATGTTAAGAAGGGTGTGCAGTTCACGTTGATGGTTGTTGGTGAGTCTACGCGCGTCGCTACGTATGGTAGGCCGAGTATTCAACAACCCTAGGTGCATCCGGTCTTGGTCGTACCACATTCGTCAACACTCTCTGCGAGGCGGAGGTCCTCGAGCCAAAGGATGCAAGTGATGCTGCTACAGCACATATTGAGGAGGGTATCAAGATCAAGCCGGTCAACGTTGAGCTGGAGGAGGAAGGTGTCAGGATCGCTTTGACCATCGTGGACACGCCCGGGTTTGGCGACAACATCGACAACTCGGACTCGTGCGTTGTCGTCTTAGATCTTCGCTCTCATCTTTAACATGAATATACAGTTTCCAGGAAATCATTGGGTATCTCGAACGCCAGTACGATGATATCCTCGCCGAGGAATCGAGGATCAAGCGTAACCCGCGCTTCCGGGACAACCGTGTGCATGCCCTCATCTATTTCATCCCTCCCACGGGTCATGCGTAAGCTCCACTCGAGTCTCGCCCCCGCGTATATACTAAATATACTACAGTCTTCGGGAAATGGATATCCTCCTCATGAAACGCCTGTCCGTTCGTGTGAACGTCATCCCCGTTATCGGCAAAGCCGACTCGCTCACCGCCCCCGAGCTCAAGGCATTCAGGAAGCGCGTCATGGAAGATATTTCCCAGCACGATATCCAGATCTACAACTTCCCGTACGATGACGAGGAAGATGATGACGAGACGATCGAGGACAACCGGTCGCTCCAGTCACTCCTGCCGTTTGCGATTGTGGGCAGCACTGACGAGGTGGAAATTGACGGCCAGGCAGTGAGGGCACGTGTCTACCCGTGGGGAGTTGTCGAGGTGGACAACCCGGCGCACTCGGACTTCGCGAGGCTACGGAGTGTGCTCCTCAAGTGCGTCTTACAGACAAAAGCGTGTTCATTACCTAACGCTTGCGTAGCTCTCACTTGTCCGATCTCAAATCTCTTACGCACGATTTGCTGTACGAGACGTACCGTACGGAGAAGCTTTCCAAGACAGTCATGGATGGTACCGGGGCGGACTCGTCCATCCTGCCAGAAGAGCTGGCGACCCAGTCCGTGCGGCTCAAAGAGGAACAACTGCGGAGGGAGGAGGAAAAGCTGCGCGAAATCGAGCTCAAGGTACAGCGCGAGATCAACGAGAAGCGACAGGAGCTGTTGGCGAAGGAGGAATCTCTCCGGAACCTCGAGAGCCGGCTTGCAGCCCAGGGCGCGCATCAGGATGCGTGATGTTTTTCCTGCTTCCCTGCTTGGCCCATAAAACATGCTCTGTTGGTGAGGTTTTCGGACGTTCCACTTCTTTTGACCCCCCCATCGAATCGGATACCCACGTTGTTAACACCTTACTGTCGTTTATTTCCTGTTCTTTTGCCGATACCTTGCGAACCAGCCCTGTTACTACCCTTGTCTGGGTTATTAGCTATCAAACATGGCTATGACTGGAGAGAATATTCTATCCTGACTGATCCCCGCAAATGGAGAGCCAATCCTGTCCCGAAAGGGTGCTTTGAGTTTGGACCTCTTGCGGCCTAATTTGGGAACTAGAAGACAGGTTGTAGTGCCCATCATACTAGTCAATGTCTCCCTTACTTTCCAGCGTCTCCTTTACACGGAGAGACAACTCCACAGGGTCCCATATGCCAGAGAACTGAAGAGACAGTCCGCAGAATTGTTGTAGGCTTAGAAGCTCTCCACCTACTTGCCTGATGTTAATCCGTATCACTGTAATATTAAGGGGCTGGGAATGCCATATGCATTTCCATGGAAATCGCCTCCTAATGTACAATAATGCCGGTCGACAAGTCATCTGTGTTGCCTCTTTGATCCGGCAGAGGGACCCCATGCTGTGGACCTGACGCCTTGTGACTCAGTGAAGGGGAAATGCAGCGCTTTTCAACAAAAACAAGATAAGTATAGTGTGAAAGGTTGGATGATAAGCGCCGAGGATAGATTCTCCGTGAGTTCTCGGTTCCGGTTGAAAGTCGAATGCGATGCACCGACGCACGTTCGTCGGATTAACTTGTCTTCATAGCCTCTTCTGTGTTGAGTGACATTTCCCGCTCGCATCAGACCGCAATTCCGATATGTCCACTTCGGTCGCTGTCGTCTGCCCTTCATCAGGGAAAAAGAGGCGCTCACCATGTATATATCCCATTATCTCCCTCTTCTCATACCTCTTGATCATCAACAACTGCGCATAGACTGCTTGCTTCGACTATTTTGTCTGTTGAGCTAGACTTCAACAAGCAAACTACACCAACTATACCCACAGAGATGGGATTCCGTGACTGGTTGAAGAACAACAAAGGCGCCACCTTCAACGGCGGCAGCACGATGGAAGTCACCTCTGCCATCGCACGCTCAGGTGCAGACGTCATGCCCGTAGTGAACGCGATTATCCTCTACATCTCACGCCAGAAATGCTCTCCGCTCGAGATCTCCGCCAGGCTCGAACATATGGAAAAGGCATATCTAGCCGATCATGCGATCTGTATGGCCTTCCGCGCTGCGAGGAAGAAGACAGGTCTGCCGGATTCTACCGTCTTACCCCCTTTGCCTGGTCAGCGTGGTCCATCAGCGGCAGCGAAGCCACCAGCTGCACCGAGCAAGACAGAACAGCGGTTGAGCTTGATGAAGCTTGTGGTGCCTGAGCTGTGGCCAGGGAGGAAAGTGGACGTCAACAGCTATTCGTCACTTTCCTCCCTTGCTGGGCAGGGCGGAGTGAACGTTTATCGGAAAGGGGTGAAGGGAAAGTGGGACCTGAAGGTGGTGCGCGAGATTGCACAAGGCGAGCAATTGAGTGCGTTCACCGGAGATTTCATAGGCGCTTTGCTGATCGTTCCCTAGACGAGCTGTTCAAGACCATATGGCCTGCGCTCCTGCTTGTGATAGACCTCTATTCCGAGATTCTCGAAGAGATGGGTGATGTGCGTCTCTTTTTCATGAGATATATGCATATATGCATATACTCAACCGAACCCATTATAGGACGAGTTCTTCCCTCCCAAGACAGAACGATTCAGTGACTACAACCCCTTTGCGCTCGATGAGCTCGTGGACTTCTCCGCGCTCCTGCGAAACTTGAGCTTTGCTATGTGGTGGAACGACCTTCCGAGTGCGGAGCTCAAGATACAGGGCGTTCCATTGACGTGGAACGACGTACGGGAGCGCGTAACAGGGATGCTGGTCGCGATCCGGTCAAGAGAGTATGTGTTCTCTCAGTCAGTTGTCATGCAAGTGCTGACGCGTGACAGTTGTCGACGGTCCTTCACGCCTTCTCATCACTGGGACGTCCTCCCCAGTTCCCAATTCCGCCCTTACGCCTCTTCCCTCGTTCACGAGCTGAACGACCCCAATGCACGCGCTGCGCTCACCTCGGTCGAAGAGCAGAACAACGTCCCTCGCGTAATGACCATCCTGCGTCATATACCCTTCACGATCCCATTCGACGACCGCGTGTTCCTCTTCCGCCAATGTGTAAAGCAAGACAAGACTTCCACCGCACATGCAGACCAGAGCGCATCTTTCCACCCCAAACCTGTGAGGCGGCATAACCTTTCCGAAGACGGGTTCGATCATTTTTGCTCGGCGGAGACAATGCTCCTCAAAGGTCGTATACGGATCACGTTTATCGACCAGGACGGGCATCAGGAGCAGGGACTGGACGGAGGCGGGCTCTGGAAAGAGTTTATCGTCACTTTACTAGAGGAGTCGTTTAACCCCGAACGCGGCTTGTGGACGAAGAACGAGCAAGAGGAGTTGTACCCGTTCCCACAGATGTTCGCGCGTGAAGGTGAGCGCACTGTCTTTCTCCCGTTCTCATCAGATGCTAACGATAACATGACCGCAGCACGGCAACTCAAGTGGTACAAATTCATCGGGCGCATGCTCGGCAAAGCCCTATACGACAACATCCTCATCGACACCGTCTTCGCCACGTTCTTCCTAGCCAAGTGGGTCGGCGAGTCCGGAAGCCTAGACTCGCTCGCCTCGCTCGACCCCTACCTGCACCGCGCCCTCGTCGCGCTCAAACAATGGGAATCGGACGACTGCCTTGACCCAGACACACGCTTCGACATCGTCGATCTAGACATGGGCCAGCCGATCACGACAGAACTGGTACCGAACGGATCTAACGTTCCCGTAACCAAGGAGAACCGGATGAAGTATATCGAGCTTGTTTGCAAGCACAGACTAGACGACCAGATCTCCGAGCAAACACAGGCGTTCCTCGCCGGTCTCAGGGACCTCATCGAGCTCAAATGGCTCAAGATATTCGACGCGAGCGAGCTCCAGCTTCTCCTGAGCGGGGTGGACAGGGACGTCGACGTTGATGACTGGATGCGGAACACGGCTTACGAAGGCGGCTTTTCAGCTACCGATCCGTGTATCCACATGTTCTGGACTACAGTCCGCGCGCTGGACAGGAACGAGAAACGCCTTTTGCTCCGGTTTGTCACTAGCTGCTCTCGACCCCCCTTGCTTGGGTTCGGAGAGCTCAAACCGAAATTTACGATTCGGTGCGCGTCTAACGACCAGAACCGACTGCCGACCGCGGCGACCTGCTTCAGCACACTGAAGCTGCCGAGATATAAGGAGCAGGAGGTGATGCGGAACAAGCTTGTTCAGGCGATCACTGCCAATGCTGGGTTTGACTTGTCTTGATCTTGATCTTACCTTGTCTTTTCTCTCTTTTTCTTAGTCTGTTTCGAAGGTGACGTACGGAGCGGGGACAGGCTAGTTCTCTCGATGATACCCTGGGCTTTCGGATTCCACAGACTCACATGTAGCCATATTTTTTTCCCATATAGTGCACTAAACTGGTGACCAGTCGTTGTATATATCTATCCTCGTGCTTTGATCCATGTGCAGATACAGTAGTCTCTGGGTTGTGATAATGGACATGTGATTAATATTGTCAAGGCATGTTTTGGCTAAGTGGGTGCTTGTTAGGGCAGTGTTTGCTTCGACGATTCACTTCATTATGCGCTCATTTGGATTCAAAAAGATACATGTCATTGTGAATGTGGCACTGCCATCTATGTTGTAGGACTGTCTACGAGTCTGGCGTTCCTCTAACACCTCTTCTCTCAGACGTACCACCACACGAAACGGGTTCGGAGAACTGTGTATGATCAACCACGTCGTCCACCTCGCACCTCACTTCTCCCATTCTCGTCAACAGGCCAATGGAATTCAAACGCCCATGGCAGCGTCACGCCGGCGATGAACAGGCTGTTCCAGACCAAAGTCTCTTCCCGGAGGTGCGTCGCAGCTGATTTGGCGTGCCAAGCTAGTTTAGTCCCAGGAGTGAATTCGCTGCGGAATATGCGCGCATACCTCCTTGTAATTCACGTATGTTTCGGGGATTCCTAAGTAGGGCAAACCTATACGGAAAGGTTCATTTGTGGAGTTCTAACATAGGCCAGAACATAGTACATTAAGAAACCGGAGCGCTTTGGAAGCCCAACGTACGAATCCCGAATCTGGCTACGATTTCATCGCCGCTAGTAATCGCGCTTCCAGATCTTTCTTCCTGGGCTTCAAAACCAGCTCGAAAGGCCTCGGGGCTACGATGACTTGACGATCGATCATCTCGTCTACCCCGCACTTGATCTCATTGCCGTGTTCATCGACCGGCCACGAAAAGTCGAAAGCCCACAGCAAGTAGGCGCAGGCGATGAAAACGCTGTTCAGAGCAAAGGCACGTCCTGGGCAAACACGTCGTCCATGGCCGAACGCGAGGAGGCTGTTATGTGTATCAGCAGCGGCGGGAAGCCGGTTACCGGTCGTCTGATCAAGATATCGTGAGGGATTGAATGCCTCTGGATCGGGATAGACCGAAGCATCACGTGTTTGGCTCCTTGAGAGGTGTTAGTATGAATTGATACTGGTAGGTGAGCGGACGATAAACGGACCAAAGGTTGTCGATGAGAACTGTGCCTTTAGGTATTGTGTACCCTTCGTACTCAAAATCCTATCAGACAGAGTTAAGCATTCTCTAAGATACGACAAACGAAGACCATACCGCAGATGCCCGGTGGAAGAGACTGAGTGGTACAGGGGGCATCCAGCGAGCTGCCTCGAAGGCGATAGCTTCGATGTACGGGAGTCTAGACCTATCCTCAAATGTGGGAGTTCGATTCTCGCAGATAGCGTCTAGCTGTGTCTGGGCCGCCCGCATGACTGCAGGATTGTGGAGCATTGCCAGTGCAAAGACGCGCATCACAGAATGGGTGGTCTCTTGCCCTGCAATACTGATCACTGTCAGATGTTCTGTAACGAGGCAGGGAGGGAAAGCACATACTACAGGGAAAATGTGTTCCACATCGCTTCATCACGAGACAGACCATATTTGTCCCGGTTTGCTTCAAAATCCTGCACAATCGTAGTTGAATCCCAATTCTAGATTGTATGGTCAGCATATTCATCTATGAGCACCAATGAAGCTAACATCAGTTCGCTTAGCGTCATTGTAAAGGCGGTAACCCTCCTGTATAACTTGGTCGTGCCAGCAGTCGGCCTGCCTCCGCAGCCACTTCACTCTGCGTATCACCGGCTCGAGGAAGGGGAGGTTATCAACAATATTGTTTTGGGGCAAAATAGTATCCATCAACTCTTGCGTGAGCTCTTCGACCTTCTGCAGAATCCCACTGCCATCCTTATGATCGATCCTTTTCCCATAGAGAGCGCCCGATATCATCGACGTGGCGAACCTATGACAGTGCTTGTCATATTCCTTCTCCGGATATTGTAGAAGACCAAGAGTGAAATATGCTGCGTCATTTTCATGCATAGGGTAGAAACGGGTAGCAGCACGAACATTCATGCTGTCGATGTAAGCTTGTCGTTTGAAAATGGCGGGAGCCGGCTTACTTGGCATGAATGGCGCGACGATATGCTCTCCACCTACAGCTATGCTCAGCGAGAGACATAACTCAGGTTGTAGATAGGACTTGCCGGAGTGTGTGACCAACGGTCTGTAATAGCTGATCACGTACATAGAACTGACGCGCCTGCAAGCGTCGGTTCGTGAAGTTTGAATGACTGGCAGCAACGTACCTTAATCATTATCGGCCTGTCGCTGGTCACGCCCGATTTTCTATCCAAGATATCCCCCGCAACCCGCACGCTGTTGACAACAACGTAGGCTTGACTGCCTATCCAGAAGGCATAGAGCGGCCCATGCTTTAGTGACCATTCGTGCAACTTCCGATGCAGAAATGTAGGAGGAATCTGGAAGAGGTTCCCAACAAGTAGAGAGCCTTTGGGACCGCTAGGAAGGCAGGTGGTCCACTTCCGATGTATATCTCGGGTAATCGCAACTGCAATCAGGGTAATAACGAGGACAAGCGCGGCAACCAGCATCATGTGGCAGGCAACATCAGAGGGACGACTTTTGTGCGAAATTGGCCGAGTTAAATAGATGCCAGACAACCCCCTCGAGGCGGACACCGGAATTTCGAATGTTCCATCGCACTTCGGCGGTGTGCGTAAGTTTCTCGTAAAATCAAGGTCATCTTGACAAAGGAAGTCGACCTCAATTTCCGTCGATCCATACCGTGCGATCCCTATTGGGTGGCTCCAGTCCAGGGTTTTGGTCTGCTATACGACTTCGGTAAGGGCATGATCCAGTTCCGAGCACCTTCCTTTTCCCGGAAACGATGACCCGCGCCAGATTAAGGAACATGAAACCAGCACAGAACGGTTTAAATCAGTTCTTAATGCAACAGAGAAAGGTACAGGTCGGCCTGCAACGAAGCAAATAATGAAGTCGAGATTGGATATAAGTAATTGGGAAGACCCAGTAGGAGTCGTGGAACTGTTAGACTTTCATTGCCGCCGTCAATCGCTCTTCCAGATCTCTCTGTCTCGGTGTTAGAACGAGATCGAAAGGCCTTGGGGCTACGACAACCGCGTGGTCGATCATCTCGTCCACCCCGCACTTGATCTCATTACCGTGTTCATCGACCGGCCACAAAAAGTCGAAAGCCCACACTAGGTAGGCGCAGGCGATGAAAACGCTGTTCAGAGCAAAATCACGTCCTGCACAAGCACGTCGTCCATGACCAAACGCGAGGAGGCTGAGATGCGTGTCAACCTCGGGGGGAAGAAGGTTGCCGGTCGACGGATTGAGATATCGTGAGGGATTGAATGCCTCTGGATCGGCATAGACGGAATCATCACGTGTTTGGCTCCTTGGGAGGTATTAGTATGAATTGATACTGGTAGGTGAGCGGACGATGAACGGACCAAAGATTGTCGATGAGGACTGTGCCTTTGGGTATCGTGTACCCTTCGTACTCAAAATCCTGTCAGACAGAGTTGAGAGTATTCTCTAATATACGACGAACGAAGGCCATACCGCAGACGTCCGGTGGGGGAGACTGGTTGGCACAGGGGGCATCAGCGAGCTACCTCGAATGCAACAGCTTCAATGTACGGCAGTCTAGGCCTATCCGCATACATGGGAGGTCGGCTCTAGAACTTGCTGGAGCGTATGATTCTGGAGCTGCGACAGCAGATCGCGTACATAGAACTGGCGCGCCTACGACAGTCGGTTCTCAAAGTCAAAATGATTTTCAGGTGACACACCTTAATCATAACCGGCCTGTCGCTCGTGGATCCCGACATTCTATCGAAGATGTCTGCGGCGGCTCGCACGCTGTTGACAACGACGTAGGCTTGACTGCCTATCCAGATGGTATAGAGCGAGACATGCTTGAGTGATCATTCGTGCAGTTTCCGATGCAGGAATGCTGGAGGAAGCTGGAAGAGGTTTCCCGCAAGTGGAAAGCCTGTGGGACCGGGAGGCAGGCGGGAGGTCCACTTCTGATGTATATCTCGGGCAATCGAAACTAGAATCTGGGCAATAACGATGACAAGCGCTGTAACGAGCATCATGGGCCCAAGCAGTATTTGAGCGACGACTCTTGTACGAAACCAACCGAGTTATATAGAGTTCCAGACAACCCCCTGGAGGCCGAACTTCGAACGTTCCATTGCCCTTCGGCAGGTTGCGCGGCTTTCTTATAGAATCAAGAACGTAATGACATAGGAAGTCGACAGCAACATCCATCGATCTAGAGTGCAATCCGTAATGAGTGACTCCAGGGCGATGCGCGTACAAGCGCCTGGTTGCTTGATATAGATGTGCTGCTGCAGTATTGGGCAGGTGACCATTGGTCGTTGCGGTATGTAGGTTACTCGGTAAGGATGATGCAGTTCCGAGCATCATCCTTTTTTTCCTGAAAAAATGACCCCCACCAGATTTACCAACACAAAACCAGCACAGAACGATTCACAGGAGTTCTTAATGTAACAGAGAAAAGAACAGGTCGGCCTGTAATCAAGCAAGGATATAAAAGTAATTGGGAAGTCCGAAGGAGGACCAAAATTGGCGCCACGGGATCACATGGAATGGTGCACGTGACCTGAAGCACGAGTATTGCCTGTTTGGGATCGAGGTTTTCCGAGGCTCCTCCGAGCAGAGACGTGCATCCCAGTGCCAGACTTTGGGATTCGTCTCCAGCCACTCTCTCATGCAAGGCTACACAAAGACCTCAACTGAAAGAAGTCTGGGAACGATGATTCACGGGAGGAAGGACAGAAGAACGAGATATATGAAGCATAGGGAAACACAGCTTGCCAAAGTAATATTTCCAGTCCCTCAGTCTGAGTCATGAAACTACTAACCTTTCAATGCCGCCATCAATCGCTCTTCCAGATCCTTCCGCCTTGGTGTTAGAACCAGGTCGAAAGGCCTTGGAGCTACGACGATCGCGTGGTCGACCATCTCGTCCACCCCGCACTTGATCGCATTACCGTGTTCGTCGATCGGCCACGAGAAGTCGAAAGCCCACAGTAGGTCGGCGCAGGCAATGAAAACGTTGTTCAGAGCAAAGTCACGTCCTAGACAAACACGTCGTCCATGGCCGAACGCGAGGAGGCTGTCATGTGTATCAGCAGCGGCAGGAAGCAGGTTACCGGTCGACTGATCAAGATATCGCGAGGGATTGAATGCCTCTGGATCGGGATAGACGGAAGCATCCCGTGTTTGGCTCCTTCAGAGGATGTTAGCATAAGTTGATACCGGAAAGTGAGCGGCTGTTGAACACACCAAAGATTGTCGATGAGAATCGTGCCTTTGGGTATCATGTACCCTTCGTAAACGAAATCCTATCATTAGAATTGAGAACTTCTCCCACGACCTACCAAACAATGTCATACCGCAGATGCTGCATGCAACACGCTGGTCGGTGCAGGTACCCCCCAGCGAAATGTTTCCAGTGCGATACCTTCGATGTACGGAAGTCTAGGTCTGTCCGCATCCATGGGAGGTCGGCTCTCGCAGATGGCGTCTAGCTGACTCTGGGCCGCTCGCATGACCGAAGGATTGTGAAGCATTGCGAGGGCAAAAGTCCTCATCACTGAGTGAGTCGTCTCTTGTCCTGCCATGCTAATCACTATCAGACGATCGTGAGCGTCTCAGAAAGGAAAAGACGCACTACAGGGCAAGAGTGTTCCACATCGCATCATCACGGGACACACCATATTTTTCCCGATTTGTCTCAAAATCTTGAACTGTGGTGGTAGCATCCCAACTCTAATTAGCACGGTCAATCTTATCATCCGCCAACATCGATGGAGCTCACATCAGTTTCATTTGCGGCACTGTACAGGCGAAAACCCTCAGTCGTGGTTTTCTCATGCCAGTCGTCAGCTTGCTTCCGGAACCATTTCACCCTACGTATCACTGGCTCGAGGAAAGGGAGGGTATCGACAACACTGTTCTGTGGCATGAATGTGTCTGTCCATCGCTGTGTGATTTCCTCAATCTTCTGCAGGACCCCACTGCCGTCCTTGTGATCAATCCTTTTCCCATAGAGAGCGCCAGATATCGTGGACGTGGCGAACCTATGAACATGCTTGTCATATTTCTTCTCCGGATATTGGATGAGACCGAGCGCAAAATATGCTGCGTCATGTTCTTGCATAGGATAGAATCGGGCCACCGCGCGAATATTCATGCTGAAAGGGTATAAGTGCTGATCGGTTGCAAACAGGTGAGAATCGGCTTACCTTGCATGGATTGCACGACGATTCGCTCTCCATCTGAAAACATGGTGAGAGAGAGACGTGGCTCAGAGCAGAGATTGGACTTGCTGGAGCGTATGTCCCTGGGTCTGCAAAAGCAGATCACGCGCGTAGAAGTAACGCGCCTAAGACGGTCAGTTCTCAAAGTCGAAAAGACTGTCAGGTGACACACTTTAATCATCCTCGGCCTCTCGCTGGTTGTTCCTGACATTCTATCGAAGATATCCGCGGCAACTCGGACGCTATTCACAGGCTTGACTGCCTATCCAGATGGTGTAGAGCGGCCCATGTTTTAGTGACCATTCGTGTAACTTCCGATGCAGGAATGTTGCAGGAACCTGGAAGAGGTTGCCCACAAGTAGAGAACCTTTGGGACCCGGAGGCAGGCGGGAGGTCCACTTGCGATATATATCCCGGGTTACTGCAACCAGAACCAAGACACTCACGAGGACAAGCGCGGCGACGATCATCACTGCCAGTGGGAAGCGATCGTAGACCGGCCAGGACGACGAGAAATATGCTGCAGAGTTATATGCAGTCCTCAGATTGCCCGTTGGAGTGATACATTGTCTTTGAATTCCCAGCAGTTCGCGGCCGTGGTAGCAATGGAAGTTGTTATCGATCGATCGACAGATTACAGCCCTTATAGAGTACTCCAGATGGGATATGCTGGTAAAACGAATCCAACCGCAAACCAAACGATGACGTTTCCGGATCCAACATTCTGGTGCTTAAGTACTGAAGAAATTCCTGGTCGACCTTTGCAGGAAGTAAATTGCTAGAAAGAGTTTGCAGAAGACGGTGAATGGGCCGGCAAGCAGATTTGGGTGAGGGTATGTACCGGAGGCCTGAGATATATATGGCCACAGCAAATGCTGCCAGACATATTTTCCTGCAGCAAAGATACTCCAACATCGTGGAACGAAGAAGGATGCTCTGGAAGAGCGACGGGGAGAATCAAAATGCACAAACAGGATTGGAAGCGGCACCAGATACGTTCAGCACGTGACGTCAATCCAGTTCCGAGGATCATCCTTTGTTCCGAAAATGATAATCCACACCAGAGTCAGCAATGTGAAGGCAGCACAGAACAGTTTAAAGGAGTTGTTAATACAACGGATAAAATCACAGATCCGCCTGCAACTAATATAAGCAAAGAACGAAGTCGACAAACATTGGGTTAAGTGTATTGTAGTTAGTCCGTCATAGCCACACCCAATATATTCGTTGCCGGAACATCCGTTTTACCGGCTCGTATGCGGTATCCGGATACTGCCGGACCGATATCGAGGGTGTGTCTTATTTGATTAGTTTCAGGTATCTTCCATGGTATATTCCAAATACCACCTCCACATTCCTTTAGATTCTATATTGGATAGCTCTTATCCCCCTGTAATGGGAGGCTGGACTCTTCCCCTTCGAACACTCTGTACCCCCTCTAGCTAGCCCCACTCCTTGATATCATATCCTACTCGAATGTACATTGTGTATATACCGCCATACCGGTATACTGCCATTCATTATCCGGAAGCACGCTCACCCGTAGGAGGTTCACACGAGAGCACGATTAGACTATCTATTGTATCTACGGTACAGTAGGAGTCACTTCATAAGTAATCAGAAAGACCCAGGAGTCATCAAACTGTTAAGCTTTCATTGCCACCGTCAATCGCTCTTCCAGATCTTTCTGTCTCGGTGTCAGAACGAAATCGAAAGGCCTTGGGGTTACTACGATCGCATGGTCGACCATCTCATCCACCCCGCACTTGATCTCATTACCATGTTCATCGACCGGCCACGAGAAGTCGAAAGCCCACAGTAGGTAGGCGCAGGCAATGAAAACGCTGTTAAGAGCAAAATCACGTCCTGGGCAAACACGTCGTCCATGACCGAACGCGAGGAGGCTGAGATGCGTATCAGCAGTGGGGGGAAGCAGGGTACCGGTCGTCTGATCAAGATAGCGCGAGGGATTGAATGCCTCTGGATCGGGATAGACGGAGGCATCCCGTGTTTGGCTCCTTCAGAGGATGTTAGTAGGGATCGATGCTGAAAAGTAAACGGATTTTGAACGCACCAAAGATTGTCGACGAGGATTGTGTCTTTGGGTATGGTGTACCCTTCGTACACGAACTCCTATCAGAGTTGAGAACATCTCCCACAACCTACGAAACAATGCCATACCGCAGATGCTGCGTGCAATACGCTGGTTGGTACAGGTGCCCTCCAGCGAGCTGCCTCTAAGGCGACAGCTTCAATGTACGGGAGTTTAGGCCTATCTTCAAATGTGGGAGTTCGATTCTCGCAGATAGCGTCAAGCTGTCTCTGGGCGGTTCGCATGACTGCAGGATTGTGGAGCATTGCCAGTGCAAAGATGCGCATCACTGTATGGGTAGTCTCTTGCCCCGCCATACTAATCACTGTTAGGCGCCCGTGCGGATATCAAAAAGAAAAGACGCACTACAGGGCAAGGGTGTCCCACATTGCGTCATCGCGTGACAAACCATATTTTTCCCGATTTGTCTCGAAATCTTGAACTGTGGTGATGGCACCCCAACTCTAGTTAGTACAGTCAATATTGTCATCCACCATCATCGATGAAGCTTACATCAGTTTCATTTGCGGCATTGTACAGCCGAAAACCTTCCATCGTGGCTTCCTCATGCCAGTCGTCAGATTGCTTCCGGAACCATTTCACTCTACGTATCACTGGCTCGAGAAACGGGAGGGTATCGACAACACTGTTCTGTGGCATGAGCGCCTCCATTAACCGCTGTGTCATTTCCTCAATCTTGTGCAGGAGCCTACTATCGTCCTTGTGATCAATCCGTTTTCCATAGAGAGCGCCTGATATCATCGATGTGGCGAACCTATGACAATGCTTGTCATATTTCTTCTCCGGATATTGGATGAGACCGAGAGCGAAATATGCTGCGTCGTGTTCTTGCATAGGATGGAATCGGGAAGCTGCGCGGATATTCATGCTGGAGAGGTATAAGGGCTTATCGGCTGCGAACAGGAATCGGCTTACTTTGCATGGACTGCTCGACGATTTGCTCTCCATCTGTAATAATACTAAGTTAGAAACGTGACTAAGAGCAAAGAGAGAACTTGCTGGAGTGTATGGCCCTGGGTCTGCAAAAGCAGATCGCGCACATAGAACTGACGCCCCTACGACGGTCAGTTCTCAGAGCTAAAAAAGACCGTCAGGCGACACACCTTAATCATCATCGGCCTCTCGCTGGTGGTTCCCGACATTCTGTCGAAGATGTCCGCGGCGACCTGAACGCTGTTGACAACGACGTAGGCTTGACTACCCATCCAGATGGTATAGAGCGAGCCGTGCTTGAGTGACCATTCGTGCAGTTTCCGATGCAGGAATGTTGCAGGAACCTGGAAGAGGTTCCCCACAAGTACAGAGCCTTTGGGACCGGGAGGCAGGCGGGAGGTCCACTTCCGATATATATCTCGGGTTATTGCAACCAGAGCCACGGCACTCACGAGCAGAAGCACGGCGACGATCATGACTGGGAAAGGGATCGTAGATCGGCCAGGAGGAACACCCGATGTGCTCCAAGGTTATATACAGTCTCTGGGTTTCCCAGTGGAGCGACAGATTGTCTTCAATTCCCACCAGTTCGCGGCCATGGTAGCAATGGAAATTGTTATCCATCGATGGACGGATGTGCTGGCAAAGAGAATCCAACCGCAAACCAAACGCTGACTTCTTCTCATACGGCGTTCTGATGCTTAGATACTAAAGTAATTCCGAGTCGATCTTTGCGGGGAGTAAATTACTAGAAAGAGTTGGAAGAATACGGTGAATGGACCGGCAACCAGATATAGATGAGGATATGTACCGGAGGAGACAAATATATATGGCCAGAGCAATGGCTTCGCACCCCCACTCCAACCAGAGCAACTCAAGATCTTTTAGAGAAGACATATTTTCCTGCAGCAAAGATGCTCCAACATCATGGAACGAAGAAGGGTGCTTTGCGAGATCTAGAGCGACAGACAAGCAAAATGCACAGACAACGACGTGATGGGAAGCGGTACCAAATACATTGAGCACGTGACGTCCACTGTATCTAGACCCAGCGAAACCCTCGACGCCCTCTCAAGGCTTCGCTGACTTGAGCTTCCCGACGATAAGCTCTTTGTATGCCTGCACGTCCCCTTTGTATTTCATCACCGTCCCGTCGGCACATACCCACAGCTGGTTCGCCACCCCAGTAATGAACCTCTCGTCGTGGGAAATGACAATCACACCACCATTCCAATTCTCTAGAGCCTGGCGGAGAGCGTCCAAGCCTTCCACATCGAGATGGTTAGTAGGCTCATCAAGTAGAAGGATGTGCGGATTTTGGAGGGAGAGTGCCGCGAATGCGACACGCGACTTCTGACCTCCTGAGAGCGTCGCGATTGTCTGGAGCCCGGTGATGCCCGTGATACCGAAGGACCCTAAATGGGAACGATATTCTTGTTCTGATTTGCCGGGGAAGCGAGAAGCTAGGAAAGAGACGGGAGAAAGCTGTGGGGGTAGAGTGTCCACATGGTGCTGGGCGAAGTAGGCGCTGTGATGACGTGAGCGATACTGATAAACGTAAGAGCAAAAATGAGGGCGTACATCCTCAGTCTTCCGTTCCTGTTCATCTCTCCAGCCAGCGGCTTGAGCTCTCCCGTCAAGAGCTTGATGAGCGTCGATTTTCCCGCACCGTTCGAGCCGATAATCGCCATCCTGCTATCCAATCCTACATCGATATTGACTCCTTTGAGGATAAGCTTGTCGGGGGAGTAGCCAAAGGTCACCTCGCTGAGCTGCAGCAGCGGAGGAGAGATCTTCTCCGCATCGGGGAACTTGAACATCTCTGTCTCTTCCTGTTCTGGCTCTTCCAGATCGGGCAGAGATTCGAGAGTCTTGATACGAGATTGGGCCTGCGCGGCTCGGTTGGCATTGTACCGCCAACGATCGATGAACGCCTGCAGATGCGCTCGATAGGCCATCTGGGTCTCGTACTCTTTCCGCTGGTTCTTCTCCCGCTCAGTCTTGGTTGCGTAGAACTGGGTAAAGTTGCCTTTGAAGTAGTCTAGTCGGCCAGAGTGTTGCCATACAATGTCGGTCGCGACGGCGTCGAGGAACGCACGATCGTGGGAGCTACGGAGATGTCAGTGGGATACAAAATTCCTGAACAGGTGTGCATACACGACAAGAATCGTCCCCTGCCATGTCTGCAGGTAGTCTTCCAACCAAGCCAACGCGTTCAAGCTACACATCACGATCAGCGTCCTGCCAAGCCGTCAAAGTCGTACTCACTCAATATGGTTACTCGGCTCATCCAACATGAGCAGATCGGGCTTGACGAACAGCGCTCGGGCGAGGGCAAGTCTCATCCTCCACCCACCAGAGAACTCCCTCGTAGGCCTCTTCTGGTCCGCCTCTGTAAACCCAAGACCAGCAAGCAAGCCAGCAGCGCGTGCAACGCTCCCTTCCACATCCATCTCTGCGAGTTTCTCGTGCACTTCTGCCAAGCGTGCGCCTGCTTCCTCCATTTCTGCGCTGCCTTCTGCAAGACTGGCGATACGCTTGTCGAGCTCTTCCTGTTCAGCTAGCAGCCGCTCGCGCCACACATCAGCAGAGAGCACACTCTGCAACGCCAGCGTGTCGTCCCCAACAATTTCCTGTTCCACAAAGAGGATAGTGATGTGTTTTGGGATGGCAATGTCCCGCATTGCGATATGTCGTAACAAAGTTGACTTGCCAACACCGTTTCGCCCGATGAGACCATATCGTCGGCCAAAAGCGAGAGTGAGCGATGCACCGGTAAGGATCCGGTGTGAGCCAAAGGTCACATCGACATTGACCAGGTGTATGTCCTTCGACTTGCCCTTGGCCGCGCCGATGGAGTCCATGGGGTTGACCTAGACAACTGAGATTTATCCCTGGAATTAGGCGTAGAACTCACCTTGAGGAACATCTCCTCGTATGATTGCTGCTTCTTTTGCGTTGCCAAAAGCTTTGAGCCTTCGTACAGGTCTCTCCGTGAGCGTTTCTCGATCTTGGCCTGTTCACAGCGTGTTAGCACATTTCATGCTAGAGCTACACGACACTTACTCTGAGCTTCGCCTCCTGCTTCTCGAGTTTCTTCATATCCACCCTACTCTCTTTTCCTTTATTGATGCTCTCAAGATCGACGCCTCCTCCTTGTAGGGCAAGTGTGGCACTCATCCCTGCCGAACGCTTCATGTTCATGACCCTATCGAGCGTCCTGAGCTCGCCTTCTCCCTCATCCACCTCGCGTGCATCGAGTACCTCTGCGATCTTGGTCAGCACCTTATCGAGTTCTGTTGGTGTTTGAGGTCGAGATGGAGATGGGCTGGACGAAGCAGAGGATGACAGTGATGGGGCGAAAGATTCGAGCATCGACCGGGAGACTGAGAGCGCTTCTGCAGCGTCGGTCGAGGGGTCTGTGACATACCCAGCGAGATATTGTGTTACTGGCTCATCCGTCTCTGGTAAGAGTTCTCTTATAAGTGAAGATAGTTCGTATTCTGCCATAGTGCCTTATAATTGAGCGAGATAGAGAAGTAGAATGGTTGTAGTAGAATGAAGAGTACAGCGATAATTTCACAATTCAATAGAGCTTTTGCAGTGCCACTAATCAATGAAGACGTTCATCTCTGTCACTTTGTAACAATTTTACTTAATTTCCTCAATGTCCGAACTCAACGTACGACGTATGTATAACAATTAGAACATCTATAGCGAATGCCTATATTGATATTATTTCAGCGCTCTCGGTTGTGCAACAAGAACGAGCCGCCTTCGGTTTGCGGTCGTATGACTATGCTCGTTACAGGTGCGTTAACCACTACCCGTTATTCACTATTTATCTCACTTATTTATAGAAAACACTGTACTTCAAAGCTGCATAGACTGAGGCAGAATCTGCATGTTACTCATGGCAAAGGCAAAGAGTACAAGAAAGCCGCCCCCATCGGGGTTGACAAGGCCCAGGACGGACAGTGCGTACCCTCTTACCTCTGCCTACCTTATCTCTCAGTTCATTCTAGTATTCTCATCTACCTGTTCGAAGCTGAACGGGCCTTCTCCCATGCTCAAGAACTTCTCAACATCCCGTCAGAAAAACATCATGCAATCGCGCGCTTCCGTCGGTCTATATCCCACGCTTCTGGCATGTTACCGTACCTCTCCCGCCTTCCGACGCTCAGTCAAGCCGAGCTCGCCGCCTATATTCTCATGCTCCGTGCGCGGTTTGCCATCGCTCGCCGAGACGATGGCGTGTACAACCTTGCTCTAGTGCAGCTAGCGAGTGCACGGGCATTGCTCACCGCCCTCTCCGAAGCGGCAAGCTCAAGCCGGGACGTGGCGCTGTACACTTCCTTCCTCGATACGCTCGCCCCTGAAGTGCGTTTCCTGGCACACGAGCTCGGCCACCCACGCGCGTGGGACATCCCCGCCGTCTGCGCGGACGTACAGCGCTCGGAGTCGGCAGCCGCTTGGCCGGGTTTTGAGGATTTGCTTAAGGCGCTGGAGCAAGAAAAGAGCAAGAAGGGGAAGGGAGAGCTGCACGCCCTTGTGTGGGAGGGGAAAGAGCTGCAAGTCCGCGAACCCGAGCTGGTCGAGTTGCTCATCCGTGTGCAAGCCGCACAGCTGGCACTGGATACCCATGCTGCTGAGGCTGCTAAGCCAAAGCAAACGGAAGCAGCCTCAGAAGGAAAGAAGAAGAGGAGCAAGGGGAAGAGGAAGCACAGCCTGCTCCCTGCTTATGACGCTCTCCTCAACGCGCTTGCAGAGGCTGAAGACCTCTCCCGCCGGCTCGCAGAAGCCCAGGCACTGGGACAGCAGCAGAGCGCACTTGCGGCACCTTCCACTCCTGGGAGCGGCGAGGGGAAAGAGGGAGACGTGCGATTCTTGCATGCGTTCGTTACGTACCGTCTGCTGGCAAGCAGGATCGAACGCGACTTGTTATTGGTTAAGATGCTCGAGAACCCACCGAAGCGCTTCACGAAGCCTTCGACGACAGACAAAGCGGCGCTGTCGAAAACCTCTGGTCCGGCGAAGGACAACACGACGAAGGAACAGAGCACGGAACCGGACGATCGGACGTGCCTAGCGATCATCCGCAACTTGGACTCGGTGCTGCAGAGCTTGGAACAGATGCGCGAGCTCGCTGTCGTGCAAGAGAGTCTTGTTGTCGGGGAGGGCATCGAGGGTAGGATTGCGTTCACACGGGCGAAACGGTATGTCCATGTTACACTAAGTGCAGGCAAACAGGCTAAACAAAGCCTAGGATCGAGTACCTCGCAAGGCTGTATGGGTCGCAGACTCAGTATGCGGAAGCGTTGGCCCTCCTCGAGCGGGGCCATTTCTATCTGCGCACCTTATCGCCCTCCCTGTCCAGCACCAAACCTTCACCGGCAGAACTAGCCTTCTATCCGCTGCCTTCTCTGCTCATCCAGACTCTTACCCAAGGGATCGAGCAGCTCCAGCTCAAGCTGAAAAAAGAATGGTACGCCGCGACGCACAAGAAACCGGTCTTTTACGATATTGCGTTCAACTACATCGACCAGCCGCTAGAGCGAATACGCGCGAGGGCGGGGTTGGCCCCTGAGCAATCGCAGCAAGTTACTTCCCCTGTGGCAGGTGCGAAGGGTACGAAGCCTGCGGAGGTGGAGAAGAGACAGCAGGTGGAGCATGAAGAGGTTAAGGAAGAGGTCAAGCCGCAACATCCGAGTGGTTGGAGTGGATATTTGGGCGGCTGGTGGGGAAAAAGATGAGCTGGAGAAGAATTCGGTGCCAAATTCTCAAAGAGGGCCTCGTCTTGGGCCACATCTCTCTGTTTTCCGCATTTCGCTACTTTGATGTACAGAATGAATGTTCTTTGACGAAGCTATCTCTATGGCACGTCCGGCTTGTCTGCTCGAGTGTTCTAGAGAATGAAAGCAAGTGTGAGAGTTGCCAGCACGTTCTCTTTGACGTGGCCCTGAATACCTCGACGCGTTCACAGGCGCTCAATACATTCATTCACCTTGCCTATTCACGCACTTATACTGCCCTTTCTCTTGCTCCTCAAGTGTACAATTAACACAAATGGAAGACGAACTCCTCCCGCCAACATTGCAGAACGTGCTGGATCAGAAGACGCTCAAATGGATATTCTGTGGAGGAAAGGGCGGTGTCGGTTCGTGAGCCTACAGCAGTCTTTCCCTTCTCATTTGGCCTTGCTCACCTCTTATGTCAAGGCAAGACGACCACCTCTTGTTCACTTGCGATCCAACTAGCGACATGCCGTGAATCTGTACTCTTGATATCTACAGACCCGGCACATAACCTCTCGGACGCGTTTGGCCAGAAGTTCTCGAAGGATGCCACGAAGGTCAACGGGTTTGATAACCTATACGCTATGGAGATCGACCCGACGAGTTCGATGCAGGAGATGATTGAGCAGTGTGCGTACTTCTCCGAAGTGAATGAATTTTTTTCAACGTGCATGCTGATACCTTTCCTAGCGGACCAGAATGGCGGTGCGATGGGAGGGATGATGCAGGATCTTGCCTTCGCCATCCCGGGTGTGGACGAAGCGATGGGTTTCGCAGAGATCATGAAGCACGTCAAGAGCATGACGTACTCTGTCATCGTCTTCGACACTGCGCCTACAGGGCACACACTGCGTTTCCTCTCCTTCCCGAGCGTGCTAGAGAAGGCACTGGGAAAGCTCAGTGATCTGAGCGGGAGGTTCGGGCCCATGCTCCAGCAGATGAGCGGCATGTTTGGCATGGGACAGCAGGAGGATATGTTCGGTCGCTTGGAGGAGATGAGGGGGACTATCACGGAAGTCAACGCCCAGTTCAAGGATCCGGTAAGCTCTCATGGCAGCGTATATAAGGCGTAGACTGACCTGGACAACAGGAACTGACGACCTTCATCTGCGTGTGCATCTCCGAATTCCTTTCTTTATACGAGACGGAACGGCTGGTGCAAGAGCTTTCCAGCTACGAGATCGATACGCACAACATTGTCGTCAACCAGCTGATCTTCCCAAAGCGCGGATCAAACTGCGAACAGTGCAACGTCCGTCATGCGATGCAGCAGAAGTATTTGCGGGAGGCACATGAGCTGTACGATGGGATGTTTAATATCGTGCAGCTGCCGTTGTTGACGGAGGAGGTACGCGGACCGGAAAAGTTGAAGGCGTTTAGCAGGATGCTCGTAGAGCCGTATGTCCCTCCGCAATAGATCAGTGTAATATAGATTGGGTTGCCGTTGTCTACGCATTCATTGGAATCTCTTTCTGGAGCGTATCAAGTGAATGCTCTTCAAGCAGGATGATATTGCGCAGAATGAACATGGAGAGAGGAGAAAGTATGCTACAGTCAGGGCTAACAGTCAACATCTAGCGCACATCCCGACCACGCTTCCTGGCAGACGACGATCCGGAGGCGGGTAACTTCTTCCTTCCCTTCTCCGGGCTGCCCTGTTCCCAAGCCATCGAGACCATCGTACCCATCGTCGACAGGTCTATATCCATGTCCGAGTCCTGTAACTGTTTCCTGCGTTCCATTGCTGCCCTCCCGCCCTTGTTGGCCGCGAGCTCATTCATGAGTTTGTCCCTTGCTGCCTCGTGGTCCGCTATCTTGCGTTGCGCAACAGCTGCAGAGGACTGGATGGAGGTGATGCGATTGTCGAGCGCGGAGAGCACCTGGGTAGTGCGTTGTGACCAGAGTTGAAGCGACTCGAGGAGCTTTCCCATCTGCTCAGGAGGCACGTCCCGACCCATCGTGTACTCCACCTCGAAGCGCTGTTCCTTCTGGTCCAGCTTGCCGCGCACTACGTTCGCGTAGATTGCGTCGATCACGAGATCTTCGAGTTCGCGGATAGAGGAGAGGTCGAGATACTGCAAAAGTTGGGCGTAGGGGAGAATGCGAGAGGTGGCTGCGAGAGAGACCAGGGAAAGGTGTTTGATCTTCGTTAGCTGGGCAGGAGAGAGGGGTGGATAGTCCATCGGTTTTGCTGGATATCGACGTGGTCAGAGGGCATATATCCACTTTACCGTCATAACGCACCTTTGTAGTCGCCATACGTATGATACGCAAACAGTTCCAACAGATGATAAGACGATGCGAATTGCTCACTGGTCTTGAGCTGTCCGAAAACATTCAGCACAGATGGTAGACCGTCGGAGTCATCTCTCACCTCACTGATGCTGGGGGTATCCAGCAGCTCTGCGAACACGAACACTCCAGGAGCAGCGGTGACGGTCTCAATGAGCTTCGCCGCTGCAGCACCTTTTGCTGACTTGGACATTAGCAAGAACGGCTCGAGCTTTGCGGACGACGAGTGTAACATATCCATCGTCAGTGCGCGGTGGTCGTTTGGTGGCGAGTGAGGTGAGGTGACGACAGACGTGGGCGATAATCTCGTGTTCGCTGTTCAGGGTCTTCACAACTGCTCATTACGGTCAACGACGATGTCGCTCCCTACAGTACTACGACAATCTGCTCGTCGCTCAGCATGTACGCTGCCTGCTGCTGCCGGTCCCAGTACCGCCTCTCGAAGGATGGTGCACAACCTCTCTGATTGGACGTGCTCCACTTCTATGCTTGTTCCCATCGTCATCGAGCAGACCGGTCGAGGAGAGCGATCGTACGATATCTATTCACGTCTGCTCAGAGAGCGTGTCATCATGCTCGCTGGCCCGGTGACCGACACGTTGGCATCGGTGACGGTTGCTCAGCTGCTCTTCCTGGAGGCAGAAGAGGCGATGAAACCTATTCACCTATATATCAACTCGCCTGGTGGTAGCGTTACAGCCGGGATGGCCATTTATGATACAGTACGTCGTGCCCCTATGCTATGAACAATAGTTTTCTGACAAGTGTCACAAAGATGCGATATGTCACGTCGCCGATCTATACCTACTGTATGGGTCAGGCAGCATCAATGGGTTCGCTCTTGCTGGCCGCAGGGGAGAAGGGCAAACGTCGAGCACTCCCCAACGCAACTATAATGATCCACCGTGAGAGCCATGTCCCCTTCTCATTGATTCAGTGCTTACTCATCCAATTTATTTATGTATCAGAACCATCGGGAGGTGCCTCCGGTACAGCGTCGGACGTTGCTATACATGCAAAAGAGATTTTGCGCGTACGAGAACGTTTGACAAAGATATATCAGAAGCATTGCGGGCATGAGGGGGAGAGTGTGGAGGATGGCATTGAGCGCTTTCGTGAGTTTCACGTTCTCTCATCCAATGCGCATTCTTCTCGTCATTCCTGGCGTTGATATAGCTGCTTAGGAAGGGCTCTGGAGCGAGACTACTTCCTCGACGCCGAAGAAGCCAAGGCCTTCGGAATCGTCGATAGCGTTCTCGAGAACCGCGGAAAAACAGAGACGTCCCCCGTACCGATCGGTCTGTCAGAATCAGCCTCAGAACCATCTTCGGTCGGCCTCGGTGTCGACTCGAATCCGGCGAAGGAGCCTTGATGATGGTCACGGGAGATTGATACATCTGCATATGGTTTATCCGTAGACATCATGACTTTGCTTCTGTGATATGTAATAATGCACAGTGATCTGGCCATTTTACAAGGATTATATCGATGCCATGCCGCCGAGTGCTGGTCAGAATCACAATATTATGTTGTTGCTTCGGTGTCTCGGGAACGCCGATCGATCGGTAGACGACGATCAGGTAGACGGAAAATTCTTGCAGTGCACGCCCTACACTTGGAACATGACGCTGTTACCACGTGTATGGAAACCGCAGTCGGCTGATGTTGCTGTTCCACGCCCATTTTCTATCTATGGAAATCGTGCGGTGAAGAAACACACAAAGGTACGGCTGTACAGTTGCGATACTGGAGGCGTTTGACTGGTTCGGCCTTTCCCGTCAGTAGTCCTGCCGATTACATAGGTAATGCGAGTGAATCCCTTCACCGGATGTGAGGCATTTTTGCTGCCGATGGACGATGTATTAATGCCTGGATGCAGCCCCTCAAACTCACAAACTGCGTCAGGAACATACAAAACTTCAAGATTGAAAACATTGCGATTATATCCGTACGCTCCGGGATGTTCGAGCCTTATGTAGGAATCTTTCATGGTCGGACCGGAAAAGAAGCGCAATTTTGCACCATGGGGATGGGAAAATCTCCGATAGGGGCATCTCTCCATCCCAATTAACAACCTTCCCGAGCGTGTACGCAAAAGCCTATATTTGAGGGTGGAGACGTGCCCGAGGTCTGGTGAGTGGAGAATGATGGTCTCTTTGGTGAAATGTCAAACTCAAAATATGAGGCCACGGTTGTGGGCCTGTTCTACATATTTGTGTGTCAAGCCCGGCCCTTTTACCCCGTACACCGGATTATGTGTGTGGTGCCTGTTTAGACATTATGGAGTTAGACCAATGCCGGTGCATCAATTGCTGGTGGATCGTCTCAAGAACTCGAGGAGCGCTCACAGCCCTTCAAACTGAAAACAAATCCTGTGACCTCGAAGATTTCTTTGCTCAGAAAAGGAAGGGTCTTGATTGGTGATATCCGGTCGCTTTCATCAAAAGAAGTTTTCCCCCACCACACTAAACATTGCCCGCAGCCTCTATACTCCACGTTCACATGATCTTGGCGAGTTCTATTGTGGCAAGGCACTCCTGTTATAACCCTTGCATGGGAAGTCACCGGTGCCTCCGGCCGTGGACCTATTTATCTTCCATCCCTTTTCTTTGACATCCTTTCGCCTTGGTTTCCCTTTGCTCGAGATGACTACTGAACGAGACAAATGCGCAAACAAGGACAAGAATACGGAGGCCCAACATGGAGTTATTCCGTATCATCCATATACGGGGGGCTTCTGGAACGGTCCGAGTTCTTCCTTCACTTCGCCAAGTATACCGACTTTGTATGGTCAGGTGCAGACGGTGGGGTTGGCTGAAACATGCCACCCAACATATAACCAGCAACCTCTTCCCTCGACGTATTCCATGGGAGCAGGAAATTTATACTATCAAATACCAACTCCCCTATGCGCTTCACAACAACTGACTCCTCCTGGGAGTCTTTCGCCCCCATTACCGCATCGGGAATCGTCTGGAGGATATCCTCTGCAGGGTGTTTCGGCATTATCTATGGCATATGTCAACCACGAGCTCCACGCGCAGTATTATCCTGTGGAAAGTGCGGCCTATTCTTCCCCTCCCCAACAACTCGCATCCTTCGCATTTTCGACCGCTGTCTCTTACCATCCGACGAGTTTGGAGACGTCACACGCGCAGTCGGTCCACGACACATCTCTCCAAACTGTTTTTTATCCGCAAGAGCTTTATCCGCAAGACGTTCCTCCACTTCTAGAATACCCTGACTCAGAGCGATCTGAGTTATTGCCGAAGGCCGAGCCAGAATCCAATCCCACCGAACTTGATGAATCCCTTGGAACTGTACAGAGTTCCGCGACCAAACCAGACAATAACCCGGAAACCGCCGTCGGCGTCAAACGTCAAGAGGCCCATAATGTGGACTACTATACGCCACCTCTCTCCGAGTCACCCAGAGAACTCAGTGGAGAAGAGGTTGATCCTGATGCCAAAAGACTGTACGCCCTCCAATGCCGAAGGAGAAACGGGCACCCCCATGTAGCGTGCTATCACTGCAAGCACAGGAAGATGAAGGTGGGTTTTATACCTATACCACCATGGTTGGCCGATTGACCACCAGGGTAGTGCGATTCCAAAGTCTACGACAGGGACGGCCGCCCATGGTGCCAGTGAGTTATTCGTAGTACTTGCGAAACACGCGTATGGGTCTAACCCAACCGCAGGCCATGCATCGACCGTCGAGGACCGTGCTATTGGCCACCTCAGTACCACCAATATATAATGGAGGCTCACGCCAATGCAATGGCCCGAGGAGAAGTCCTCACAAACAACATGGATGACTTCGACCCGGGTAAATGTTTTGAGCGCACGTCGTGGTCGTGGAGGCGTAATCTTCAAACTGGGCGGAATGAGTTCGACGACAAGGACGAACCGGAGACACGCAGGCGTAAAAGGCGATCGCGGTTGTATAACTGGTGGGATATCTTTTCGGTCCCAGAGACCATTGGGGAAGAGAATTCTGAGGATGCTGCTACATGATATGTACAGTTGTGTGAGTTGTACTGTATCACCCATACGAGATCGACTGCTCAGGTAGCACTAATGGTAGTTGTGCATGTCAATCAATCAATCCATTAATACATAGTACAGTGAGGCGTACAGTTGTGCGCAGTCTACTCTCCACAAAATGACAGTCTACATGCCCATCCGCCGTCTAGGAGTCTGCGTGAGGCGAGAACCGGCGCCGATCCCGACCGACCTAGGAGTCGGCGTTGAAGGCACAGCAGCTCGGGTGCTCTTGGCAACTTTTGCTGTAAGTGCCCTTTCCGCTTCACGCTTCGCCTGCAAGTCGCGCTGGCGTGCCATTTCCATCTCAAGCTCGGCCTTCTTGGAAAACTCTCTATCAGCTTTGCGCCGCGTCGCACTATCGTCGAAGTTCTTCTCCTTAATTGAGTAGAAGACCCCACCCAGTTCGGCGAGCCAGTATGGGTCGATGGCGGTCACCTGGGTCATGTACTCCTTCGACGTCATGATCAGCTCGTGGTATACGACATAGCTCGGCGTGTATCCGAGGCCGTACAATGCGCTGGTCGGATGGAGGTGGCAAGGCATTCCACTGCGGATGTTGACGAATTCGCCGATACCCTTGACCCTCGCAGCCTGGTGGAAGTAACCAGCGGCGATCGACTTGCGCACGCCGTCATAGTCGGTACCAGAGCTTATGAGCTCCATCTTCTGAAACTTCATGATGTCTTCTAGCTGGGAACGCACTTCACGCGCCTTCCGGAGCAATTTCGGGTGCAGGAAATGACGCATCGCCCAATCGTCACGAAAACCATGCATCTTCCACATGTTGAACACGTTGAGGAGGGTCAGATGATCGCTCTCGGGGACTTGAAACTTTTCTCTCGCAGCGTCAGACTCTTCGAGCCGTTCCTTAGGCCGATAGAACACAGAAGGTACAGAGAGCATGCTGACGATGGTGAGCATCTCCGACGAACACTTGAGTTCGACGGAAACAATTAGCATCTTCGCCATGCTAGGTTCCATAGGGAACTCGGACATCTTCTTCCCCGTCGGGGTGAGATCGCCGACATTGTCAAGCGCACCGAGTACCCACAGCTGGTACATTGAGTTGAGGATGTTTTCTTGCGGGGGCGGATCCATGAAATCAAACTGTAGTAGGTCCTTCACGCCCAAGGATTTGAGGAGGAGCATCGTATTCGACAGGTTCGTCCGTTGGATCTCAGGGATCGTGCTCGAAAAGAGTTCGTTCCGATAGGCCATCTCCGTGTACAGGCGGTAACACCAGCCGCTTCCCGTTCGCCCAGCACGGCCAGTCCGCTGGTTGGCATTCGCTTGACTGATCGGTGTGATCTGAAGCGCGTCCATCCCGACCTTGGGGTTGTACACACGCAGCTTGGAGTAACCGGAATCGACGACGTACATGATCCCGTCGACCGTGAGGGAGGTTTCGGCAATGTTGGTTGCAACGACGACCTTGCGTCTGCCGTCGGAGGTGGGGTCAAAGATCTTCGCTTGGAGATCTGCGGGCATCTGGGAGTAGATAGGCAGCACGGCTAGTGGCGCTGGCTCATTCAGCTGCAGGAGACGCTCTTTGGGAACAGCATTAGCCTAAAATCATATAGAGGACATGGGTACGGCGTACCGTTAACCACCTGGCAGGTCACCTCAATATCCTCTTGACCAGTCATGAACACCAATATGTCCCCTTGTGGCTGGGCAAGATGGATCTGCAGCACCTGCTTGACAGCAGATTCGACATAGTCCTCGCAAGGCGACTTGCTGTGGAATATCTCCACCGGGAACGTCCGTCCGGGGATAGTGAACGTCGGACAGTTGCCGTAGAATGTCGAGAACTTCTCAGCATTCATCGTTGCGGAGGTGACGATGAGCTTGAGGTCGCGTCGTCGAGCAAGGACTGTGGACTGATTAGCTTGAGAACGGCTGCGGAAAAGGAGTGCTTACTCTTTTTCAGCAAGCCCATTAGCACATCGGTGCTCAATGATCGCTCGTGGGCCTCATCGAGGATGATACAACTGTACCTATCGAGATCACCCTCGTTGAGTGACTCGCGGAGGAGGACACCGTCTGTCATATCTGTCATTGCGTCAGTATAGCGCACCGCCAAGCTGGGTCGAACAGGGACGTACACTTGATGATCGTATCGTCGCTCGTACAGTCCTCGAACCTGATAGCATAGCCAACGGTTCCGCCAAGCTTGACACCCATCTCCTCACTGACACGCTTCGCCACACTCATCGCCGCTACTCTCCTAGGCTGCGTACACCCGATCATGCCATACGTGCCATATCCGTCTTCGAGGAGGAATTGTGCGAGCTGAGTCGTCTTCCCGGACCCAGTCTCGCCGACAACGACCAGCACCTGGTTGTCGCGGATGATCCGGAGCAGGTCTTCTCGGCAGGCGAAAGCGGGGAGGTATTCACGCTGCTCTTTGAGGGTGCGAGTCCGCGCAAACTCACTCGTTCCTGCCGTGGTCTTAAGGTGCGACGCGAACTTGCTGTCGGCCTTTGGGTCCACCTGTTCCTCCTCTTGCCCCGGGCAGTCTGCCGTCTCCTCAGCCTCAGCCTCCTCGTCCTTCACCCCAAGGACGTTCCCAAGCGCCGTCCCACCCAGACTCGCCATCTTCGCCGCGGCCTTCTGTCTCTCCGCCTGTTCTCGTTTTGCCCTCACCAACGCGCTTCCCTTCTTCGCAAACTGGGCAAGGTCGCTCGTCGGGTCCCGTACAGGGTTGATAGGCTCAAGCTGCTTGGTGAACACCGTACGCCCGTCGAGGAATGGGGGCTTCAGGTCGTGGGTCATCACGTGTACCGTGCTCTCCGCTTCGTCCTCGAAGTCGAGGTCGACGTGTCGACGCTGTGCTACGCCTGAGGTGAGCATACGATTGGCTTCCCAGAGGTCATTGTCCGCGTTCTGTACGTCATGTCAGTACATTCTTCCAATATGAAAGAGACAATGTGCATACATACTGCGCCTGACGCGCCGACACCCTCTTTACAGGCTTCTGCTCCACCGTCTTTGGCAAGTCCATCTCCTGATACTGTGCAAATGGGTTGTGGTCCTCCGAGTCGGGCATGACCCCACCCTCGTCGTCCCCAAGATACCAATCCCTATCCAACCTAAGCTGTTCTTCCTCCCACTCGCGCACGTCCATCTCCCTCGTCCAGTCTCCATCGACTGGAGCGCTGCCTTCCCTACTGCCTTGTCCTGAGCCTGCGCGTGGGGTGGGCGCGTCCCATCGCCTATCGCGAGGCCAATTGCGTTCACCAGGACGAGAAGGCGCGCGGGCTGTCCATGGTGTCCAGTCTGATGCTGCGCGAGGTGTAGGATTGTTGGGATTTAGACGTGAACGTTTACTTGATCCTGATGAGTCTGTTGCATGGTCTTCTGGGTTGAGAGGTCGTTTCCAAGGCTGTGAGTAGTAAGTAACGACAATGTAAAGATATAACAGTTATTACTTACTCGATTTGGTCCATTGTTATTATTATTTTTATTTGGAGCTGAAGTTGGCCACATGAAGTATTTAAAGTGTATAAAAAAGTAAACAATAAAAAGTGTAGAAAAGTTAACAATAATAATCGGCGATAAATGTCCGAAATAGTTGAGTCAATGGAGGCGCGGAAGTATTTCAGTCGGATTTAAGCGGCGTTCTTCTTTGCTTTATCAAACCGAACTTGATTTGTTTGTTCATTTCTTACTCTTTTTCTCTTCACTTTGGGATTACAATGTTACTTGCTTATAGACAATTACCAAGGCTGCTATTGAGGAATAGGTTGACTACTATTGCGAGTGGGCGAATTCTGGCAGCACGATTGCATTCTACGCCGACATGCTACCAGAAATTCAGAGATATGACCGACCCATTGACAGGCAAGACCGTCACATTGCACGATATCGACCCTTCTCTGGTCAAGATTACTCCCAATCCTAATCCTGGAACTCCCCTACCTAGTGAGAAGCTGTCATTTGGGAAAACATTCACGGATCATATGCTTGTTATCCCATGGACGAGTACAGAAGGGTGGGCAGCACCGGAGATAAAGCCTTGTATGTCCTTACATTCCAGTCCTTTGCTTCATGGCTAAATCTCCACAGACGGGCCTCTCTCCCTCGAACCATCATCCGTCGTGCTGCATTACGCTAACGCACTATTCGAAGGACTCAAGGCCTACCGTTCCGCCAGCGGGCGTATCACCCTCTTCCGACCCGACATGAACATGCGCCGAATGAACCGCACCGCCGAGCGCATCGCTCTCCCCACCTTCGACGGGCAAGCGCTCACGGAGCTTATCGCCTCCCTCGTGCGGATGGACGAACGCTGGATCCCCAGCGAACCGGGGCACAGCTTGTACATCCGTCCTACCCTCATCGGCACCCAGAACGCACTTGGCGTTGGGCCGAGCACGAGCGCACTCCTCTTCGTCATCTGCTCCCCTGTTGGACCATACTACAAGGGCGGATTCAAACCCATCGCCCTCCTCGCCACCACCAAGCATGTCCGAGCCGCACCTGGAGGGATAGGATCGTACAAGCTTGCGGCCAATTACGCACCGGGGATCATCCCCCAACTCGAGGCGGCGATGGAGGGGTATGCGCAGAACCTGTGGCTTCAGGGCAAGGAGCACTTCCTTACTGAAGTAGGGACGATGAACCTGTTCGTCGTGCTCAGAGGAGAGGATGGAGGTGCGTCTAACTTTTCACACCCTCTCAGCGCGGCTGACATCCCCTAGCAACCGAGCTCGTCACTCCCCCGTTGGACGACGTGATCCTCCCCGGCGTGACGCGTGATTCAGTGCTCGCCCTCGCCCGTTCGCACGCATCCACGCCCATCACCGGACTTCCCCCTTCCAAAGACTTCCGCGTCCTCGAACGCCCGATCAGCATGCCCGAGCTCGTACGCGCGTCCAAGGAGTCCCGCTTGCTCGAAGTCTTCGGAGCGGGCACAGCGGCTATCGTCTGCCCTGTAGATCGTATCGGCTATCTCGGGGAGGACATACATGTGCCGGTGGGGGAGAAGGGCATGGGCCCGATTTGTGAGATCATGCACCGGGAGATTGTTGGTCGCCAGACGGGAGTGATCCCCAGTGATTGGGCATACGTTGTCAAGGAGTAGAAGGGCTGATCATCTTAATCATATTATACCAGTGGTGATTTGCTTGAGGTTTCCCGCACAAGTATCCCAGCGTGTGCAGGACAAGGTACAGCATCCATTCCACCCTATACACCTGCCTAAAGCATCAAAACCATTATGTACACGTATGACATCCAACCCCCAAATCGGCTCCCCTGCGTGAATTACTAGAAATAAGCCAGCACAAGTACAATACAATCCGTCCATAGAAGAACGAAAGAGTCATCACAACGAAAGTGGTATTATCCTGAACCAAGTCCATGCCCAAAGCCTCCCCGATATCAATCATACTTAGGTTTCCAGATCCATGCCAGGCCTACGTCGCTCATCCCAGCCTTGATAGCCTGGCGGTACCAGCGCGCAGCCTCCATCTTGTCCTTCCTCACTCCCCTTCCTTTCTCGTAACAGAAGGCAACTTCTTGCGCACATTCCGCATCCCCAAGCTGGGCCCCGACGATAAAATAATTCTAGCATCGAGGTCAGCTCAATCCAAAAGCAGCAGATGAGAACGCACAAAACCCATCTTCTTATCCTCCTTCACTCCCCAACCATGCATCGATCCCCTGGCCACCTCGCCCAAAGCGAGCACCAGTTCCCGCCTCACACCACCAAGCTCCTTGATCATCTCCTGCCCCCTTCCGGGCTGCAGTCCCCGAATTTTCTTCCCCTGTGGCTCCTCCACCTCCCACTCCTTCAGCGCCCTCTCCACCCCCTTCCTCATCCAAACATAGCCTCGCCCAACGTCTTTTCTCAGCCCCCAACCGTGCCGGAGCGTCAGGCCCCACATGATCATCCCCAGCGCACACCCTCCGCCCAGCTTGGCCGCGAGCTCGAAATGCTCTGCTGCGAGACGGAGGTTGTCAGCTCCGTGCGCTGAGATGCCGAGATGCAAGTGCTGCACCGGCTGGGGGATACGTGGTACAGAAGGTAGGGTTGGGCTAGCCGGAGGAGGACCTGGAGACTTCCGCGCCTCAGAGAGGGAGGACATTGAAGATACGGAAGACGTGGGGCGGGAATCGAGCGATATTCTCGGGGGAGGGATGAACGCTGACGGAGGGCTGAGCGGCCCTTTGTGCATAGTGGGTGACCTTATCGGACCAGGAGGGCGCGCGGCCCTCCCGATTGGCAACGAGGGCGGCGGAGGTCGGGGTGGCTTCACCGTTCCCGTGCTGGTTATTGTCGTCGTTGACGCTGCGACTGATAGCCCGCCCAGCGCACCGGCAGGAATAAACCGCCCGGCTTTCACATACCTCCCCGCCAGGGAGTCTGCTCGTTGGGGCAAGGCGACCCGAGGCGCCTGGGAGAGTTCCTCACTCTTGACATCCCTGCTCTCGGAGCTCGAAGACGACTCTACAGAGTAGTACGAGTAGTCAGAGTAGACCGACATTGACGGGGAGGTGAGGCCGGAGAGGGCGACAGCAGCGAGTTTCTTGTTCAGGGCTGTGGGGGGCAGGCCGGGTGTGCCCTGGCTGGGAGGTCCAGCGGAGACGGGGTTGGGCAAGCGAGCAACAGGAGGGGAACGGGCTGGCGTTTGCGGGAAGACGAAAGTGTCTGCGCTCTGTGTACTAGCGGACAGCTCGGGCGGTGTGCCTGTGCTCCCCGCGAGAGGGATACACGCCGTCTGCAGATGGAGAGGACTCGCTAGCGTGCCTGGAGAGCGAGGGGAGAGGTTCGTTTCGTCAGGGTTGCTAAAGCTCCGAAGCTGGTGGTGCGGGGAGACGCTCGGCTGGGAATTACTCCTCCTTAGCTCTTTTCGCTCATTTTCCCCATCAACTCCGTTCTCCTGAGGGCTGGGATCGCGCAAGCTGAACGCGCTCGGTGGACTTGGGCCATCCCCCCTCGTACGGGGCCGTTCGGACGAAGCTTGGGCGAGCACCGGCTGCTGAACTTGCTGCTGGGGATGCTGCTGCTGCTGCTGCTGGAAGTGTACAGGTGCCGGCGGCTTCGAGATCCCCGGTTGAGAGACGTTCCCTTTCGTGGAGCTGTTCATTTTCCCCGCGCTCCCACTCGGGGACACGGGCGAGTCTTCCCGTCCTCGCACATCCGCTGACACAGAAGCAGGAGGGAGGATAGGCTCAGGCTCAGGCTCTTCTGTGACGACAAACCTGAATTTGCCGGCTGAGGACTCCGAAGCGGGGGGACTTTGGGAATTGGCAAAGTTGGAGTCGTGTGGCGAGACGGGGGAATTGACGACCACCAGTGGAGGGGAAAGAGCTTCGAACGCCCTGAAGCTGAATAGGTCTCCTCTCGGAGAAGGGGAGGAGGCGGAGGAGAGGGTGGTAGTATGCGACAGCTGGCGGGAATGTCCGGTGGAGGGGGTGGGGTGCGAGACCTGTTGTGAAGGCGGGGTGATGACTGGCGTCAGGCCGGGTGACTTGGGTGCACGGTAGCGTTCCGGAGGAGGGAAGTAGCTGCCTTCCCACCCAGGAAGGACGGGGGAAAGCTTCTTCTCGCCCGGAGCGGGGGTGTCGGCAGTCGCCTTTCTAGATTTTCCGGGAGGGACGGGACCGATCACCACTCCCCTACCCAGAGGGCTCTCGACGGCTTCCTGCCCCGTCTCTGGGTCTTCTTGCTCTCTCGCCCCGGGTGAAGAGACCTCCGTTCGCCCCGGGTCTGTACCACCACTCGTCGCCGTCCAATCCGAAGCAGTGTCCGGCAGCCGTTCTGCCTCGACCGAAGTTCTCCCTGCCTGGCTCAACGCCTCCCTCGCCATGCGTACCACGCCGACATGCACATGGGCATCCACCTCTCCTCTCACCGGCTCTGCCAACTCAAGGCTGTATGTACTCGACCCCGGGGAGTGGAGCGAGTCCCGGTCTCTGGAGGGGGTGCCGAACCGGGTATGCAGGAGCGGGGAGTGGGGAGACGAGGGTTCCCGGCTTGAGTGGGACGGGGTGAGGGAGGCTGAGGACGAGCGGGTGTGTCTGGAGCTGGGGGGAGATGTGGCTCCGGATACGTGGGAAGAGGGGGTTGCGCCGGATGAGTGAGGTGAGAGGACAGGGGTGTAGGATGTATTTAGAGGGGAGAGGAAAGGCGTGCGTCTGCTGCTCGGCGTGCCTGATGTCGATACTGATCTTGATACTGAAGCGAGGGAGCGCGCTGAGAGCATTATCCGGTCTAGAGGTGAGAGTTGGTCGTCGGGGAGTGTGAAGAATGGCATGATTGGGGGAAGGGGAGCGGCGGAGAGAGGTTGAGCGGGTGACATCGTCTGTATCTTCGTCGTCGTCGTCGGCGTCGGCGTCGAGGTGGTGAGTGAGTGGTGGATAAAGACGAAGATGCAGCAATAGAAAGAGCGGTGCGTGAAAGACGGAGAATGATCGATAATCAGAGGAGTATTCTTCGGTCACAGAATGAGCGAAAGTAACGAATGAGAAATCGCAGTCCTGCAACGATTGAGTACACCAAAGTTGACAGTTTGTACCGCCAGCACTGGCAGTCGACGTCGGTGAATGCAGACAATTCAGAGCACAGCGTCGTCCACAGCAGCGAGAGCAGCGCCAACGGCAAGCAGCAAACAGCAAACAGATTATCCAAGCCAACAGTCAACGAAACAGTCAAGAATAGAGATATACGGGCACTGCCCTCCCTTCCCTCTATTACAAACTGATGAATGGATACCGGTCGACCCGTGTGCGCTGCCTTCTGGTGCGAGGGCGCTGTCACTGCCGCTGTTGCCGTCGCCCCTTGCGCCCTCTCCGCTATTCACTCTTTGTTACTTCCGCCTGAGAGAGCACGCGCTTAGGACGAACTTCTTTTATTTCTCTTCTTTTCTCCAAATTCAAGGGGATATCAATTGACTAACTTTCAATCTGGTAAAATGTACAACCAAGTAAAAGTTACTAAAGTTGGCATTTCTTCATTTCTTCGTTACCGTTGCTACCTTCTTCTCGATATAAGAAGCAATTCATGTTTGCTTCTCACGCTTCTTTCGTAAAGCTTCTCGGTGATGGCCGACCCGGCGAGAAATACATACATTTTCTTACCTGATCATCTGTTACGCCTGTTTAGGACACGATACTCCGAAGGAGGATAACAGACAATAACATTCTCCAGTCTATAATCTATGAACAACATCTATTGCCCACTCCTCCACACCCTCTTCCCCGCCTGCCAAACCTCTCCCCCTTGCATAAAAACACTCATCAGCACGCCACCCTCCTCCAGCCTCGGGCCAGGAAACCAATCCGCGTGTTTCTGGTGGAAGAAATGGATATACAGTCCTTCTCGTAGCGGGACGGTCTGTGTTGGCTGAGGCTTGGCGTTAGATAGGTGGGAGAGGACAGGTACGTCGATTGATGGTGGGGGTGGCTCGCGGCGCTCCCACACCCCTTCTGGACCTCCTTCCCACCCTCCACGACCGACGAAGACCGTCCAACCCTTCTCATCAGGGGGATGGAGTGCAGGGAGGTACTCCGTCGCCCACTCGCTGGGGAACCACAGGTCTCCCTCGTACGCCCCTCTTCGCAGGCTTACGGGACGCGTCACCCCCTCCTCGGAGAAGGTCGGCCGTCTCCCCGTTGGCCGGGGGCACGACGCGCATTCCCCCGGGAGCCCCAAGACCGGGATCTCTGGCCAGTCCGGCAGGGAGGGAGGAAGAGAGTAAGGCATGTACACCCCCTTGAGGCTGGCGAACGTCGGTGTGTTGAGGGCTACTGCACCTAGGGGGATGTCGACGAGAGAAGAGGAAGAAAGGAGAAAGGAGATGTTAGACCGAAAGATGAAAGCGGAGAATTCGGCTTCTTCCACTGGAGGGAGATTAGTGTGATCGAAGAAGGGAAGGGAGGGACGTACTGGCAGTGTATTGCCCCACTTTGTGTTTCTCGAGATACGCGTCGGGGGAGATGAGGTTAGGGTAGGAATTGAGCTTGTCCTCCACGTTCGTGCCTGTGCGAAAGAAACACAGATGTCCCCGAAGGTAGAGCAGCGTGTGCGGCGAAGCGGGGACGAACACGTCGAACGCTTCTGCATCCCAGGGGACTGGCGCTGTTAGCCTCTTCTTGCTAGCAAAGGAGGGGGAGGGGACGTACACTGGGTGTCGAAGTTCCCGAGAAAGGTGTCCGGGTCTGCCCAGCCCCACCAGCGAGCGCCAGGATTGAGGTGGTGGCGAAAGACGTACCCCCTCCAGAGGCGGAAAAACGAGTGTTGCTAGTTTTGTCAGCGCAGACACTAGAGGGAGAGGCGGACATACGTAGTCCCGCTGTTGGCGCTCGATCATCGCGTCCAGAACTAGCTTCCTCTCCACGTCTGAGCAGTTCCAGCGCTCGCAAAAATAGTCTCTGTGCATCTCCCAATCTGCTCATGTCAGCTCCCAGCTCCCAGCCACACATCAACAGCAGCCGGGACGTACACTCGTCCTCGCTCAAACACAACAGACGGACGTTCGCCTCCACCCGGTGGCGATCTTCCACCAGTTCTAGAGGGTCGAAGCATGCGTCTTCGTGTGCCCACTTGACGCCCACCCAGAGGACTTCCAACGAACGGGCGTTGGCCAGCACAGACTGGAGGAAGTTGGACATGTACGGTTGAACATCATTTTTCCATATTATTATTATCGATATCGGAGGCCCGTCTGCAGCATCCAGGTCGGAGGAGGAGGGGAAGGAGGTAGGGGAGTAAGACGCGTTGAGGTCCGTGGGGGAGAGGGCGGGGAAAGAGAATGGCCAGCGGAAGGTCATCGTCGGAGACAAGCTTCCAACCCAGGAGATAGCGTACAGCGAGCCGAATACGCTTGTAAGGACTGCGAGCACTATGAGTGCCATGGGCCTGCGCAGGCCGCGAGACGTCGAGAGGACGGTCATCGGCCGTTAATGTCGCCTAGAGCGATGGAGAGCAAGGCCCAGAGAGGGCAGGAGGCAGAAAGATGGGTATTGAGCATCAAAAGGATGCTGGAATTAAGATATTGGAGAGTTTGTGGAATTCGAAATGGGAGCATGCCGGTCAATGTTGCCTCTAAGTTTGGCTTGGTTTGGCTTTTGAGCTATATCATTTCAGAGGTATGTAGCCTTATGATGGGGGACCCTAGCAATGGGAGGTATTATCGAGTTGAAGCTATTAATATCCTGATTGGAATGCAGGAAGCGCCATCAGCCTAGTCGTCGTTTGATTAAGAGAAGAGCATAGGTGAGTGATATGTTCGAAGGAATTCGAAGAGATGAACAGAAGAATAGGATCACGTGACAGAGAATGCGGTTATCCTCGGGACCAATCGCACCAGCTCGCTGCCTGCAGGCGCTCGTCAACCTCTCTCTCTCTCACCAATTGTACCGATACTTCATCACGAACTCTCATGGGTGGACGTCAAGGTGGCAAACTGAAGCCATTGAAGGTGCGTCACCCACTTGTTGTTCTATGATCCGACAGGTAGAGCTTACGTACTGCTAGGCTGCGAAGAAGGATAAGGCGGAGGATGATGAGGCGGGTTGGTACACGTGGTAGGAGACATGCGCTGACAGCGAGATAGGAGTCAAAGGCGTTCAAGGCAAAGCAGAAGGCGGACGCTGCTGCGCTGAAAGCTGCTCAAGATAAAGGTGCGTGATGATTTGCAGAGCTGGATGCTTGCTGATGAACGTGTAGCTAAACAACGTACGTCTGCATTAACCCCCCTGATCAGTTGTTCTTCGTTCTCATGTTGATCGGATAGATGGACCGCTGGGTGGTGGTGGTATTAAGAAGTGCGTATCCTTTTGCCACACATACGCCTGTTTTAATAGGGGTATAGGTCGTCTGGCAAGAAATAGCTGTAGTGACGCTATCAGGAGGAAGTGTGGGTTTTAGGGTTATCGAGGATGGCATGTACAGTCGACAGCTTCGGATCAATTGGAAGACGCAGTTCGTGACAGTATTAAACCGCCCCGCAGCTCTCGCAGCGAGCATATTGTCCGTGCGCCTTTTGCCGACCCTCGTGCTTGTATCTGGGAGATCTCGCTCGATCAATGTTCAAGCTTTCGCGCATGCTCTTCCATCCCCCAACCTAAGGGACAGACATGACAGATCGTCGTCCGGCAGAGAGACGGAATGCGAATCAAAGTAACGCAGCCAGGCGATGCCTGGGAGGCAATCAAGAGGCTGATAACTCAATTCGGCTGGTCTTATCCGCCATCGTTGTTAGTTCTGGGCTCAAGTAATGCCCTTTGGCAACCATCCCATATTATGTGCGAGGAGCAGAAATATCTGAGCAAGGACTGCTCCCTCACGTTTTGGAGCTCCTCAAGAAAATAAGTCAGGTGGATGAGTCAATGCTGGTCAGGCTTACAACGAATGGGTGACAATGGTAGCAGATCAGTCTTGATACCTTCGATGTAACCGTTATGGTGATATAAAAACATGGTGGTGTAAAGTTATTACAAGACAGGTGTGTGAGAACCTCTGTATTGGCTGCTCCAGGGATGCTTGGGGGTCCTCGTGTTACAAGCGCCAGTAGACGTTCATTGCCCAACCTCACCGTCAGCACTCACAAAATGGCCAACCGCGCCTCCCTCACTCCATCGCTCCAAGCACCAACAATATCATCCACAAACCCAAGCACAGCTTCCCTCCTCACTCCAGCCTTGCTCACACTCTCTTCTCCACCCCAAGCACAAGTCGACATCAACGTCGTCGAGTACCTCTTGATAGAAGCGACGCGCGCTCTTGCGGACTCGGCACGGGTTGCTCAGTCGAGTAAGGATGCAGTTGAGCAAGCGATGCGGGACGCTGGGTGGTTACCTGCCCCGGATGCTGGGAAGGGGGAGACGACTGCTGCGGCGAGGGAAGCTGCTCTTGGACGGTTGAAGGACCAGGTGAGGGAGGAAGTGGAGCGCGCGAGGAGGGCGAAAAAGGAAGATGATGATGAGGGAGCTGTACGTCTCCGACTGGAGAACATGGGCGTGCAAGTCGGTGGGAACTTGGCGGAGAAGTACGTCTCTATCTTATGTTTGTTTGCAGTTTGGGATACGGTATTGATCTAGTGAAGGTTGTGCAGGGATAGACAGAGGTTCACCGACCCGTTGGACAGCGTCAAGTTCCTCTGCAAAGAGATCTGGCCCGCAGTATGGGACAAGCAAGTCGATAACCTACGCACCAACCACCGGGTGAGTATCTCCAGAAGTACAGCCATAGACGGCACTGACAGGCAGGACAGGGCGTCTACGTATTACAGGACACGTCCTTTCGACCTCTTGCGCGGTTGTCTTCACCCTTCGGCTCACAGGAGGCGATCAAGCGTGCGAAACTCGTGCGTTCCCCTCTTGCTCCGTTACTCATAGTATTTCACTGATCCTGCCCTGATGAACAGCATCTTGCCTTTCCATGCGGGATTATCAAGGGCGCTCTGGCGAGGTTAGGTCTGAACGGGATGGTGACGGCAGAGGTGAACACGTTGCCACAATGTACGTTGGTCACGAATGTGGGTGGGTTGTGACTTACGAGGAAAACAGGTACTTTCCAGATCAAGATACCGAAGAGTTCATGAACGCTTGGTCGGACTGTTACATATGTTCGATCGTCCTGCACGCTAATGTACACTTTGGATATACGGCACCCAGTCTAACTAAGGCACGGCTGGTGCTCGCCGCACGCATCAACGGCGTCCATCCAGGTTTATGTTAGCTAGCAGATGTACTGGTATTCTCGCATATACCCAAGCAAGCAGACTAATCCCATACCATCTCAAACAAAACAGCGCCGCATCTACGCAACATACTCAAACAAGTTCCTATCTCCCTCATTCCGCGTAATATACTCCCTCTCAATAAGGCTCTCGATCTGTTTCTTGATCTGCGTCGGTTGGGGGACAAAGTGCGCCCTCACCGCAACGATGACTTCTTCCATCAGCCTGTTGTTTGCTAGCCGCTTGCGGGCTTTCATGATGCGCACGATGGCGGCGTCCAGTGCGTGCGTGCGATCTTCCTCGATATGATCCTCGATCTGCTTCGCTTCCTCCGCCTGTACATGTGCGCCATTAACATCAGAACACCAAGCGCGGGACGCGGGATGAAACGCACCGTCTCTCCCTGTTGGATAGAATTGATATGCAGTCTCCGATTCTTATCCGTAAACTTGGCGTTGTACTCGAACACATCCGTATCCTCTACCTCCTTGCCATGTGGGATCTTAGTGATAACCCTCTTTCTTCCCAAAGCCAAGCTCTGGAGTGTTCGACGCAGTTCCTTATCCTCAATCCCCGTGGCTTCCTTAATCTCTAGGAAAGTAAGCGAACCGCCGTCCTCGAACAAGAGAAGCACGACAGCCTGATACAGTGAGACGCTGAGCTCCTTCGTCCCAGCCTCAAACCGTCCCGTGAGTGTGACAGTGCCGAGCGAATGCGCCCAATCAAGTTTCCGCTGCGCGTGCTTGCTCTTATAAAACGCCAAAAATGACGTGAGGGACCGCTCCATCGCTTTGGGCAGGATGACCTGTCCGAGCGCGTATGTCGGCCAATTGGAATGTTGCATGACCATCACGTTCATGTTCTCTTCCTCCTGCCCACGGTCGGCTCGGAGGTTCTGCCACTCGCGCATCATGTCTCGGGAGAGGGCGAGGTCGCTGAACATCCCGTGGCCTTTCTCGAAGAACTTATCGTCTGCCCAGCCAGTGAGCTGATGAACATGAATGCTTTGAAGTTGGAGTGGTCACTCACGGTCGATCAGGATTTTGAGCACGTTCATCTCAAAGTCGTCACTTGCGCTCTTCTGCAACAGCAGACGCTTGGCCAATGCGCGAATATAGTACTCCCGGAACACATCCCGATCTGCAATCCACGTTAGCTCATGAACCCGACTGGGGGGACCGACCGACCTTTAGTAAACCGATACAACCCCAGGGCCTCATCGAGCAGTTTCTCAAACTCCTCATCCGTTGCGCTCCTCTGGCCCTTCCGCATCGCCTGATCGATATATTTGGCGATCATCTCCGCCGGCTTCTTCACCCTGAGCGCAAAGCCTTTCTCGAACGCATCCAGAACACAGTTTCTCCATGTCCTCTCAGCCGCTAGGTCGTCCGGATCTTCAGAGAAGGCGGCTCTGGTCACTTCGTCGGCGAATTCACGTAGAGTAAGGAGGGAGGAGATCATCTTCTCATCCGACTCTGCACTGGGAGGTTGAGGGCGGATGATACCCCCTACGATAGCGCCGAAGGACTGCGTGAACTGGACGCGGAGGGAAGCAAGGGATGACAGACGGCCGGCGAGGGAGTACACAAGCTTGAGCTGGGTGATATTTCGGTCCTCGAGCAGCTTGGGAAGAGCCAGCTTGGACAACTCCACCATTAGCCCTGAGCCGAGCAGCCCTTCCTCGGCCGCTCGCCGCACCCTGTCTGTCCCCCCGCCGAGTTTGAGCACTTCCTCCGCTCGGGAAACTTCTTCCTGGATCTTGCTATCTGCCATGGTGAGATACGCGAGCGCCTCTTCGCTATTCGTGTGTGGGATGCTAGAAGGGAGGAGCGCGTAGTGCGTGCTCGTGCTGTGTAGATAGGGGCGGAGGAGGACATCGTACAAGTTCAGCGTGAGGAGGATATGCGAAAGCGACTTGAACAGCTCGCGATAGGATGTGTTGCGCTCCCTGCTAGGCTGTTAGTTGGACCAAAGGGATGGGGAAGGGCGTACGGAGCTGCACGCTCTTGTGCTAGGAAATCTTCGATCCCGTATTGGATCTTGGACTGGAAGTCACTGTGTTGCAAGATACGCTCTTTGAAGATCTGCCGACCGAGCTCCCTGATGTAAGTTAGCCATGGGCAGTACTACCACATAGTAGACATACAGCACAGGAAGCTTCTCCGGAGCTTGATGTAGGACGTACGTCTGGTCGACGTGTAACATGAACGAGCGCACGAGGCCCTACACTCCCGGTCAGCTGCGCCAGAAATGAAAGCAAGCAACGCACAAGATTCTTGTCAAATGCCTCCCACCGTGCTACAAGCTCTGATAACCACTGGACTCCCGCGGCCTTTGTCCCACTCCCATGCATCACTTCCCCCAGCTCTCGCCCTATCAGCCCTACGGTCCGCTCCAGCTCGCTCCTCACGTCCGAATACACTTCTTCGCCCGCACCTTGGATAGCGACCAGTTTCTCACATGTAAGCGCGAGGGTGCGGAAAGTTGTCGTCAGTTGTGGAGGGTAGGTGTCAGCCAGAGGGCGGGGCTGGAGGAGAGTGACGATCGTCCGCCTCAGAAGGTCGCGCTCATCGCCCGTGGCAGTAGTAATATGGTGCGGTACTGTTCTCATCAACATGGCAACACGCCTAAAAAGCAGATACTAACCACTAGCATTCTTGATTCCTATCCTCCTGGGCCCTCCGGAATTGACGAGTCGACTCGCTCCTGCCCCAAGTTCAGAAGTGCGCGCTTGCTTGCGAGGCGGCTCGGGTGAACCGTTGTCGATGTTGGCGAGGGTGGGCTTGAGGTTGCTGAATGCATCTGGGGCGTAGACAGGGAATGAGAGCAACGTTGCGAGCGAGTTTGACATGTTATTGTTGTTGTCGTCGTCGTCGACTCGTGTGCTAGCTAACGACCTCTCCATCACGCTCTGTCGACGGTGGATGGAGGCGTCGGCGTTATCGCCCACTGCCGGGGTTTATCTCCGATGAACGAGTCGAGCACTGTATGCTTAGCTTGATTGATACACATTCTGCAGGACCTCATGGCTTTTCTTCCTTGTCGAACATGAAACAACGCCGGTCTTTCCATTACAAGTTGCGGTTAACTCCCAGCGCAACTCAGATTAACTCAATAGATACCAGTAAACGAATACCCTCTCCTGGGGGGTGTAATCCATTTCCCCAAGCACAAACGGGTCTACGATTGCTTCATACGCGTGTATGCCACTTCCATGGCTATAATTGATATAGAAGGCGTGTTATTCAGCCTGGGTATGTTACAGTGTGCACACCTGCCTAGTATCCTTCCCTCTAATGCGCATGATCCCCCAGCGCCTGGCCTACTCTCACCTTCTCCCCGGGCTTGACGCTCCATTCCCACCTCTGCGGGGCTTCAAACACAAGCACAATTGTGCTCCCCAAAGCAAAGCCTCCCATCTCCTCGCCCTTCACCGCCGGCCATCCTCCTAACAAAGCGCTAGCACTCGAATAGCTCGCTTCTACGAATGTGCCCACGGGAGGTGCAGAGTGCGCGTTTGTACGCAGGTCAGTGTCGAAGGAGATGTTGATCGACCCAACGTTCGTAGCGCCGACGGGGATAAAGGAGAAGAACCCGTGTCGCCATTTTCCTAGCAGGGCTACGCGCTCGTTCAACACAAAGAGGTTCGGGAGGCGAGAGACGAGCCAGGGGTTGACGGAAAATAGTTCGCCTGGAGCGCTAGGTCAACCGGGGTGAGGGATGTAAGGGAGGGGGCGCACCAGAGAAATGCCGCCTTTTCTCGACGACCCAGCTGGCGGGACTGTGAAACCGGTGATAATCGCCTGGCCCGAGATAGACAACGATGTAAAAAAGACTGTTCCCCTCCCTCACGGTGTGACCCAGGCTCGTAACCGCCTGAGCGCCCATCTCCTGCGCCACCTGCACGCTGTGGTGCACCTTCTCCCCTACGGGCTGGTGGATAGCCCGGTCGCCTTGATCTTGCGCCTTTATGGGCGTGGCGGGCCGGTGAGGCGCGTTTGGCGGCTTGGAGGAAGGAGAGCCCATGAGCGATATTAGGGAATAGGGGATCCCGTTTATCTCTGCGAAGGCCGAATCTTGGGTGCCTTCCCTTGGCGGGAGGGAAGGAGAGAGCACGGGGGTTGAGGACTGCCCTCGCCCGAGCAGAGCATCTAGGGAGTAGGTAACACCTTTGATTTGCTCTATTCGGCGGTTGGCTTGAATCTCCCCCAGGTGGACGACGGTCCCGTCCGAGGGAGACACCTGCGTGCAATCAGCTCCAGCTCAGCTCAGTCTCTAAAAGTAGGGGCAAGACGTACCAGCTCGGTACCCGCAATCGGCCTCGCACCGTCTTTCAACCCCCTATAGAAGAACTCTCCCAAGCTCCTGTACGCACTCAGGTCCGCGGGGTCCATCTCCTCTAGATTGACACCGAATAGCCAGGCATAGAAGCCGTACCCGTAGGGGCGAAGCCAGAGGGGAAGTTCGTGGGAGTTTAGCCATCCCCATAAACGGGATAGTTGGCGTAGCGGAAGGGCACCTAGTACGTGGACCTGCGCGTGGTAAGAAGTAACTGACGGAGGAATGATAGGGACGACGCACCTGCCACGGCCCTTGCAGTTTTAGGACCTCCCCGTCTCCACTGAGCGTCACCTCTGCCTCTCGTCGCCTCCTCTGATACTCATGCTTCCACGCCAACCCGACGAGGAGCAGCGCGCCCACCGCTAGGGGCAAGGGGTACCACTTGGTCTCTGTCGTCCTCCACGCATGTGCGACTTTCTGCGCGAGCGGGGCGTCGGGGGGTGGAGGGAGGGCGGAGTCCATAGGCTTGTGGACGACTGCATGAGGTGTTGAGGAGGAGGTAGTCGGGGAGCGGGCATTCTGCGATCGAGTAGATGAACGGGCGTTGTGCGAATTGTGACGTCTGACAATCAGCACTGCCCGAAGAGGGAGTGGGCGCACGTGCGAGGTAAGCGCTGGTATGTGGATGTGCACGTGGGTCATTCTCCTCATCGACAGGGATAACGTCGCCATCACCATCGTCGTTGTTGAGAAGAGGAAAGGGGAGTGAAAAGATACACTTATTTTCCGCGAAGGTTTTATGCACTTTGAGTGAAACTTTCCGTTGCGTTGGATTCGTCCATAGTCGGCAGGGTCTTCTCCTTATAGGGAGTGGCAGTGCTGTTATTGTTGACCACGTGACTACAACTTCTACTTCTCTTCGACGCGCTGCAGCTCGAGCTCATCGACCTCGACGACGAGCACGCAGTTTAGGACGACGAGCTCACCCGGACTCACATGGGCCAACATCCTGATTAACTTCATCAATAATGTCTGCCTTGATCACCGCCCTCCTCTCCCTTCTCCCCCCCACCTCCCTCTTCTCGTCCTACACCCTAACATCCCTCAACGCCCTCTTCTTCTACCTCACCTGGCTCATCCTCGTCCTCTCCCATTCCGCATTCAAAATATCCGTCCTCGCCGTCCTGCTCATCCGTCTTGTATGCTTCTGGATCCCAGCGCTAGGGATGACAGCGTTCGACCTTCTCCTACCCGACCTGGCAGGGAGCTGCAAGTTTCACCCAAGCTCCGTACGCATGCTCCCTTCTACCATCCCATGGCTCCTGCTCCGTGCAGGGATAAACGATGCTATCGGAATCTCCCTCCACGCACTTGCGGTGTACACCCGCCCAGGTCTCTTTCCGGTTAGCGTCACCCTCCCCCTCCTCCCAACGATGGCGTACGATCTTCTCCTCTCCCAGCTCGTCAGCTCAGCAGCATACTACTACCTCCACCGTTTCACGCATTACGCGCTCCCTGCCCTTCATGAGCAACATCATTCCCATCCTCCGACGCCGCTCCTCGCGCGTGCGCAGAACCCAGCTGACTACATCCTTCTCTCCCTCTTGCCGACATACCTCGTCCCTCTCCTTAGGAGGAGTCATATCCTCACCTTCTTGCTCATCCTGGGCACACAGTGCGTGGTAGATGTAGTCCGTTTCTCGGGCTACCAGGGGCTGTGGGGACCCGCTGGGGGGTTGAGCAGCCGTACAGAAGCGCACTACTACAACCGGGGAACTTGTAACTTGTACGTATTCTCTCTCCTAAGAGGCTGGAGGGATACTTACACCAGAACAGTGGAATCTGGGGCATCTTAGACTACGTACACGGGACGTCCCCCTCACTCGAGCCCCCCCTCCTCCGCGGGAGCAAGCACCAGCGCAAGCCAAGCCTGAAAGAACAGTGGGAAAAAGAGCTCCCGAAAGTTCCTATGCCTGTCGCGAGTTCCAAACCTAGGAACGCGCAGCCACGACCGAGGGTGTTGAGGAAGGTTAGAAAACCGGAAACGGATAGCGGGAGTGCGAGCGAGGGGGTTGTCACGAGCAGGAGGAGGGCTGTGTAGGAAGACAGTTGGACTGCGCATTAGGCTGAAGGGGAGTGTACGATCTATGGAAGACGGTATCATTGCCTGATGCGGTTTGGACATTTGCACAATGATTTGGATTGCTCCTTTGGCGATGAAGCGACACAGGTGGGAGCGGGCACGGGAGCGGCACGTCTCTATTTACGCGTGTACGGCATTGTCAAGCACAGGTGTCGTCCCATGGCGAGTATATTCGCCTCCCCTTGCTTGAAATGCAGTGTAATACTTGTACGGAGTGTGAGCGTGAGATGAAGCACTGCAGCCCCAGAATGCCAATGTAGTGTTGGCGGGAGCTCACATCAAAACCATGTGTTCAGTCATAGAGCACGTGGTTCTATCAGCTGGCGATCAGCCGGTTGTGTTACTTGATTCCTTACGGCTAGATTTAGAGCAACATTGGAATCATAACGACTCGTATTCATTTCTGGTATATAAGAACTCTCAAGCGCCTTGAAAGAGTGCGAGGGAGTACAAAGCCCAGTGCAATTGAACACCTTACGCTGGCGGGCAGAAAGTGATCGTATCTGTCTCTCAGTCAGCAAAGACCTTCAAGAATGAGATCACAGCACAGCACTCACAATCCGCCGCGCTCGTCCCCGGACAACTCCACAACGCCGTCCCCGAGCTCTCATCAAACGCGTACGCATACGTATTCGGGCAGTTCGTCTTAAAGTAGCTGTACGTCGGGTCCCCCGAACTGGGGCACGTCTCCGGAGTGTCGTATTGTCCCGAGCAGCAGGCGGGGGAGTTACTAGGGTCAGGATCGACGTCGCATGCCGACTTGCAGCCGACGGGGAAGCCAGTGCTGTCGTATGGCCCTTGATAGGGGGCTGGGCATCCAGGTCCGAGATCCTAGAAACCGTGAGGAGAGTCTACGGGGAAGGGAGAGGAGAGGCGCACCACTGCACAAGCGGGCTGGGGGCAGCCGACGTTGTTCGTGATGCTCATGGGGAGGTTGTACCCGTCCACGAGGGAGACGTCGTAGTTGTCTAACCCGGTAGGGGAGAGCGTGAACTCTGCGAGCGTGGCGGGGGGCACGCCCGTGCCGGCGTAGGGGTCGCACACTAGCCCTCCTATCCAGCTGTCAGCTAATATAACAACACATTGGTTAGGTGCACACCATTGCAACCCCCATCCAAGCAGGTATTAGGAGACCCAGAGCCGTCGAACGTACAGTCCCTCCGGGCCCAGATACGACCTGCTTGCCAATCGTCTGGGACGTAGAACGATACGGCGGTATAGGCATCTGCGGCCCACCCGGTGGTGTAGGAGGGCGCGTTAGCCGGGTTTTGGGTGAACATCGCCGGCCAGATTGTGAATGGGCATCCTGGTCCACGTGAGCTAAGGAAGAAAGAAGGAGAGGGAAAGCGGACCGTTGTACACCGTGAATGTGCGTCCCAAGGCAGGGACAGCGAGTGCAAGAGCGAGAGAAGCAGTGAGCAACATGTTGACTGACGAGTAGAGACGAGCGGTTGTTGCGAGCCTCTGGGCTGGATACGAGCTGGTAGGCAAGTATTTATAGACCGCAGACGTCAGGTTGCTGCGGGATATTCGGCTAATGCACTGCTACTTGTGCTTTTCCGGTATGTACTAGTACGCGACGGCAAGTTAGACGGGTTAGACGCATGCTAGAAGTGAAAGCAGTCCATAGAAGAGCGCAACCAGTCCAGATCCAGCGAGCAAACAGAGTTTCATCGAAATGAACAAAAGCGAGTATTCCTCACGCATTACTGAAAAAGCCCCTGTTGCTGATTCTGGCACGCTGTCCAGTGCCAACTACTAGGAATAGCAACCCTTCCATAAGCTCAACGTAAGCCAAATGTAATGTTCGCACATGCCTGTGCACCAGAACAGCGGCAGCATGAGGCATGACGTCGTCCTCCCGCGAAATCGGGTGGGCGCGAAGCTGCAGAAGCAGAGCAGATGGCCGTTGCTAGCAGAGGTTGACGAGGAACAAAGCTGGATAGGGGTAACGGGTTGTTGGACGCAGGGCATTGGGTTGGGTGTTCCTGGAAGTAGAATCACAGAAGGGTTTGAGAGTTAGATGCAGAGAACACAGTGCATTGCAAACTTGTTCGGTACTGCTTGAGAGCAACCAAATACTAGAAAGAGCAGCGGCGCAATCAAATATCTCATCAACAGATGGAGTTCAAGCCGCGGGACAACGCCTGATGAGCGTGTATGGAACGTGTTCATACCCCCTTACACCGGACATCGAAAGACATCGGGGCGACTGTCGGCATCATATATGTACGGCCGAGGCATAGACCACAGGGACCGCAAGGGGAAAGGCTGAAATAATTAGACTATAGCATGATACAGCGGTTATGTCTAGCGAGCAAGATCCGTGTTATACTGAGGCGTACTGCTCTAGCCTGCACAGAATCAGGATCAGAATCAGAATGCCGGTCTAGAAGGAACAAGGCAGCTCACCCGGTAGCATTGTGCTTGGCCTCGAGCTTCTTTTCGAGCTTTTCAAACTCGCTCAGTGACACCGCTTCCTCCTGATCCACCACTTGTTCAACGAGCTTCACCTCAGGCACATAATGCATCAGCATGCGCTCGATCCCGCTCTTGAGGGTGATTGACGAGCTCGCGCAGCCCCTACAGCTCCCCTTCAACCGCAGCTTGACCGTACCTGACTCTTCCTCAAACCCGCGGAACTCGATGTCCCCTCCATCATCCATGATTGCTGGGCGCACACGGGTCTCCAAAAGCTCCTTGATCATCGCAACCACCTCGCTGTCATCGTCTGTTATCCTCAGATCCTGCGGTCCAGCCGCATCCCGGTCCTCATCGCTCCGGAAAAGCGGGGTCCCACTTGTGAAGTGCTCCATGAGGATGGAGTATATTTCAGGCTTGAGCACTGCCCAAGGGTGCTCACTGCTCTTGCTGACAGTGACAAAGTCCGGTCCATAGAAGACATGTGTAACGCCTTCGATCCCCATGAGCCGTAGCGCGAGGGGGGAGGCGAGTGCGGAACGCGTATCGAGGAACTCGGCTGTTGTGGATGCTCCTGGGTTGGAAGAGGAGGCGGACATGACTGCTACGCCAGGGATGAACTTGAGCGAATCGTCGTTCGGTGTCGACTCGGTTTGGATGAACATTGTACGGACTACCCTTCCATAAGCACATCAATCCATATAGTAGGAGATAACATACCAGATCCAAGTCCAGTCCGGGATATCCTCCCCACACCCTGCCTTGCTCCAGAGCTCGCAAGAAAGTTACTCGGCCCTGCTATTCTCGCAGGTGCAGAAGAGAGCCTCCTACATCCTCTAACAGCGATCATCCTCGCCGCAGCCGACGCCCCCCTAAGCACAGAACTACGTAGAGCGAGTGTTGACATCGTCGTCGGAGAGCAAACGCAAGAGGACGTTGACGACAGTTTTGACAGGTGGGAACATAGGCCGTGGAGGCCAAGGACCGCTGACGGAGCAACAAGCGCCGGCCCCTCGGAGTTATGGCATAGCCACTCAAGTGGGGCAGGAGCCGAGCCAAAGTCACCAACCACCGCTGTTCTCTCCCTCCGTCTGTGTTACCTCCTTTCCTACATCATTCTCGCTGTACAAAATGGATATGGACTTCGCAGCAATGGGCCTCCCAACAGGGTTTGGAAAGGCCCAGAAGTCCAAGCCCTCCATAGCAGCTCGATTCGAGCAAACAAAACGCTCCGCGCCTACGCCAGCCAAAGCCGAGCCATCCCCAGCACCTCCGGCGTCGAAGGAGGTAGAGGAAGGCCCGAAGGTGAGTCTTTGTTTAGGGAGGGAGACGGGAACGTTTACGAGCTGTAGGAAGGTTGTTGGGAAGCGGACGCGTGATGAGGCTGAGCAGGAGGATGAACAAGACGGACCGATGCCTGCACTTACTAAGGAGAATGGGGATGCAGTACAAGATGAGGATGTGGAGGACGTTGATGACGAAGAGGACTTGGAGCCTGAGGATGATCTTCCGTTGACGCACGAGATCCTGTTAAAGGATCATACCAAGGTGCGTTGGCGATAACCATGCACAACAGAGTGCTGATCATTACGTGCAGGCCATCTCTGCTCTCGCCTTAGATCCCTCCGGTGCGCGTGTTGTGTCCGGGTCACACGACTACGATGCTAAGCTCTGGGATTTTGGCGGTATGGACCTCTCCCTTCGCCCATTTCGCTCCTGGGAGCCCGCAGGCTCCTATCCAGTGCGAGAGCTCGCCTACTCTCCTTACGGCGACGCGTTCCTCTGTATTTCAGGCACGACACAGGCGAAGCTGTTCGACAAGGACGGAGAGCAGAAGGCAGAGTTCATCAAGGGGGATATGTATATCCGGGATATGAGGAACACGGCTGGTCACGTTGGTGAGCTGACGGGGTGCAGCTGGAGTCCCTGGCAAGAGAATATCTTCATCACTAGCTCAGCGGATTCGACTATCCGGTGAGTGTGGGTGTTACTGTTAGAGAAGGACGTGCTGACAGTCGCAGCATATGGAATGCGGAGAATAGAAGGAAACAGAAGACTGTTATTGTCGTGAAGAGCAAGGAGAGAGGCGCGAGGACCAAGGTCACCTGGTGCGGGTACAACCGCGATGGGTCAATGATCGCTGGAGGTACGTTCATCCATCTCCTCACTAACCCCGCTGACCAAACTCAGCATGCGCGGACGGTACGATCCACCTCTGGGCGTCTAAGTCCAACTTCGTACGACCCAACTTGTCGGCAGAGGAAGCGCACGAGAAGGGCACTGATACCGACGGGTGTGCATTCGCTGTTGACGGGTGGGGGTTCGTCAGCCGAGGAGGGGACGGGACTGTCAAGCGTATGTCTATTACTCCCACGCATGTGGATCACACTAATATTTTTCTAGTGTGGGATACGAGAAAATTCAAGCGCCCTGTCGCTACTGCTCCTGCGCCGACGATGTATCCCGGGACGAACGTAACCTTCTCCCCTGATGGGAAGTATGTCGTCACGGGGACTTCAGAGGGTACGAAGCAGGAAATGGAGGCGGGGCTGGGCGGCGGCAAGCTGCTGTTGCTTAAGAGGGAGAACCTAGAGCTGGAGAGGGAGGTGCCCCTTGGTGGGCGGGGGATCCTCAGGGTCGTTTGGCACCCCAAGATCAACCAGGTGCGGCGATTGACTCTGGACCTCGGGCACGTGTTGATTGATGCTATCATAGATCCTCTGTGGCCATGCGGACGGGACAATCCGCGTTTTGTACTCTCCCACGCACTCAATCAACGGCGCCAAGCTGTGCGTTCCCCGAGGCACTAAATCCCGCACAATAGAAGACTACGCCTCCTCATTGCATGTCCCCATATTGCTTCCCGAAGAGCCGGGGATGGGGCGAGACGTCTCAGAGCGGCCGAACAAGCGCCGCCGGGACAAGGAGCGGATGGAGACGGGTGGGAAGACGAGGCGGCCTATGGCACCTGTTCATGGGCCTGGCAAGGGCGGCCGAGTGGGAGCAAGCGCAACTCAGCATATTGTCCAACATCTGTTCAGGGACAATACGAGGGACGAGGATGTGAGTTTTTTCTGTCTTTCTTCCCCGTTGTTTGGTTGGACCCTTTTTTCCGGGTTTGAAATGTCGGTCATGTCCGCTGTGATTTGCGCCCGTCAAGTTTTTTTTTTACCCCGCACTCGACGTGGCAGTTTACATAAGCGAGCCATGCATGACTCGTCTCTCGTCATCTCATCTTTTACATCTTGCATCTCGAGACGATTTGCTCACTGTTACGTTCTAGCCAAGAGAAGCACTGCTCAAGTACGCCGACGTTGCGGACAAGGATCCGATCTGGACTGCAGGTGCGTTGTCCCATCACGCAGGGAAGGGCGTTGTTCACGCGCGCGTCCCACCTGCTTCCGTATGTTTGTTTACTGACACGCCATGTAGCGTGGAGGCAGAACCAGCCCAAGCCTGTTTTCCAATACGTGGATACGACGGAGGAGAAGGAGGAGGACGAGTAAGCGTTAGATATAACACGTAACTGTACACTATTTCGTGTCACTTCTTTGGCGTGTACGAGCAAGAAACTATTACTGCGCACGGACCACACGCCCGAGAAGGACTCCACGTGGCTGACGTGAATTGCCTCCGTTTTTGCACGGGCTGCCTCCGCACATCCGGACCAGTCGCGTACATAAGGCGCCTCGCGCGCGCGCCGCGACCTGCACTTGAACCCGGAGACGCTCGAGGACCCCTGGAGCAGCCCCTCTTGTTACACCCCAACCCTAGCCCCTCTCTCTTCTATTGGGCAGTCTTATCACCGACTATCGGTGTTTAGTGTTTCTGTCACGAACCAATCGGAAGAGGCCGGAGAAACACGCTGTATCCACGCCTACCAAGGTGTTATCATACGCCGCGCTGCCCCCAAACCCGCTCGACGCATCTCTTTCCACTTTCGATCTCATCTCTCCCCTTCTCGCTTGACTCGTAACTTGTCTCACCTGATTACATCATGGAAGCTGCTTCTGTATCCGCTCCCCCTCTTGTTCCTGCTCCTGCTCCTGCTTCTGCAGCTTCTCCGGGGTCGGCTCCGCCACACATGAACGGGATCCATCCTCCTCTCGAGCTGTCTGCCCTCCCCCTCCCAACGCCAAAATCATCTCTGGATGCCGTCTCTATCATCCCGGAAATACACACTCCTCAGGATCCGAACAGCATCCCCGTCCCCCCACCAAAGGGAACACCACCCCCTCCTACCGGGCAACTGTTGGATGATGTGCAGATGGCCGAGGCTGGAGAGGGGAAAGGAGAGGAGGAAGACAACGTCGAGCAGATGCTGGGCGCCAGCGAGCTGTCGAGTCAGACACTACTTCCCCACCAAGCGCACGACGTGTCGGGCATGAAACGGTCTGCGGAAGAGATGGAAGATGTCAAAGTTGCTGTTGTTCCTGAGATTGTGGGGATTAATGCTGTCGTTAGCCCTGTGGAGGACGCGATGGACGTGGAGACGCCTAAAGCTGAGCTGGTCGTTGATGGGGCGTCCCAGGTGGGGAGACAGGAAAATGGCGAACCGCTATCCAAGCGCCAACGTTTGACACCCACACCTGATGTAAGTTCCTGCGAGTACCTTTTTGTGCATCTGGCTAATGTGCTGCTGCAGCTTCGTATTCACACGAACGGGCTCCATCCGCGCGTCTCTACCTTCTCTGCCGCTCAGCACAAGTATGCCGCTGCTACTATTCGCCAGCTGAAGAAGAACCGCGATGCAGCCCCTTTCCTCAAGCCTGTCGACACTGTCGGCCTGAACATCCCACACTATCATAATGTCATCAAACATCCTATGGACCTCGGCACAGTCGAGGAGAAACTTGCTCTTTCCAACCCTGCTGTCAAGTCTAAACAGTCTGGATCTGCGACCGAGAGCGACCCAAGCAAACGTTATTGGACCGCAGATGAGTTCGTCGCCGATGTCAGGCTCATCGTGGACAACGCTATCAAGTTCAACGGCGAGGCACACGTAGTGTCTCAGATGGCCAAGCGCCTCCTGGAGATATTCGACAAGCAGGCCGAACGCATGCCCCCTGCCGAAGAACCCAAGCCAGTGCTCCCTGCAGCCCAGTCTGCACCTATCATCCCCTCTCACCCATCGCCTCCTATCCCCAACTCGGCCCATCCCGTGCCCCCGAAACAGCAGCGCAGGCAGTCGATCGCCGTCCCTGTGATTCGGCGTAATTCGCCCGAAACCCCAACCGCTGTCGTCCGCCCGAAGCGAGAGATCCATCCCCCGCCCTCTAGGGACCTGCCATACATCGAGGCTGTGCCTGGGAAGAAGAGGCGCTCTGGGAAGGGTAAGGGCAGGGAGAGGGATGATGGGACGCAAGAGCAGCTCAAGTTCTGTGCTTCGGTTTTGCAGCATCTGTTTAAGAAGTCGTACTATTCTGCTGCGTATCCTTTCTATGACCCTGTTGGTGAGTGTCTGCGTACTTTGTAGAGGAATTAGTGCTGACAGGAGTAGACTACGTCGCCCTCAACATCCCTGACTATCCTAAAATCATCAAGAAGCCTATGGACCTCTCAACGATGAAAAAGAAGCTCGAGTCGAAGACGTACGAGAACGCACAAGAGTTCCACGCCGACTTCAAGCTCATGATCAAGAACTGCAGACTGTACAACCCTGCGCAGAGCCCTGTGCGCGAGGCGGGCGAGGAGCTCAATAGGATCTTCGACGAGAAGTGGAAGGGGCTCCCGCCGCTTTACCAGCTTGAGGAAGAAGAAGAGGAGGACGAAGAAGAGGACGAAGACGAAGAGGGTGTGGACAGTACGTCCTTCTTTTGGAAAACTAGACTCATGCTGACCATGCAACAGTGGCTATGGCCGGTGTGCAAGCGCAGGTCGCTAGGCTCGTCAAGACGCTCGAACAGTTGCAGAAGCAAAAGGCGGACAAGACGGCTAAGAAGAAGGCCGTCCCTGCCGTCCCTAAGGAAGACAGCAAGCCCAAAGCGTCCAAGCCTCGGAAGCCCAAGCCCTCCGGTTCTGCTGGTACTCCTACTGCTGGCCCGTCCAAGCCCCGTAAGCGGAAGGACAAGGATGAGGAGTCCGACGAAGATGGCCCTGTGGACTTTTTCAAGAAGCGCGAGCTGGCGGAGGAGATCCCCAAGCTTGAGGGCGAGGCGCTTACCGAAGCACTCGCACTTATCCAGGAAGGGATGTCCTCTGAGAACCCTACGGGACCGGACGACGAAATCGAGTTAGATATCGATATCCTCGCTCCTTCCGTCATCCGCAGGCTGTATCGTATGGTCGTCGAGCCCGCTAAGAAGAAGCGCGAAGCGGAGGAAAAACGCAAGATGCGCGCTTCGGGCGTGGCTGTTGGAGGCGGGCGCGCGGGGGGTAATGCGGGTAAGGGCGCTTCTGGCAGGAAGGGACACCCGACGGGAGGACTGAAGAGGAAGAGTATGGACGAAGCGGCTGAGGCGGAGAAGATCCGCATGCTAGAAGAACGCTTGAGCATGTTTAACGGCAGCGGCGCGCCTGCGGATGTTCACCAGGCCCAGGGGCAGGTCATGGATGTTGATGAGAGTGTGAGTACGGAGGACGAGAGTTCGAGCGATGATGATTCTGGTTCGGAGTGATCTTACTCTCTGGTGTTGCTGGTGAATGTGATGTGCTATGCACATTATGGTGTATGCCCTGTTGTAGGCTGTAATCCAAAAATGATAATGATACTTGACCCCTTGCTGTGGTATACTCATGTCATCAATTGTGCCTCAATAAATAAGGGAGTTTGCCTCCGCTGTGGCTGCAAACAATAGGCGCCAAGCTTATACATTACAACTCCTCTTTGTCCAACACTCCCTTGTTACTTCTGATTTCTTGGTATTTTGCTTACTTTTCCTATGATACAACTGGTATAAAACAACATGTCTGCTCAATCTATAGCACGGTGGAACGCTATTCCACTCGAGAGGTCTACGCCTCTGCGCTCAGGAGACGATCTAGGAAAAGAGGACAAGGTACCCGTCTCCGCCCAAACACAGGCGCATACTGCCCGCTCGTCCAGCCTCGACTAAAATGTTCTGCATCCCCACTGTCTTCCAGTATGCGATCAGATGAGGAAGAAGACGACGACGTTTCTCTCGTTTCGCGTTCTCCTTCTCCTCAGAGGGAGAAAGAGGTTACGCTGACGACGTACGACGATGAGGGGTATGGGTATGAGCGAGTGACGGTTAATACCCCTCTCGGAGCTGGGAATAAGGGTCATGCGCTGTTACTCAAGATGGGGTGGAAAGCTGGCGAAGGCTTGGGTCCATCCGGCGAAGGTGAGCAGTCTTTTCTCGCTGTTGGAGTTGTGGTTGACAAGGAGCAGGAAGGAAAGAACCGGTGCCGTTTGTCATGAAATCTGATTCTCTTGGACTGGGAAAGCTCAGTCAGGAACTGCGGATTGCTCAGACTGTCGTGGAGCGGCGACGGGAGATGGAAAGCGAGCGCATGATCCGGGAAACTCTTGCTGAGAAACATGCTCGGGAGGTGCGTTTTGGTCCACCTGAGCATGAACGTCGTGGGTGGTGCTGATGATCGTGTGGCAGGATATGGTCGCGCGACAACAGGCCGTGCAGGAGGAAGTGAAGCACCAGATCAGGCTGTTCTTTTGCGAGCTGTGCTCGAAGCAGTACGCAAATGTTGCACAATACGACGAGCACTTGCGCAGTTATTCGCATACGCATAAGCAGGTACGTCCAATTCTTTTTCTGTTCTGCTTTTGGAAGTTGGACTTACGTGAAATGTGGCTGCAGAGGATGAAGGAGGTGATGGAACAGCAGCGCCGTGCCGGCTCTGCGGACACAGATGCTCGCAGAGAAAAGGAACGGAGAAGAGAGGAAAAAGAGCTGAAGAAAATGGCAGCCGCAGCAGGGATCAAGCTCCCTTCTTCCGCACCAAAACATAGTTCATCACCAGCCACTAGCGCCACGCCAGCTTCCGTCCCAGATCCAGGAGCACCTGAGGTGGAACAACGAAAAGGATGGAAAACATTCGCGGCCACCGTTACGGCGCCCGCACCGGGTCCGCCTTCGGGGTTCAAGAAGTCCGGCTGGGCAGCTGTGGGCTCTTCCAGTACTAGCACTAGCGCGGCTGGTACTGGTGCTGTTCGTGGTGATACTGTTTCCTCGTCCGTTGGGTTTAACCCTTCTGGACCGGCACCGTTAGGATCAGCAGGGTTGGGAGGGTTCAAAAGAGGAGGATATACGACTCTTGACACTTCTGACACTTCCCAGACTCTGAATGCTCGTGCTACTCAAGGTTCGGACCATGGCATCGAGAGACCCGGCTGGATGAATGTGCCTGAACGGGGTATGTCATCCTCCGCCCTGCCGCCAGGATATGCTCCCCCTCCTCCACCGCCGCCGCCGCCACCGACTTCCGAATACGTCCCCCCACCGCCTAGTGGATCTCCCCCACCACCCCCACCGCCTCCATCCACCCACCCCCCTCCACCACCGACCTCATTCCTCCCGCCGCTCCCCCCACCCCCAGGTGGGCGGCCTCCATCTCCGCCTCCGCTTTCGAGGGTCGCCCGGACTGATACCCTAAGCGTGCCCCCTCCGCATGTAATATCCAATACTTCTGGGCCATTAGCTGGGTACCGTTCGGGCCCTTATGAAGAACAATACCGCTCGGGGATTAACCAGATGCATTCCCCGAACGCGTTCGAAACGGATCGGAGAGGTGGGGAGGCTTATGGAGAAGAACGTTATAACGAACGTAATGGACGGCGCGGACAGGACTATGGATACTGGGACCAAAGATATGGGCATGCTAGTGATCATGATGAGCGACAGTGGCATGAGCGCGACCGATGGGATCGGCCTGACGACGCGCGTCGGAAATACGATGATAGACGGAACTGGGATGGGAGGAGTCATATAGGGAAGAGATATTCATGATTTTCCCAGATCTTATATCCTCGTGACGATGCAAACGAAGTACCTGGCAGAAATTGTGACGAAAGGGTCCAAATCCGAGATTGTAATGTACATTGCGAGGATTTTTCCTCGGACTCGTTGAGAGCGTCGGAACTGCGTGCAATCCTGAGCTCATCAGACTATTTTACTGCGTTCAGGCACTTACGGGAGGCGGGAGCGAGCTGGGACGCGGGCCTTTCACTACCTGCACGATGTTGTGCTGGAAGGGAGTGGACTGCAGTATGGGCAATAGGAAGGGGAAGTATCTTAACTGGACGTCATCTATCGATATCTTTTTCGACAATGTCAATGGGATATCTGTGAAACGACTTTGGACAGGCGTTTAGTCTTCTGCTTGGAAACGGACCCTTGATGTACATGTGTCTTATGTCTTATGTCTTGTGATAGTGGAGCGGTGGATGCGAGAAGCCGGGATGGTTGCGAGGATGACATTTCAGCGGGTTGTGTTGCTGATAATCAGGACATCCGCATTGATACAAACTTGTGGTTCCCAAAAGGTTGTTTGGCAAGATCGCAAAATTAGACCGTTGAGAGTGTAATTCGGCTCCGGCCTAAGTTTTCCTCTCCTTTTCAGGCACGACAACCCTCACGGAGCCTAATTTACACCAGGCTGTTCCCACGCGGCCGAATCCGTGTGCGCCGGAGTTGAACGGCCAGCTGGCGCTTATTGATCCTATCTGGTACGGACTGGATATTACGCTCTATTAACAGATATGATTGGATATGACTAGATGCGGTACCTCGGCGATGGAGCCTTTGTTTCTCCGAAGAAGGGTCGGAAGGGTACATGACGTGCGGGCGCCTCCGTCAGAGTCTCGGTACGCCAAGGGGAGAGGAGGTGCCACACCAACCTTCGGCGCCAAAGGATTTCCGCCTCTAAGGGCTCTTAGCTTGAAAGGACTTGTCTAATATGGGCATGATAAGATGCCCTGTTTACTCTGCGGCGGCTGTCAGGAGCTCTGTCTCAGCTTTTCTTTCAGCCTCTCTTCTCTGCTTGCCGCCACCTCTTGCTGTGCTGGTGGCTGCACTAAAGGAGCATCCAAGACGATTCGGACTCTACTTGTTGCCTTGCTGAGCCTGAGAGACATCTTATCCGAAATCTTTCTCTTGGCGTTATAGGCGCCCGCCTTGCATCTTCATCCCTCTCACCCTCGCTCTTTCCTCATTAGCACAATCAGTATCACCACTAGCATCAGAACAACCACAACCCACCACTAGCACCCACGACGAAAAACATCTATACCTCCCTCTCCCCTTCCATCCCCCACCATGCCAACCCACCAACGTTACTCCTCCCGCACCTCCTCCCCCCTCCTCGTCTCCTCCCGCTGGCCCGCCCTCGCTCGAATCTCCCTCTCCCTCCCCTCCCGCGCCACCCATCGATGGCTCGGTCTTGGCGTCTTCGGCCTAGGAGTACTCATGGCATTTCTATTCTTTGCAGAGAGTTTCTCCCTGCATTTCACTTACCAGGGGCAGGGGAGGTGGCCTGTAGCTGGTCCAGGTACAGGAGGGTTGGGGTTGGCGAAAGGAAGTGGGAATCAGGACCTGTCTTGGTTGACACATGAGGATGAGTCTCTTCAGACTGCTGCGCGCAGACCGCAGGTGTACCATAAAGACTCAGGAAGGATCGTCGTCACCGGCGGTGGGGGCAACATCGGTACGCCACCATCCCATCCCTCGTTCACCCACTAACCCAAAGTGCAGGGAAAGCAATGGTTCGCCGGCTCCTAGCAACATCCACCCCAGTAACAGTGTTGGACCTGGTCTTCCCTCCCCAGGAACTAGAAGACATCTTCCTCGATTTCCCCGCTGCTCGCCAGTCACTCCACGTCGTTTTAGGAGACATACGCAACCAGACCTCCCTCTCAGCAGCCCTCACACCTGACGTCGTCGGTGTGGTACACCTCGCCGCTGTGTCCCGTGTCCTCTGGTGCTTGGAAAACGAGCCCGACTGCCTGGACGTCAACGAGCGCGGCACCCAGCTCGTCCTTGACGCTCTTACCGCCCATGGCCTGCGTACGTCTACCAAACCATGGTTCGTCCTCGCCTCATCGCGCGAAGTCTACGGGAACGCCCGCTCTTTCCCTGTACCGGAAGACGCCGATCGCACACCAGCAAACGTCTATGGCGCCAGTAAGCTCCGCGCCGAGTCCGTGCTGGAACACCATCTATCCCAGCTAGAGAAAACCGGGCGCAAAGCCGGATCCTTGCACGCCATCGCCCTTCGGTTATCGAACGTCTATGGAGGAGAATTCGACCACCTCGAACGGCTTATTCCCTCCATTGCTACTCAAGCGCTTTCCCACCTCCCGATCCAGCTCGTCGGCGGCGCGCAGAACCTCGACATGCTCCATCTTGACGACTGTATCGACGCTTTCATGCTCGCTATCCGGCGGCTCAGCACTGCCATATCAGGCAGTCGCTCGCCTCGTACAGCACTGGAAGCGTTTAACGTCGCCAACGGGAAAAACGAGCGGGCGCCAGAGCTGGTCGACAAGCTCCTTCATCTTGCAAGGTCAAAGTCGCCCATCCAGAGACTGAGAGGGGATAACAGGTTCCCGGACGAGTACGTCGGGAGCACGGTGAAAGCCCAACAGGTGCTTGGCTTCCGCGCACAGGTGTCGATCGACGAGGGCTTGCTCAGACTTGTCCGGCTGTACTTGCAGCGCACGCAGAGGTTCTTAAGCCAGAAGATAGGCGAGCAGTGTTTTGCCCACTCCCCCGATCTGGAGATCAACACCCATTTGGAGAAACTCGACGACTGTATGGTACACGTTACCGCCGACGTGCAGAACCGACTTGGTGTGCTCACGCCCGATAACCAGAGGCTGGAGATAAGGAACGCCTACCCTGCTGCGCCTTTCTGGTCTTCGATCAAGCAAGAGGACGGCAAGTTCATGATCCGCCTGAGGGATTGGCATTATCCGTTCATGTACCTCGGCCTGCGTCCCGACACACACGAGCCAGGGACGGTACACAACGGTGTGGCAGACGACGGGGACTCGTCAGTCTGGTGGGAGGTGGAAGTGGACCCCGCCCAGGCAGCGATCAAGCTCCTCCTTCCTGGCTCAGGTCTCCAGCTCACCCCGCCAAACATGTTCAACGGCAACTTCTCCTGGTCCGCTGCCTCCTCCCCTATCTTCCCTTTCCGCATCACACCCCTCTGCTGTCCTTCCCCCGCTCCCTGGCCGTTCGCGGCAGAGGATCCTATGGACCACTCGATCGATTTCCTCCGTACGAGCACTATGCCCCAGTTCTCGGCTAGCATCCCAAAAGCCGAATGTCAGCGGATGACCCGAGCGCTAGACAAGGTCCGCCGCGATCTCGCAACACTCAGCCTCGACCTTTTAACGGGAAAGAATGGGATCCAGACCCGTCTGGGGCCCGTGAGCGAGTGGAGCAACACGGGTCTCCCCGCGTGTACGAACATGTGCGACCACCCGACCGTGTGTGTCGATACTGGAGACTGTCAGTGTGTCCTCTCCTCCTGCCCTTCAGCAAGCAGGTTCCCCTTCTCGGCATTTGCCAACCTACCTACCCTCTCCTTCCCTCCTATGCTTGAACCTCCCTCCCAGCAAAACCCCACCGCCCTCCTCGAGATGGTCCAGCGCTCTTCGTGGCGGAACGTCCTCCGTCCTCAGGCATCGCGCTATATCGGCACGAACGAGCCTTGGCCCAAGATCCACGTTGCGGAGCACACGCCTCAGCTCAAGACTTGGCTCGAAGGGGAAGGCGCTGAAGTTAGCAAGCTCAGCCATTATCACTGTTTTTCTGCCGACGTGAGCATGGAACTCCCCCTTCGGGAAGTGTCGGTGCCCGCAGAAGAAGCAGAGATGATCTTCATGCCCTTCTACCAGAATCGCGCTCAGTGGCTGTTTGGCGAAGAATGGAAATTCATGCGAGAGACCATCCCCGGCCTGGACCCGCACAAAGTTGTCATCCCCTTCACGCACGATTTTGGCGCGTGCATGTGGTGGGAACACAGTGTTTATCGGGCGCGTGAAGAACGCTTTGATCGAGCGAAGGAGGCGAGGGACTCGATCGCTTGGCAGGTTATGGCTGATATGAACACGCCTTGCTATGCTCCCCTTCAGGACGTCGTTATGCCTCCCCGGACATGTGCCAGCCCGCAACTGTACGCCGCGTTCAGCGATATGGCGCGAGTGAAGCCCGCGCGCCAGCGGAACGTGCTCGCCACGTTCAAGGGCTCCTACTGGGGCACAGGGGCAAACACGCGTAGGAAGCTTAACTGCGAGAAGCGCCTGCGCACGCTTGAGGATGTGGCCACGCCAAGACTCGAGACTGAGCAGCGGCTCATGACTGTTTGGGACTCGCTAGGCGACTATGAGTCGTACCCTGCTATATTGAATGACACGATTTGGTGCCCCTTGCCTGAAGGAGTGACTGGCTGGGCAACACGATTAGAAGACGTGGTGTACGGAGGTTGTATCCCGGTCTTCGTCGGCCATGCATCACAGTATCCATTCTACGATATGCTGGATTGGAGCAAGCTGTCGATCGCTATCGAGCGGAAGGATCTTCAGCGCATCGAGGAGGTGTTGATGAGCTACACGATGGAAGAGATCGAGCGATTCCAGACCAACCTCATGCTCGTCCGTGACGCATTCCTCTACCCTCTCGACGGGAACCATAAGGATCAACTGACGATGCGTGGTCCGCTGTTCTACGCGATGCACTCGACCAAAATGCGGATGTTGACGCAGTATCCCAGCGACGTATTAGTGGACAGACCGGATTGGGCAGAAGGACGGCCTTAATAGAAAAACACTGCAACCTTGGACGCTTTGGTTTGGCTTTGTCGTAACATGCTTGGAATGTTTCCTTGTATGGTTGTACTAACAGAACAGGACTTTTTGGGCTACTTGGTTTCACATGCATCTTTCACTATCGGGACCATGTTACTAGATTGACTACATTTACCTACTAGTCGTGCAATGTAATGATACCAGAGCAAGTTATCAGGCCCTTCACCAGGTCCTACATATCGCCAAGGCGTAGTCTCTGGCGGCGTGACTCCAGCACCATTTCATACTAGTATTCCTCCAAGAAATCCCCGTATTCCTTCTGCGCCTCCTCTAACTCCATTGGCAACTCCGCCGCCTCCGCACGGAAAGCTTGGAATTTGATGTCAGGCTCGTCGAACTTCTCGTCAGCCACCTCGACCTCCCGCTTGAGTTTCTCCCGGTTCTGGATAAATGATCTCTCCTTGAAGTCCGCTACCATATTTTCCAGAGGGGTCTTCGAAGCTGCAATCTAGTACCTGATATCAGTTTATGTACTTGCGGCGGAAAGTAGTATCACGCACGTGCGTCGTTTTCGTACGCATGCGCCAGTACCTCGATAGACGGCAAGTATTCCCAGATCCATGAATCTTCAGAGGACGACGGCTTTTTGGCGGCTTCCCGGAGAGCGTCTCCTGCGCCCAATCAGCACCGGATTGCATATCCCGCGACATCCCCTCATCCTCCTGGAGCGCATCAATCGGACCCTGCTTCCTGTCAGTGGGGAAGCCGAAAAGGCATAGAAGCGCCCACCCTCGTTTCACTGATAATGCTGAGCGTCTGGTTTGTCGGTACCATCGAAAATAGAAATGTTGGAGGATGTGACTGAAGAGGTAGACGCGGTGAATTATCTTCACAGTTGGCGCTTACCAGTGTGCTGGCTCCTGTCGGAATTCTTGGCATCCAGAGAACCGAGAAAGAGGCGATTTACACTATCAGGATGAGATTGAGCACAAGGAGGGAACGTCGAATGTATAGAAGAGACACTCGAAAGAGGATCAAATCCCTACAAGAGAGGACTAAATTGGTATGATAACTTTGGACGCTTTCTTGTCGTTAAATGTTTAGAACATCTCCTTGGATCGATGGACCTCAGGATGTTTTTGGGGTACTTCGTTTCATACGTGTTTCGACTGTGGTGACTATGTTACTAAGCTGAAAACGGTCATACTAGTTGCGCAGTGCGGTGATACCAGAACAGTTAATCGGACTCTTGCTCCCATGTCTCCACGAATTTACTGTCGTGGAAATTGGTCGCTTCATACCAAAATATCGCAGCCTCTACCTCTGCCGCTCACCCATCCCATTTTTCCTTCAGGTCGCAGGATCTCGTCAAGTATGTAACCAACCTTTGGGTCGAAGTTGGCATTGCCAGAAAGTGGTCGAGTCGCTCGCTGAAGTATGCAACCCGCCTCCGCTGGACTGCCTGCAGTTTCCTGATAAGATCATTCAGGTTGTCCGACCATTCCTGCTCCATGTCCTTCAGCATCTCACTTCGATCCTTCTTTCGAGTCGCAGGCTGCTACATCATATGAGCTTACAGTGTAGGCTGAGTATGAAGTTACGCACCTGCATCTTTCCTTGGCATGGCTGCGTGGCCTTAGATTGGCGGTCAACAATATGGCTCATGGATTTGTGACTCGTCAGAGGAGGGTTGCGTGAAGTAGCTGCAGAGGGAGCCTTCTGCGGTCCTCCGATATTCGTCGGCCGCGTGGTGGCCATCTTGCTGAGCCTCTCCTTTGAGCCGGCAGGTGGGGCTGGCTGACGGGGAGTACCAGTATTGGCTCGCAGGGTAGCTGGGACCTGCAACCTATCAGCCGGGCAGATAAGAGAGCGGAATGACCAACCCTGTTGTTTCCCTTGACTGCAGTGTATTTATCCCTCATTGAAGCTGGTAAGAGTCGAAGTTGGACTGAAGCAGGTGGTGGTATGGGGGAAAAAGTGAGGGGGACTCGACAAATTGCACACCCTCCTTTCATATATCCTGGTTCCAGAGTAGTGGATCTCATTATGATCACCTGACGAGTGGTATGCGAGTCGGATGCGACCTAGTTGGGGATGTACAGATGAAGAAGCTCTTAGTCTGAATATGGACTCGTGTACTCCGGTACAAAATCATAACAGATCTCGGCAGCAGCACATGAAAGTAGCAATCGTAGACACAAGGGAGAACGCTGATTGCTGTTGCCTCATGCAGATGATACTGTCGTAAGAAGACATTGAACTGCCCTTGATGGATGGGCGGCCCCGTCCTAGCAACGTTAACAAAAATAGGCACAGTTCTTGTGGCAAGCATTTATACCAGGGGTGATCGACGAGTCGCTCCTTGTATTTCTTCCTATGACAGAACCTCCTCAAGTCCTCCGAATAAGAATAGGCTGAGAGGCAGCACCCGTTTAGCCAGTGAGCGCCTCTTTCAACGATCATCCGGCATTCTACTGATGCTGATAAAAGAATCAAGCAGCCTCGTCCTCATGTACGCAAGGGTCGGAAACTACTTCCGACCGGAGAACGGTTTCCCATCCTTGGCCTGTGACGTCGCGCCGGACAGAAGCCCAGAGACTCTCGCTAGCAGGGATTTCCTCGTCAAGGGTTCTCAGTTAGAACCTTCTGATCTCTCGATGAAGATGCGAAGAAAATAGAAGAGGACACTCCCGGCAGTAGGTGGATCCTAGTTACAGTGTTGGATGCAAGAAGTTGAATATTCTTGCAATCGAAGGTTTGGAGGGTGTTGGGATGATCATCGACGCAGGTAGGAGGAACCTAAGCTTGAAGTCAGGATCTGAGCATCCAGTCAAGCCATGGGGTAGGGAAGTCATAGGATAAGTTCCTAGCTGAATAACTCTAGTGGTGGTTGAGAGAGAGTTGGAGACGAAACAATTGCCTTTGTTGCCGCCGAATGAGCTTACGTCAGCGTGTACACAGAGTTGGCCAGCGGACGCGTTCGGCGGCAAAGTGACTCCTCATCCGATCCATATCTCATACCACCATCTCCTCCTTCCATCACTACCACCACCACCTCCCTCATACTCATCCCTACCACTGCTGCCATTGCCATCACCGCTCTTACCGTCTATATCCCCCCAACCGACAAACTCATGCCATTCCCCGATCCCCCACCACTCCAATCCTTCCCCATGCCCGTCCAATCCCTCAAACGGCCTCGAGAGGAGCCCGACCTCCCGCCGTCGCCCACCCATGTACCGTTGTGCACCCCTTCCCGATCCCCCTCCGTATCTCCCCTCCCGGCAGCGCTCGGTTTCCATTTCCCGGTACGACCACTGCCGTCGTACGCACATACGCATCTATCAGGACTTGCACCCACTCATGCACCCGCACCCGTACTAGTTCAGGAAAAGGAGAGGGTGAAACGGAGGCGGGTCGTGCTTCATTCTACAGAGGAAGGCTCGCACCAGCGTCCTGGATCCAGCTCCATCTCCTTCATTGACTCTAGCTCTGGTTCTGGCTCGGGATCTGGATTTGGATCTGGCTCTGCGAGACCCAGCAACGTACAGGAAGAGCTAAAGACAACAGCTCCAAGCACGCACCAGTACTCGCAGATTAACAACCTCCTGCATACGCTGCACACTTTACGTCACCTGCCTGTCTCTGGTCATCCGTCTCCTCATCCTTTGCCCGAGTACCTGGAGTATGACGCGGATAGGGATAGGGATAGGCAGAGCGGGGAGTATGAGGTTTCGAACAGGTATGTCTTCCCCTCCCACTTCTCGTGTAGCCCTGCCCATGATGGAGTAGGATACTGGGATCCCTAGCATTAGAGAGGAGGAGACGACTCGGACGGGATACGCAAGAGGGTCAGGACGAGGCGGTGGGGGATGAGGATGAGTGGAGTGGTGAGGATGGGGAGGAGTGGGTGGGTGATGGTGATGATGTGGATATGTAACCTGATCCTAGCTGAGCTTGTACTAGAGGGGTAAACCGCGCGGTGTGCTTCTTCTTCACCTTTCTTTCTTTTCTTCCCATTGCGTTCCCTCTGGCAATACTGTACGCATACACTAGTCTGCACCCGTGTAGATGATGATTCCCATTACCCTATGAAAGTATGCAAGTAATGTATGAGAGATGCGTCGAGATACACCGTGCTGTGTTCAATCCCCTCTCTCCCGCTCCCTCACTCACCCCCACCAATACGCTCACCTCCGCTCTACCCAAACACCCACACTCTCCCCCGCTAGTTCGGCAAGTTCAGCCTCCATAAGCTGCTTGAGAGTGCTTCCGTCTCGGGTGTAGAACCAGACGCCTTGATCATTTTCTGCTGTTTCTGATGCTGCTGTTGCTGTCTCTGGTGTTTGGTGTTTGGGGGGTGAGGGTGAGGAGGAAGGAGCTTCCGCAAGTGCTGAAGATGATACACCGTCTTCCGCTTCAGAGACCGACAGGGAGGCCGATTCCAAACCCGAGGCAGCTCCAGCACCCAGAGAATAGTCATACCTCTTCGGTCCGCTCAAGGGTGAGGAAAGCCAGATCTGCTGGTTTGGGGGCTGTTTGTTTAGCACGTAGGTGCCGTGTGGTCCGCAGGAGAGGGTTAGGACGCCTGACTGCGGGGAAGGGTTAGCGGGAGAAGGTGGGAGAATGAAGAGCAGGAAACGGGGAAGGAACGTAGAAGGGGAAGGGAGTAGACGGAGGGAAGGGATCCTAACCCACGCGCATATATGCACCCGTAAACAAGGAAAGCAACGTGAACACTCACGGAATACGACACCTCCCACCCCTCCTCCGCGTTCCTCCCTACACCAGCATCAATCGCCTCTTCCAAAGACTCTAAAATGTTATCCATTGCCCTATCTGACAGCTTGTGGTAGTCTTCTGCTGAGAGAGGGCTGGGGTTCATGAGTCAGTGAGTCGGTGAGCTAGTAAGTGGGACCATGGAGACTCACGCTGGGTGATAGGTAGACGTGGCGCGGACATAAGACGGGCCTGAAATAGGGTATATCTGTCGAGCTGGTCGTCGTATTGCAGGGCGTAAGAGTCGTAGAGCAGCGCGTGTGGCCATGGTCGTTGAGTGTTGAAGAGAGATCGGTGAGTGTCATCTCCAAACGAGATGGCGACAACTCAGGTCAGTGGCGGTGTCGGACATTCCTTCGTCGGAGATAAACCACATGGGATAATGTTACCCCGCATGTTCCCTTTTGGAGTCAGTGTTCATCCGCGATGTACACGGTCACGTTGCACCGTGAAAGGATGAACATTAATACTCTTATCACTCTATCTTATATGGTCTACAAAGATGGATAATCACGGTAGGACATCATGGAAACAACGCTCACACCAACGCCTACAACCCAAGAGTCCCACTCAGGCATACCTCCTTCCCTCATCCCCCTCGCAGAAGAATCAAAACTTCTCCTACACAGCACCAGCACACCTCTAGGCCGTACCTCTGCCGCAAGAGAAGAACCACTTCCCGTCCTCCCGCCCGACGTTGACAGGCCCACGTTTAACGCTGCGATCCAGGAACTCCGGGAAGGGCTAGGCGAGGAATGGGTAGTGCTTAACACGGAAGAGCTAGATGATGGATGGTACATGGAGCACCCGTCAGTCTACCCTCTACCATCCTCCTCTTATCCCCTAACTAATTCAGGAACACGCATGATGCGCATCATGTCTTTCCCCCCTGGGACCTCGTTTCCTCCGGCGTGTGCTACCCCTCCAGCACCGCTGACGTACAGCTCATAGTCCGGTGGGCGAACAAGTACCTGATCCCTATCCACCCTATTTCCCTGGGGCGCAACTTCGGCTACGGCGGTGCAGCCCCCCGCGTAAGGGGGAGTCTTATCATAGACTTAGGGAAGAGGATGAACAGAGTGCTCAAGCTTGATGGGGAGAACTGTTCTGCCCTCCTCGAGCCCGGAGTCACCTATTTCTCCCTGTGGGAAACGATCCGCGCCTCCGGTCTAGACCTGTGGGTCGACGTCCCTGACCTTGGTGGTGGATCTGTACTCGGGAACGCCTGCGACCGAGGTGTGGGTTATACACCGTACGGCGACCACTGGGCAAACCATTGTGGGTTGGAAGTTGTACTGCCCACGGGGGAGATTGTGCGGACGGGGATGGGAGCGTTACCGGGGAAGGAGGGGGAGGACAACCCTACTTGGCAGAGTTTTCAGTATGGATATGGACCGTTCTTGGATGGGATCTTTAGTCAGAGTGAGTTGCTCCCTGCTTCGTGGTTTTCCTGCTGACACGAGCACCGCGCAGGCAACTACGGGATTGTCACCACGATGGGCGTATGGCTTATGCCTGCTACTCAACACACATCCTACATGCTCACTTTCGCAGAAGAAGAGTCCTATCCGGAAATAATGTCCCTCATCCGCCCGCTAGCGATCAACAAAGTCCTGGGCAACGTGCCCCAGCTCAGGCACGCAATTCAGGAACTGACGATTACCGGCCTCTCCCGCGCCTCCATCTGGGACCAACCTGGCTCCGTACCGCCCGAGGTCGTGCGGAAAGAGGTAGCCAAGCTCCCGTGCGGGGAATGCAGTTGGGTATTCTATGGCACCGTCTACGGCCCCGCTGCCTTCCGCGCTCAGCAGCTCAAAACGATCAAGCGCCAGTTCTTCCAGCTCCCAGGGACCCGGCTCTTCCTCCCCTCCGACGTCCCAAGCACGCACTATCTCCATTCCCGCGCCCTGGTCTGCTCGGGTCAGCCGGTGCTTAGGGAGCTGAACTGGCTCGCTTGGGTCCCTAATGGTGCACATGTCGCTTTCTCACCTATTTGTCCGACGGGGGGAGAACATGTGAAGAAATTGTACGAGATGTGTAAGAGGAGGTGTAAGGAGTTTGGACTGGATTTCTTTCCCACTTTGTGAGTTCTCCACCGCATCCTCCCATTCCCACCCTTCCTACTCCTGGGCAGTGGGATCTTACCAGCTACAGAGTATACGACGCTAATGTCCACTTTGCAGGTGCGTCGCCTCTCGCGAAGCACACGTAATAGTTGAGCTAGTATACGACAAGTCAAGCCCATCTTCCAAGCACGCCGCCTACACGTGCATACGCACTCTGATCGCCGATGCCGCCCGGGCCGGGTACGGCGAATACCGCACGCACCTCGTCTTCTCCGACCAGGTGGCAGGGACGTACAACTGGAATGGCGGGGCACTGATGAAGCTTAATGAGAGGCTAAAGGATGCGCTGGACCCGAGGGGGGTGTTGAGCCCGGGGAGGAACGGAATTTGGCCGAGGAGGTTTAGGGACAAGGGATGGGAGATGGGGGAGGGGGATGGAAGGGAGTGCAGTACCCAGGGCGTAGGGATGAAGTTCTATACTTAGGTATGGGGACTGCGAGGACTGGTCTTGAACTGAACGAAAATGGAGGGAGGTCGGTTCATTAGGTTGTGCCGTTGTCTCGAAGTCTCGAAAGGGAAGCGAGACCAAAGGTATTTCGATTTCGAAGAGCATCATGATAACCCAGAGTTCGGGCAAGCACTGAGGGGTGGGACCCATACGTCGCAGTCCAAAACTTTCTACCGGGGACAACATGCCGCCGTGAACATGCCAGACGCAAAAGGAAAGCATTACCCCACCTCAGGGCTATATAAAGGTAATTTCTGCTTTGTCAGCATCCGGGGCTGTGTTTACCCGCCTTCGACGCTTATCCTGTTCCTCTCTCCTTTGGCAGTTCATCATGTTCTCCCAACAACAGCGAAGCCTCGTGGAGCACCATCTTGTCAACGGAGTTTCTATAACCGACTACAACGATACGGCCGTAGCGGAGCTGATTACATTCCTAACGATCACGAGGAACGTGTACGCCAAAAGCCCGCCCATCTGGCGCTCTCCTCTCCTGAAGAATAGGGCCGAATCATCCCCGGAGTTTTTACGACGCTGGTCCCTGGACTGCTTGGAGCTGGACCTGCGTTTGGCTGAATTAGGCTCTCTCGGGACTCCTGTTATCTGTTCCTCGTGGTGCATCGCGCATCACTAGGACCAATTAATTTCTGCTCCGAGTGGGTCACGTAGGAGGACACCCACTCTCCCCATGGTTATCAGCAAGAGTCTGTGGCATCTGGTAAAGCTACATGGTCGCGTGGCTTTCTTGTCTGCCGATTTGCTATCCATGGCATACACGTACCGGGCCTGATTGCATTCCTAACGATCAGCCCGGGCAACATTTACCTCAACCCAATATAGAGTGTCTTCTCTGCTTCATAAGGACAAGAGTATCTTTTTGTGCGGATGGTGAATGGCCATTGTGTTACTTTCAGCCCTGTTCATCTGCTTTTGGTCTGGGCTTACCCTGCGTCGTGGCTCGTTCTCTCTCCGCTCTTGCGTACCAGCAAGGCTGCTTACTTTCCGGTGTGTCGACACGTTCATATCACAAGAACAGTATCATGAACATGCAATAGGAGCATGTGGTACTCGTGAAGGCACATCATGGGGTAGCCCTACTCCTCAACGGATTTTCTATCTACGACACGCGCGGCCCGAAGCTGATTGCACTCCCCGAGATCTGGAGAAACGTGTACCTGGACCCATCTCTCCTAACTATGGAAGATAAAACTTTTTTTCCGTCATACCAACTCTGGACTATGTCTTGTTGCTTTCCTCCTTTTGTGCACCAGCAGGCAAGGTCCCTTTCCTCGGCGCCAATGCGTTCACGTCACAGGATCTCGCCTAAGCCTGATATACAACACAACATGATAGTGTATGCTCCGCTCACGCCGAGGTTGCACCGCAATGCTTTCACTTACACAGTGGCTGGACAGTCAAGTATTATTCTACATGAAAGTCCGGTCTCTTCGGAACTCTATAGCCTATATGAAGCGACTTTCCGTGGCCACTCTCTTTGACAAGTCTAACAAGCCATGGATCCTCTGAAGGACATTTCTCTTGGCAGCGCTTCGTTCAGCTTCTGGGGCGGAATATCCGTTCTCATTCTTCTTATCATCCTCACTGGTCGCTCTGTCTACCGGAAGGAGCACACGACGAGTCGCTTTCCTCCTGGTCCCCGCGGTCACCCTCTAGTCGGAAATCTCTTCCAGATCCCGTCCACGTTCTTCTGGTATCAGCTGGAAACATGGTTTGAGCGTTTCGGTCCTGTGTACACTATCTGGATGGCGAGTCAGCCTATCGTGGTTCTCAATACTGCAGCAGCAGCGGCAGAGGTCCTGGACCGTCAATCCGGGATAACCTCTGGAAGACCGCGTAGCATCAAGGTACTGAGCTTCACTTGATTGTTCCTCATCTGAGGCTCACGCAGGCGTAGGGATCTTTCTTCGGCACTGATCAAATTCTGGGCACCATGGAGTATTCACCCCGGTATGTGCGGTTGTTGTCCTTGGATGATATGTATCTAACGACCTAACGACAGTTGGCGTGCGGGGAGACGAGCCATGCATGCAAGGTAAACCTCATCTGGAATTCTTCGTCACCTTAATAATTCCATCTGTGCCAGTTTTAATCTTCGCTCGACCGTCCGCTTTGCTCCTCTCCAAGCTTATGATGCGATCAACCTCTGTCTCGGTCTTCTCCGCCACCCCGATAAACCTCTTGATGTACACATACACAGGTGATCCCAAGGAGTAGCCTTGCTAACAGTGACAGCTGTAGTAACAATGATACAGGTTCTCTGCATCGGTCATCTTTCGATGTCTGTATGGCCACGACGGGTTCTCCCTTGATGGAGGGGATCCAAGCCTCAACATGCGCAGGCTGACCGACGAGTTGATGCAGGCGGTATTACCTCAGAACAGCATTGTCGATATGTTTCCATTCTGAAGCCCCGTGATCCGACGGTTCGAGTGGTTGAGAAGCCAAGCAAAACAATGGCATGAAGAAATGGATCGTGAGGGAAAGGGGCTATATGATGGCGTCAATCTAGCTGCTGTGAGTATTCTTGAGGGACAATGACATGCAGTTAACTGTCTTAGATGTGGCCAACCTTTGTGGGCGACATCAATACCAACATGCAGAAGTATGGGATCGGGGAAGAGGAGGCTGTTTGGCTCGCAATGACTGTCTAGCAAGTCCATTTGTCTAAACCTTTCCATTCTATGCCACTAATAGACCGTCCCTCTGGTATGGCAGGCCAAGAAACAACTGCTTACGCTCTCCGTGTTCTAGTTCTCGCTCTTCTCCACAATCCGGCTGTGATCAAGACCGCTCAGGCACAGCTCGATTCAGTCTGTGGGTCACGTGGTCCTTCTTTTGAGCACAGAGAACGGTTACCGTACATCGAGGCTATCGTAAAAGAGACGATAAGATGGAGACCTGTGGCACCCATCGGCGTGTTCCATTCTGCAACCGAGGTAAAGTGATGAGCTACATGACCGGAAGAGACGCGGCTTATACTGAAAGCGAACAGGAAGTCAAATTCCAAGGGTTCGTGATACCGAAAGGAACGCTATTCCTGGATAACATTTGGTCCGCATCCTGGTATATTAAGTCATTCTAAAACACTGACATGAGTGCAGGGCACAGTCACGCGATCCAGCTCTATTCCCGAATCCGGACACTTTCGAGCCCGCCCGTTTCCTAGACGCAGCAGGCAATTTGTGCCCCCAGACACCTGATTCGAATCTTTTGGGTTTCGGACGTGGTCGTCGGGTTTGCCCTGGTAGGGATTTCGCCAATGCTGGGTTGTTTATCGCAGCGGCGTCAATGCTCTGGTCCTTTGACTTCGAGTGGCCTGTGGATGTGAATGGGAAACAAATCGTCTGTGACACATTCGAAATGGAGGATCATACGATTTTGTCCACGGTGAGGCCTTTCGAGATCAAAGTGACGCCCAGACACGCGAGTCTCGAAGAGAAGTTGTTCGAGATGCTGAAGGAGCGCGACACGAGTACTTCAGCGTGAATGCTTTTGTTTTTCATTTCCGTGTTGTGTCTGAATGTAGCACGATTATGTCAAACCCGGGCAATCGTAGAGCTCAGATTTCGCAGTGTCCTCATAAATGCCCATCAATATTCTCCAAGCCTTCAACTACGGGAGTGACGGGGTCAGTCACAGGTATACAAGCTCTCGGTGCCATTTTGGGTGGACGTGACCGGACCGGGCGTTTGTTGTCTGAAACCCAGAATAACGCCGAAGGTAACGTCATTATTGACCCAACCTTACCGGGTAAAGCCGGCCGACCTACCCTATCCACGCCGGATCCGTAACCTTCCGCTCTGCCGGGTGAGGACGCTCCCGGAACATCCCTAATCTGTCTACTTTGATTGGAGCAAGGATGTTGAGGATTTGGGACAAATTAGGTCGCTACCTAAACTATGAAGAGTTATATAGGCCTCTTTGCTAGGATCTCTCTCTGCTGGCCGCCTTTAACAAGACATGGAGCACCTCCTGAGTGGACTAGCTCTTGACAGCGAGTTCTTCAAGCTGGGGGGAACAGTACTCGGCTTGTGTCTCCTTTTCCTTGTCACTTCGCGTTACACTGCTCGTAAGGGAATCAAAGCAATATTCCCTCCCGGACCGACAGGCTTGCCTCTGGTTAGAAATCTCTTGCAATTTCCATCGCACTTTTTCTGGTATCAGCTGGACGCATGGTCAAAACTCCATGGGCCTGTGTATACCTTCTGGATAATGAACCAGCCATTTGTCGTTCTCAACACTGCAGCGGCGGCAGCAGACGTATTGGACCATCAGTCTGGTATAACTTCTGGAAGGTTGCAAACCATCAAGGCCATTGGTTTCCCTTGTTGTTTAGGCGATGTGGGACTGACGGCGCACCTTTGCACAGGGCGCCTTCTACGGCGTAGACCGGATTTTGACCACCAAGGCACATTCTTTAGGGTTTGTGCCTTTGTTCGGTTCTTATCAGATCATGTTAACCAAAATACTAGTTGGCGCGCAGCCAGGAAGGCCATGCATGCGAGGTGAGCCAGTTTCAAATCTTAGAACAGTAGCCATTCATATTTGATGTCGTTTTAGCTTCAACATTCACTCCACACTTCGTTTCGGCCCTTTGCAAGCCTATGACGCAACGAACCTTTGTCTTGGTCTAATCCGGTACCCCAATAAGCCCTTCCACCTGCATGTTCACAGGTCAGCAGACTCAGCCCACGTCTCCCACATTTCAAGCACTCTAATGGTGATACAGGTGGTCTGCATCTATCATATTCCGGTGCTTGTATGGACACGATGCGTTCGACATTGAGGGAGACGATCCGAGTACAAACATGAGGAGGCTAGCCGAGGAGCTGGTGCAGGCATTGCTCCCTCAGAACAGCATTGTCGACATATTTCCCTTTTTAACTCCACTGATTCAGAGATCCAAGTGGCTGAGAAGAGAAGCAGATACATGGAAGAAAGAGACTGATGATGAAGGAAATCGGCTTTACGATGGGGTTGATCCCACTGCAGTGAGTCGATCTCCAGGGTGAAACCATGCCAGCTTACATGACCTGCAGACATGGTCTACCTTCGTAGGGGACTTGAACACCAACTTGGAAAAGTATGGCCTGACAAAAGAGGATGCTAACTGGCTTTCCATAACTGTGTAGTGAGTGCTAAATTGAACCATCTCTTTGAGACCAATGAACTAAAGCAAATGGTGCTGCTCAGTATAGCAGGACAAGAGACCACCGCGTACACGCTCCGTGTCCTCATGCTTGCTATTCTCCACAATCCTGCTGTCGCCAAGGCTGCTCAATCACAGCTCGATTCTATCTGCGGCTCTCGTGCTCCATCTTTTGAGCACCGGGAACAGCTGCCCTACATTGAGGCGCTTATCAAGGAGACGATGAGATGGAGACCCGTGGTACCTGGGGGCGTGCCACATTTGGCAACCGAGGTGACCCCCTCCAACTTAAATGAGAGACGCATGGCTTATGCGAACCCATTAACAGGACGTCGAATTCCAGGGATTTGTGGTGCCGAAAGGAACAATATTCTTCGACAACATTTGGTTTGTACTCAATATGAAATTGTTTCGGTTCACTGAAGAACATGTGCAGGTCTCAGTCCCGCGATCCAGCTGTCTACCCGGACCCCGATGCGTTCGACCCTACTCGTTTCCTGGATGCGGAAGGCTGTCTCATCCCGCAAGCTCCAGATATTCCTCTCTTGGCATTTGGGCGGGGTCGGCGGGTTTGTCCTGGCAGAGACTTCGCCTCAAATGGCCTGTTCATCGTAACCGCAACATTGTTGTGGGCATTCGACTTCGAGTGGCCTGTAGATTCGAAGGGCAAACCGATTATGTGCGGCACGTCGGAAATGGAGGACCATGTGGTGCTTACGACAGTGCGGTCCTTCGATGTTAAAATTACGCCTAGACGGGAAGGGCTTGAAGAGAAGCTAATCGAGATCTTGGCTGAGCGTGATACGGATCTTTCGGTATGATTTCAGTCACGTTGAAGCGTGCTTCAAGAGACTATTGTATTACACGCTGTGCGAATAGGGTGGCGTTATCCACACTTGGATACACTAGGAAAGAAAACAACCCCAATGTAACTGACACCTCGAATAAAACACCTCTCATACATGAGACATCTCCGAATGTGCACCACATCCATACTCTTCTACCAAATGAAATCAACCCCAAAACCATAAGGAAGGCTCGTTCACTATTAATGCAAAGGGTTCCGCGAAAACAGTGTGCCCGAATGCAATAAAAGGAAGGATAAATCCCCTGACAACACAACCCGGTGAGTGCAATAGGAAGGTCATCTTGCCGTCCAGCATGGCATGCCAGAGGGTGAACGACGAGGCGGCAAAAATAAGATAACCAGAATAATCGCAGTGCGATTATATTAGTGGTTAAACTAATAAGAACAGATACTACACTTGATCTAAGCCAAAAGGCCAGAGTGGTAAAGAAAAATGAAGGGTCAGGGTGCAGCAGGCTTATAACTATTTCGACGCGCGCCCGGACCCGCAGTGCACGGGCCGATACGCACGGACCAGCACAGCATCCCTTGTAAAGGGCCGGTCAATATGGTGCGAACAACTTTCCTGGTTTATCTCATTCCAAGATTTTGTCCAGTAAAAGCATGTTTCTTTCAATCCCCACTTATCAGTATGAATTGGCTACGATTTCCCGGATTTTTTTTCCTCCGAACTGCACCAGTAAGACTATTCTCAGTTACAGTACAACCCCAGTGTTCAAGAGATGGGACCTTCGGAACGTATCAGGCCCATAAAGCTACCATACAAAGGCTATCTGATAAGAGACATCATACAGAAAGATTCGCGTCCCGCTCCCTTAACAACTCGAGTAGCTTCTCATCGAGCCCCTCGCGTCTTGGCTTCACCTTCATCTCGAATGGTCTTACCGTAGCAAGCACAGAATGATCCTCCATTTCCAAAGTTCCGCACATGACTGGATTGCCAGTCACGTCCACGGCCCATTCGAAATCGAATGCCCACAGCAATGACGCTGCCGCGATGAATATGCCATTGATGGCGAAATCTCTACCGGGACAAATCCGACGGCCGCGCCCAAACCCTAATTGATGAGCATCCGGTATCGGAGAAGCTAAGCAGCCTGTGGCATCCAGGAAACGGGCGGGGTCGAACTGATCGGGATTCGGGTATAATGCAGGGTCGCGGGACTGTGACCTATCCACATCATGTGAACAATTCGAGATCAATCGACCATATTAAGGTACACACCAGATATTGTCGATAAAGAGTGTTCCCTTTGGTACCAGGAATCCTTGAACCTCAATGTCCTGTTAACGTCTATTGTAAGCAGGATAGCTGTCGAGGCGGCATCACTAAATCACCTCGCTTGCCAAGTGTGGTACACCAATGGGCGCCACAGGTCTCCATCTCATTGTCTCCTTGATTAGCGCCTCGATGTAGGGCAACTGTTCCCGGTCTTCAAAAGATGGAGCATGAGAGCCGCAAATAGAATCGAGCTGTGCTTGAGCAGCCTTGGCGACAGCAGGATTGTGAAGAATAGCAAGAATGAAAACACGGAGAGTGTATGTCATCGTCTCCTGCCCTGCCATGCTGAATACAACCAGTCGTTTCAGTTAACCAGTAGATAATGGTTGAGGTAGTTGGGAACTGACTATGCGGTGATTGCAAGCCACACTGCGTCCTCCTTCGTCAGGCCATACTTCTCCATGTTCGTGTTCATGTCGCCGACAAAAGTCAACCACATCTACGTGTCGTCAGCGAACGCGCGTTCCGCCTATCGAGAACAACTTACTGCTGCTAGATTGACACCGTCGTATAGTCTTTTCCCTTCAACGTCGGTTTCTTTATGCCATTCATTTGCCTCAGTTCTCAACCATTTGGATCGCTGTATAAGCGGGCGCAAGAACGGGAACCTGTCGACGATGCTGTTCTGCGGCAACATTGCATGCATCATCTGATCGGTCAACCTCCGTATGTTGAGGCTTGGATCGCCCTCATCAATGGAGAACCCCTCGTGGCCAAACACGGACCGAAATATGATTGAAGCAGAGAACCTGTCTCGCCATCACATTCCTCAGTCGCGCGTGGAGGCGATGGATTGTACTAACCGATGAATGTGCACGTGAAGCGGTTTATCTGGATATCGGAGAAGACCAAGACAGAGATTGATTGCGTCATATGCTTGGAGAGGAGCAAAGCGGAGTGTCGAGTGAATGTTAAAACTGGAATGGAGTCAGATTATTATCCGGAGACGAAAAGTCCGCATCCGTCTACCTTGCGTGGAGTGCTCGCCTCGATGTGCGCCAGCTTCCATTTAAGTCACAATATGTGTCACAAAAACACAGAAATGCACGCATCCATATGAGTGCATCTTATTGGACAGAATTTGATCTATACCATAGAAAGCACCCTACGTCTGCATAAGTCCCACATCAACCAAACAACAAGATCAATCTCAGACCTTGATGCTCTGCGCTCTGTCAGCTGTTATTCCTGATTGACGGTCCAGAACGTCCGCAGATGCCGATACAGTGCTAAGAACCACAATTGGTCGGTTCATTATCCAGAACGTATACACAGGACCATAAAGTTTGGACCACGTGTCCAGCTGATACCAAAAGAATTTCGACGGAAGTTGCAAGACATTTCCAAGCAGCGGAACACCAGTGGGTCCAGGGGGGAAACGACTTGCTGAGTTCCTCTTACGACGGAGACAGTGCGCCGTGACCAGAATGACCAAGATGAGGGTTAGTATCCCTCCCCTGGTGTTGAAGGTGCTGCCAAGATAAAAGGAGCTCAAGTGATCCATGGCTTGGTGACCGTAATCACCAAGAGTAAGCTCCAACATAGCAACTCTTTATAACTCCACAGAGATCTGGGGTCGTCAGATGTCATGGTGATCCATGACGATCTCGACATTTCCGTTGACCATTTGGACAGATAACGGCTTCGCTGGAGTGTCCTTCCCGTAACGGGGAGAAAATGCCCGCTCATCTCACATCAGCCCTGGGACTTGCAAGACGTGATGCCAAGTGAATCGACCCGGCCTAGCTCAACGCAGAGGATAGCTTTAGGAAGATGCGAAGATCCACAACCAACCAGAACAATGGGGCCGGGAATTTTTTTTCGGTTCTTCTTCGGGGACGACAGAAGAATACCCGAGATTCGGGGCGATATCTGCAATAGGGGCGCCCGGTCCGCATATGCTTGACATGTCGGTACTCGTGGGAGTGAGAGCCGATGTCTGCTGACAGCTCTTGATTATCACAAACCGATCACATTTCACTTAATCCAGGGGTAACTCGTTCAGTAAATATTAATAGCCTCATTGGTGTGTGGAGAGAGGGAGCAGATGTGGTCACAGCCCCTAAGGCATTGGTGTCTCAGTGGGCAAATTCGAGACTTTCGGAGTCTTATATTATTGTCTCGTAGCCAGACTACACTCATCATGCTGCTTGTCACCCCGAAATTCGCAAGATTGCGTGTGCAAACGATGATAAGCCGAATAATCAAGAACTCGCTGATCGCAATATATTAATTCCGTCAGAATCACCGGCTTACGTCCCGGACAGCTCCTATTGGCTCACAACATCATGTTCACAGCGCGATGGCTGTTGTGTTGGAGCACGCCAGGATCAAATCGATAGAGGTACAGGTGTCTTGTGTTATTGTATAATAATGTCGCAACTCGAAAACATATCTTATATATTATAAGGCAGCCTCATTCGGGATTGGAGCAACAACTGCATTCACCTCAATTATGTTCCAACTCGGTGTCATCGCTCTGGTCCTTCTGCTCCTGGTCGCTATCCCACGCGAGCTGTACTTCAAATGCACGTCCTGTCTTTCCCCTGGCGCTATGTGACATCTCATCGGGAGATTTGTTAAAGCACGGTCGAGACACGTGAGTTTCTCTTCCGGGATGGCATGGTAGTGCTGCAAGATCGCACTCTCGGATAGGTCGTTCCTTATCTGGTGAGGGCCGGCCTGACGGAACGAAAGATGGCGAGCCCAACAGCGGACGATCCATGCTAGCTCTGTCTTGTAGTTCAATTCTCTATGCTAATGCGTCAGTATTCTTCAGCTACAACATCCATCCTGTTTCCCGGTTCAACAGTATGCAGCATCCGGACGCGTTGTACTCACCCTTGGGCTGCTCCAACATCCCACCAAGCCCCTGCACGAGCACTTGCACCGTTACGGAGCCAGTGTGATTTCCCGTTCTCTCTACGAAAGGAGTCCCATCCCCTGCTCGATCCTGATCCGAGTACATCGAGTACCTGCACAAGAAGTGCATGGAAGCCTGCCTCCCACAGCGGAGTGTAGTGGACACATTGCCCTTTCTGAGACCGCTGATCAAGCGTAGCAAGTGGCTGAGAACGCAGGCGGATGCGTACTTTGAGGCGACGGATAGGGAGGCGAGAAGACTGTATGATTCTGCTGTGCTTGAAGATAAGTGGAATCCGGTGGCAGCGGATCTGAAAAAGAATGACGAGCAGTAAGGGACGAGCACGCACGACGCTGTGTGGCTGAGCATGACGCTCTTGTGTTCTCCTCTTGTGCATCTTTCGTTTCTATTGGAATGTACAGCTGAGAGCGGGCAGCATGGTGGCCCAAGAGACCACGTCCACTGCCATGCGCGTGTTTTCACTTGCGATGCTGCATAATCCGGAAGTGGTGCGCGCAGCGCAAGTGCAACTGGATACCGTGTGTGGAGCCCGCCTCCCGACATGGGAGGTTAGGGTAAAGCTGCGTTGCATAGAGGCGCTCATGAAAGAGACGATTCGGTGGACATGGTGTGCCTCTGGGCATCTTGAGAGGGGCCTCCAAGGTGGGTGTGATGGGGGAAATAAAAGTTACGAGCTTAAAACAAACCAGGAATTTGAATACAAGGGCTATGCGATCCCCAAGGGAACGCTCTTGATCGATAATCTATGGTCAGTGACGAAACATTATGCAATTAATATTATCGGTTTTTTCACGATTCAGGAATCAAATGAGGGATGATTCGATTTACAAAACCTTCGACCCCACGCACCTCCTACCTTCCAGAAAATATTGTCCATCAGCTCCAGAAGCGCACCTGGATCTTCTTGGGTTCGGCCACGGCCGGCGCACTTCTCCGTATAAAACTTTGCACTCAATAGTTTGTTCATCGGATGCTCGATGCTCTTGTGGGCATTTGATTGGGGCCGTTGGACAAGGACGGAATGGAAGTCAAGTCCGGAGCGGACGGAGTTTGCCGATAAATCATTGGTGGCTACCCGTCGGCCTTTTGGGGCGGTTCTTAAGCCTCGATGGGCCGGTCTCCTGGAGGTGATCAGGGACTCTCTATCAGTAGTCAAAGAAGATTTGAGCATTGACCAAACCAAGGTCCGAGACATAAAAGGCAGGAAATAAAAGTTGTCAAGAAGTATAAAAACATATACTACCAAAAGGGGCTCATCATGGCACATGTATCGCACCATGAGGTAAGGTGGATAGGGTACCGACCAAAGTACTGTACGCATTCAAAGTAAAAGAATTCTAGTTATATTGGTGTTAGTTTATGGCAACAAAGTTACAGTTTGAAGGGGCACGGTGATGGAATTACTCTTCTATTGGTACCGAGATCAGCGGCCAAGTAATCTTTAGAGTCCCGAAATCAGTCCCCAGATCAGCACTGAAATGCCTCCGATTCCCTTAGGGCACTTGAATAATTCAACGGCCAACTATCAATAAGTGTTCCTCAACGGCATCCGCCTCGCCGTCTCCCTCTTTTCACAACACAATACATCGACACCAGCAAAGAACAATTAATGATATCAATACCTCCTCTACCAGTAATGGACGTTCGGGGTCATGCACACACCGTCCAGCCGACAGACGGCGAGTACGCACCAGTGCACGTGCCCGAATCACACCGTTACCCACTCCCAAATCTGCCTATAATGCCCATCCCCGTTTTGCCACCCCTGAGCTCAACAGACTTTGCACCGCAATTTGCTAATTTACAGTGGATACAGTGGACACCCTACGAACCACCTCCCCCGTGTCCACGGATGACACGACCTCGAGGAGTTAAGAGGGCACACGACCAGGACCATGCCGCTCAACCGCCATTGCTCCAAAGTCTCTCGATTGGTCGTGATTTATCTAAAAGGCCGTCCGATGCAAGCGCCTCTACACCTCCGCTCACTCCCTCCCCTTCACCCAAGCGCCGAAAAACAAATATATCCCCGCTCGCCACCTGCAGCATCACCACCTCTGAAGTAACAAAACCCCCAATACCTCAGCCTGCTAGTGCTCAGAAACCAACACCAAAGCATCGCAAATCTGCACCAAAGAAGACTGCTATGCAAAAAACGCGTCGCCGGGGGAGCGCGGCGGAGCCCGACGACACTCCCGAAACAACCAAGACTCGGGCTATCAGTGAAGGGGTCGAACCGCTTGACGCCCGTGTGTTTGATGATCCTATACCGCGTGATGTTTGGATCGAGAATTATGGGAATATGGACGGCATAGTTTCGGGAGCGGAGCTTGTCAGACGGAACATCGATGATTATCGACCATGTGAGTATCTCCCACGTACTGCGTGCCTAAATCTGACGAGGGACAGATTTTGATGGACCATGTGATATCTATACTCCTCCCATTGTGTTCCTAGAGTATCCAGCCCCTGGGGTGAGGGAGGAGTATATCCTACTCTTCCCCAAGGACCGTGATGACTATCAACCGATTGAGAATCTCGTCTCGACGATGGAGATGATACTGAAACGTACGTTCCCACATATCATCCCGACACATGCCCTCATGGTTCTGCAGGCTTCATGACAGTACCACAGAGCCAAGCGTTTGGCTACCTGCCTTCCCTCTCTCTTGGGGAGTTCATTTACGATCGTCCCTCCCCGAAAGCGAAGAAGGGCCGATCGGAGTCACCCACCAAGTCCACTACCCCCGCGTCAGAAGTGACTGCTGTCGATCTCACACCAATACTCACACCTACGCATACTGTTTCCCCAGCACTGGATAGCTCGCCATCACCAGCCCCGCTAACCGGGGTCGCTGTGAAAGAGGAAGTCAAAGAGGAGCTAAAGCTGTACTCCAGGCCCCCAACCATATGGGGACAACTACTAGATGGGCTCAAGGCGCTAGATCTGGGACAGTTTATGTCCGCCGTAGAGCGATTCAACACACTCTTCCTCACGCTCAAGACTCGTCCCGTCCACTCAAAGCATCACGTGCCTTCCGACCCGCTCGCACATCTCAGCGAGATAGAGAAGAATATACGTGCAATGCCCGGCTTGCATCATGAGGTTGTGAGGCATATATGCGAGGAGGTGCATCATAGGACTGTGGGGCCGCATGCGAGAGATTTGAATCAGTACAAGGCGTGGTCAAATAAGGTGTATGGGGAATTTAGCACTAGGTGCGTCGCCAAGTTCTCACCCTAGTGTGTCGCCGACCTCGAGACAGTTTTGTCACTGAACTCGCGTACGTCACGGAGATGAAACCCACATCAAAAGTGCTCGACCTTGGCAGCGGCACATCTCACGCATTGCTACAAGCCTGCCTTCTTTCCGGGTGCACCTCGCTTGGCATCGAGCTCCGCGAAGACGCGTCCGCGATTGCAGACGAGCAGGTGGCCGAATGTGAGAAGCGCGCACGGATGTGGGGTGTGAGCTGGGGGGGAGGGGTCACGGCTATCCAAGGTGACTTCACGGACTCAGCGGAGGTGCGCAAGTGGATCAGCGAAGCAGACGTCATTATCTGCAACAATTATGCTTTCAAATCTGATTGTGGGTTCTCTTTTGTCCTCAATTGATTTGTACTGATGGGTTATAGTGAATAACACCCTACGGCAGATGTGGATGGACTGCAAGCTCGGGTGCAAGATCGTCTCTCTTCTCCCTTTTAAAAGCAAGAACTTCAAGGTCCGCCTAGACTCCATGGACGATCCACAGAGCATCCTCGCCGTTGAGGAGAGAAAATATCGCAAGGGTGCAGTGTCCTGGACGCACGAAGCGGGAAAGTATTATCTGCATACGTGTGATCGTACGGAATTGTGGGAGTTTGCCCGGAAGCATGGATGGTGATCATCGGATTCTGGTCGGTCATACCTCGCAACTTTCACCCTAGTTCATACCTCTCAAGCATCCATACCCCTTTGCAGAGACTTTTGGACTTGTTTCTTCTACATGTAGATATTTGCAATTTCTCCCCTTATTCTCCCAGTACATACCAGATGTATAAGTAGTACATAGATCGCCCATAGCATAGTGTAATGTATTATTACCACCCTCAGGGGCTTTCCACCGCTCAATCGTCCGCAGGCCGAAGTGCAATACTAAATTGAGCGTCACCGCCGACGCTGACTAGTTGCATTCAAAGTGGTACAGGAAAGAGAGCTATGTTTTGTGTTTACCCCAACATATGCATTGAGGGTCCCTTCTGGTGACTGACAGACTGCGCCCCGCCGAAAAGTGCACGTTCTCCTCATCATCTGTTGTTGATCCCACGTGTACACCCTTACACCTTGCACATCGCCTCCCAGTGCAGAGGGCGTGCACTGCGTCTTCGGGGATCATCAACGGCGTTGTTGTCGTCACTGGATCGGTGACAGCGGGCGCCGGGGGCTCCCCATCAAGTACTTGCTTACTCTTCCACCCCCTGACCGGCCCACGTTTGAAGACTAGCAACAACACCGCGTCCTGCGACGAACGAACCTCTGATACCTGCACCACTGAGCCTATCGGGATATCCGCATCAAGCTCGAGTATACCAGCAGTACGGAAACGCCCGCGAATACCTGGGAGAAGGATGCCCTCATTTCGCAGGGGAACGCTGTCCCACGTGCGATCAGTCGACCTCTCCAGACACAGCGGCGACGAGGGCGGAGCGCACAGTCCTCCTCCCCCTGTTCCGCCTCTCCCACCGATGACCTTACAGGGGCCTCCCAAGCGTCCTACTGTCGCCCCCGCACCGACAGCGGTGATCACTACGAACGTCACATCACACGCTATGAACGGTACCGCGCTCACACCGAACACGCCGCGAGGGGGGCCTAGCAAGAGGGCACGTCACCCGAGTGGGCAAATACATGTCCTGCCAGGCGGAGAGGAGGTGCTTCAAAGCGGGTGGCTGCTCAAGAAAGGGAGGAAGAAGCTGCAGGGTGCGTCTCACTCCGCATATATGTGTGTGAATCAACCTCATCCTGATTCTCTGACCAGGATACGCGCGTCGCCACTTCACTCTCTCAACACATGGCGTGCTCTCCTATCGTCTCTCGCCCACGCATCCCGTACGCGGTTCTCGGGCACTCAAAAACGTCAGCGTCGCCGCCAGTGGAAAATACCGACAGATCACCATCGATGGCGGGCAGAGCACAGGTCTTGTCGTTGGACAGCGCAGTGCGGAGGATGAGATCTGGCACTTGAAGTGCTTAAGCAGCGAAGAGTGGACAATGTGGATGACTGCCATCCGGTGCGCATATAGCTACCTTTTGCTACCGCATACTGATGCAGAAGTAGGAGGTTCATCATGGACCCCGAAGTGCGTAGTCTGAGGAGCGCCGTCGTTCCTGTGCATTCACCTATTGGGAGTATTCGTGCTCCTCCAGGCCCTCGCGCCTCCTCCAGTCTAGGAGTGCTTGCTACGAAACTGGCATACGGCGAGTCCCGCACGACGCGCTTGACCTCTGTGCTCACCGAGATGGAGACGACGCTGAGTGAGATGGAGAAGGTTGTCAGCCAGGAAGAGGAGTCATGTCCCAGTCCTAGGAGAGCCCAGAGTTTTGGAATGAAGGGGAGGAAGGAACGAGACCAGCCTAATGGGAAGGACAAAGACAAGGAGAAAGAAGGGATATTTGGCATGTTCCATCGGCGAAGTGCGTCTCTTGTTGGAGTGGGGATATGATGCTGACACCATGTAGCATCGCACAGGGACCAGATCTCACCTGTTCATTCGGCCTCGGATATACCCACCATAAGCTCGCGCGCAACTTCCTCACCCACCCCGTCATATACGGCTTCACAACAGTCGACGGCACATGCCCTCCCGCATACACTCGCCTCCATCTGCGCTTCACTCGCCATTCTCCGCGCACAGCACGCACAACTGCAATCGATCCTCCACGAAGTACCTTCAGTAGCGCACAGCCGTCCTGATACGGTACACGAGCACACCTACACTTTAGCGGTTGATGATATTCCCCCCGAGACAGTAGAGCTCCCCGCGCCCTTCATCAGTATTGACGGCCCCTCGGGGGCAAACAAACGCCTCAGCATCGTCACTACCGCTTCGGCCGCTACGGGAGGGACGGAGGAGGGGGAGTGGTTTGATGCGGATGACTGGAATGGAGAGGAGATTGAGTTGGATAATGTTGAATTGGAGGACAGTGAGAGCGAGGGTGAGGGTGAGGAGGCTCACACCATGCTCGAAACGGGGCCCCCCTCAACCATAGACCATGAGGGACAAGAGACAGAACCGGACACTGAAGAGACCGAAGAGACCGAGGAGCTAAAAGAGAGTGGAGAGACGGAGGAGGTGGAAGATGACACCGGTGCAGAGGTGCAGGTCATTCTCCAAGCACAGCAAGAAGGCAGGCGGACAAAGCTGCCCGTCCCCGTCAGCGGGGAGGAAGTCAGTCTCTGGGCCGTGCTGAGGAAGAACGTGGGCAAGGATTTGTCCACCGTCTCTTTCCCTGTGACGTTTAATGAGCCACTGAGTTTGCTTCAGAAGTGAGTAATTCGGAGTCTTTTGGGGCAAGGTACTGATTTGGAACAGGCTGGCTGAGGACCTGGAGTATGCAGATCTGCTTATCAAGTGAGTATCACATGTTTACATAACGTTCCACAGCTGATGGAAGCTTAGGGCCGTGGCAGCTTCAGACCCTGTAGAACGCATGTGTTTGGTCGCTGCGTTCGCAGTCTCAACATATGCGTCTTCTCACTATCGCGCTGCTCGGAAACCGTTCAACCCCATGTTGGGCGAGACGTTCGAGGATATCCGTCCTTCCTCTCGCTTCGTAGCTGAGAAAGTGTCGCACCACCCACCGGTGATGGCCTCCTATGCCGAGGGGGAGGGATGGACCTACTGGGCTACGAGCGGAGGGAAGAACAAGTTCTGGGGAAGGAGCTTGGAGATCATACCAACTGGCACGACACACTTGAAGATCGGAGAAAACCATTATCAGTGGTATGTATTTCCCCCCTTTCCCTCCGCGACGAGGAACGCCGCTGACAAACATGGACAGGCAAAAGCCCAGCAGTTTCATGAGGAATCTTATGGCCGGCCAGAAGTACGTTGAGCATGTGGGCCAGATGACCATTTCCGATGCCTTTTCCGACTTGTCCTGCGTGCTGGACTTCAAGGACTCTGGATTCTGGGGCTCATCCAGGAACGCTGTTTCTGGTTCTGTACGCTCCTCGGATGGTGCGATGGTCGCTACTGTCGAGGGCGCATGGCACGAGAGCTTCTCTCGTCAACTGGATGTAGACATGCTTAGCGTGCTATGGCGGGCGAACCAGATGCCTCAGCATGCAGAGCAGTACTACGGCTTCACGACATTTGCGATGCAGTTAAACGAGCTTCTTCCATCAAATAGAGCGTTCCTACCACCTACTGACTCCCGCTTGCGGCCAGACCAGCGCGCGCTCGAAGAAGGTCGTGTAGACGAGGCTGAAGTGGAGAAGCTGCGCTTAGAGCAGGAACAACGTCAAAGACGGAAGGAGAGGGAGGACTTGGGCAAAAGCTGGGAACCCCGTTGGTTCTCCCGCGTGCCTGGACCGAGCGGGCTCGGCGAGGAATGGGTGTACAAAGGCGGGTATTGGGAGACAAGAGCGAAGAAGATGTGGGACAATCCTGGACTTTGGTAGACCTCGTTTGATACCTCCCTCACGCACACCCTGGTATTTCGTTCACTTATTATTTACTCTTGGTGTATCAGAACTGATTATTGTATTTCCACGTAATTAGTATTTGCAACCTTAGAGTTGCATATAATGTTATCGTTATCACCTGTTCCGTTTCTCTTTGGTCTCCGTGGTATTCAACAAAAAGAAAACACGTGCCTGTGAACTCAAGCGGGAGCAAATCCCTGAGCAGCACACGTTGAACTTCGCGTTGTCGCTGCCACCGACTGAACTCGCAACGTCAACTTGCATTCAACCATCTGCACTCTATGGCAACTCCAGACTTGACCGCTCTGTTGGCATCTAGCCGCAACTTGGCGGCACATCTGGAGCAACAGGAGTTGCCACATCTCACACTTGGCCTGGACCAGATTGAGAATCAGTCTAGGAAGCTCGTGTCTAGGACGGGTGGCCCAGGTGCCGCAGAGCGAGCGTGAGTCAACTGTGCACCCCTTTGATACAGAATAAACTAGCATATAGGAACTATTTGCTTGCCCAAGCTCGCGTAAATGCTCCTCAATTGCAGAATCTTGCGACATCCCTCAACCCTGCCTTCACCTTCGCCCCGCTCCAGCCCGTGCGTGACACTGACATCGCCTCGCATTTACGACATGCACACGAGCAGGCCATCCTTTCCACTATTGAGGAGACACGGAGAGACACGGCCCAGAGTTTTTGGAGAAGCATGGAAGAGAAAATCGGGCGTGACTGGGAAGAAAAGAAGAAGCGTGTTATCGAGGAGCTTGCGACGGGTGACGAAAGACGCACACTGGAATCAAGTGGCACTTCATGGGGGAACAGAAGTGTGCGCATATACAACTTCTTGACTCCGTGATGGATTACTCACCATCTTTAGTTGGCTCAATCCCAGTCGTTTGCCGCAAGTATAGGCCCCGGGTTATCTCAGTCCCAGATCGCTGGTCCCAGCCAGCCGTCACTCGGCATGCCAGTCCATAGCCGGATGATGGTATATGATCGTGTCGTCTCCGATCTGAATCGTGCGCGCTTACAGGGAACACCTTTCCCGATTATTCATGCTTTGATCGATGCGACGGAGCGTCTTCCGCCCGAACCAGTACGAAGCTCCAACTATCATTGATCAAGGGACTAATATGCGTGCCTAGAAACGAGACCAAATCGTCTCCACGTTCTCTCTACTTTCTTCTATACTTGGAGAAGCCGATCCCCGTTCAGCAAGTTACCAGACCGCCCCGCTTGCTGAGCGCGCATACAGCCAGGCGTATCTGTCACCCGCTTCTACCGATGCATTAGCGAAGAACTTGCGGCGCAGAATCCTTGCTGGAAGCATGAAGTGGTTAGAGGACCTGTACGTTTCCTCCTCCCGTCTGAGTTTCGGCTACTAATTTCGGGCTTAGATACACCCAGCATGTGGACATCACACTCCAGAACAATCCTGTTGAGGCCGCCCTTGGCGCCAGCCCCAGCGCGAGCAACAAGCTTCGTGCTTTCCTCGCCATGAGATACTACGAAGCTGGTCGATGGCAGTCAAATCTGGAACTTGTAAAAGGACAGCCGTTGTGGGCCAAGATCTACTTCCTTTTGCGTTGTGGTCACCCGGAGGAGGCCTTGGCGGAGGCCGAGAAGCAGGATGCGGCACTGAACAAGTTCGACAAGTTTTTCCTACCTTGTTTGCGGGAATGGGTGGCAAATGATGATCGGAGGTGCGTGCAAGTCAATCCAGTATGAAACAATTAAAATTGATGATGTTGAATAGTGTGTCCAAGCAGCTTCGGGATCGGCTACTCACGTCGTACAATACGCACATTCGCCATGCTCCGACGATCGACCCATTCAAGCACGCGCTATTCAAGCTCATCGCCCGTGCCGAGCCTTCCAGGAGAAACGTCCCCCACGTGACCGAGACGACCGAAGACTGGCTCTGGTTCCAGCTCGCGATGGCTGACGAGCCAAAGGAGGGTCTCCCAACAAACGACGGCCTGAAGGAGGTTGCAGCGACGATCGTCAAGTTTGGAGAAAAGAGCTTCGACAAAGACGGAAGGCGGCCGTGGTTGTGGGTCAGGATCCTGCTGAGCTGTGGAGAATTTGAGAGAGCGGTAGCGAGCATGCATGAAAAGTCGAACATGTCGGTCGAGGCAGTCCATATCGCTACCGCTCTGGCGTACTACGGTGTGTTCCGCGTACCAAAGAGCTCACAGCCCTCTGAAAGTTCCCTGCGTACGCGGTTTTCATCTGCATTTGACGGAACATACTGATATTCCTCAAGTTCTGCCCGGAGATAGCAGCTCATCCTTCCGGTTTGATACCCTGATCCAACGCTATATTCGTCACTTCACTCGCATCGACCCGAAAGAAGCGCTCCAATACGTATATTTGATCACTCTCAGCAGTGATGCACCAGGAGACACTGGCAAGGAGCAAGTGGCATACGCCCACAGCCTATGCCGGCAGATTGCTTTTGAGAGCCCGAACTACGAGGAATTGCTTGGTGGGCGAAGAAGGGATGGCCTCAGCTTCGTACGTCTCAACTTTTCCCATCTTTTATCTCTACTGAAGATATTTACAGCCTGGCGCAATTGAACAAAATATGAAACTACTGCATCTCGCGGACGCGAAGCAGTACCACCAATCCATCGTTCTCAACCTCGCTCTTCAGTACCATTCTGAGAAACGTCTGATTGATGCTGTCAAGTTGTACAACCTCGCGGGGGAGTACAACGATGTGATGAAGCTGCTCATCCAGGCTATCGGCGATACCCTCTTCGAGTCCCCAGAAGTGGAAAGTGAAGCTGGGCATATCCGCAGCACAGCAAGAGAAATGTGGGAAACTTATTATACGACGCCGGACATCCGATCGAGAGTGCAGGATGCGCTCTTGAGAACTTGCCAAAAGTTGTTGAAGATTCGGGAAGGCTTTGAGGATATTCATTATGGGAGACAAGAGCTGGGTCTAGAGGCAAGTGCATATAGGATCGTCCCTAAACTGTCTGTCTCATCGCAATGTTTAGAAACTCGATCAAACAGATCTCCTGCCCTTCAAGACGACGGTGTACGATATGCACCGTAAGGCCGAGGAGGTCAAGCGGGAAGACCCAGCTGTTGTACGAAATCTTCCCGAAATTATCAAACAGACAATGGAAGCGTTATGGACATTGTATCGCGAGGCGAAGAAGCGCACTGGAGAACAAGGTTTCCAACAGGTCAGCATCGAAAGGATTTTTTCTTGCCTCACCACATATGACTGACATAAAATCCCAGCGCTTGATGAATTTGAGAGAAAAGGCAAAACGGTTGAACATGTTCGCGACGTCTCTCGGCCTCGCGGGAATGGATTTCCCCACGTTGAATACCTTGGAATCATACATGCATAGCTAATGTCTGACCTCACGCTGTTAATAGAATTTGACCGTGGGAACACATGGTGGTTGACCAGATGTCATAACATATCTATCTATTGTCAATCCTTATATTGATTCAACACCTCGAGCAATCGTTCTTCCAGTCCTTCTTGCCTTGGCTTGACCACCACGTCAAACGACCGTGGGGATGAAGCGACAGTATGGTCCACAAAGTCGTGAACGTCACGTTTCATTGGCTGTCCGGCATCATCAATCCGCCACTCCAATGTGAATGCCCAAAGCAAGTAGGTGATTGCGATGAAGAGACCGTTGACTGCGAAGCCCTTTCCAGGACACACGCGACGGCCATGTCCGAACCGAAGAAGATCCAGGCGAGTATCAGGAGTTGCTGGAAGCAGCTTGCCAGACTCGTCCAAGAAACGGGTGGGGTCAAACACTTCTGGGCTTGTGTAGACCGAAGGATCGCGGGTCTGACTCCTGCAAGATGGGTAAGACCAGTCGACGACGAACATCAATACGGACCATATATTGTCAAAAAATACGGTTCCTTTGGGTATCGTGTATTCCCGATACTGGAAGGTCTAAATATGTTATTGTCAGTCGCACCATTTGGTCAGACATAAACAGACCCGTCTACCTCAGAAGCCACATGTGGTATACCCGCCGGAACACCAGATCCCCACCTCATCATTTCTTTGATGAGCGCCTCGATATAAGGGAGTTTCTCTCTATCTTCAAAGCTTGGAGGCCGCAGGCCGCATACGACATCGATACTTTCTTGGGCTGCCCGCATGATGTGCGGATGATGCAACAGTGCCAATGCAGTGACCTTTATTGCCGTAGAAACAGTGTCTTGTCCCTCCATACTTGAGCACAATGAGATGATGTATGCGTTATGCGGGAGGTTACCCACTAAAGCGTTAGCGTTACCCACACGGCACTCTGCTTTGTGATACCATACTTTTCCGAATTCATATTGAGGTCTTGAACGACAGGCTCCCAATCCTAAAAGAAATATATCCGTTACATCCTTGTCCCAGCGGTGGACTCGGAGGTGTACTCACTTCTGTGAGAACTGCAGCATCAAACGAACGATGTCCCTCCCGATTAGTTTCGCGAAACCAAGTTTCAGCGGGCTTTCTCAGCCATTTCACACGCTGTATCAGTGGCTGTAGAAATGGCAAAGCGTCGACAATGCTGTTCTGAGGCAAAAGGACGTGCAACAGATCTTTGTGCATTTTCTCAATGAATTTGCTCGGATCGTCCTTTGTATGATCGAACTTCTCGCCACCATACAACGACCTGTAGATGGAAGAGCCTCCGAATCTGTGTACATGTGTGTCGAACGACTTGTTTGGAAAACGCAGAAGGCCGAAAGTCAGGTACGCTGCCTCATTTTCCTGCAGAGCAAGAAAACGTGCTGTTGAACGAGTATTGAAACTGCGACCAGTCGAGTTCAGAACAACAATTGAGGAAAGAACAGAAACGAACTTTGAGTGGACTGCTCGACGTTCGCCACGCCAGCTGAAGCAATTCTGTTAGCTGTGGACGACCCCCCGGTATCGACGTTGTGACAGACTTTGGAATACGATCCTGCATGCAAAGGATGGTGTCGGCCGAATAGAATTTGCCCTATTGTGTAATTAGCATTTGACTTGGATGGGGAGTTATTAGATTGCAACCATACCTTAATGGTATGTAACCTGTCTGCCGTAGAGCCAGAGTTGCAGTCCAATACGTGGGCGGCCACCGCAACACTATTGAGGACGACAAAGGGTTGCCCCATCATCCACAGAGTGTAGATTTTCCCGTATTCTTTAGACCATTAGTCCAGCCTGTACCACATAAGTGTCGACGGAATTTGGAGTAGATTGCCGAGTATAGGTAAACCTGGGGGTCCTGGAGGTAGGTTTGAGGTATGCTTGCGATAAGTGTCGATCGCGGCATAGATACAAAGGGTGACAATGATCAAAACCCCTACCCAAGCTATAATCATGGCGATTTTAGCCGATATTGGCTGAGGAAATGTTACAAAGTGTTCAGCTTCAGGACGCAATGGATCATACGTATATGTACGGCACTTGGTGGGTATCACTGGCACTGGCGGGAGAACTCTCATTCGGACTTCTCCGGATCAATACCGAGCATGCGCTCAGGTTCAGAACTTGTACTTTCAATCAGGCATTTGCCGATCGCAGAGGACAGCACATTCCATGAGATGAGGATATGGTGACTGATAGTTTTGCGTCAAACGGGAAAGGAGCGGGCTGCCAGAACGAGTGCCACAGTGTGGGGATCGTGTCTTACGGTACACCGAGAAATCAGCCGAGAGATGTATAAATAGTCGAGTCTTGGAGAAGGCATTTGTTGTACCGAGGCAGAAGTATGGACGGTCAAATACCATGCTATACTTACGCACTAAACCGAGCGGGTACCCTGGTACCGAGCACATACGGAAACAAAAGCTCACCCAGAGCTCGGGATAAACTTCGAATGATTCGCGCAAACGATCCTGAGACGAAGGACAAGGAAAGAAGCCATGCCATCATTACACGAGCCAACTGCTGCCTGAGAATATCACGATACTAATGCATAGCATTTCGTTACGCGGAACAAGCGCGCGGTCAGTAAACAAAAGTGTGGTAATCCAGCTATGCTTTGCTCGTTACACCTTGTGTTGGGCATCATATTGATTCAACACCTCGACAAGTAGTCCCTCCAAGTCTTCTCGCCTCGGCTTTACCAGCACGCCAAAAGATCTCGGGCTTGCAACAAAGGAATGGTCCACAAAGTCGTTGACGTCGCATTTGATAGGCTGTCCGGCATCGTCAAGCGGCCACTCGAACGTGAAAGCCCACAACATGTAAGCGATCGCGATGAACATCCCATTGACTGCAAAGTCCTTTCCAGGACACACACGACGACCATGTCCGAACCCAAGAAGATCTAAGCGGGTATCCGGAGTCACCGGGAGTAGCTTTCCAGATTTATCCAAGAAACGGGTAGGATTGAATACTTCTGAGTTTGGATAGACCAATGGATCGCGGGTCTGACCCCTGCAGGATGAATGAGAGCCGTCAGCGACATGGAATTTGTCAGAAACAGACCATATATTGTCAAAGAACACAGTTCCTTTGGGTATCGTGTATTGCTGATACTGGAAGGTCTGCATCATTGTTCGTCACATTGTTTGGTCAGGGGTGAGCAGTGGCTTTACCTCAGAAGCCACGTGTGGTATACCCGGAGGTATACCGGGTCTCCATCTTACTGTCTCCTTGACAAGGGCGTCGATATAAGGAAGTTTGTCTCTGTCTTCGAATTTTGGAGGGTGCATGCCGCAGATCGCGTCGATGTTCGCCTGCGCAGCCCGCATAACTTCGGGATGATGCAACAGTGCCAACATGCAGACTCTCAGTGCTGTGGATGTAGTCTCTTGCCCTGCCATACTTCAGTGCGATGAGACGATCGAACATATTGACACGCGAATCACGAACTAGAGAGTGACTGTTGTCCACACAGCGTTATGCTTTGTGATGCCATATTTCTCGCGGTTCATATTGAAGTTTTGCACGATAGGCTCCCAATCCTGAAAACGGTCAGCAGATACCCCATTTATCAGGTTCCAGTACACTTGCCTCGGTGGGAGCGGCGGTGTCGAACAAACGATACCCTTCTTGAGTCATCTCGCGGAACCAAGTATCAGCCGCCCTTCTTAACCATTTCACGCGCTGTATGAGAGGCTCTAGGAAAGGGAGCATATCGACAATACTGTTCTGAGGTAACATGGCATGCATGACCTCCTTGTGCATTTTCTCAATGAGTCGGCTCGGATCTTCCTTCAAATGATTGAACCTCTCTCCGCCGTACAAAGATCTGAAGATGGAAGAGCCCGCAAACCTATGCGCGTGCACGTCGAATGCCTTGTCGGGATAACGCAAAAGTCCAAGAGTGAAATACGCTGCCTCATTTTCTTGCAGAAAGAGGAAACGAACTGTCGAGCGAATGTTCAGGCTATATGGGCAAATGAGTTTCTGGTCGGATACGTGGGTGGAAAGAGTAACCTACTTGGAATGAATCGCTCGTCGCTCCCCACGCCACCTGCAGAGTATGTCAGACTCGCCAACCTCATCCGCGTTATAAAGACAGACTCTATCGTGTGGTCCTGTAAGGAAACGAAGCTATCGCTCGTATAAAACATGCTCTATCAAGCAGTCATTCTTCATCTCCTGACAGAGAGAGGGGTAGTCGGCAAGGGAATTTCTCTACCTTAATGGTCTTGAATCTATCTGCTGTCGCGCCAGAATTGCGGTCCAATATATCTGCTGCCACCGCGACACTGTTGAGCACCACAAATGGTCGGCCCATCATCCATAGCGTGTATATAGGACCATATTGTTTGGACCAGTCGTCGAGTTTGTACCAGGTGAACTTCGAGGGCACCTGAAGCAGATTGCCAAGTAAAGGCAAACCTCGAGGGCCCGGGGGCAGGTTCGAGCCCTGCTTGCGATAAACATCGCGGACAGCATAGATACAAAGAAGCACAATGCCGAGCAGTATGACCCCCAGCATCAAGGCGAGCATCTGGGGTAGCATCATCGTCGCCAGCTGTGGTATTCAGTTGAGAGCTTTGACCGCTGTTTATGTATGCAACGTGAATAGGCAGAGGGTAAGAGCATCGATCACGATGTCACTTGTGCCCAGCTGGTTCTGCCATTTTGAGAAAAAGGTCGTCCTAGGCGGTCAGATGAAAGTTGAAGATTATGAAATGGTGATGCTGGATATAGCTTCGCGGAGAGCAAGTTGCCATACTGGAGCAGGGTCGACGTCCTTTGTCTACCGCCCCACGAAGAGATCAGAGGTAAGGAGAAGAATTGGCGCGACAGTATGTATGACGGAAACAAATTATTAACCCTTCTTGCACGATGTAATTCCAGGGGATACAAGCCGATAGGCTGAGACGAGTGTTCTCCACTTACCGGACGTGTTAGCATCAGCCATCTCGAGAAGTATGACCACAAATGGAGAGGCAGAACCATGGAGGATCACTATTGGACATTGAGAAAGTCTGGACTTCTTGCAGCAGAGGGTTCATTCGTATTGCCGCGCATGAAGTGTGCTCAGGAACACAAAAGTACCAATCAGCAGGCTTCTTATGCCAGCACATGCCAGCACAGTTGATAAGAAAGACGAGGCGCATCATGTGGCAGGATTACAAGTGTTGTATACATTCGTGGCGCTTCATTCAAACGTGCTAACATCGGCCTCAACTTGGTCAATCTCAAAGGAATCATCATCTGCCACAACGAAACTCCCAAGTTCATACTCGTTAGGCTCCGAATTCGGATCGGCCTCTGAGCTAGACATGGGGATATGTCGCTTTGGGCCACTCCAGGCTCCAAAAGGGCCTCGGCGAACCGGCCCATCCCGAAATCCTAGATTGGTTCGGCCAGGCGCTTGTGTCATCAGGCCTTGAAGGTAGATTCCGTGTTCCTCAGCCTTCGGAACAGCTTGTGTTGCGGGCGAATTCTTGATAAAACGCTGATCGCTTTCACTCCATTCCTCGTCGTTGTCGTCACTTTCGCCGTGATCGCTTCCTGAGAGATCGGCTTCCACATCAAAGAATGGGTTTGGCTTTGAATATAATCGTGACCGTGATGATTTCGAAGTCCTTTTCACCCTCACGGGAGAGGACGACGGGGCCGCTTCTTTATCCGGAAGGTTTGGGGGACATGTGTTCCGACCCTTGGCAAGACTACTGTTTCGCCGTATGAGGAAGGGAGAGTCGTCCGAGGTTAATTTATGCGCTGGAATGGGTGGTGGTCCCATGCCATGGCCGTACACGAGTGGTACGTCAGGGCTTGAATTTGCGGCCACATTTCGCGCAGGTGTGGAGACATCTAGATATGTTCTGGGCGCGACTGGCGAAAGCTGAATCGGGGACAGCTCCATTGTGAGTTTGTTAGCCGCTGCAGCAGAAGCATTTGGAGCAGAGCGGCCAGCGCCATCCTTGGTATTGGCGCTGTTTTCGTTCTCTGACTCAGATTCAAGCAGCCATCTGGAGTTCGCGGGTTCTTCCCGGAACGTCACCGCTCCATTGCCAGAAGGCTTCGGAGGCGGATGCCTGTTGGCGGGCTCTTCATCACTGGAAATCTCTACAATGTCGCAGGGTCTTGGGACGCGCACCCGTCGCGTAGGTGGTAGCAGATTGTCTAACCCTGCTTCGAGTTCTTGATCATCAGAATCATCCTGAAGTTCTCGGGCGAGGTCATCAAGTGTGGAGCTGCTTGAAACGCGTCGATCTGGAGCTCTGGACTTCCGTGCTCTGCTGATCTTTGACAATGCTGCTTTCCGGCTTTCTTCAGGCGGGGGCGAACTGTCAGGGGTGGGACTCAATCGACCACGGCTGATATCTGCATCGTCTTCATCATCCTCTAGATCCCGTTGAAGACCTTCAACAGTCAATCGATCTTCAGTATTCTTCGAGCCCTTGCGGACCAGTTTAGCAGCGGAAATAAATCCGGCGAATGCGCCATCCGGTATATTTCGATTCGGATCATCGTTTCGTTTACGCCGTTTTGCCGGACCCTTGTTACCATCGGTGACCAATCGCCTCTTCTTGCCGCCAGTGTCTTGACTGACAAAGGGATGAATCTCCATGTGTTGCTTTCGCACGATTGGCTTGGCATCGTCTGGAATGAGACGCTCGTCATCGTCGAACAATTCGAGCTGATCACCCCGAATGATGGTCTCCTGGACATTCGAGTAGTTCTCGTTGGCAGCGTCCCAATTTGTCTCCTCACGACCTTCCGCCATCAGCACGACGATCTTGCCACTCCGTTTACGACCGGTGCGACCAATACGTTGAAGCTTCAGACAGTTCAGTTGAGAGAATTAACCGTGAGTGTCAGGACGACTTACCATCTTGATTGAGCTCTTCTGCACGTCGTAACAAATGATGAGATCGACCTCTCCGATATCCAAACCTTCTTCTCCGATTGAAGTAGCAACGAGAACATTGAAATCTCCCTGCTTGAAGCGCCGGATTATCTCAATTTGGTCCTTCTGTGCCATGCCTCTGTCTCCACGTTTATCGCTGCTCTGGCCTACAAACTTGCTCGCTCGGATAATCGGTTGCTGTAGCTTCAAGGACTTCACAATTTCATCGACGCAATCGCGGTACTGGCAGAAGACCATGACGCGGGTGCTGTCTGCCCCATCATCAGGCGCAGCAAAGTGCTCCAGCGCAACCGCAACGAGCTTGTCCATCTTTGGATGACCAACTGGTCCTCCACCGGTAACCCGTTCATTTCTGTAGTTCTCGATTTCGGTAATGAGATCACGAAACTTCGGGTCATTGGACAACTTGTTGCCGCCTTCTTTCGTTGTCAACTTTTTCCCTGCCGCATCGAGCAGTGTGTTGTAAGCCATTTCGACGCTCTCCTCGCATAGATACGCCATGGCGAATGTCAGCTTGTGGAGTCGCATGAGCAACGCCGCAGCCCAAGGAAAGTCTCTTCCTTGCGGCTTTCGTCGCAGTTCGTCGATCCATTTCTTGCAGCTATACGGGTGGATGTCTGCGACCTTGACATAGTCCGGGAAGATATCCTTGCCACGCAGGGGCTTGACGGTGTTCTGGCAGATGTTCAGTCGATACAACAGCATCATCAAACAAAAGTGTACCTCCATCAACGCAAGAAGCCTCTCCTTGATGCCATTGATAGATGCACCCATCTGAACAACACATTTCTCCATAGTCTAAGACTAGGAAATCAACATCTGTTTGGATTGTGACCCAAGCGCTGCGTGCACCTTTTCATGGATGTATTGCTTCAGATCCAAGCTCCTCTCATCCCTAATCTCGATATGCCCAACATGCAAACTATCAATGATATCCTGAACGGTTTTCGGTTTTGAGCCAGGTGTCGCTGTTAAAGCCAATATCCGGAAATGGGGGTTCTTCGCCATCATGAAGCGCACAACGGTCGCATACGCATAATTGCCCGTCGCCTTGTGGGCTTCATCCACCACAAGAAGGATGATATCTCTCGGGTCTACCACTTCGCGTAGCAGATCGTTCTGCAGAGTTTGAGGTGTCATGTACACGATGCGCTTGCTTGCCCACTATGGCGGGGTCAGTATGAAGGAGGGGTGATGCCTGGAGGAGGCGCACATGTCGTTGCCGTGTCGCTTGAGGTGTCTCTCCCGTCATCTCAATGGCGTCTTCGACTGGAATGCCACAGGTTTCATGGCATGCCTTGATCTGCTGGCTAACGAGGGGCTTTGTAGGAGCAACGAACACCACTTTGCCGTCGGGGAACCATCGATAATCTACAGGCAGGAATCAGCATACATTTTTATGCACAGAAATGCGAGCTCACAGTTAAGCATAAGTACACCAGCGATGAACGTCTTTCCCAATCCGGTAGGCAACGCGACAAGCGTGTTCTTGAAGAGCGCTGCTTGGACAATGTTATACTGGTAGTCCCGGATGGGCTTGTTGATCGGATAGATCCATTCGCGAACCGCAATAGGATCGGTGACAAGTTTCATTGGTGGTGGCTAAATATTCCATCAGCACTCTTTGTGGTGCAGGAGGCCTGAGGTACTTACTGGTCTAAAGATAATAGATTCCACAATCACGTTAGTTCAACTAGTGCAGCTAGCGAATCCTACTCACCCCGCTGTACATCCTATGAGCCATCAACGCTGACGAATGAGGAAGCCCAAGACTCACAAGAGACAACCGATGTGGGGAACTGCTCCCACTCGAGATCTTCCTCTTCCTCTTCCTCCTCCCCGGTCTCCTCGTCCTCTCTTCTCCTCCTCTTCTTTCGTTTGACTCTTCCCTTGTTTTTATTTCCCGTCGCAGCGAACTGGGTCCTGTCCCACTGTTTTGTCCTTTGATTCGGCCGTCCAAACGGCCCTGCTCGCGATGGGGCCATTGCGCCTCCTCGGTCTCCTGGTCCTCGGACGAGATCGCTGGATGTACGAGGCGGTGTGCGTGCTAGCGTACCATACAGAGTTGTTTGATACTTCGAGGAGGAAGTGGAGCCGGTGCGCGTGTAGATGTCCTCGATGTGTGTCAGAGAGGCGAGGGCCGCAGGGTCAAGGTCGAGCGAAAGATCGTACGGATCTGAAGATGGGGGGTTTGCTACCGAACGCGCTGAATTTGGACGTGAACTGTTTGATGGCTTCACAGGGGCTGATAGTGCGCCGCTTGCATTCGATGACAAACCGAACTTTGACGGACCAGAGACCGAGCGCGTAGCAACCCCCCCGACCTTGCTCGACTGTGCAGGAGCAGCGAAAAGACTGAATCCATCATGCTTAGCCGGAACGGTTGCAGATCGAGGCTTTGATGCCTCCTTCTCGATTGCGTCTATTTGCTGGAAAAAGGAGGCGTCATACTCGTCGAATTCGTCGAATTCGTCAGACATGGCAGTTGGAGACGCGCGCACGTCTGTTGACCGTTCGTTTGATAAAGCCTCCAGTTATACCCAAACGTCGAAATGGATTGCAAAGATATCCTGGATGTAATCAAGAAGGGTATAGGAGATGCATGATGAGAGGCGTGATGAGAGGGAATTGAGAAGGCGCGTCGCAATGAAGCATGGGAGATCACGTGAGGCGCGCCCTATTTCAATGACTCAATGCCCTTTGTGGATTTTAAAAGGGAGACAAAAGCGATCAGATGATGAAACCCCTGTTACTTTTGATTTTCATGGCTTGCAGATAGGAGATAGTTCGTGATGATCATTTCAATGTTGCAACACCAGATCAATCCACAATCAATACATATTCGGACATGTCCCGCACAGTTTCTATTCGCACAGCACCCATTGCACATCCTTACAATCATGATTACATCCTTGGGGTATCTTGACTCATACGCTGCAGGAATCATGAGCAAAGTCCTCGCAAGGAAGTGCATACACATACGTATCGTCATCGTAATGGAACCTCGTGTTCTTAGGATTTCGAGGTGCATGGGAAACATATTTGTCATTATCCGGAGGTCTTTGGTCATCATCGGTCAACGAAAACGTGTATAAGACAGCTGCAAGGCGGGCGTACCGTTGCTTGCTTGTGCAGGAGGCGAGCATGGACTGGAGTGTGAGACAGACGGAGACTACAGACAGAACAGGAGACCATTCGGGTCCTTCATCACATCATTCAGTATCAACCCCTTGTCTGATCTGGCAGCACACACCTAATATCGATGCACAGATCTATAGGGAGATCAGCATCTGCAAGAACCAGGAAGTAAGATAGATGACGCACATGCCCATTACTATACACATGTGGATGTACCGGTGCTGTCCACTTGTCATCTGCCACAAAGGTGACTGCGGGGCTGTCGATCGGGTAGTTGTGTGGGAATTCGAAGCGTAGACAGAACTTCTCCCCTTCGTAAAGAGTGTTGCCAAGCACCTCGACGGAGAGCAGCCACTCGCTGAGGTCATCCGCGCGGACAATTGTGATGCCTAGTACATTACTTCAATCGGATGACCGTTATATGCCCAGAACATGAATACAAGGCACATCGCACTTTACACGTTCGGGCCGTAGAAGACGGGCGCTTACCTGTAGGCAACCCATGGGTCTGCATCTCCCTCAGCTCCTTATTCAGACGCTTCGTCAGAATAGTCGCCATTCCGCTCCACGTCGACACTTGTCAAATTGAACAGCTTTGTATCGGCTTGCTAGGAAAAAGATAGACGAGAGCAAAGGTGTGAAATCTCTCTCGCAGGCGTGGAAACACAATCACGCGCTGGCCTCATGCCAAGCCTCCGGTACACAGCCACTGATAATTGTCTCAAGGGGATGACCGCCAGGTTAAATAATGGACAGCATTTCTAGTTTTCGTCCACAACCAAGGTTTCTCATGAATAGAGCCGCGAATATCAATACACGATGCATCATCCTTCCAACTACTAATTCGTCTTGAAATGGAGGGGTCCGGCCCACTGCCTCATCCTCTTGCCAAAAATCTGCAGTACAATGATGATGAGGAAGACGGCGGCGCAAATACCGGCCTGGGTGCCGAAGCTGACTTCTGTACCCGTGCTTTGTGCCCACTGCACCTGACCATAGGAGATTGCGAAGCCTGTCAGATGCGGTCAGTTTTATCGATGGGCGGATATGGAGAACACACCTCCTGTAGTCCTCGCTGCGTTTATCCACGCGGCGATCTCTCCACTCGCCTCGGTATATGAATCGAGGCCGTATGCATTGAGTGCCACTGCGAGAGTTGTCAGACGGATTAGGCAATATGCGAACAATTCGTACCTGTGGCTATCATGATCCCAAATACGTACAGTCCCCAACAGACCGACGTGATCATGAAATGGAGTCCGCGCTCGAGGCAAAATCCCAGTCCTATGAGACCGCCGATCATGAAGGGCTCCGCGATGTAGATCGCAATCAATCGTGCTTCCGGCTCGAAGTGGCCGTTGTGGCGTTTCATATATATGTTCGCGATGAAGTCGTGTAGCCAGTGACCGACCAGTTCGCCGAGGATAGCGGCCACGATAGGGGTAAAATAGAAGAACCCTATTGGTTTCTATCAGATATACATCGCCAAGTGAGAAGGCGACATACCGATCTGCTTTGGTCCGAAGTTGTACAGCGGGGTGACGAAGATCGCGAGGGTAGTGTTGATACCGACAACCCAAGCGAATGTGAACAGGTAGTAGATTACGCAGAGGAACACGGTAGGGCGTGTGAGCACCTTGATGGGCCGCCAACATGCCTCGGCAAACGTGTTTCCAATCAGGTTGGTGCGCATTTGTTCCACACCGATGAGTCGCATGAGCCGCGAGGTGCGAGGCGGTTGCTTAGACAGGGGAATGTGCCGATTGTAGTATGTCTCGTCGGCGAAGAGAATGACCATGATCAGTGCAAATCCCGTCATGGCCGTGAACACCCAGAAGGGGATCTCCCATGAAACGGTGTTGATGATGAAAGCAGCGATGAGGGGACCGAAGTACGGCGACAATATGATGAACGAGGACCAGATGTTGATCTTCCTCGCATGCTAATTTGGGTAATCAGTAAGTTGCTGGGACGTGGGAAGTATTCAGGTACCTCGTGGAAGAAGAAGAGATCCTTGAGGAACATCAAGCCTCCCTATATCACATGATTATCAACACCTGTACAGTGTTGCTGCAGTAAGAACACGCACCCCTTGTGCGACAGTCGAGAAGAACCCATTAAGAATGCGAGCGGCCATGAACTCGTTGAATGTGTTGCTGCCAGCGCACCATGCCGCGGTCCAGAAGGCCATGACGAGGAACCAGAAGAGAGTAGGAAGGCGGCCAAAGTAGGCACCGAAGATTGTTACGAACACACCGCCGGCGCCGAGCATGAACACATTCCCGACCTGCGAGTGGTTGACCTCGTCCTGGGTCATGCCCCAGATCGCGCTCTGGGGCAGGAGCGTAACCGCGCCCGTGGCGGAGCCGTAGTCGGGTAGGAACGCCGCCCAGGAGATGATGAAGAGGAGTAAGTTTTTGCGGGACTGGGACCAGTTGAGCGGATCCTTGGGATCGTCTGAAGGCTGCGGAATAAGGATTGTTACACCGTCTGTGGCAGTCTTGAGCGCCTTGCCGCCGGCGTGCTCCGTGCGGTACACATTTGCGTCCAGCACGTATCCCTCCCGCTCGCCCATCTGGTCCAAATCTACATCGTCCATATCATCGGCTGACGGAGGTGTCTCAATCCGGGCGATCTCATTCTCGACCTTCTCGGTATCCATAATAGTAGACAAAACGAGGTGTAGAAGCCAAAGGGAGAGGTAGGAGAGGAGCAGAGAAGGGGATGGTGGGGAGAAGGCAAAGCTTGTGACATCGGAGTGACTTTATGAGCGACTGGGCCTAAGATCGCCCGCCTGAATCTTCCAGGTGTGTCCGACAATTGTGTCGCAGACCTGCTCAAGGAATGTGTTTCCCTTTACCACTGCTCACCTCGCGCCTGCCCCAGCCCCGATAGGCCAATTCAATGCTCCATCAGGACCCATCCATATGCCACCTTATCTGGTGTACATTTCCGATGTTGTCGGTGACAGCCCGGAAACCGCATGGTCGGGACCAGTAATATCGCGCAGAAATTCGACGACGGCGGACCTGAGCGGCCTGGAGAAACGAAGCTTCAGTGCGTCCGCGACAGAAGCCTGTGTGTCTGTTGGGCTTTGCCGATGGGGTCCAAATTCTTGATGTTAAACGCCCACAACGTCGCCCAGATGTACGCGCATTCCGCGGCGGTGACATCGGTCTTGTCCGGCACTTTGCTTTACAATGAATGAACGCCATGGTGCAATTTCTTGAGAACCGCGCGCATGACCAAGACGAGGCGGCCATCGTGGTAACTTGAGCGGGCTGATTGTTCACGCACTTGGAATGTGAAGAAGGTCACGAAGCGAGGAAGCTGGATCTCGGGAAAATACGTTCACGCGCTGTCATCTTGGGGGAGTTTAGGGGGAACGTTGACAGCATCCCAGCCTCGTCGGATGGACTTGGCACATACTTCAGAGATGGCAACTTCGCCTCTCTCTCTCAAGCCAAGTCGCTAGGGGTACTGCGAGACTGCGGATGCCTTGTCATCTCAGAGTAGTATGTGTATTGAATACTGCCTCCAAAGATAGGTTATGTATTGTAAGCTGGCAGGATTTCCATTTCGATAGGTTGTCGATAGGGTTTGCTCAATTCTCCATACTTGTATTAATGTTGTCAAGGTTACCGTCAAACCTATGATCGCGCTTTCGGTACATGAGGCTCTGCTCGAGTCTCCGGTGGTCACTCATTTCATGGTATTGACATTGGCATCAGACATTGCTGCTCTCATCTCAGAGATGGACACAGGCTTCTTCGCGAATGCTCAATCTCTTTGTACTCGATACTTCTTGAGTCGGAATAGTGTTCAGAAGTGGTAGACATACTTACATCCAGCTTTTATCTTTCCGGAGTAAAGCTCTTCGGCTCCGGCGACATCAGGGACGCAATTTCACTCAAGCGCTGGCGGTGTGTTCACCAACTTTTGGGCTCTCCTCACTCTCTGCACTGTCCAAATGCCAGTCGCTGTTCCCCCCTACACAGCGATGGACGTGGATATGACAGATGCTGGCGCTTCTGGCAGCGCTTCCCCGTTCGAACCTCCTGTCATCCCTCTCTCTGTACCACCTAGCACACCCTACATCCCCGTCCTGACCAACTATCGCGAGGTGTACTACCCCGACCGCGTCCCAATAGTAATCGATAATGGTACGTATATGATCTAAGCTCTGTTGGGATTTTTATTGATAACGTGGATAGGCGCAACCAACTTCCGTGCTGGCTTCGGGACCGACAAGGACCCGTACATCGTCGTAGACAACCTGATGTCCAAATACCGGGATCGCAAGACCAATACCCCAGTATTGCTATTTGGTAATGAACTGGTGGACGATGCTACGACACGTAGCAATGCGAAATCTCCGTTTGATGGAGATATATGCGTCAATCCAGAAGGCATGGAGACCGCGTTCGACTGGACATTCATCAAGCTGGGCATTGATGACGAGAAGGTGGACCATACAGTATTGATGACGGAGCGAATAGCATCTCCATTGGCTTCTCGTGCTTGTATGTCATTGTGTCACCCTCTATCATACACTGCTGACATGTGAACAAGTCATCTCCGAGCTCCTGTTCGAAGCGTACGACGTCCCCTCCGTCCTCTACGGCCCAGATGGTTACTTCTCGATGTATGCCAACGCCCCTCCCTCATCCTCATCCATGGACGGCGTTGTGGTAAGTTTCAACACGCAATCGACGTCCATGTGGCCCGTGCTGGGCGGAGAGGCGCAGATGAACCAAGCGAAGCGGATACCTTTTGGTGGCACCCAGGCGATCGACCTTCTGCTCAAGTTTGTCCAGCTCAAGTATCCCAGCTTCCCCACTCGGGTCACCTCGGCTCAAGCGGCCGTAAGGTCGTTCTCCTGTATCGTGTGCGCTTACTAACATTTGAACAGTGGATATTCCAGACATGCTGCGAGTTCACCCCTGGAAGTCTGATCGAGAAAGTCCGCGAGTTGACCGATCCACTTAAGCTCAAGCAGATCACGAAGATAGTACAATTTCCTTTTGTGGCTGTAGTGAGTCCGAGCGGCAGCTACTGCGAGTATGAAACTGATCTGCGTTCTGCAGGCCGTACAACAGCTCACGGAAGAAGAATTGGAACGACAGGCTGAGAAGCGACGAGAGGCAGGGAGACGGCTGCAGGAGACAAGCGCTCGTATACGACTCGAAAAGGTGCGCATGGCTATCAGCTTACAGGGAAGCGGCTAAACTATATCATTAGCTTGTGGAGAAAGAGAACAATCTAGAGTATTATACCAACCTACGGGACTGGCGGAACAGGGAAAAGCGCTCGTCTTGGCTGGCGCGACTCGAGGACCACGGGTTTGAGACTGAGGCCGAGTTCGAATCGACCATCCGTAAGCTGGAGACATCCATTACCGCTGCAAGACGAAAAGAAGCTGGGCTGGAAGAACCACCGGCAGAAGAAGCGATACCAACGTTCCCTCTTCTTGATCGACCAGATGCAGACCTTACAGAAGAGGAGTTGAAGGAGAAGCGCAAGCAGAGGCTGATGAAAGCTGGGTATGATGCGAGGATGCGGGCAAGAGCGGAGAAGGAGAGAGAGGGAGAGCGGAAGAGGCAAGCAGAGAAGGAGGAAGAGGAGGAGAGGGAGCGGGATTTGAAAGGTTGGAGTGATAAACTCAAGCGAGAGCACGAGGTGTATCGTATTTGTTAGTTGATGTCAGCGGGCTAACGCTTTTGTAGGCGGTGATGGACAAGATCAAGGACCGCAAACGAAAACAGGCTGCGCTCTCCGACCGGAAGAGCATGGCTGCGCAGCAGAGGATGAGGAGTATCGCGAATCTAGCAGCGGACACGCCGACGGGGAACAAGAGGAGGAAGCGGAATCAGGAGGATATGTTCGGTGCGGACGACGAGGACTGGGCTATCTATCGCAAAGTTGTGCGTATGGCTCCATGCTGGTGCTAGTGCAGAACATTAAACGCTGGACCATAGCATGGTGCGGAAGAAGACGATGATGAGGAAGAGGACTTCGCTCGGCTGGAATCGATTGAGAACAAGCTTCTGGCATACGACCCAGGGTTCGACATCTCCCTCACGTTCGCTGCTCGTGAGAGTCAGCGTTCAGCGCTGCTCAACGCCTTCCGGCCTATACCTGCGGAGAATAACGTCGCGGCATCCTATCAGCTTTGGCTGAATACCGAGCGCATACGCGTGCCAGAGACGTGGTTTAACCCGAGCATTGCTGGCGTGGACTGTGCTGGAGTGGGTGAAGTCCTCACGGGAATCCTGAGGAGTTTTGGAGAGGCGGAGCGGGACAGGCTCATACAGGTGTGTCTCTATGTGTCCCCTCTTCGTGGAAAGACTCCTGATTAGCGCCAAGAACATACATGTAACCGGGGGCCCATCACAGCTACCCGGACTACCGGAGCGGCTGCACTACGAACTGGCGCAGTCATTGCCCTTCGGCGCACGTCTCGCAATTCGCCCTGCAAAAGACGCCCGATTGGATGCCTGGCGAGGTATGGCGCAGTTCTCGAGGACTGAAGGACTTCAAGAGTGTCTCACCACACGAGAGATGTACAATGAGTGGGGCGCGGAGAGGATGAAGGCGTGGAGAGGAGGGAACTGGACTGGTGCTGTCGGCATCGACGATTGATATCTGTAACTTAGCATACCTGACCGGGGCGTTGATGGACCCAGCGTCATTGTGTAATTCAACGCTTTGTAACCGTATATTCCTCGGCTGTACAAGGCATTAAGGACGAAGAGAAAACAAGGATTAGAGGTGGTATACAGGAAATAACGCAAACGACGATGACATGATGTCTAGCAGCAACCGCTTGACTGGTCGGTGTTCGGCTGGCCGACCTTGACGGATCCTGTTGCTGCTTGTCCAGGAGCAGCTGCTCCCTGATCGGGAAGTGTATCAAGCAGCCGTGCCTTGATGTCCCTGTCCGCATATATGAGATTCGATTTCAAGTACGTTAGTTGGAGGTTGACGTACCTAGCAAGGCTGAAGAAGGCCTCCTCTACGTTGATGTTCTGCTTCGCCGACGTCTCGAGGAAACGCACTCCCAGCTCGTCGGCTAGCTCTTGACCCTGCTGTGTGCTCACCGCACGTTTGTCGTCCCAGTCACACTTGTTGCCAATCAAGATCTTGTTTACACCTTCGGATGCGTGCTGCTCGACATTTGAGAACCACGTGCGGATGTCTGCGTTCTACAGTCAGGCACGGCGTGGAAACTATGGTGGACGATGGCTCACTGTTGAACGACCGCTCGTCCGTTACATCGTAGACAAGTAGAATTCCCATCGCTCCGCGGTAATATGCAACTGTGATGGTCCTGAAGCGCTCTTGTCCGGCTGTGTCCCACTGTGAAACATCGGGGGTCAGGGAAATAGAAAATGATGGCTGTAAGTGCACGCACAATCTGAAGCTTGATCCGCTTTCCATCAAGCTCAATGGTACGTATTTTGAAGTCAATTCCAATAGTTGTGATGAATGAAGGTGTCCAAGCATCGTCGCAGAACCGCAGCAGCAAGCATGACTTGCCGACACCAGAGTCGCCGATGAGCAGGAGCTACAGCCAAGCCACTCAATGTCAGTCGTTACGCGCATACAATATGGCCTAATCCTGACCTTGATGAGGAAGTCGTAATGCGGGTTCACCATTGTTGTCTAGTGAGAGAATAGAGTAGTCAAAAAGGAGGCTGAAGGGGTGGTGGACGCTGCCTGAGGTGACGAGCTGGTCGCCTGTCAGCCTGCAGTGCCGTGTTCCGCCCCGCCACGGAGGCAATCCGACGGCCCGTACGGTGTCGAGATCCACTGCGCAAACGGCGGCGTCCGCCCAGTTTGAACTCGAACCATGACCTGCACTGGCTAACTCATCCTAGTCTTTATTTCTCTCGATGCTCGAGTGAGCCTCATGGAATATCTCTTTGCACGCTGTCCTTCATGTATGCATGACAGCCCGTCTCCAACTAGCGTGGATCACGTGTCAATGTCATCCTCCATCATCCTATGCGTCCAATCCGAACATCAATAACACAAAGTTTGCTGAATCTTGTGCTGTGGCGCAGCATATCCCGTCACAGTGCTATCCAGCAGAGCGGACCGTGCCAGCGCACTGCGTTAGTGTCGGAAAAACGCTATCCCCACGATTCTTGACTTCTTGCCGTGTGGACACATGCCTCGAATATTGAATAGTGGGGAAGGCAACCATGGTTCTGCTAATCTTTGGCTTGCGGGGTTGTCTTCTTTCATCCAGCGCCATAAAACAATGGCCAGGTGCTCTATCCATCTCTGAAATCCCAAACCCCTTTGGTAGCCAACAACCTCAGTATGTTGTACTCTGGGCTCATTCTTGTCGTTGCTCTTGTCTTTGCCGTTGGAATCAGAGATGCGTACCGCAAGCGTATCTCTCAGCTTCTACCTGGCCCCCCTGGGCTTCCCATTCTGGGTAACCTCTTGCAGCTGCCCTCTCAGTTTCTATACCGGAAACTCACCAGCTGGTCCGAACAATATGGCCCCTTCTATACGTTTTGGATGATGAACCAGCCGTTCGTCGTTGTTGGCAACACCGAAATTGCAGCGGATTTACTTGATCGAATGTCTGCTATGACCAGTAACAGGCCGCGAATGATCAAGGTAGGGACGTGATTCCGTTCCGTCCAACTAGCACTCTGACATGCAGTATCTCATCAGGCACGAGAGTTTTATATGAGGGATATGGCGGTTGTCCTACAAGATCGCTCCCATGTGTGAGTATTCCCTCCGATATAGAGACATTCATTGATCAAATATAGATGGCGCGCTCAGCGCCGTGCGATGCATGCAAAGTTTGTAGTTCATTCCGTCGTGGTGCATGTCTTGCTCACATGCTTCCAGTATCAACGTCAAGACGGCTTCGCGGTTCAATTCTATGCAATCACACGATGCAGCCTATCTAGCCCTCGGACTGTTACAGCATCTCGAGACCCCGCTTTACGAGGACACTCATAGATTCGCCTCATCCATCATATTTTGCTCTCTTTATGGCGGCAACGCAATACCCCTGGATGGTCCTGATCCCAGCAAGGAAGCGGAAGAGTTAACGGACCAAGGATTGCACGTCACAATACCCCAGCACAGCGTTGTCGATACTATGCCATTTCTCGAGCCTCTCATAAAAAGAGTAAAATAGCTCAGAAGACCAGCTGATAAATAGTTCGCCCTGCTAGAGACAGAAGGGACGCGACTGTATGATACTGCTTTGTCGACTGATCTAAGCTTGAATGCTACGAGAGTTTTCCCACGCTCACTATGTCTAGAATTGGGACGCCACCACGATTGTTCAGGATCTTCAACAAAACAACGAGAAATATGAGCTCGAGCGATCCCAGGCAATGTGGATGACTATGATCATGTTGTGCGTTCTATTCGACAAATCATAGCGTTCGTGAAGATGACCGGACATTAGCATGGCTGGGCAAGAAACAACCAACACGGCTCTCCGCGCATTCACTCTTGCTATGAGAATCCGTGATGACAACTACACTTATGGCAGGAAGAGACGTGTTTCGCCATGTGCGTACTGTCAATATGTGGGAGAGACAATACATTGCGAAGAATCTGATGATCACGCCGGCGTCAGTCAACTCTGGATGCGGGTGACGACGCAAGTACCACCGGCCAGCGAATTTGCCTACCCATGGAGAAGCCTCGTTTTTCACCATCGTGGACCCTCGTTCGAAGCAAGAAGGACCGAGAAAGTCAAGAGCTCCACCATGCGGGAGTAGGATTCTCCATACTCCGTATGTCAGTACAGCTGAAACTGCCAAAGGGGTTAAGATAGCCATGTCGGCTGTGACAAGTGACAGGCCGCGGATGATTAAGGTATGCAAGCGCCTTTTCATTCCCCGCCCTGCGGTGGTCCTAATTATCACATATTCCCTAGGCACGGGAGTTCTATACGAAGGACATGTCACTTGTGCTACAAGATCGCTCGCCCAAGTGGGTGTTTGTTCTTGTTCGCCGTGGAAACAGATGCTGACAGACGCAGGTGGCGGGCGCAACGCCGGGCCATACATGCGAAGTTCGTCCATGATCCAATCAAGAGCATGTTGTACTCACGCACTACCAGCATAAACATCAGAGCCACTTCCCGATTCAACCCTATGCAAACGCATGATGCAGCATACCTCACACTTGGATTGTTACAGCATCCTGAGAAGCCATTTCACGAGCATGCCCACAGGTTTGCTGCGTCTATCATCTTTGGCTCTCTATATGGAGGCAGGGAAATTCCAATTGATGGTCCAGATCCCAGCCAGACAGTCGAAGAGCTGACGGATCGAGGCTTGCACTTTTCAATGCCACAACATAGCCTTGTCGATGCTTTGCCATTCTTGAAACCTCTTATCATGCGAGTGAAATGGTTCAGACGCCCGGCTGACATATGGTTTGCTGATTCTGTGAGAGAAGCCACCCTTTTGTACGACAGCGCAAAGGCCACCGATGTGATCTGTTCACCCTTCATTCCGAGATCGAGCTCATTATGATCAGAATTGGGACGCTACAACAATTGTTCACGATCTCCGACTGAACAACGAGAAATATGAGCTCGAAAAAGCTCAGGGGATATGGATGACTATGGTTCTATTGTGCGTCCTATTCAAGACTTGACAACACAAGATTTGACGAAACGTCAGCATGGCCGGGCAAGAAACAACCAACACCGTCCTTCGCGTATTCACTCTTGCTATGCTTCACCATCCGGATGTCGTTCAAGCGGCCCAGCGGCAGCTTGACGCCGTATGCGGGGGTCGTGTGCCAGGCTTCGAGGACCGGGACAATCTCCCTTATATACAAGCAATCGTAAAGGAAGCCCTCCGGTGGAGACCTGCTGTGCCCCTGAGCGTCCCACACAGGGCAACAGAGGTAAGATACACACCAATTAGGAAATAAATTTGCTGAAATCGTTCACTGAGGATTTTGAATATCGAGGGTATATTGTCCCGAAAGGGACGATTATATTGGACAATCTCTGGTGAGTATTGATTGAACGGGCTGCACATAAGCCCTGGGCTCCACATGGCTTATGTCTGGGGTAGGGGCCAAACTCAGGATCCTATGGTCTATGCTGAGCCAGAGACATTCAAGCCAGCTCGGTTTCTCGATAGCTCCGGCAATCTACGTCCGGTAACTCCAGATACACGTCTCGACCAGCTCGGTTTCGGACACGGGCGACGCGCTTGCGCAGGGCGGAACTTCGCTTTCAACAGCCTCTTCATTGCTTGCGCATATATGCTGTGGGCGTTTGATTTCAAATGGCCACTTGACAAGAATGGGAACGAAATCATTTGTGGTGTACACGACCTGGAGGACAAGGGGATCGTCATTACACCCAAGCCTTTCGGCGTCGTCCTCAAGCCCAGGAAGGACGGACTCGAGAACCGCCTTCTGGCTGCACTAGGCCAATAATGACGATCTCGTATCGGTGTGAGAACCTCCATTACGTATATCTGTCTATATCAGTCGAAAAAAGGGAAGCGAATCATGAGAAATATGTCAGACTTCCAGCGGCGCGCAAGATCGGCCAAATTTTTGCACCATGCGTCCGTAAACCCGCGATGTCAGCGTCAGCCAGCCCTTTGCACCGCTATGCTTTTCATCCTTGGTCGTCATCGTTCCGGGTGTGTCCTCATCAAATCTGACAACAATATCTGATGAGGTGCTGCTGTTGTTGAGACAACAGAGTCAGCTTTTAGGACGAAGAGCAGCAGAACCGGAAGCTCCGTCCGATCCATGCCGGAAGAGTCTTGGGATTACTCGGTGACAGAGCGACGAACCAATTATTTCCATTGAAAAATGGTTGTTCGATGGTGATGTACATCGTTGCCCATCTATCTGAATATTGACTGTTCAGGACTAACATGGGCCGCGGAAATGAGACATTCTTGCTGGCAATCGAGGTCGCGCAGGGTTCACCCGGAAGGCTGCCCGGATTCCTGGATAGGCTGTCAAACCCCAGAACAACGGGGCTTCTTCTGCGGAATGTCTCTAACCTTATGCGGTGATCATAGGTGAACTCTCTGCGGGGCGTACACTCCACCGCGCAATCTGCCACGTGCGTTTGTCTTGAAGACTTAAAAGGCGCTATATTGGCGTCTATCACACACAACTTGGTGTCATGTCTTACTGGTACATTCTGTTACCCGGTTTTGTCTTGGTCGTAGCAATTCTTCGGGATCTGTACATCAAATGCTCATCCCCTCTTCCACCTGGCCCACCCGGCTTGCCTTTGCTTGGTAACGCTCTGCAGCTGCCGCAGCAAGGTTTACATCACGTGCTTGATGAATGGGCCAGCAATACGGTCCAATATTTACCATCTGGGTCCTGGGTCGACCGATGGTTGTATTGGGAGACGTTGCAACCATAGGAAATATTCTTGATCGAAAGTCAGGAATAACAGGTGACAGACCACCCTTCATCAAGGTATGTTCACAAGCGAAGCGCTTCGACGCCTATGGCTGAGATTCATAAAGCAGCCCAATTCTATTTTCGAGGGCGGTTCGTTGGCTTCGACAATCTCGATCTCTCGCAAGTACTTCCTTCAAACGCAGACACTGAGAACTCATTGAGATTTTCTAAGATGGCGAGCAAAACGTCGCGCAATACATGTCAAGTCGGTAACACCCTTTTGATTGGGGCATGAGCTGATCCCTTGGCAGTCTCAACGTCCACGCAACTGCACGATTCAATCCTATGCAGGAGCATGAGGCGGCTAGTCTTGCCTTGGGTTTCCTGATACATCCAGAAATCTCGTTGGTGCAACATACGCACCGATTCTCCGCATCAGTTATCTTTCGCTGCTTGTACGGTGGTGACCCGATCCCCTTCAAAGGTGTGGATCGTAGCAAGCGGCTATCAGAGCTCACCGAAGTAATTGGCCGGGCGGTGCAGCCGCAGCAGAGTGTGGTAGACATATTGCCTTTCCTCAAACCAGTGATCTGGAATGTAAAGTGGTTGAGGAAACAAGCCGATGACTGGTTTGACGAGGTAGAGGTAGAGGCCAACCACTTGTGGGATTCCGCTGTGCCCTCAGATGTGCGTGTTATACCGGCATTGTTGTTCACTTGTGTATTGATGATGTTAGAACTGGGATGCGATAACGTCTGTGCACGACTTGAACCTACATATGGGCAAGTATGGTCTCCCTAAACCCCAGGCAGTGTGGAATACTTTGAGTTTGTTGTACGTGTCGGTGTTGTGCGGCAAGTGAAATATTGACGCTCTCAGAAGTTTGGCAGGACAGGAAACGACGGACGCGACATTGCAGGTGTTTGTTCTGGCTATGCTTCACCATCCTCAAGAAGCCCGAAAAGCTCAAGAGCAACTGGATGCTGTTTGCGGAGACCGACCACCCACATTCGACGACAGAGACAACTTGCGATCTATCGTAGCGATTATGAAAGAGACGTTGCGATGGAGGACGATCTCTCCGTTGGGGCTCCCACACAGAGCATCTCAGGTGAGGGTATGTATGGAAAACGAAGGCTATCGTCTTGAATGTGTTGATATGCAGGAATTCGAATATCGAGGCTACTTCATCCCCAAGGGCACGATATTACTTAGTAATATTTGGTCGGTTATGCACTGTTCGTGCCGGATAATAACTCACTTGACTTCCTCCCTAGGGGAGAGACGCATGACTCTGCTGTCTATACCGATCCGGACACGTTCGACCCGTCTCGCTTCCTGACGTCGTCTGGAGCATTGGCGCCCACCAAGCCAGACACACGAGAAGATCAGCATCCATTTGGTCACGGCCGGCGGATCTGCCCAGGACGAGACTTTGCAAATAACAGCTTGTTTATCGCCTTTGCTTGGATGTTGTGGGCATTCAATTTTGAATGGCCGCGCGACGAAGAAGGAAGGGATATCGTTTGCGGCGTGGACGAGTTTGTGGATAAAGGGACTGTGACCGGGCCGAGGGAATTCGGAGTGGTTTTCAGGGCAAGGAAAGCCAAGCTCAAAGAGACATTGGAGGCAGCTGTCAGGCTCTGATATTTGGGTGGTGCACTTAGATGGTGTGAGGAAGGAAGCCGGCATTTGCAGGGACTTGCACGATGGATTGGATAGAAAAGATGCCACTTTTGTCCACTGCTATGAAGACAGATAGATGATAATCAGCATTCAGGGTTAGCTAGTGACGTAACGATACCCCTCTCGCGAAGAGCAACATGGTTTCTCCAGCATCCATCCCAATCCTGAACACTCGGGAAAACTTGGGGCCGATAACGCCCAATACAGCGGAGTCTGGTAAGGTAAGCCTGATGAATAGCTCACACATGCCCGCCCCACACCAGTAGTTAGAGTTGCCGAGGTCCCCGCATTTTTTTCCAAGTTCCTGAAAGTACCATCAAGAACCAAACCTGATTTGGGGTTACCACGAGGGAGAGAAGAAAATCAACGCGTTCGTTTGCGGTGAGCATCATGTCGCCTGACTGCTCGACGGTTCTTGGCGCCCATCGTTGGACTGTTCTACTGCGGTTGGAGAACTGATTAATAGCGACACGAGCGCTCGGTACCAGCACCTCCTTCGAACACAGTTCCCCTGCGTGCAATGCCTTACCTATACATCATCCTGCCTGTCTTCCTCCTCCTTCTGGCGTTGCTTCGGGAGACGTACCAGAAACGGAACTCTCGCCTCCCGCCTGGACCACCAGGTTTACCTTTCCTTGGTAATGTTCTGCAGATGCCGCAACAAGGCTTGCAGCATGTGTTCGACAAATGGGCCAAAGAATATGGCCCAATATTTACAGTATGGGTGCTGGGCCGGCCAATGGTTATATTAGGCGATGTTGTGACTATAGCGGATGTGCTTGATCGGAATTCGGGGATAACAGGTGACAGACCTCCCTTTATCAAGGTATGGTTCTATCGGATAGATCGCTTTCATGCCCAGAATTGACGATCCCGAGGGTGCCGATTTCTATTTTCGAAGGAAGTTCCTTGCCTTGGACAACCTCGATCTCCGGCGAGTACTTTCTCCTTCTCTAGATACTGATGACTCATTGAGATCTTAGATGGCGAGCCAAACGTCGAGCAATCCATGCCAAGTTAGTAGCGCTTGTTTGATTGTCACATTCGCTGATGGATCGACAGTCTCAACGTCCACGCCGCGGCACGTTTCAACCCGATGCAGGAGAACGAGGCCGCGACTCTTGCCTTTGGACTGTTGCACCATCCGGAAATATCGTTTGTACAACACACGCGGCGGTTCTCCGCTTCGGTGATCTTTCAGTGCTTGTATGGTGGCGAGGCTATCCCGCTCACTGGAATCGATCGGAGCAAGCGAATGTCAGAGTTCACCGAACAAATAGGCCGTACCCTGCAACCGCAAAAGAGTGTGGTGGACATGTTTCCCTTCCTCAAACCAGTGATCTGGACTGTAAAGTGGTTGAGGAAGGAAGCCGATGAATGGCACGACGAGGTGGAAGCCGAGGCGACCCAATTGTGGGAGTCGGCGGCGCCATCAGATGTGAGGTTTATGTCGGCGCAGACCTGTATTCGAGTGCTGACAGGGTTAGAACTGGGATGCGATGACGTTTGCACACGATTTGGACATACATATGGATAAGTATGGTCTCCCAAAAACACAGGCGGTGTGGAATACTTTCGCTTTGTTGTACGTCATCGTCATCGTATTGCGAGATCAATATTAACGCTCGAGAAGCTTGACAGGACAGGAAACGACGGACGTGACATTGCAGGTGTGTGTTCTGGCGATGCTTCACCATCCTCAAGTAGTGCAAACAGCTCAAAATCAATTAGACTCTGTCTGTGGAGACCGTCCTCCCACATTTGACGACAGAGATAGTTTGCCGTATATCGTTGCTATTGTGAAAGAAATGTTGCGATGGAGAGTGATATCTCCGCTGGGTGTCCCTCACAAAGCATCCGAGGTATGGAGTAAATGCGCGACCCCAGAAAACGTCTTGAATGTTTTGATGTGTAGGATTTCGAGTACCGGGGATACGTGATTCCTAAGGACACGGTGATTATTAGCAATATCTGGTTCGTTGCACATCATGCTCCAGACGGAGTAACGACTCACTTGATTTACGCTCCAGGGCAGAAACCCACGATCCTGCTGTCTACCCCAATCCGGACATGTTCGATCCATCTCGCTTCCTTATGTCCTCTGGAGTGCTAGCACCAACCAAACCAAATACACGGGAGGATCAGCACCCATTTGGTCATGGCCGGCGGATCTGCCCAGGACGCGACTTTGCAAATAACAGTTTATTCATCGCCTGTGCTTGGATGTTGTGGGCTTTCAACTTTGAATGGCCGCGCGACGAAGAGGGAAGGGATATTGTTTGCGGCGTGGACGAATTTGTGGACAAAGGGAATGTAACTGGTCCTCGGGAGTTCGGAGTGATTCTAAAGCCAAGGAAAGCAAAGCTTGAAGAGACCTTGGGATCAATTTTGAGGCTTTGATTTTGTACATAAAGTCCAAGAATACTTAGCCAGTCGTCCGCAGTGATTATATGAAGTGAAAGAGGACTAGTATTGAGGATCTCTTACAACGACTCGAACGTGAATAAAGAAGGCGCACTTGAATTCATTTTCTCCACATAAAAAACCCTGGTGATGTAAGGAAGCCTCCGGAGTGTGTCTTGAGGCGGGACCAAATTCTTGCAAGAGGCGAAGAGATGGCAAATAAACCTCAGCACAAGCAGCTCTCCGCTCAACGACCATCCCTCGACGGGTAGACGAACGCGCATACATCTAGCTTACACAAGGCGTTACCTTCCAACTCTTTCATACACACTTGATCTGGGCGCATATACATTGGTTTAACAACTGTCGACCAGCCACAACATCCAGAGCGATTGGACATCTTGACGCCGTTCGAGTCACCACCCAGCATGCACTTCAACGTCGCACGAGGGGATACTCTCCGTCCTTGGCTCGTCTCAACACTCGAGCCAATATGTGATGCAGACCCCGTAGTTCTTGCGGATTACGTCATTGCTCTGCTACGACACGATGGGGAGGAGCAACAACTGCGAGAATTGTTCGCGTCACAGCTCGAGGACTTCTTAGATCAAGAAGCGCCTGCGTTTGTCGACAAGTTGTTTAAAGAGATGAGTACGAGGGGCATGGTCGTTCGACAAAATACGGCACCGTCGATCCCCGCGTCCGCACCTTCACAACCAGTCGCAGGACCCAGCAATCCAGCCCTTCCACAGAGCCTTCCTACTCCGCCGGATGACGGCATCCCCATACCCCTCGACATGTTCTCCGGTCCTGCCAGCGATAACAATCAGATTGGACAGAAACGTGGACGCGATTCAGACGATATGGATATTGACCGTGGCCCGCCGAAGGGTCCCCGACTTGAAAACGGTCTTCAAGGGATACAACGGTATGAGAGCAGGAACCAGAACGGACCTGGATCGTTTGTCCCGACCCAGCCAGGAAATTGGAGAGGTCAAGGACCGAGGGGTAGGGGCCGGGGTGGTAGGGGTGGAAGAGGTGGCGGTCCACCGTCAGGGCCGTCAGGAAGGGATCGCAGGGAGCCATGTCGTGATTTCCATGGTAGGTGTAGTCAACTGTCTCTGTGTGCATTTCGCTGACAATATGTTCAGATAGAGGCTATTGCGCTCGTGGAATGATGTGCCCATTCTCGCATGGGGACAACATGCCCATGGTCCCGCCTATGATGCCTTTCTTTATGCCGGGCATGATGCCCCCAATGCCCGGGCTGCCGATGCCGATGCCGATGCCTGGTCCCAACGGACAGATGCAATTCCCGATCATGCCAAATATGTTCAGTGTCGCCAATCCGCCAGACGTCGCTCAGCGGCAGGACGGCGAGTACGACCCTAGCCAGGCACAGATGCCTGTTTCCCCCGGGGGAATGGGGATCATGGGTGGTACATCAATGACGGGGAGCAGTGAAGATCAGGATATGGAGAGTGCAGACGGTGCAGGCAGAGGACGCGGACGTGGCGGATTCCGAGGACGTGGGCTTGGACGGATTAGGGTCGGTCATGAGGGCGGGCGTGGGTTTAGGCTTAGCCCAGATGACAAAACCCTTCTCATCGAGAAGATCCCTTCCGAGCACCTCTCACTCACTGCCATCAACGAGCAACTCAAGAAGCATGGCACGATCACCAACATTGCTATCGACGCACGTGGTGCGAAGGCGATAGTTAGCTTTGCGACACATGACGAAGCTCAACGTGCGCATAGAGATCCGGAGCCAGTATTTGGCAGTAGATTTGTCAAATTGCTATGGCATCGGCCACTCGAAGGAAGGGGCGCGTTAGGTCAAGAGATGCTGGAGAAGAGCAAAGTGCTGATGGACAACATTAACCAACCAAAGCCACCGGCCCCGACACGAGCCCCTATAATGGCGAAGCCAAAACCCGCCCAGTCAGCACAAGACGCACATGCTGCTGCCCTTACTGTCAGGAGTCAGCTTCTCGATAAACATATTGCTGAGCAGAAGAATCTCATGTCTTCGCTTGAAAAGGCAACTACCCCTGCCGAGAAGAAGAAGATCATGCTCCTGCTCAAGCAAAATGACCAGAAGATGAAGGAGATCAAGGATGCCCCCTTACCCGCCGCTGCGCCTGCTCCTGTGGCTGTGAGCGCGACTGGTGCGTCAAGGGATGCCCAGCTTAAGGAGCGCTTGGACAGAGAGCTGGATTTGCAAAGTGCGATGGAAGATGTGAAAGAAAATGGGGAGGGCAACCCAGAGCTGCTTGCCCAGTTAGCGCAGCTGCGCGAGGAGGTATGTTCCCTTGTATTAGCCGTATCAAGAAGCTCGACTGAGATTTGTATGACATAGGCACGGAATGCCGGTGTTCCATTGGATGCCAATGGTCAGCCAATTGACCAGCCCGCGCCGACATATACGCCAGGCTATTCGCGCCCTTACGTCAGGGGACGTGGGCGCGGAAGAGGGCGTGGTGGCTGGCGAGGCGGTCCTCCCGTTTACCATCAGTCCATGAAGCTTGACTTGCGCCCTAAGAAGCTGGTCATCAAAGGGGTCGCTGCTGGTAACGAGGATGCCTTGTCCGCAGTAAGGAACTTCTATGTTGTACGTAGGAGCCAACTTGCTTGTGTGACATGTACTAACTTACGGCTAGGCATCAGGAGGCATGGAGTCTCTCGAACCCCAACCGGACGGGACGATCCACGTCAGCTTCTTCAGCCGTGCAGCTGCAGAATCTGCCATGTCAAAAGGCAGTTCAATCCCCTCTGCTGGCAGTGTCAGCGTCGCGTGGCAGGCAAGCAGCGCTCCGCCGACGTCGTCTCAACGGGCATCTTCCACCGGGGGTTCAGAGGCAAATCTGCCCCAGGGCACGCAAGAGAGCCAGGAGATGGAGCAGCATCTGGCTGGAACACAAGAAAGTGAGCCGGCAGGAGACGACGATCCCTGGGCGACAAGTCACGAGATTGTTGTGGATGAGTAGACGAAAGGGATCAGTTGCACACATCGAAGAATAGAGCGTCTCTTGACATGATAGTTAGTCTGATACAGACATTGTATATTGCTACTATGTGTATCTTGATTGGGGCACTATTTGTGCGTTGTATTGTCATCTCAAATCATAGAGCACAAGAGAGAAAACATCTTGTTCTTGCATTGACACCAACCTTGGCTTCATAACAATACTTATACTGATGTTATTCGCATTCAAGGATGGAAAGCTGGTGAACACATACAACTTGTTGGTTGGTTATCTGGTGCAAGTACTGTGGTCAATCCGACGGAACGATTTCGGTGAGGAGGGAAACGGACCAATCGCGTAAATCCCTCACCCACGCGGCTCATGCCCGATGCGCCATAAAATCCCTCATTCATTAATTGACTGCGTCCGTTCCTCGCTGTTGCGGCGACCGAACTCCCTTGGCAGAGCGTGATTTTGGCCGGCCTCCTGGGGGTATAAGTACCCCGCCATTTGAGGGGTTTTCATACACTGCTTGAGGAATCCCCCCTTCCCCTCTGCGGGATTTTGGTGCACATGGCTCTCTTCCCCCTTCCTATTTCTATCTTGCATGCCTCTGCGGCGACCCTGACACACTTTCCTTCATGTAGGCATCCTACCTTGGACATGTATATGCTGACGGCAACTCACACTGTATGGTTGGGCACTGTGCGTCGTCCTCCACCTGTAAGCCGTTCTAGACCACGACATCAAGCTACCTGTTCATGCTTGCCAGTCACACCTAACTGGTTAATTCTGGGCAATACTGGCTAGTCTTGGATATGGTCGTCGTTTTTGGCCGACGCTTGCCTATTACTCACCGTGTACCCAACACCTACTGCTGTGTCGACCCACGACCTGTGGCATGCCTGACCTCCAGTCTGATCTGCTTCACGCACAATGTCTCTGTGTCCACCTCTGCATAAGCAAACTATGCTCATCGATGCCCACTTGTCTACTGTCTACACCACCCCAACCCCGTCAACTATCCCCTCCCCTCTTCCCAGCACTCTCGCCGCCCACATCCAAAAGCCCCCAGCCGGCCCTGAACAACCCCTTCTAGCTTTGCGCCCGCCCCTCTGGTCTGTGCGATCCGCCTCCGTCGTCTACCCGTCCCACCGTCGCCATCGCCATCGGCAGGCTTCGGTCCACCTCGGGCACATGCTTGGTCGTATGGCGCCATTTGGCAAAATTGATGTTTCATGGTCATGTACCTGATACGTCGGTGCTTGGCTTCTCGCTAGCTCTGTCTCTTGTGGCCGCTTTGCATGCTTTCGGAATTTGAAATTGCATCGGGCGACTGCCACACCGTCTCAAGGTCACGGTGTCCGACGATACGATACTGGGAAACAAACGCTGTCCTAATCAGGGGATTCCGGTCTCCCCTCTTTACAGGATCATACACCTGGTTCCTACCTGGTATTCGGCCAAGACAAGGCACGTTGGATGAATATCAATACAGTTCTACCGCCATGTGCTCGGCAGGATGGGAACTCAATCGCCAGGTGGACCCCTGAACGATTCCCTCTCCTCCTTGTGCTGGACTCTCAGCTGGACATACAGGATTCCATTCTGATTATCCCATTTGGCGCCAAGAACCAAGTTGCCGAGGATACATTCGTACCCCTGGACGGAGACAACGCACTACGAAGTGGTGCCTTGTTGTCGATGCACGGAAAGATCAGCGAGAGATGTACGCTGTCAACCGCATGAAGCAGAACTGTGCTGGGTGGAAGATCCCGAGAGAATGGAGATGTTATGCATCTGAACTTGATCTTCAAGGCGTAGCGTTAGTAATTAGGGGAGAAGACCAAGCCAAATCAAGTTTTTGCACCCTGCGCTTTCCAGTTTAGTTCCTTCAGCTTCCAGTATTCATCAAGCACAAGGACCACGAACAGCACAATTCAACTCATTCAACTAAACATGTCATATGGTATCTATGCTGAAGACTGAGACTGGCGCCATCAGATCAAACAGTGGTTCTGGAGGTCGTAAAGGAGCAGGATGGTGACACCTGCCGAGTCTTCTCCCACCGAAGTATCAGAGGGATACATACTCGTCTTCCGATGGAGTATAGCGCCCTCACCTGTCCTGGTGGGTCTGGGGTGGGTGGGGGTAGTCCTCTTCGGGAGATCAGGGAAAGGGGCGGAAGCTCGGCAGGATGTTTGTAGGTCGCAGGTTTGGTCTGATGGCAGCATCGTTCTCATACAAATGTCTTGCGTCAGATGATGTGTCAGGCACACGTTCTGCACCAGTTGGTGCGCAATCCTAGCATCATCGAAGTGCCACGGAAAGCCCACATGCTCCGTCCGTAAATGGCCACCCACGGCTGCCGGCTTGAGAACATCAAGAATCACCGAGTTGCTTTGCGGCACGGGTGGTCATACGCACGGCCTGCATCGCCGGTGTGTATATTAGTACCCATGCATTGAGATTTATTGACTAAGCCATCTTCATCTTCAGGAAGTTTCCTATCTACCCAAAGGAGGAAAATCGAAATTCAGGGTAAAACCTAAAAAGGGACCTGGAGAGGTTCACTCCGGGGTCCTTAGGGTCATCCGTCTTCCGGAAGCAAAACTGAATCTCGATTGAGACGATGGACGATCAAGTGCCTGTCGGGTGTTCGGGACAAACTGAGATACCAGAATAATGTTACCAAGATCGGTCTTGTCGTCAGGGTCAGCAACATCCCTTGGCACCGGACACTGGGGAGGTATAAATCCAGCCAAGTCTTCAGTCCTTGTACCATCTACCAGCTCGGCTACTCACGAACTTGAACGATCAACATGTTCTCCCCTGCTGCTTTCCTCCTCCTGGGCGCTGTTCCCGCACTTGCGCACTTCCATCTCAACTATCCTCCCCCTCGTGGTCCTTTCGTAGCAGTGCGTCTCACCCCTCTGCACCATCTTCCGCGCACCGTCTAACCCATACCAGCAAAACGAGCTCTCGTTCTGCTCGAGCTACCCCTTGGGCCCCCGTGCGCCGTTCTCGATCGATCAAGGCATAGTGGACATAACGAGTTCCCACCCCTCAGCCTCAGTCGAGATCGTGATCAGGTACGGTACCGCTTTTCCCTGACCTCCCCTTGCTAACACCGGCCAGCTTCGACCAGAACCCAACCACGTTCGCACAGTTCAACGCTACGGACAACGGGACTGCCTATGTACACCCTTTCCGCTTCCCGCAGCGCCTGGCTTACCTTCTGCTATCCAGGCACCGTTATTACCCACATTCGCGATGACCTACCAGGGCGAGCTGTGCGTGCCTGTCGACGCTGCTACCGTCGGCGTGCCCGTTGTGAACGGGACGAACGCGACTATCCAGGTGTACTTCAACGGCGGTGATGGGCTGTTATATGACGTACGCTCCCCGCTTCCCTCCATACCGAAAGACCGCGCTAACCCGGCTGCAGTGTGCCGACGTCGTCCTCATCTCAAACTACACCCTGCCAAGCAACACAACCTGCAAGAACAGCACCGTCACCCCCGCTCCGTCCAACAGCACCAACAGCACCACCAGCGGCTCGGGGGGGACGAGCGCCGCTGTCCCGCTGAAACCTGTCGCTGGGCTGGGCCTGGCGCTCTTGGCCGCGGTGGGGCTTGCTTTGGGGCTGAGTGTGTGACTTGCCTGGCGGGAGATGAGGTCTGACCTGGGGAGAGGGGAGGAGCTTTCGAGGGGGGAGAAGGAAAAGAGTACAGATTAGTTCTGGTTACGTAGGGTTATTGTGAATACCTGATTGTTAAGGTTTGGCCTCTTTGAATGTGGGAGTCTACCCTTGGTGTATCTCAATGCTATGGACACGTGACACGAGTGTGCTGCTTTGTCAGAAGACTAGGACAGGCTTCGTCCTTGCGATTGGAGGTAATGTGCGTTTGGAACCGAAAACTTCGTTCAAGACCTATTTCATCCTAAGACTGTGACCATCTAGATCCCTCTCCCGCAAGCCCGTACTCTGGCTCCTCTCGCTCCCCGGAGCCCGCTCATGCCCCCCTCCCCCTCTCCTGCTCTCTAGCAACCCAATCCAGCCAACTCCCATCATAGTTCCTCACATCCCACCCTTCCCGCTTAGCCAAATCACACGCCGAAAGACTTCGTTTCCCGCTGCGGCAATAGAACACTACTTGCTGCTCTGGCTCGGGCTTGGAGAAGTTGAAGGTGTGCTGGAACTCGCCTGGCGTGAGGTGGAGTGCGCGCTGGAGCTGGGAGAGGGGGAGCGAGAGGGAGGAGGGGATCGACCCTTGCGCTACTTCTTCCGGTTCGCGGACGTCGATCAGGAGGACGTTCTGGGATAGTCAGTATGTGCGGGAGAGGGACGAGGGGATGGGATGGGATTGGGGGGAGGGGCGTACATCACTAGGCTGGTCAGCGAGTGCCCGGACCTGCTCGTACGACACGCTTGGGTGGACCCAGTGAGTTGCGGGGGTCATGCTCGGTGCCTGGCCTGGCGGGGAGTGTGCCGTCGGGGAATCGGTGTATGGGCGGGGGATGGCATCTTTGGATGTGGAGTAGGGACGGGGGAGGGAGGTGTGTATGGAGCGTAGGGTTGGTGTGAGGAGACGGGGGAGACGCCGGAGAGGGAGACGATACATTGTTGAGCTTGGAGATGGTGGTAGATAAACAGAGAGAGCGATGGAGGGTTGTAAATGCCGCAATGAGCTTTCCAGCAAATGTTCGGAGCCGAAGCACGTCATCCCGTTGCCTTCCCTTCCAGATCGGCTCTCACCGCCGGTTTACTCCCGTTACTGGAGCACATTTCCGTACCCTTTCCATAGTATTTCCCTACCTTTCTACCCTGTGAGCCAATAGCGTAATCCCCTCATCCGCTCGCCGCAGTCCAGTAAATCCCTCATCCGCCCCGTGTGCCTGTGGCAGCGTGACAGAGCGGCAGAAATCGCGCATCCTTCCGTCCAAGCGACGTATAAAACCCCACCGAGGGAAAAGAGGGGCTCCATTTCGTCCCCTTCGCCCACTTCCTTCCCCCTCTCCACCGTACCCATCAAAGATCAAACTTTTATCCCGACTTGGTCTGTGCTCATATATGGATCTATGGCTCCCCGCTCTCAGTGCTGATGACGACCTGACCTTCAAGCCCTGTCTCCCCCCTTCCTGCGCTGCTTCCTCCCCTTGTGCTCGACCAATCCACTGCGTCCTGTTTCTCCCCCCCCTCCACTCCACCCCTTTCTCCTGCTAGACTCCCCCAGCTTCTCTCTATCAGCTTCTCTTTACCTGCTTCCCTCTACCCCTGCTTCTCTCCTCCCCCGCTGGACCATCCTCCCCATACTCACCAGCACACTCAAAGTCTCGACCTCCCCTAGGAGGAAGACATAGCCCGCCGCGCACCTCCCACGCTGGCGGAAGTTGATATCTTCCCCCCCTTTGGTGATACCATGTCATTCACAGCCAAGGTAGGCGTTGCTAGGCGGGCTGGTCTGCTCTCATGAACGTCTGCTTTCCTCGAACTGTCCCTTGTGTCTTGAGACTTGCTCCTTGCTGCCAACTGATCTGTTATTGCCGTCTACTGTCCTGTTGCTGTTTGCTCTGCTGGCTGCTCTCTCTGGCTGCTCGCTGTCCTCTGCCGCTACTACCAAGCCTGCTCAACAAGTTTCATTACTATCCTTATGCTACCTAACCAACAATCACATATTCCACCATGCACCTTACGCACCCCTCCCCCCTGGACGCCAGCACCAACCCACCCCCAAGCCGGCCCTAATCAACCCCCCTTCTCTTACTTACGGCCACCCGCTCCCGGCTGCCTCCGTGCAAAGCATCCCAACGCGCAAAACTTCCCAACGCTTCCCACGCCAACGTCGCTCGGCCAACGCCGTGTGTCAGGTCCGTCACCCGTCTGGGATCCAGAACATCATCCGCGTGTACATACGGGCACGGGTGCCGGTGTCTGCTGATCAGTCCTCAAATGGAACTGTCTCTGCGGCCCGTCGTCCGCGGGCATCTGCGGTGTAGCAATTCTATCTGTGGCAACCAACGCACTGGTATACTTCGTGCAGCTTGCCTATCCTGGGCTGCGGGTTTCCATGGAGAGGATGGCGCCATCCCACATGCCCGATGCAATGTATCTAATCTCGGCAAGCTGGCATATGAACCTGACAGAAGATGCGCGGGCTCCACAGGCGCGGAGGTGCAAAGTGGGAGGGAAGCAGAACAACGAAACGAAACGAATGGAATGGACGAATGATCGGTTTCCCAGGACCCCATAGGACGGCCTTTATTCACCAGCCCGCAAAGCGTAGGAAAATCGGTACGACCTCAAAAGTGCACAGAAAACGACCGGAGAAGAGAGAGAGTGGAGATTTGACTTCTCCCCGCCTTTTGCTACCTTCTGAGGTAGGGACATCTTTGGGCAATGGGGTGGCCGGAGCGCCGGAACAGGAACCGGGGAAGTGGTATTTTGGCCCTGAAGGAGGGGAACGTGAATCCGAAAGTGCGGGAGCAGATTGCAAGGGTCGGGCGGATTTGGTAAGGCGACGGAGGTATTTGGATGTTATGCGCCAGAGGCGGGTGATGGGGGTCTGTCTCTCTCCTTGACCACTGGGGTTGTGTGACTGCTGTACCCTTGGGAGGATACTTAGGTGCATCTGGGCTTGGCTTGCCAGACTCTTGCTCATCCGTGCCCTTCGGTTAAGTGCACTCCATTAGCACCACCTCTCTAACCACCACCCAACCAACCTCCAAAGATGGACGACATGCCAGACATGGATATGCCCGGGATGGACAGCGACACCCCCACCAGCACGCTCGGTACGATGGGCATGATGCTCGGATTCCACGCGACGCCGTTCGACCAGCTCTGGTTCCTTGGCTGGACACCCCAGACGAACGGCGCCATGTTCGGTGCATGCATCGGTTTGGTTATCCTGGCAGTCCTGGAACGGTGGGTGGCGGCAATCCGGGGCTTGTGTGAAGTATGGTGGAAACAGAGGTGAGTGGCCCTTCGCTGTGCTATTGCGAGCAAGCCCAATGATGGAAAAAGGACGGACGCGATCCTCGCTGCAAAGTACGCCAACCTGCCTAGCGCCCCACCCCCGCTGCCAGCAGAAAAGAAGTCAGAAGTGGACATCGAAGACTGCTGTCCCCCCCCGCTCGCCTACTCTCCCCTCCCACCCCCTTTCCCGCGACTCGCCTCCCTGCACCGCCTACCCCCCTTCCTGTGGTCACACGATCTCCCCCGGGGCCTGCTGCAGGTCGTACAGGCCGCACTGGGATATGCGCTCATGCTCGCGTTCATGCAGTATAATTGGGGCTATTGTTTATCTATACTCGTGGGGTTGGGAGTGGGGGAAACGATGTTTGGCAGGTTTGCGATGGGAGGGCACTCGATGACGGGTGCGTAGGCTGCGAGAGGTTGAGGATACGTGCGGGGGCGTCACTTTTGAGGTGTAATGATCAGTGTCTAAATAACTACGAAATGTATCTTGTATACCGAGAGGAAGGGAATAGAACTCCAACCGCTATCACGACTTCCAATCCGCTCGCGGTCTAGGAAGCTCATATATTTCCCTTTGGCCAGGACAAATAATGATTTACTGGTCCATGTACGGTGTTGGATCGCCCACATCCAAGCTGACACGTTTGCGGGCCAGGTTTGGATAGTGGATCGGACTGGATGGCTGAACGTCTCAGATCGAGCATACGATAGCACACCGTAGACCGTGCGCTGGCAAGCACCATATGCATATGCGAGGGGAGAGGCTCCTCGGTGTTCCACCTGAGTGGCATGAATTTCGGCCAAGCACAGTTGCTTTCTGGGTCTGGGGAAGTTTCATTCGTAATTAGCAGTAGTGATGCCACCCATTCCTGGCCTGTGCACCGCCCGCTGCCGACTAGGTACATGCCGAGAAACAAAATAATACCACGCTGGGATATTGATTGATCATAGTACGACGCCCCTCCCGAGAGACCGATATCGGCCTGAGACTGGCACCGCATCAGTAACATTCAGAATCTCCCCATGCCAAAAAAGGCGTATTCAGTGATTCCCGATCCGGCCGTGGGGTTCGGAGTGTCCGGGGTCCTTGCTCATGTCACAGGCGAATTCGGGTTGATTCCTGTCGTCACCCCGATTCATACCGGAAGTATTGAAGGGGTTGATCGTGTATCTTGTACCTTGTTCTGTGAGCGCTTGACCCCCTGGTGTATCCTCTGGCAACAAACTGGAAATATTATCTGCAAAGAGCTGTCTTATCCTGGTCGCTAATCAATCACCTGCTGTGGCCACACGCCCTCGATCCTGTACCTCTACGTACCCAGGACCTTCTTATGCACTTGCTTCTCCTCCAACTCGTCCCATCTCTGCTCTGAACGACCATGTCCGACCCCGGTCCTGCTCCAGTACTCGCCCCTCCCCCAGGGCAGCAAGACGAGTACGTCCCTTCCAGCTCGTACCACGCCCCTTGCTAACCAGTGTCTAAAGTGTCTACCTCATCGACCCCGGGTATGCGATGATCTTTACCTACACCTGGGTCTCCGTCGCGGCTGCTGCGATCCTCTACCGCTTGCCGAAGCTCTATCGGAGGATGCGCCATGCCTGGAGAAGAGACGGGCTGCAGGGTTGGGGGCTGTATGAAGACCTCTCACCCCTCGCACCGGAGGAGGAGAAGGAAGCCCTCATCCGGGGAAGTGCTATAAAACGCACCGATAGCTTCCGTTGGGTGACAGTGTCTACCCCTGTGCGTTTGGTCCGTGCGGGTGAAGCACTCTTCCGAAATACCTTTGGCTGGGAAGTCAAGTATCTCCGCCTGAATGTCGGACAACGTATGCCCACATCTGATATCCGTACTTATGCTAACCCTGGTACAGTGTTCCTGCTCGTGGGATTCACAGTCACACTCCTCCTGTGCCTCACGCTCAACTCGGAGCTCGTCCTGAACTCTAACCGGGCAGGATTCATGGTCCTCTCGCTCATCCCCCCCGTCTTCCTCCTCTCGACCAAGAATTCCCCACTCGCTTTCCTCCTCTCGATCGGGTACGAGAAGCTCAACTTCCTCCACCGCTGGGGTGGGAGGATGATGTTCCTCCTCGCATGGGTGCATGGAGCGTTGTGGATCAACAACCGCCTTGTTAACGGGCAGGCATACCTCCTCTTGACGGAAGACAAGGAGCGCAGGGGGATAGCAACCATCTCCGTGCTAACACTTATCGTCCTGACCAGTCTTCGCCCAGTCAGGATATTCGCCTGGCAGTTCTTCTTCACATCACAGTAAGTCCGCGCACGCACTCTGATGCTCGTCCTTACCCAAGTTCCTAGCGTGGCGCTATACGTCGCCTGGTTCGTCTGCCTCAACTACCACACACCCTACGCCATCCCCTGGATTTACCCCGCGCTGGCTTTCTACGGATGGGACATCTCCGTCCGCCTCCTCCGTTTCCGGGTGAAAGACGCCTCCCTCCTACCAATCGACGACCAGATGACGCTCGTGCACATCCCGGACGCCGTCGGCGGCTGGAGAGGCGGGCAACACGTCCGTCTCCGGATCTTAGCCGGCGACCTCGCTTTCCAGGCACATCCGCTTACGATCCTCAACGCCCCTGCCTCGAGGGCAGACACGACCCGGACGCAGGGGATGCTGCTCGGTGCTCGTGTGAACGGGGACTGGACGCGTGCTCTGAACAAGCTTGGCAAGACTGGAGCTTGGGTGATGCTTGACGGCCCCTACGGCGGGGTCTGTATGAACCCCAAAGAACGCGTGTTGCTCGTTGCTGGGGGGTCTGGGGTCACCTTCACCCTAGGAGTGATGGACGAGCTGATCAGCGCTGTCGAAGGCGGTGATCGCAGGCTACGAGAAATAGAATTTGTATGGTACATCCGCTCGTACGGTACGCTGCCCTCTTTCACCCACTGTACCCTCACCTCGCTCACTCGCACGCATAACAGACTGCGTAAGCTGGTTCGTCTCACACCTCCAAGCACTGGCCCTCCGCGCACATAGCATGTCGTTCCTCGACCTCCGTGTGCGCATATTCCTTACATGCCCCTGCGGCGACCCTCCTCTACTCCTCTCCTCCATCCCGGACTGCGCAGTCAGCACGTCCAAACCGAGCATGCGGGAGCTTGTCCTCCCCCTACTGGAGTTCGAGCTGGAAGATGCAGAAGGCGTGAAACCAGCTATGGGGGGAGGAGTAGGGGTCGTCGTTTGTGGACCGGAAAGGCTGGTGAGACATGCTCAGAATGCGGTGGCGAGGATCAGTCCTGTGGGGGCGGCGAGGGCGGGAGGGGTGGAGATACATGCTGAGAGGTTTAGCTTGTAGGCCGTGGGTGGGAGGGGGTGTATTAACATGGTGTAATGAAGAATAGGAAAATAGGGAAATCCAGTCTAGGATACGTGAAAGCGTGCTCAGTCTTTGCGACCGGAGTTTTACCTCCTCGGCTCCGAGACATTTTTGTCGAATTCATCCCAGGTAGGCAACAAATCATAACGGTATTCTAGATCGCATTTTCTTATTAATAGAAGTTGGAGCTAACAAAAATGAAAACCATTCCTATTTTGACAGAAGACATTTGAATGCGAACTGAGCAAAATAAAATTAATAGTCGCCGGGACAATAGTTTTATCTAGTTTCGGAGCCACAGCTGGAATCGAACGAGCGACCCCAACGTCTATATAAGTGGGTTCACGGCATAGTAACCCCAGGGACCTGCGATTTTAATCCCTGCACCATCGACATGGCGGCGAGGAGTAGCACTGTTCTTAACTGTTGACTAGGCATAGGGCTTGCCTCGCCCTAATTATATAAATTTACGTTTTACCTCGTATGTTTACCACATTTCACACAAATCTAGTTGTTTTGAACTGCTTGTTACCACCTCTTTCTACAACCTTTAACTACTCAAGATTGAAATTTGCTTGGAAAACGGCTGAGAGTTCGTCCTGCAGCACTGGATCGTCTCCAACAGTATGCCAGTGCATTCCAACTCCCCGCTCGTACATTCCTGTGGCATCCCTATACAAAAAACGAAGATCAAGATCAAGCAACTGATATGAGTACTGATGCGTTCTGATCACGGCATAAGCAATAAGCATCGTCGTCTGTCTCGGTCATCCCAGATCAGGCAAGATCAGGAGCGAACGAACTTTGGTTCATCCGTAGATTGTTGCCAGTCCATGGTGTTGCCGCAGTCAGACAGACATGTCTTCATCCCACTTTGATTCAAGTCCGCTGTATCCACCTTATACTCATATGAGCAGAGGTTTGCCAGGCTTATCCCGCATATGCTACCGAAGATGAGTTGCAGGATGTGCCTGTTTTCCGGGGTATGTCGGCATATCAACCCGTATACCGGCGACGTCATTTCACACTGTTCACCATCCTCTTTAATTATGAACAAGCGCCTATGAGGTCTGCGTTCCGTTCTACGCTTCCGACGTACGGATCTGGCGTCTTCACAACGTATGCGACAGCGTCAAGCTAGAAAGTCGTCAGACGTCGTTCCTCGTTCGAACAATGGAGGACCTACCGTCGCATATATCTCTGACGCATCCGTTTTCTGCTTTAGCTTCGCCGACGACATGAGGGTAGATCAGAGATCATCCTCAGTAGGATCTGGCCGGCTGGAATCCAACTCTTCGTCCAGCACTAGATTGTCCGTCTGGTTCTTGTCCATAGGATCGAGCGGCCGAGTCTTCCTTTTTTGTGTAAATGGTACGGGATAGGCTGGTCTTATGTAGAGAATACGGGGTGGTAGTACGGTAGAGACGAAATATGTGCCAACATAGGCGTGTCTCGATCACAAAAAGAGTCCTAACGCGGCAGTCGCAAATTCTGCGTGAACAGGTTCCATTATACACGACATCAACCATCGACGATAAACTCGGCATACGTAGTTATGGGTCTTCCGCATTGGCTACCTCTCCTCCTGCCTCCTGATCCGGCTTCGATGCCTTCACTGCTTCCACTGGTGCTGCAGGACGTCGTCTGAGAAGCTCCTGGATACGTGGATGAGAATTCTGATAATATCAACAATACGATGAGTCACTCACGTCCCTCCTTCCCATCAGATACCCGGCCCAGTAATAGCTTTGGACCGCCAGTTCTAACACTTTCTCCGGATCTTCCGGGAGTTGCTCCAATATGGAAGTGCTCGATGTGGAAGGGAAAGGCAGCACAGGAGAAGCGACTTGCGCTGACGACATCGTCGGATAAGTGGTGGGGGCAGTTGGAATATCGATGGTAGAGATGAGCAGCTCGGCATCGGTTTCCTCTATGTCGGCATCGGCTTCGACACCATCCTCCGGATATTCGTCCTCGCCCTCTTCTTCTATGGGCAGCTCTTCCTCTGACGGTTGAGTATTCCACCAGCTACTTGCACTTATAATTAGTGCTCAAACCCAGTTGCAAGGAAATGAAGACTCACAGGGCGCTCTGCTTGGCTGGATCTTCCATCCACCCCTTGTCTTCTCCATTAATGGCGCGATACTCTTCCATCGCAGCATCCCACGCGTTGATCAGAGCGGAGTCATCCCATATTTCCTCATGAGTGAGCGTGCGAGACGTCTGCCAACTCTTTGGATCCTTTTTCTGTTTCTTTTTTGGCTGGCCGTTGAGCGCTTTGCCAGTAAAATTCAAAGGGGTGCTACTGGACGGAATGGGTGGGTCAGAGATGCGAGGACGTTTGGCTGGACGTGCATTCGAAGCTGGATCCGTGATAGATGCAGCTTCGTCTGGGATGGAAGGAGATATGTCGGCGTAAGAAACAACTTTACGCGCTCGAGGATCCATCGTGGTTAAAGGTCAAGTCATTCTGTTACGACCCTGAGTCGCCCAGGATTTATCTCCGAGAGAGAGCCACGCTCGGCTCCGACCATTCGGGTTCGTTCCCCCGGTTGAGTCTTGTTTTCATCGAACTCATGTGCCTAACGCGTTTGACTGGTGGCGAAATCTTTTGTTCTGCTTCTTCTCACACTCAGTCCACTCTCAAATGTTCCGAAGGGCGCCGAGTTCACCAATCAACACGTGGGTATGCGATGCTGCACATTGTTCAGCATTTGGCAGCGTTGTACAAACACCATCTTCCTGCGCTGATGGAGGCGATGGTGCAATCCGCAGTATCCTTGGGCGTGGAGATTCCGAAGTTCTGCTAAGTCACTGCGATAACGCTGCGAAACTCGTCCGGAACGTGACGCAGTCAGTTCGGCAGTGAAGTTGACAATGCGGTGTCGAATCATCGTGAAAACGGCAGGATTCTCGTAATTCATACAAAAAACTTGAATCTCTTCCATGGATACGGTGCCTTGGTGATCTGATTGTCCTTTTCATGCCGCCGGATTGGTTGAGAAGGCACAGATGATACAGATTCAGACATCAAGTTATCGAATGGCAGTACAAGTGTTGATTGCATGAGCTTTCCGTGCTCCCAGTTGCATCAGAACAACGTGCGTCCTTCATGAAATGAATTACTAATCATAATGATGAGTCGTACAGCGAGCGATTGCAACAACTATATATATGCTATGCACGCCCACCCGGATCAAAAGAAGTCGTTGTCGGAAACACCTGGCACCGCAAAATGCGCGAACCCGTGCCCATCGGCCCTATCAGTGATTGTTGGAATGCTTCTTCTTCCCAAACAGCACTCTATGAGTGTTGCATATGTTGAGTTCTACTATCAAGCACGAATTTATTCCGTGTGTCCATGATAAGTTTGCACTGTGCATGGTCGGTGCATCTTCCACGATGACGCTTCCATTCTAATTTCCCTCCCATGCTGTGTCCCAAGAGCGACTGAGCACACCCGTGTTCCGATGCTGCACGGACATCGTACACGTAGGACAACGATGTGACTGCACCTCTCTGACCTCATAACAAGGCCTGTTCTCTGGCTTGGCCCCGATCAAACCCCGTCAAGTGTCATCAAGGATGATCGCAATGTTTCTCTCGCTGACACCCACTTCGATCGCTCTTTTGGCTTTTGTTTCTTTTATTTTGCCTATCTTGATCTTGACGCGGCGACCTCGTCATTTTCCTCCTGGTCCGGCAGAGCTTCCTATCATCGGTAACCTTCATCAGCTTCCTACAAAGTGTGGGCTTCTCGCCACGTTTACCGAATGGAATGAGAAGTACGGCGATGTTATCGGTCTACGAGTGCTTGGGCGGCCAGCGATCGTGCTAGGGTCACATCGAGCCGTGCACGAGATTATGGAAAAACGGGCGGCCAGCTGCTCGGCCCGACCAAAGCTGGTCATGATTGACGAGATGTCCGTAATTTCGTAATTAATCGATCTGTATGGGCTGATGAAGATCCTTTTATGATAGAGCGCAAATCAACAAATACCCAAGTCTCAACTCCGACCCAGTCGTTCACAAGCAGGCCAGGCGCCTTTTTGCAAAAGCATTTTCATCACGAGGCGTACAAGCCTACCACACAATCCTTATTACCGAGATGCGGCGCGCGGTTCTGACTATTATGGAAAGCAACGATGGCCATGCCTGGCTCGTCCCATTGAGAAGAGCGGTGGCCAGCTTAACAACCCAAATTGTGTATGCACAGGAAGCGAGGACAGAAGATGACCCGTTCTTCTGTAAGGTTATGAGACTCCTTAAGCCTGTTGGAATGGGTACGCTGTCAACCTATTATTGTCGTCACTGCTTAACCGGAGTATTGCAGCCGGCAAGACCGGAACATATGTAGTAGAAGCATTTCAATTCTGTAAGTTCCATCCTCTTGGAAAGCTTACGTTTGATGACACAGATTGCCACAGTGAAACACCTTCCCGGCTGGTTCCCCGGGGCTTCTTTTAAGCATGAAGGCCAGGAACTTCACGACAAATGCCTGGAAGCGGTCAATGAACCGTACGACATTGTCAGAGACAACCTCGCCGCCGGCACTGCTGAATCCTGCTTTGTTGCCGATATGCTGCAGGGGGAGGACGGACAAATTGTCATGGACCAAGCAGCACAGGAACGCCTTAAGTGGGCTGCTGGCGCACTGCTTCTCGCGGGGACAGATACGGTTTGTCTCTCCCTCCCACACGACCGAAACACGATTGACTCAAGCGGTAACATATAGACAGTTGCAACACTTCAGATGGTCCTCGTTGCTTTGCTACAATATCCGTCTGTACAACAGCGCGCTCAAGCCGAGTTCGACAGTGTAATAGGACGTGATCGCCTCCCTACTATCGAAGACCGAGAAAATCTACCATACTGTACCGCTATAATGCAAGAGATCCTGCGATGGAACCCAGTGGTGCCGCTTTGTGTACCACATCAGTTGACAGAGGACATAGAATATAATGACCGGGTGTTACCAAAGGGGAGTATAGTTGTTGCAAATACATGGTGCGTATAATGTATTTAGAACGGCGGGACATGAAGTGACGCGAATTGCAGGGCACTTTCCAGAGAAGCGAGCGTGTATGCAGATGGGGACACATTCATTCCCGAGCGATTCATGAATCCGTCCACCGTGCTTGGAACAGATGGTCGGGAAGTATTCGGCTTCGGTCGCCGGTAGGTCTCCGTGGTTCTCGAAGCCGAAAACGGTGTCTTACTCCCATGCAGAAAATGCCCCGGTATCCATCTATCCGAAGCATCTATTTTTGCTTTCATATGCACGTTTGTGTGGGCTGCTAGCATGTGCCCTTCGAAGAACTGGGACGGCTCAGAGCTGCAGTACGAGGATGGGGGAAGTGTTGTCAAGTGTGTAACTTTTCTCTTCGTGATGAATCGTGCAGATACTGATGGAGGTTGTGTGGGAGTCGGCCGAAGAACCTCCCGGCAGAGGCAAAGCCGAGGTCGCAGAACGTTGTGGAGATGTTGAAGAACGCAGTATTATGATAGCGCGTGGTACTTCTGCAATATTACCTGTAGGAATAATAGCGGTGACAGTTCGTTCAGGAGTTATCATTATCAATCTGGCTGGTCCAGAAGTGAAAACAAAGTGTGTGGCCGAATTAGAGTTGCTCGGAGTTTGAATGGAAGAGGCGCCCATCCATGAGAAGCGCCCACTGAAACCCCCAGTCCCTTCCGCATATATGCACCTCATGCTCCTGTTCCTATCATGGCAGATGTCAGATCAACAGATTTGCAAGTCTCAACTCGGACATGGAACTCCACAAGCACTATAGACGCATGTTTACCCAGGCACTGGGATCGCGCGCTATTCCATCCTACTGGGAAATTCAAATCCAGGAAATGCGCCGCGCGGTGCTCGAGATGTTGCGGCATGGCGCGGACGACGAGCGATGGCTGAAGTCGATCAGGCGGGCTGTATCAAGCGTGACGAGCCGAATTGTGTATGGTTTGAGGTCAAGACAGAAGAGGATGCTTCATCGCCAAGGTAAACCGCATACTACGATCTGTTGAGAGAGGTGGGCAAAGGTCTCGTTTTGACGCTGGCGTTGGCTAATGGAGTTTCGTGCAGCAGGGAGACCAGGAGAGTACATTGTCGAAGGTCTTCCCTTTCGTGAGTCTACCTTGTATGCGTGGTTCTGTATCTGATATGCCATGCAGTGAAATATCTCCCTTCGTGGTTTCCCGGCGCTTCCTTCAAGCGCATCGGCATGCAGATCCGTCAAGACTGTCAGGAGCTAGTGGACGATCCTTTCAATACGGTGAAACAGTCTCTCCACATAGGAAAACCTACGCCGTGCTTTGTTTCCCACCTGCTTGTCGATGAACAGGGCGATATCATAGAAGATCCGCAGGAGGAAGAACGGATCAAATGGGCCGCTGGGGTGCTTTGGGGCGGCGGAGTGGATACGGTGCGCTGTCTTATCTGATATTAGTCAAACACGAAGTCTGATATTACTCAACCAGACAGTTGCAGCGATCCAGATGTTCCTCACAGCCATACTGCTCTTTCCCTCAGCTCAGCTCAAGGCGCAGCAAGAGATCGACCGTGTCGTGGGGCCAGACCGGATGCCTACGTTGGAAGACCGTAACAACCTACCGTATTGCACCGCTATGGTCCAGGAGCTTCTCAGATGGAACCCCGTGGTGCCATTGTGTATTCCTCATGTTTTGATTCAAGATGAATCGTACGACGGGTGGATCCTGCCCAAAGGGAGCATTGTCATCCCCAACTCCTGGTATGTTGCCATTTTGTCTGAGGCGAACTGACGTCTGACTGGACAAAGGGCACTTGCACAAGATCCGATAATCTACGAGGAGCCCAGCGTGGTCAATCCCGACCGCTTCTTATCAGAAGACAGCCAGACCCTTTTTCCCAGGGAAGACGGCAGAGAAGTGGTCGGATTCGGTCGACGGTGCAGTCTTTCTCTTCCATTTAGCCACACTCAATCTGATGCAGCATATGCCCAGGCAATCATCTAGCTGAAGCGACTATCTTTGCTTTCGTATGCACGTTCGTATGGAGTTCGAATCTTCAGGGCACATCAGATTGGGATGGCAGTGAACCAGAGTATGGGGGTGGGATCGTCAAGTGAGTATTCCTTTCCCACCTTCGAAGCGCGAATATCAGCAGGACGTCGGATTTGAATTCTGATTGTTTGTGATTCACGCAGTCGTCCAAAACACATACCGGCCAACATCAGAGCAAGAACACAGCATGCATCAGACTTGCTCAGTGGTTGGTTGACGGAATAGGGACCCTTGTGTCCTCATCCGGTCATGGCTCATCTCAGGAGACGATTTGGATTCTCCATTCAGCAGGCGCCAATTCGTGTCGTGACATGATTCCTATCGTTCCTGCCGATCATAATGATCGGTTTCCATATACGTCGTAGGCTGTTGTTCAACCTTTGTGCCAAATGGTATGATGATAACATCGCATTCTCTGACATGGGACTGATAGTGGCCGATTGCATTGTTTCTCCTTAACCCCTTGAGATTCCATGTGATTCAGGCTACTCCGACGAGCGTGCGTACGTGTACTTGCCTTCTTCAGGCATTATAATGACCTTGGGCTGAACAATTGATCAGAGAACAACCTTGAAATGAAGAGCCAGCCCTTGTTCATACTAGGCACGCGGGCAGCAGCAAAAGAGATATTGGAAAAACGGGCCTCGACGAGCTCTGCACGACCTCGCTTGGTTATAATTGATGATATGTGAGTCCCTTCAACATGTCACCCCTCCAAATCTTGAATTATACTATGTAGCTGTCAAATCAGCAAATTAGCCAGCCTCAACTCTGATATGACTCTACACAAAGAGTATCGTCGCATGTTTTCTAAAGCCCTTCGTTCCACCACAATTCCAAAATATTCAGCCATTCAGATTGCCGAAATGAGAAGGGCCGTACTCGAAATCTGTGAAGCAAAAGACGATGAGTCGGGCTGGCTTGCGTCGCTTGGAAGGGCCGTGACCAGTATCACGAGTCAGCTAGTATACGCGCGCGAAACGAAAACGAACGATGACGTGCTTATAGCCAATGTCACGCGAATCCTTCGCTCTGTTGAAAAAGGGTGTGATGGTTTTGCTGATGAGTAAACTTTCTCTGACTATGTGCTCCGTAGCTGGCAGGCCAGGGGAATACATTGTTGAGGGACTTCCGTTCTGTAAGCCCGACGTGATTTGACGTCGAAGCTCAGAAAGTAATACGCACCCAGTGAGATATCTCCCGAGCTGGTTCCCGGGTGCAGGGTTCAAACGCGAGGGTATTCAAGTGAAACGAGACTGTCTTGAATTGGTGAATGAACCGTACAAAATTGCCAAGAGCAATGTCATGGCTGGCAACGCACTGCCATGTCTTGTTTCTGAAGAGCTTCAAGATGAAGAAGGAAACCTCCTTTTAGATCCGGAGGCAGAAGAACGGATCAAGTGGGGTAGCGGTGTTCTCTTTCTCGGCGGAAGTGATACCGTACGTCTCTTCACATCCCGTCCACGAGCCCCTTTACTAATAGGGATGTTGCCATGTCAGACAGTCGCATCTATTCAGATGTTCTTGGTGGCCATGCTGCTATTCCCGTCTTCCCTTCTTCGGGCACAGCAAGAGATGGATGAAGTCATTGGCAGTGACCGCCTGCCAAGAATCGAGGAGAAGGATCAGCTTCCGTACTGTGCCGCCATGGCTCAGGAGGTTCTTCGATGGAATCCGGTTGTCAACTTATCCCTTCCCCATGTGCTTACTGAGGAAGAGGAGTATGATGGATATGTTTTGCCTCGCGGCAGCATAATTGTGGCAAATATCTGGTTCGTGCCTCTGCGATCTGTTGTATTCTCAATCCCAATCGATCACGCTAGGGCCATGACACATGATCCTGCATTCTACCCGGATCCCAATATCTTTCGGCCGGAACGTTTCCTGACACTTGAAGGTAAGCTTCGCACTGTTATAGAGGACGGACGAGAGGTGTTTGGGTTTGGACGACGGTGAGGATAAATGCTCCACCTTCCTGCTAGCTGCTGATGTAGAATCAGCAACTGCTCGGGCAGTCATTTAGCCGAGGCGTCTATTTTTGCATTTGTCTGTACTTTCGTGTGGACAGCCAACCTGCGGGCATCGTCTTAATGGGATCGCACGGAGCTCAAGTACGAGGGGGGACGAGTTGTAAAGTAGGTCGAACCAGTTAACAGTGTGGAGCGCGACTAACTTGTGCGCGTGACAACAGTCGGCCGACAAGAATACCGGCCATAATTGAGCCTAGATCGGGTGATGCTCTTGACGCTCTTCGAAAGGCGGTCATAGAGCGGCTTGTTTGATGTTTAACCATGTGATCAAGCTATCCGTCGCAGTATGCCGGCGCTCCTGGCATGGCTGACACAATAGCATGTCCGTACCTTTAACTTGTTGCCTTAGATAAGGCATGTTTGCGGGCAGAGCTCATGCTTGGTACGTGGCAATGCAGATCCCGTTGGTTTCCTTGCGAAGCAAGAGCTTGCCGACGGGGTGGAAATGTCAGGAACCGTCGCCACACACAGGCCAGCTGTTTGTTCGTACCGGAAGACCCTTCGTGTTAAGGGTGAGCCTCGCCCCAGGACATTTTGAGTCCTCACGCCCTACGTCAGTAGTTGCCGTCCATACCCGGATTCGAGATGCCGGAGAAGTCTTCGGCAGCCAAATCCCACGATGCAGGCCAATCAATGGGCCAGCGGGCCCTCAAGTACGCGTAATCCCCTTTGTTAAGGCACTTCGTTTGGAAGCCTCCGCCCGCACATGATCCTGCCCAAAGGAACTCGAGTCAGGCCAGAACCTTGTAGTAAGGCATGCCGCTCTCAGCTGCCGAAACTCCAAGAGGGACATGGTATTTATCTGTTATCGGGTATAGATCAACGCTTTCCTGGGCCTATACCAATTGATGCGCCAGAAGTTTTGGTTGGAGAAGAACGCGAAGCTGATCCGGGGACACAACATGGCATGTTTACGGCCTGGCGCACAAAACTATAAATATGAGTAGGTCAGGCAGGAAGAGAGCACCAGTGCTTGTTCCATAAACCTCATGTTCCTGGTCTCTCTCGTTCTAGGCGCTGGGACGATCGCTGTATTCCTCCTGATCTCGTACAACAGCATTCACCGTGTTCTGTCATCGCCACCTGTTCCACCCGGACCACCTGGACTTCCTGTGCTGGGAAATCTATTCCAACTTCCAAAAGCCAACAGTCACTTGATTTTTGCAGAATGGTCAAGAAGATATGGGGATATGATGACTCTGACGGTTCTTGGCAAGCCAATCATTGTGCTGAACTCGGCCAGAGCAGTCACGGAGGTGCTGGAGAAAGGTGCTTCGGCAAGTGCAGGAAGGCCCCAGCTAGTTATGGCACACGAACTGTAAGACATTGGCAAGACTTTGAGAGGAAGCCGTCTTATCATTTAGCGCAGGGTGGGACTCGGGAAGCTTCCAACATTGACCTCGGACGTGTCGATGCATCGAAAGTATCGCCGCCTGTATGCAAGAGCCTTGAATAGTACTGCGTGCCAGAATTACTGGGACATCCAGTTGAGGGAGATGCGGCGAGGTGTTCTCCAACTACTTGAGGGGAGGGAAGACCCTGTAGAGGCGATTATGCAGAGCGTCGGAAGCATCATTTCCGAAGTGGTATACGGACATCGCCTTACCGGCCCGGATGACGAATTTCTGGTTACAGCGCGGAAGGTCTTGCTGATATTTGAGCGAGGTGAGATACAACCTTCGAACTCACAATTGCTCCCTGAAACCCATCAGTGATACGACCCGGCGCTTTCATTGTTGACACCCTGCCATTTTTAAAGCACTTACCGGATTGGTTTCCTGGTGCGAGTTTCAAGATAACGGCGCGACAATGGCGGGAAACCGCGGATGAGTTGCGGCAGACTCATTTGCAAAAGGTGCAGCGAGAGATGGAAGCAGGAACCGCCCAGCCATGTTACGTGTCGAACATTCTTTCCAGACCACAAATACTAGAGCATGTTGGATTCGACGAGCTGGTGGAGCTCGTGAAGTACAGCGCAGGAACATTGTACGGAGCAGGAGCCGACACGACACTTGCGACACTCGAGAATTTCCTGGTAGCAATGTTGTTGTTTCCCAAAGTGTGGGAGCGTGGTCGAGAAGAGATTGAGCGCGTAATCGGACAAGAACGCTTGCCCAAGATGCAAGACCGAGCCATGTTACCATATTGTCAAGCAATGGTCCAAGAGATCCTTCGGTGGAGGCCTGTTGTTCCACTTGGCATTCCCCATGCGATGCTCGAGGGTGAGAGTCTGTGGCACTCTCAAATGTGACTGTCTGTTCTAACCGTGCTAACCCTATATGCCGCAATATCAGATGGCCTCTATTCTGGTTACCGATTTCCGCGCGGGACGACAGTTATCGCAAGCATTTGGTCAATGACCCACAATAGCAAAATATACCCGCACCCAGAGGAGTTTCGACCAGAACGTTTCCTATCCGACGACGGAACAAGAGTCTTGGATGGCGGACGGGAGGCCTTTGGATTCGGACGACGCGTGTGTCCAGGTCAACATCTTGCCGAGGCGTCGGTGTTCGCGTTCATTATAACGTTTCTTTGGGGAGCGAACATGACGGGGAGCTCCTCTTTCGACGGTACTGTGATATATGAGACGGGCGCTGTGAAGTAGGTTGAAAATCCCATGTCATGAGGCCCGTACTGATCCATCTTCATCAGTCGTCCCAAGGAGATACCATGCCAGATCCAAGTGAGATCAGAACAATGTCTTGATATGCTACAGGCGTCTTTGTCAAATTGAGTCTGGAGTGACATCAATCATAGACTGGAGAGGATAGGCATAAGAATACAAGAGAATGAGTGCACAGTGAGCCCACGCTATCATCCGAAGGATGTACCGCTTGGCCCAAAACAGATGCGAGGCTGTCAGCATGTGAGCGGCCAGCACAGGTCAACGATGCAATAAATCCAGAGAAATGGCTGGTATTCGGGGAAAAGACTGGAGGGGTCGAAACGTTTGTAGATTAATAACCCCCGTGATGAAAGGGCCTTGTCCGTCCGTTTAGAGTCTCTTGTGGGTCTTCGCCTTCCTGATCGGGGGGACCACCAATCATACACATCTGTTGTGCTGGGCGACACAAGGCTGAGACCTTACACCGTCTGCTTCAGGGAAATTGGACCGGATCCCAGGGTCTCAAACATGGTTCCTTCCCGCTGCTCCCGACTGACAGGTTTGCTGATTTAGTCCGGACAGACATCTGAGCTGAACGTCAATCTGGGATACCACTCAAAATGGAAAACTTTTGGTCATAAAGATGAATGGATTATCACTCAAGGAGGTAAGCAGGACAGTCTATACGTGTATCGTGCTATCATTCATGGATCGACTGCTTCAGCATTTCTAGCGCAGTCGGGAAGCGCCGTTTCACATCGATAGGAAATTGTACTGGGCGACTAGAATAGTCATGTTGAGAAGCGATCAAGCAAAAAGGGTGGACGTGCTTACTGCACGGCCGGTTTCTTGGGATAACCTGGATCTAGCGTCTCTTTTGAATATCCTGCCGGAATCGAAACGATGCTTGACCAAAGGATGGTGACAACAGCAGCGAAGAGAGAATCCTCTGCAAGGTACGACCCGGGACAGGCTCTGCAAAGTTGGATAAGCCAAAGAGTGTGTTAGACGATGAGTGACATACCGGCGGCCAAATCCGAAGCCAAATGATGGCCCTCGGGTCTGTTCTGCATCTTCCGACGGCTTGGCGTCTTTGCTGAGATATCTTTCTGGTTGGAACTCGGCAGCAGCCGGAAATTCCCTCTCTTCCCTGGCAAGCAGCCTGCAAAAGATGTCACAATCATAAAGAGAAGATTCCAGACTGAGTGCATACCAGACGTTGGCCATGATCATAGCTCCTTTAGGAATCAGATATCCTTCATAGATCTCGTCGGCAAGCATGAGATGAGGCAGGGCCAGTGGGGCGACTGGCTGCCATCGCAGGGATTCCTGCGTCATCGCCCAGCAGTACGGTAACTTGTCTCGATCCTCGATCGTGGGAAGGCGGTCCCTGCCAATGACGGCATCGAGCTCCTGTTGGGCTTTGGCTTGCACTTGCGGGAACATCATCATGGCGTACAGAAAGTTGTGGATCGAGGCTGCTGTCGTGTCACTGCCGGCGTCTACAATCGCATCAATACATCTTCGTTCGATAGCGATAAAGCGAAATTACTGAATATAGCACCAGCCGTCCACTTGATCACGATCTCGTCGGTGTCTTTTCCATCGGCGCCCTCCAGGAGACTAAGTGTGTAGGACGGATCGGCTTTTCCTGAAGCCTATGAAAAACATGAGAAACACTTCTTCGGCTTTGCTTTCGACCACGTACCATGTCCTGCTTGACGCTCTGGTATGGAACATCCATAACCTCGTCCACCTCCTTCCTCCATACTTTAGCTTGTTGCTTGAACTTCGTTCCAGGCCAGCCCTCGGGAAGCTTCTGTACTGAGGACACCACACGTGTCAGGTGGGGAGCAGAGGATACTGACAGAAGAACATACACCCTGGTATCAAGTCGACTAGGAAAGCGCCCGGTGCTTGAACTGTCAAACGATGAGACATTGTAGTATCCACATCCACGAGTGGAGCTTACGACGCATCAGGAGTCCCATAAATCCATGGATCTTCTTCACTAGTGAGGGATCTTCCTGGTCTAGATCCTTCCCATATGCGATGAGGAAGGAAATAGCTGCAGTGGCCCTGAGCAAGATATAAGTGTGGTACAGAGTAGTTGAGTTGAGCATCTACAAACTTGTCTATATGCGCAGAGTATTCACTGGTGGATGTTAACAGCTTGGCGGTGAGCTTGCGGATCTGGAGAGTTTGTATGTCCCAGAAAGCGCGTGATGGGCGTGGACCGAAGACGGCAGAGAAAACGCGACGATACTGCCGGTGCAAGACAGGGTCGCTGACTTGCGAGAACATGTATTTCAGACCGACCCTGTTACATGTATTAGAAACGTCCACGGTTTCAGTGTATGGAATTCAATACAATTCGTGAGCCATGACCAGCTTCTGCCGCCCAAAAGAGGTGGTGGCACGCTTCTCTAGCAACTCGGTCACAGCGCGTTTGCTGTTCAACAAGATGAGGTTCTTGCCGAATATGCAGAAGTTGACCACTTCGCCATATTTATCCGCAAGTTCGCGAAACGTGACTCTGTAGTCCTTGGGTAGGCTGAGGTTGCCTATAAGTGGAATTGGGCGAGGGCCCGGGGGAAGAGGCGGACGACTGGATGGGCGAACCTGTCGCCACAGAACCAGCATGACGGCTGCCACGGCAGCGGCTTCGACTACTGTTCCCCATGATATTTGGAAGGTGAGCATTGCTGACATGCACAGAGGGCCAGCACGCGCTTGTACAGAGTATTAAAGCAAGTTCAAGAGTGGCTGTCCGATAATACCTGCCACGTTGCTATCAGAAATTCTAATCAACCACGTGTGACCGAGGATCAGATCAGTGTCAAGGACGATCGAGACCCAGAGGTTCTAGGAGAGAACATCGACCGACATCAGAGAAGGTAGCAAAAAATAGGGATCAGGGATGGAAAGTCGGTGCCTGAAAACATTACATAAACAACACGTGTGTTTCCTTCCGTCTGGCATGGAAAGAAAAAAACGCATCGGCGCTCCGGCACGGCGTCCAGACAAGAACAATATTACCAGGGTTCATGATAATAGAGAAATAATATGTTGACCAATTGCAAACATTCCAGCCGTTCCGTGGCTCGGTGCTAATCACTCACGTGCTCAGGGATTGGCCAGTCAATCTTGCCCGATGCGACCGGGGACCTGAAACTAGTAACCGGCAAGACCCTTATGTGTGATGTCACGGAATCTAAATACAAATGAGGAAACTAACAAGTTTCCATGCTAAGACACAGCCAATAATAATAACAACGCAAGGGATGAGTAAACGGCTGCCGTAATGGCTGTGCTTACGGAGAGCTTACAGTGCTGACATAATGTTTCGCCCTTTAAGTGCCAGCGTTGTGACTTGCACCGCCTGCGTGTGTGTGCTCAAGCGGAAACAAGTGGTGCTGTACATGTACAGTACTACTCAGAGGCCTCGGTACCAGCCAACACATTGTGACACCTGAAATAGGCAGTAAAGAATAAACACACTGAACACCTACATCTCATACTGGACGATGCCAGACCCGGTATAGAGCCGGACAATGGATCATGCCAGTCAGATTAATAGCCTTAGCCAGCGTAATCCCAGAGGATACACGCCTCTAAACCTGGAAGCCAGAACACATTTCCCGGCACGGCGTTCGCGCTTCGTTGAACAATCCGGCGCGTGAAGGCAAAGACAAATGGATAACTGTGCATGATATTGCCGCTGTTTTGAATTGATATGTGCTGCTCCCTCCCAGGGATGAAAGTTTCGAGGGCAGGATGGAGCATCGGTTGGCGAGCCATTGGGAAGAATGTAGCCTCGAAACTTTCATCCATATCCAATGCACAAGGAAGTGTGACAGAAGTCGACGGCTGCCAGTGTGACAACACAGCAGAGCAGGGTGTAGAAAGCGTCGAACGCACCACCTTTCATGTGAGCGTTGTGGGGAGAAGTGGGGCCACCCCTTTTGATGGTGTGCCATGTATCCAATGCAATTGCGGGACGGCTCTGCATACAGTCAGTACCCGTCTTTCAAGACATACGACGCCTTGGACTTGCTTCTGCCGCGCATCAATAAATGGATCTCACAATAGGCAAGGGCTCCCTCTGCATAACAAAGAGTGCAAGGGCTTTCGGTCAGTCTCATGATCAATGGAGGACCGGTTATAGAGGAACATCATAGAGGGGCATTTATAAATGTGAAGGTGGTCGGAACTATTCGGCTATGTTTACGGTGTTATTGAGATGACTCTGACACCAACCGGATGAGGCCTCACCCCAACAAAGCATTTCATCCACGGGCAGAAGCCGCTTTGACTGCCGATACGTGGCTAACTGAGATCAGACGCGTTGTGGACACTGAATACAACCCCCCGAAACAGGTGGACTTCCGCGTCCCTTTCCATCAAGCTCAGCCTGGGGCGCCATGTTATAGATATAGACCCTGACTGCATCGATCGGGATGGTGAAACACCGCCAAGCGAAGTTGTATCTCAATGTCCCCGGAAATTCCGTATGTGCAAGGCGTAAGCTGAGACAGATGTCAGTTTCCACGGCAAATTCTCTTGCTCTTCAATTCAGTTCTAAAGGTTTATGCAGTCCTCAAAACGACCTGGACCCTGGCGGTGACCAATGTTGATAGTGGCCGAATCTTCTTCAACCATGACGTACAGTTATCAATGGAATGAGAAACATAGGAGTGCTGTCTGCACTGCACACGTATATACGGGTGTACGATACATTTCGATACCACTGTATATGTGGGTTCCACTCCTCCTCCTGCATATCCGGTGAGCTATGGTCTCTGGAGTCATATAAATCAGAGTGGCATTGATGGAGTTGACGACAAAAAAACAGCTCCCAACATGACACTCTTCCTCTCTCCCTCAGCATGGATCGTGCTTGCGATTTGCCTCGTCTTCTTGCTGCTCATATCCAAAATCAAGACTAGCCTGGCGCAGTCTCTTCCACCAGGTCCGAACCCTGTACCCCTCCTGGGCAATCTCTCGAAGCCGAAAGATTATCGGGCTTCTTTTAAGCACTGGGCAGACCAATACGGGAATATGATGACACTCAAGATGATGGGTGTTCCTCTCCTGGTGTTGAACAACCGACAGGCAGCATCAGACCTCCTGAGAAAACGGGCTGCATCAACCTGGGGTAGACCAAACACGGTCATGGCTCACCAGCTGTACGCATACCACAAATTTCCTTGGTGTAACTTACGTTCGTACAGGTCTGGGCTGGACACCGAAGTGGCTTTCACAAGAAACTTCCACCTTCACAAAGATTTCCGGCGCTTCTTCTCTATCGCACTGAGCCCACGCTTGGTCGAAGGTTGCGGGGCTCATCAGATCCAGCAAATGCGGCAAGTAACGAGCGAGATACTTGCCTCTCCAGACAACTACCTCAACTCGATCAACAGGTACTGTGGCCACACACTGTTGAATTCCATTTGCTGACCAAGTCGAATGGATAACAGAGCAGTGTCGGCCATTGCTCTCCGGATCGCGTACGGGTACGAAGTCCAGGGCAAAGATGATCCGCTCCTCGCTCAGGTGAACAAGGCGGCGGATCTGGTAGAGCAGAGTGGGTAACGTGCACAAATAATATTCTGAGCCATCTGACCGGAAGCTTTAGTTCTACTTCCTGGATTCTTCTTGGTCGATGTGCTGCCAATACGTGAGCGCTATCAAAGAATACGGAGTTTAGCTGGCTGAAAGCTTTGCAGTCAGATACCTCCCAGAGTGGCTTCCAGGGACCGGCTTCCTCCGATTGGCAAAGCAGTATAAAGGAGAATACGAGGACATCAGAGAGCGTTCTTTCCGCATGACCGAGAAGGATATTGTCCGTGCCTCTCAGTATGCGCCAAGCAATCCACTTGCTAAACCCACTCCGCAGGCGAAAGGGACAGCCAAATCGTCGTTTGTCGCAACGTTGCTTGAAGACCTCAAGAGCGACAAGACCATCTCGAAGGAACACATCATGTGGGGTGCAATGTCGTTCCATACGGCAGGATCGGGGACGGTAAGTTCCTCTTGATAGATCAAGCATACTGATTTAACCGTGCATCAGACGGTTACGGCAATACACAACCTCCTGGCTGCGTTGGTGCTCTTTCCCCATACCCAAGCTGCGGCACAGATGGAACTTGATCTCGTGATCGGCCGCAGCCGTCCACCCCGAATGGACGATCGCGAAAGCCTCCCCTATTGCTCGGCGATGGTAGATGAGACGCTCCGTTGGCAGCCGGTCGCCCCGTTTGCACTGCTGCATAAATCGGACCGCGAGGAGAGCTTTGAGGGATGGACGCTTCCTGAGGGGTCCCTGCTCATGGCCAACGTATGGTGGGTCAGATTATTTGGCACCAGGCGATGGCTGAATAGAGCAGGGCGATGTCCCGTGACGAGCGGGATTACCCATCTGCAGAAACATTCATGCCGGAACGCTACCTCCCGTCTACAGCATCAACTCCTATCGCTTGGAACGCTAGTCGCGGATCAGCCATCCCTCTTGGCGCAGTTGGGTTTGGGTTTGGAAGACGAAGTTGTCCAGGCAAGCAGCTTGCCGAGGCAACACTCTTCGCGGCGGTTGTGACTATGTTGTGGACACTAAAATTTAAGCTCGCCGAGGGAGAGAAAGTGGTGTGGTTGGAGGAGTCCACCGTAAAGTAAGTAAAATCACAGTCGAGTTGTATTGATTGTTGATGTTGATTTAACTAGCCAGCCAAACGAATTCCGCATCCGGGCCACGGAGAGGTTCAAGGGTGCAGAGAAAATCCTGCGGTCGTCCCTGAAAAAAAGCGACTCTTGTTGAGGAAAACGGGCGGAGTATTTGTGACTGTGTACAAGTGAAGCTGGACGGGGCTTGGCACGCGTGGTGTCTGAGAGGCTGTGTGCGATACAATAGAGCAACAACCATGAGTTATTCAACATTTTATAGTAATTCAATCTACCCCTCTCCAATGTTGGCTACCTTCCAGCACTAGTGTGCGACGCTCTTTTTAGCTGCCTTTAAGTGGTTTCCCCATTTTGAAGTTTTGCAACAGGACTCCTGGTACGTAGCTGCACTTACTCGTTGGCATCAATGGCCTTGCTAAGGAGATCCAAAGACCCTGGGAACCGCTCTTTGAACGAAATAGGGAAGTCCTTTGGCCAGCTTAGAAGGGCTCCTATATCAGGACACTGAAGGAAGCACACCGGGACTGACTCACTGAACACCGTATGTTTCGTACTCAATAGGATCATTTTCTGTTCCAGGAGGCCTGGAGACAGTGCAGGACCAGAGAATCGTGATTACGCCTGCGAAAACAACAGCTTCTGCCAGATTGGTTCCAGGACATACTCTTTCAGATGCGGAAGTCAGGAACAGTGATGACAACGCGGAACATCAGTTGACGTACCGGCGCCCAAATCCAAACGCAAGAGCAAGACGAGTGGCGGGTAACCGGATGCTGCCGTCCTCTTGGATTGATAAGTGCCGTTCGGGAATGAACTCCTCGGGTGAGGGGTAGATAGTCGCGTCACGCGTCATCGCCCATACGTTGGCCAAGATGGTAGCGCCCTTGGGAAGAACGTAGCCATGATATTCCTCATCTTGATCCAATGCATGAGGAAGAGCAAAGGGGGTAGGGGGTTGCCAGCGAAGGAGCTCCTGTACAATGGCACCACAGTAGGGCAGGTCATTGAGATCGTCAATGCAAGGAAGACGGTCGCGACCGACAATCTGGTCAAGCTCCGCTTGGGCTTTACTCTGCACGTGAGGGAAGAGAATCATGGCGACCAAGAGGCTCTGCACGCAAGATGTATTCTGAACGGTGTCAACAGGAGTTCTTTCATATGCATGACAGAGACGTACATTATCATTCCCGCCAGTATAGATGCTCCCCGCGGCGAGTTTTATATGCTCCTCGGTATATTTGAAAGAAACCTTTTGATCAGGCAGACGATCGAGAAGGTGCTGAGTGAACGACGGCAAGGCATTTCCGTGCTCCATATCGCGCTTGACACGTTGGAAGGGCTCCTCATGAATATGCTCTTTCGTCGCCTTCCACTGTCTTGCTGAGCGCTTGAAGCCGGCTCCAGGGAGCCCTTCAGGAATATGTCTCACTGATGTGTATGTTATTTTGAGTCCTGATGGCGATATAAAAAGACATGTCACTCACGAGAAGGTAGAATATCAACTAAGAATTCGGCCGGACGTAGCAAGCGTTGATATACCTTCATGTAGTCGGCGATTTTGGTGATGAACGCGTCGCCATCGTTCTTGATATTGTAGCCGTAACCGACATAGAAAACAATTGCGGACATGGCCCTGTATACAGTAAGTATACTTCGCTCTTCACATATCAGTCAATTGTGCAACTCACCGCTTCAGAGCATTAGTAGAATCGCCGGGAACCGTCAACATATGCAAGGCGGCCTTTCGCATTTCAAGCTCTTCCATCTCCCAGAAGTTTTGAGAGGCTCGCTGGGACAACGCAGTTGCAAACAGACGCCGAAATAATTTGTGTTGAAGCATATCATTGGTTTGACTTGTCGAGTTCTTGTACCCTACACTGCAAAACACATTTATTTGACATTTCCAGCAAGTGGAAAAGGCAACACTTACAGCTCATGGGCCATTACACGCTGAGGACGGATACTGGTAGATGCGGCACGTTTCTCCAAGATATCGTTTGCGGCCTGCACAGAATTGAGGACAATCACGTTCTGGCCCCAGATGCGAAGTGTCATGATATCCGGATACTTCTGAGCCCAGAGCTGGAACTTGTCCAAACGAGAGACGGGGAACTTGATGCGACCAAGGAGGGGAATCGGATTCGGTCCGGGGGGGAGAAGGCGCTGAGACCGTAGCACAAAATAGAGGGCCACCAGGGCACTAAGAACACAAATTTCGACGAAGGTCGTCAACGACATTGCGAAAGACATCCAGATTGTACCAGACAACCAGGATGTGATGATGAGTGGATGGAAAAAGTACCTGCGGAGCAATTGGAATGGTGTGAGAGATGCGCTGGGCAGGGTGCCCTATAAACACTGACAAATGAAAGAACCCCAATCTCCATCTAAAAGTTCGATTCTTGGCATTGCTACATCTTGATCGTAGCCGCGCATCCCCGGTCGGTTCCCCATCTCCTAAGGCCCGGAGCACTGGAATAACTCGTGCGATGGCCGAAATCGCTCCATCCTATGCTACCGGCTGAGGGCGCATGATGACCATCACGGGAATGTGATAGCGTGTTCCACAACTCCGCCCGACAGCGGCGCACTTGAAGTCATAGTCCCAGTGGAGAAACGATGGACCATGTCGGGCGTGGAGCAGCGAAGGGATCGCGACGATCGGGATATCAGAGTATGGTTGCTCTCATGTTGATGGATCGGACCACAGTCAAGTGGCAGCATCTAGTGTCCTCGAGAGACGATTCGGTCACCTCTGGATCCGTAACTCGGCTATGTCATATCCCACAGACCTCAGGAAGGCCGACTCAAGGATGCCGACTTTGATCCAGGGGCATCGTGTCGTCAACAGGGCCGATTCATCAAAGTTCAGCAGGTTGACGAGCGTTCCTCAAGCAAGCAAATCCGGGTTTCGTCCTCGTGTATCAAAGGATGTTGATGACGAATGCCGTCCCCGCAAGCTAGGGCGCTGGTCCCAAACGAAACCCTAGTTGCTTCCGTCCTATCGTGGGAAATCGGCTGGCCGATGTCCCCGATCTCTCTCGTATATCAAGGCGGTGTCTTCTTTGATGGTCTTTTTTCGCATCTGTTTGACCTCCTCCAGAAACTGAACCATCGACGACGATGCATGGAAGACACCGCCTTCTGCCGACCGTCAGCTTCTCGTTCTCCAGTGAGAGTATTTATACACAGTTCAGCGTACTCCTGCGTTTCTTGCTAAAAAGCTCCCAAGATGGTTTGGTTCAGTTATTGATGATGGTATCCTAGCCAGCCAGACGAATTCCGCATCCAGACCACAGAGAGATTCAAAGAAGCAGAGAGTAGTAGTCTCCGGTCGAGCAGTTCGCCGGACACAGAACGTGTCATAGACAAAAAAAATGTGCTATGTTCGTTCTGTGTGCCGCACCCAGAGCCTGTGCTGCCTGGATATCCAAGTGGATATTGAAACGTGACAACTAATATATCCATAATTGGCTATTCCAGCGTATCCCAGCAAGTATCTGGGAGAAACATACGCTAATATATAACTTGGCCATCACCACCACTGCAGCTGGCTACCCATCCATCTCTGTGCAGTCTGGAACACGTGCTGGACCAGCTTTTTTTTGCCCGTGTTTCAGCCTGTGAGAACACTCCAGCACGAGCGCTTATTTATCGACATCAATCGCACCACGTAAGAGCTCCATAGCGTCTGGGAACCGTTCCTTGAACGAGATCGGGAACTCCTTCGGCCAGCTTACGATAGATCATAAGTCAGCGATTGGGGCAGGCACGTCTTGAGTGACTCACTGAACACCGTGCGTCTCGAACTCGATAGGGTCGTTTTCTGTTCCTGGAGGCCAGGATACGGTGGAGGACCAGAGGATGGAAATCAAGCTGGCGAAAGCAACCGCTTCGGCCAGATTAACTCCTGGGCATACCCTATATGCGGGCGTCTCAGTGAAATGATCTTGTCAGTAGATCGGATTCAGGTGACATACCGACGACCAAAGCCAAAAGCGAGAGCACTACGCCCGGATTTCAGCTTGATACTACCATCTTCCTGGGTTGACAGGTATCGCTCCGGAATGAACTCTTCAGGCGATGGGTATGCAGTCTGGTCGCGGGTCATCGCCCAGACGTTTGCAAAGACGGTAGCGCCCTTGGGAAGGACGTAACCAAGATATTCTTCATCTCTCTCCATTGCATGAGGAAGAGCGAAAGGAGTGGCAGGGTGCCAGCGGAAGAGCTCTTGGACAATGGCAACGCAGTATGGAAGGTTGTCGAGATCGGCTATGCAAGGCAGGCGTTCACGTCCGACAACTCGGTCGAGCTCCGCCTGGGCTTTGGCCTGTACGTGGGGAAAGAGAACTATGGCGGCTAACAGGCTCTGCACACTTGCCGCATTCTGGACATTGTCAGCAATAATAACTTGTGATTTTTGACCGGGACGTACATTATCGTTGCCACCGGTGTAAATGCTCCCGGCCGCAAGTCGGACATGCTCCTCGGAGTACTTCGTGGTGGTTTTTTGGTCCGGAAATTCTTCCAGAAGGTGCTGAGTGAACGAAGGGAGAGCGTTTCCAGCCCTCATGTCCCGCTTGACGCGCTGGAAAGGCTCTTCGTATATGTTCTCCTTCATCTCCTTCCATTCTCTTGCCGTCCGCTTGAAGCTGGCCCCAGGGAAACCCTCCGGAATATGTTTCACTACATCATATTTGTGAGCAACGACACTGAGGTGATGCTATTCAGGCCACTTACGAGGGGGAATGATATCAACGAGGAACTCGGCGGGTCGTAACAGGCGTTGATATATCCCCATGAAGTGCTCGATTCTTTTTACGAATGAATCGCCATCAGTGCCAATGTTGTAACCGTACGCAACATGGAAAACAATAGCGGAAATAGCCCTGGTCATTATAAATACACCCCGTCCTTCAAGTGGCATATTATAGGTGAAACGCACCGCTTCAGTGCATTCTTCGCCTTGTCAGGCGTGGTTAGCATTTGCAGGGCAGCTTTTCGCATTTCAAGCTCTTCCATCGCCCAGAAGCTCTGAGAGGCGCGTTGGGATAGGGCGGAGAGAAATAGGCGGCGATACACCTTGTGCTGAACCATATCATTGGTCTGGCTTGTAGTGTTCTTGAAGCCGACACTGTGGAAACGTGTTCATACTCTCGCGGAAACACAAGAAGGCAATACGCACAGCTCATGGCACATCGGCCTTTGGGGTCGGATACTGGTGGATGCCGCACGCTTCTCCAAAATTTCACTTGCAGCGCGGAAGGAGTTGAGCACGATCACATTTTGGCCCCAGACACGAAGCGTCATGACCTCCGGATATTCCTCAGCCCATAGCTGAAACTTGTCCAAACGAGAGATCGGGAACTTGATGTTACCAATGAGGGGAATTGGATTCGGCCCGGAAGGGAGAAGGCGCTGAGAGCGATATACACGAAAGATAACCACGGAAACGAAGAGAACACAGGTTGCGACAAAGGTCGCCAGCAACATTACAAAAACTATTTGGCTTGGTAAGTAGAGAAGGAAGCAGGACGTGGGCACTTGAATGGATGTCTTGTCGTGTCCTTTATAACAGGGAAAGAGCCACCGGATCCATGTGAGTCGTGCATGTTGATTGCATGGTGGGAATTATGTGTCTTTCCAAGTGGACGATTCAGGGCGCCGTCAGGCACGGGGAAAGATGCATGATGCATTGTAGTGACTGAAGACGATAGCGGTGCAGCTCCTCAGGGCACGCATAATGTCCATAAGCAAGCCACACCCTGTCCTTCTGCTCATCAACGTGTTCCGGGCATCGGAGGGCAATTTGATGGCGACAAATATAGACAAAGTACTGGGGCAAGGATATTAGGCTGATAAGACGCGTCTTTGGCAGCAGGGGGTGCCGGCACCGTAGTCGCTTCTGTTGCACAGGTCTGTTTTGGAAAGAGAACCAAAAGCGTTGACGTCTTTCCTTGTGTCATCCAAAACGTGGAAGACCCACGTTCTAAGACAGCACGGAAAATCTGATAGGTTATCCAAAGTGAAGCAGATAACATAATTGATTTGATCCTCGCCCATCATGCTGTGGTGGTGAAATGGCAACGAGCGGCGCGTCACGCGGGCGAGATTTTCGTTTGTGCATTTACTTCCGTCCCGATGAGAAAATAGGGCCGAAGTACCCCCTCCGGTGGCCGGAGTCATCATAGACCGAAGTCCCCCAGCGCTGTTGTCCCCACCGCCGCACAGTTATCTCATATCTCTTTGTATAAATTACGACCCAATGGATCTCAAAGAATCCTACAGCAAAGCCTAGAGGAAGCGGTCCTGGCAGATCATTTCGATTTCCCTTCTCGACACACACCATCTCTGATGCGCTACATATGCATGATCTTCCGGGAGACATATCAGTGCTCCGCCGGTAAGGATATCTTCCTGGAACGAGCATCATCTCCCTCCTACCTTTGCACCGGTGCAGGTCTCTGCCTCATTTGACTTGAAATGCTCAGGCATGCCTCCGATCTACGGGTCCACTGCGGGTCCACTGCGAGCTTCGAACTATCACTTTCAGCGTATTTCCGCGGCCGTTGGAATTCTGTTTTAGTTCGAGCTGATGGAATGGAATCGCTTGTGCACAGGGGGGAGGTGGTGTTACGCGAGTTGATGTGTGAGATGGTCATGCGTTGGTCGATACTTGTGTTTGCTTCGTTTACACATCAGAACCATCGATGGAACGCCATTTATATGAATCTCCGCGCATCGTTCAAGCTGTGCAAGAAAGAAGGAGGCCTGATTCGTACCTGCTGAAGGCTTTCTTCTGTTCCCTTATCTTGGACTCTGATATTCGTGCAGGGAAACCCGAGGAGCAGATGCAGAGCATCATCAATCTGTTTGTACCTGGCGAAAAAAACAGAACATGGAGGCACCATCAAAGGTGAAATTCTTGCGACGTCGATTTGTCATCCATTTGTCAGCAAGAGTGAAGGCGCATCTTGGGCAAATCGCAGCGTATTCTGATGCTACGTGTCGCTCTGTCTGAAGCCTCCTACCAACTGGCCAGACTATAGCGCTGACTGATTTGCCTCTGATAGATGCCACTCTTATCTGCCTCGGGATAATATTTCTCATATCTCTGCTAAGCATCATCCGCTCAGCGTCGGGACCCCACCCACCCAGCCCACGTGCATTCCCATCCTGGGCATGTTGACCTTGCCGCCTAACTGGTGTCATGATCTCAAGAGACGGGCCGACAAATACCCGGACATCTTGACCATCAGAATGACGAGCATTGCGCTGTCGGTGGTCAATAGTCGCCGGGCAGCGTTTGAGATAATGGAGAAACGTGCATGGATCAACAAGCCATTGACCAAGAATGGTGATGGTGCAAGAGCTGTACGTATGCAGCCCAGTCCCAGATCGCTGCAAGAAACCTTGAATGTCTTATCAGGACTTCTCTATCAGGATCGGTCAGGCACAGGATTCATCCCAAACAGCCGTTCCAAAGCTACACAAGGAGTGCCGCTGGATGTTATCCGTCGCTCTCAGTCCGCGGGTCGTACAGGCATACGGAGACGAGCAGGCTCATCAGTTCCACCGAGTGGCGCTCGATATGCTTTCTGGATCGGGAAAGTACCGCAGCGCGATTGTGCGGTCAGTGCTGGATCGCGCTCGCGCATACATGAAGCTCAGAGCTCGGTTATTAAGCTGAGCGTGTACGAGGGCCGTCTCAGCAATTGCATGCCACCTCGCCTACGGATACGATAACAAGGATGAGAATGACCCTATGGACCAGCGGGCAGATCAGGCCCTGCGAATTTTGGAGAGGAGTAGATTTCTATGGCATTCTTTTCAGATCATCGATACACAGACCATGGCTCAAGCAGAACCCGACAAGGTGATTGGCCGTGAGCATCTTCTTACCGCGGCAGATCGCGAGCGTTTGTCCTGCTGTTGGGCCGTTCTGCAAGAGACATCGCGCCGGCGCCCTTTGCACTGTTGCATAGTATGGGTAAGGAGCAAATATTCGAGGAGTACGTATTACCCGAAGGGCATATGCTTATGGTCAATGTGTGGTATATATTCCAACAATTCTGCTAGAACACTGATTAACGAAGGACAGGACGATGTCACGAGATGAACGGGATTTCCCGTCGGCGGAGACGTTCGACTCGACGCGCTACGAACGCGGACGTTTGGTTTTGGTTACGGGACGCGTCTGCCCTGGGCAAGATCTGACTGAGGCAACTGTCTTCATTCCTGTAGCGACGATGTCGTGGATCAAGGTGTAGGTCCCGGACGCAGATAATATGGGTCGACCAACCGGGTGTAAAGTGAGTCGCTTGATTAGTGTGCCCGCGGATCGTGGGCTTGCTTACATGACGTTGATAGTCAACCCAAGCCGTTCCCCATTATAATGTCAAGGAGAAATATGAGGGCGCCGGGGAGATTCTGCGAGCGTTGCAGAATGCTTGAGCATATATGAGTTTTCTATCTCTCCCAAATATTTTGCGTATTAAAGGACCTTAGCTACCCATCGACTGTTGTATTCCTAAACAATCTTGTGTTTCGAACTCTATTCAATCCATTCGCACCATGATCGAGCCGACGGCGCCGTGATCGATGTCGGCCCGGAGGTCCGCTTTCCCCGCACCCGCGTGCCGTACCAACCGGCGTACCGGTGTATGGTACCTTGGCGTTCCACCCAAACCTATGGACATTAATTATGGTCACCTATCCGACTTCCGCTATCGGACATGGGGTTATATCATTCCCGAAAGGTGTGCCTATCTATTGAGATTACTGTCCTTGTGCGCTCTATCCCTTCATCATTGTGCAGCCGGGGAGGATTCTAGTGTTTCACGCGCAAAATCCACAGCTTGAAAGACCTTAACAGCACATTATCGATTGCGGTTCTTCTCTGTACCTTCCTACCGCGGCTTTTGATCTCTACTCTCGAGCGATGCCAGCCCGTCCCCTCGACTACGGCACTTACGTGCCCCCAACCTCCTTCCCATCCTTCACGAAGCATGGCGCTTCCCTCCTTCCCTCAACAGCAGCAGCGCCCGTCTCCTCATCCTGGCTCAGCTCCTTCGCCTCCGCCATCCACGCCCGCGACATTCCCTGCATCCTCGACCACCTCCTACCGGATGCCTACTGGAAGGACATGCTGTCCCTTACTTGGGACTTTCGCGCCTTCCAGGGTCAGGCCGCAATACGCAAGTTCCTGGAGGACAGGCTGGCTCTGTGCGAAGTTAGGAACGTGCGGTTGACCGACAAGCTCGTCCCCTCGGTTGTGAAGGTGGGTGAGCTGAGCTGGGTTCAGGCATCCGCAGAGTTCGACACCAAGTGGGGGAGCGCCAGCCTCGTCTTCCGGCTGGTGCCCTACCTCCCCGAGCCCGCAGAACCAGCGCCCAATGCCAACGGACTGCCCACAGAGCCAGACCCGGAATGGTGCGCCTTCGCCCTTTTCTCCAACCTGGATAGCCTGCATGGCGTGATCGAGCAGGTCGGTGCTCACCGGGTTGAGCACCCGCCACGCAAGTCCTGGAACGCACTGCGAGCAAAGGAGCTCGAGTTTGAGCAGGAGGGCCCGACTGTGTTGATCATCGGTGGTGGACATAACGGGTGCGTACCTTATCTCAGTCCTGCGGGAACGGGTGCTGACGATCTTCGGCAGCACGATGATGGCAGCCCGGCTGAAGTACATGGGTATATCGTGCCTTATCATTGAGAAAGAGCCCCGAGTAGGTAACCAGTGGCGTGGGCGATACAGCTCGTTGTGCACGCACGATCCAGTCTGTATGTCTACCCGTCGACCTAAGGAGCGTCCGCTTACAAGATAACAGGGTTTACTCAACTGCCGTATCTTCCTTTCCCGAGTACCTGGCCGACCTATACACCCGCAGACAAGCTTGGTGACTGGCTCGAAGCGTACGCATCGCACCTCGACTTGAACGTCTGGCTATCTTCTTCCCTCTCTTCTGTCACCTACTCTCCTGAGGCCAAGGAGTGGACCGCACATATCCAGCGATCTGAGGGAACACGGGAGCTCAAGGCGAAGCATGTCGTATATGCTGGTGGTTGGAACGGGGTGCCCTACTTGCCCGAGGTAGAGGGAAGGGAGGAGTACGAGAAGGCTGGAGGCAAGGTGCTCCATTCCAGCGAGTACAGAGATGCAAAGGGCTTCCAGGGGAAAAAGGTGGTGGTCATTGGCGCGGGGGTATCCGGTACGTCGTGTGATCTCCTGCTACGAGACGTGCTGACTCTGTGAAGCGCACGACATCGCCCAAGACCTGATCAACTCGGGGGCGGGTAGCGTGACGCTCCATCAGCGAAGCCCGACACTCGTCGTCTCCACACGCGCTCTTCGGGTCCTCTTGAACCGTTCCGGTTTCCGGCAAGATGGACTTCCCGTAGATACGGCAGACATGCTCCTGCACAGCTTCCCGATGGATATCCAGAAGCTCACCATGGCGCAGAGTACTAAGCTGCTGAAGGACGTGGACAAGGACACGCTTGAAGGGCTCGATAAGAAGGGGTTCATGCTTGATGATGGTCCTCAGGGCGCTGGATACCTCTTCTTGGTGCTCACCAGGAGAGGCGGGTATTATTTCGGTGCGCAGGATTCCCTCCCAGCTATATCCTCGCGTCCTGAATCCAAATGACAGACGTGGGTGCCAGCCAGTTAATCATCGACGGCGAGATCTCGCTCAAGGCTGGAGGTGAAGTCTCGCGCCTCACTCCCGGCGTGGTCCACTTCACGGACAACAGCACCCTGCCTGCGGACGTGGTCGTCTTCGCCACAGGCTTCGGGGCGATCAAGGAGAACCTCGCGCAGACGTTTGGGGAAGAGTTCACCGCTGGGTTGAAAGATCCTTGGTACCTGGACGAGGAGGGAGAGTTGCGCGCTGTTTGGAGGGACAGTGGTCAGGAGGGGTTCTGGTATATGATCGGAAACCTAAGCTATGCGAGGTTCTATAGCAGGCGGGTAGCACTGCGTGAGTCTTGATCAATTCCGGGTCATCCTTCTTCCCTTTTATATCAACCCGCACATTCCTTTCATCCAGAGACTAACACCTTTTACAGAGATCAAGGCCTTGGAGACGGGAGCATGGGACGGCGTGCGCTACTCAATCCAACGAGACGCGAAGAAGGAACCACGTGGACTGAACACGCCAGAACCGGAGTTGAATGGGGCGGCCCACGAACATGAGAATGGAATCGTCGTTTAAACTAGAACGGAATCGACTACAATTTGGAATACGGAGCATGTAATTGCTAGATGTACCGGAATGAAATGCATGGTCTGTGATCTGTGGCTGCCATGCTCAAGAATTCAGGCAACCATCGGTCCTTCACACGATCGGTCCATTGAGGCTGATCATTCGAGGATCGAGGGCGGGCATGGCCTCATCCGTTGAGATAGGTCATCAACACTTTGTTCACCACTTCTTGCTAATCGGACGGAGATACATGGCCACTAGCGCCTACATGGCTACTAGCGCCGGGACAGGAATGTATCGGCGCGCAGTCTGATTCCTCATGTACTGACTGTGATCGATCAGCGTCGCCGGCACCGAGCTCGGAGAGATAAGAATACAGTTCCGTTATGAGCGGCATTCCAGAATTCAGGCTTTCTGCGTGGTAAACGGAGGCTCGTGGGATATTGGACTCGAGAGTAGGTTAGTTGAGAGGAAAGGAAGAGACAAACGGAGGCGAAGGGGGTCGCACCGAAATATCGGGATTGAAACGTCACGTGACTCATGACGAAGTCCGCGTCGAGGCACCGAGGGTTCGGCAAGCGCCGTGCACCCTTACTGCTGTCCAGTTTGTGGTGACGGGGGGATAAATTGAGCAAGAAGTTATTACAGACATAGTTGCAGCATAATGGGATGGTATGGAAGATACAGGGGGGTTACATTCAATGCAATGCGATGTGTGATGACCAGGGGAGACGACAGACAATGAGCACTTACGCTGTCACCCGATCAACGGGGACAACTCGGAGCGTCTTGTCTGCGCCGGCGGCGGGGTCAGTGAGCGCCCGCCTCCTGCGCGAAAAGGCACGCTCACCCCGCGTCTTGATCGCATACACAAACCCCATAACCACCTCCGAGTCCTTGACGTCCTTCTGCTTCGCGTCGAAATGTCGTGCGCAGATACCAGCTAGCGCCGCCTGGTACGCCTCGATGTCGGTGTACACGGGCTCCCGCAGGTCTTCCGGTCGGACGGGTTGATCTTCTCGGTATCCGGTTCTTGCGTTGAGCAGACGGCGGGAGGTACGCTGCGGTCGATTGGCGGGCGTAGGGTCCGGAAGGCGCGGTGGTGGTGGATGCAGCAGGTAAGACGCTGGTGGTGGTTGATCACGCGACAGCGGGGATGGGTCGATGGGAGGTGCAAGGCCGTGGAGAGCGATGTACTTGAGCAGTTGAGGAATGGTGAATGTGTTGAAGTCGACCTATGCATTCGGAATTAGAGAGAAAGATGGGAGTGAAGAACAGCAGGACGAACGACAAGTTTCTTCTGGATCTCCTCCCTCTCTTTCTCCGCAGCCCTGGCCAAGCGTTCCGCCTCCCTAGCAGCCGCCTCACGAGCCGCAGCGTTCCTCTCCGTCGCCTGCCTCTTCGAAGGTCTTTCATTCGTAGCATGTGCATTTGATCCACTAGCCCCATTCGCCTGCGTTGCGCTCCTACTCGCTTTGGCTCCTGCTGTTGCTGGCGCGGGGTGTGCGTCAACGGACTCCTCGTCCCGCTTGCGTTTCTTCTCCTGGTACTTCTCCCTCGCCGCGGCCTGCGATGCGGGCGATTGGATACGCGTCGGTCGTATGGACTGGTTCTTGATGTGTAGCATTGTGAAGAAGCCCGCGTTGGCGTCTGACGGATTGGGGGCGGTTGCGGGCATGTGTGGTCCAGAGGGGGGGCACAGGGGATAAGGGTCCAGTCATGAACAAGAAGCTTCGGACTAGATATTCGGCTCCGGCACAAAGCCGACAAGGCCGCACGGCTTATTGTTCACATGCTGGCTTTTCTGGCCGTGAAATGGCATCTTTGATTACGAAACCTGGTAACAAGATGCTGACAAAGTAAAGAATGTATTTCCCCTGTATGACTTAATCCTGAAGATTCGGAGATACGAGCTCATTCTTGCCGGGCACTGCGCAACAACTCGACCACGTTCCCGCTCCGAGGAACTACTTCACAGGGGATCTCGTCCGGCTGCCTATTGACGAAGTCAGGCATGGCCTTTTCTGGAAGAGATTACATACATAATAGTGGAAGTCGCTACTTTCAGCTCCGTTTCCAGCCTGTCTTTCGGCAAGCGAAGATCTGCCGACCAGAGGAGGGTTGCCACAAGTATGAATATCGACGCTTCTGCGAGATGGATCCCTGGGCAGACTCTGGACGATCCAAGATAAGAAATCTGCGCATACGTGTGCAGTATGAACGCGTACCGTCTTCCGGCGCCGAAGACTTCTCGCCCTCTCTCGGCACCGAGTGACGTCTTCCCATCGGCGGCGAGGTGTCGTTCTGGCATGAAGGTTTCAGGGTTGGGATACATGAGTGGATCTCGAGTTAGCGCCCTATCATATGTATCCCGTCAAGTGGATTTCAACAAGAATATGTGGAAGAGCTGACCAGATGTTCCCGAAAACCAACGCCCCTTTCGGAAGTAAGTAGTTTTCATAGATCTCGTCTGATAAGCGACATCAACAATCCCCCAAGGGATAGAATGGGACAAACTAACCCTGCATCATCCTATGTGGTACACCAGTCGGAGCAACCGGATTCCACCGCATGCATTCCTGTACAAGTGCCTGACAATACGGAAGATCCTCTCGGCCGCTAAGTGTTGGCAGCCTGTCTCTTCCAACTACACGGTCGAGTTCCTCCTGCGCTCGTGCTTGGACGTGAGGATTTTTGAGCATCGCGATCAGGAATGAGATTATGATCCCTTTTGTCTGCGGTTTGATGTTAGCACGATCGCGGGGACATAGCAGGATGACGCACTGTGTCCATCCCTGCTTGATACAGCTGACCTGCAGCCCATTTGACGAGTTCTTCCTCTCTCGGATCATCTGCCCGCTTCCCGTTCTCGTCCTCCAGCAGTTTGGAGACGAATGACGGAGAAGCGGTGCCCATAATCTGCGGAGCGCGTCAGTACGTGGAGAGGGTGAGATGACGCGCGCCTACCATCTCTCGCTTAACAGCGTTGAATGGCTCTTCGACGAGATCGAGGACGTCTTCTTTTATCCGAAGTCCTTCCCGTTTGAAGCCGGCGCCGGGAAACCACACCGGCAGGTGCCTTACTGCTATACGTCAGAAAGGTACTCGGGCCAACTTGAGAACTCACAAAATGGAAGAAGCTCCACCAGGTACCTTCCTGGTCGCGAGACTAAGACTATAATCAGAGGACAGTACGCGGGCACATAGCGAACACTAACGTCGCTCAAAGTTACGGAGTTGATTAGTGACCCTTACTATGTAAGGATCATCAAACGTTTCTATTTTTTTGGAATAGACAATCCGAGATATGATAGAAGCCAACGCACTACGCCAGGATCACCATGGCTCCGCTGAAGCACATTTTGACATACCGCTTCACCGCCGTTATCGGGTTCTTCTGAGTACCGTCAAGCATCTCCAAACATGCGCGGCGCATTTCTTGCGTTTGGATGCCCCAGTAATACGTCTGCACCGCGCGGGAGCTGAAAGCTTGGGCAAATAATCGGCGATATTGTCGATGAAGTTCCATATCGTTTGTGATGCCCGGGAACTTATCCAGGCCCGCTCTAACAACCAGCATGTAAGAGCAAAAAAATACATGAAAATGACCACGCACATTTCGTGCCCCATTATGAAATGCGGTCGTTGCGCTGTGACGCCAGCCCGCTTTTCGAGGATATCTTGCCACGCTTTTCTCGTGTTGATGGTGATGATGACTTTGTCCAAGACGGACAGGCTGATCACGGGTCCGTACTGTTCAGACCATTTGAAGTACGCTATATGTCGATCCCTGATAGGCACGTCTAGCAGATTGCCGATCAGGGGCAGGCGTCGTGGGCCTGGAGGAAGGGATGGGATGGGTCGGAAGAGCCGGTACACCTTGAGAGATAGCCATAGGAATCCTGCAACCCCAAATGCATAGATCCACGGTAGACGCACAGAGGTGGTCGTGAAGATCCCTAACATGGTGGCCTGGTGCAGCACAAGACAGAAAAGAGAGAAAGCGCGATCACGAGCACTGACAGACTAGAGCTCATTGCGATTCAATTGCGGTGAGGCGGTGCAAGAATGAATAAGAGATTAGCTCATGTAAATGCCACTGAATGCAGGTCACAACTCTCCTCTGCTTATTCCAGACATCCTCGAACAAAAGTCATTATCAGAGCAGTAGATGGACGTCAACAGCCGCCAACGATCAGAGCGTTTGATGTTCAAAATGAATTGAAAACGCACGTGCCCATCACCTCTCTTATTCGGCGAAGATCGGCAACTCATCGGCCGTCCAATAGCCAACGGCGGTCCCTGAGAACGTCGACCTCCGCCAACCGAGTCAGTCCTTTCCGCTCTCTCCGCTTCTCTCTCTTCCTCTCCTCGGACAGCCTCGCCTTACGTCGAAAAACGTACAAAATATACACTTCAGGCAAATAAATATCTCTAGCTTGGCAACTCTTGTGTCTATCTTTTATCTGGGCTTCGAAATACTCGCATTGTTGTGCTTCTCTGTAATCTCTTGTAAACCATGTCGACTTTCGGGACTCTGTTCAAGGTAACCACCTACGGCGAGAGCCATGGACTCAGTGTTGGATGTATCGTCGATGGATGCCCTCCTGTGAGTTCTTTGTGCACCAATCATCCTTGATCCATGCTGACCCGTGCTCAGGGCATGGAGCTCGCCGAAGCCGACGTTCAAGTCCAGCTGTCCCGTCGTCGTCCGGGCCAAACGGCACTCGCAACACCCCGTGACGAGAAGGACCTAGTGGCAATCCAGTCCGGTCTCGAACACGGCGTCACGCTCGGTACACCTATTTCCATGCTCGTGCGGAATCAGGATCAGCGCCCGCACGACTACTCCGAGACGGACTTGTACCCCCGTCCGAGCCATGCGGATTACACGTACTTGGCAAAGTATGGTGTTAAGGCGAGCTCGGGGGGTGGGAGAAGCAGTGCACGTGAAACAATTGGTGCGCATATATTGTCTATGTGTGATGTATGCTCATGGTTCGATGTAGGCCGAGTGGCTGCAGGTGCGATTGCAGAGAAATATCTGCGACAGGCATACGGCATCGAGATCGTAGCGTTTGTCTCGTCCGTAGGCAAGATCACGATCCCCTCGACCCCGTCACCGACAGGTATCTCTTCTACAGCCCCTTCGGTTGAAGAGGATTCCGCGGAAGATGCGTTGTCCCCCGAGTTCCGTGAGATCCTCAAAACCGTCACTCGTGCACAGGTCGACGCCCACCCTACCCGCTGCCCGCACCCTGCCACAGCAGAGAAGATGACCGCACGTATCATGCGTTCTAAGGAAGCACTCGACAGCATCGGAGGCACAGTCACATGCGTGATCCGGAACGTCCCCTCGGGACTGGGCGAGCCCGTGTTCGACAAGTTCGAGGCGAAGCTCGCGCATGCGATGCTTTCCGTACCAGCCACAAAAGGGTTCGAGATTGGCTCTGGGTTCAAGGGCACCGAGGTCCCAGGAAGTAGGCATAACGATAAGTTCGTACAGGGTGAGGGTAGGTTGAGGACGGAGACGAACTGGAGCGGAGGGATCCAGGGCGGAATTACCAACGGGGAGGACGTCTACTTCCGGTACGTATCTCCTCACTGCTAATGTCAATCCACTGAATCTCGGCGACCAGCGTTGGCTTCAAGTCCCCCGCGACGATCTCCCAGGCCCAGTCTACAGCGCAGTACGACGGCACTGCTGGCCAGCTAGCTGCTCGCGGGAGGCACGACCCCTGCGTCGTTCCCCGCGCCGTACCTATCGTTGAAGCGATGGCAGCGTTGGTAGTCATGGACGCGCTCATGATCCAGAACGCGCGTAACGGCGCCGTCAGCCTGCTCCCGCCTGTTACCACACTGCCGAAGACGATGGTGCTGCCCAAGTAGGGACATGATGCTACTGAAATGGAATTGGGGATGGGTTTGTGGTGGCTTCAACGCCCCGGAGTTGAGCGGTGATTGTGCTTGGGTTTGTCGTTCTTCCGACGGCGTTTCACTGCTCTGCATAGATTCTCTGACCTGTAGCATCTCCGAATAGGTAAAAGACAATGATCATATCCTGAAATAGAAGGACGCGATGGGGGTGTCCTTGCATTGGTCGACGGGTGATGCACACAACATGGGCATAGAGGGGGTTGCTTGTGTTTACCACTGGCTGCCTTATATACGAGGTGCAATCACAACACTAATTACAATGCGGGTAAGTCCATTGACCCGCTATTCAAAGACCAGGCTAAGGGCATACCCATGGTCCGACAACCTCTGTGTGGAGGGACCATCAAACGTATACCCCATACAAAGTATGGCCGAAATGACGACCGAGGGACTTTAGATATTCCTATCACATTAGCATGACACATACAGCGGCATCTAGAAGAAGGGAGAACAGCTTATCCCATTACATTGCATACGGCTTGACAGGATGATGGGAACGTGGGCGGGTTATCGATGCCCGTCGAGTTATGAGCTACGGAACGGATGTTCGTCCGCCAGAGATATCGTTACCCCGTAGAATAAAGCTATCAGGGGAGGGCCGAGTGGACTGTACAAATGAATGCGGGGGAATGACTGGGGAACAAAGCGTTGCGCCGTATTGCCGCGCGGGGAATGTGCGGATGATTCCTTTTGCCAGAACAGTTCGTCTTGACACCTGACGAGCGCGAAGGTAAGAAGCGCTGTCCCACGTCTGCTTTACCGCCCATGGGACGATACATATACCCTGGGGATGATGGAGGGGCCATTATTGCCTTGCTGCTCTGCCCACACCGGGGACTTGAACAACGACAAGCAAGCTCAAGGATGACAATCATCGAGAAGGGTATCGACTTGCTCGCACTCGTCGGTCTTCAGCGCGCGATCAGGGACGTCGGCACGTTCCAGGTGGTGGGCGCACTCGTCCTGCTCGCTGCTGTAGGAGTGTTCGTCGACTGGCTATGGATGTACCAGTTGCATAAGAAGATGGTGCGTCACCCCTCCCCCCACAGAAGAAAAGTGCAACACTGACCTCCGCAGCCACCTGGCCCAATGCCCTGGCCGATCATCGGCAACACCTACCAACTCCCTGACGAGAAACCTTGGATATTGTTCGAAGAGCTGGCAAAGAAGTACAAGACTCAAGTGCTGACGTTCTGGATCGGCAGGAATCCGACTGTGTGGATATGCGACGCTTGGGCTGCGAGCGACCTGCTCGACAAGCGGGCGGGGATATACTCCTCTCGCCCGCATATGGTCGTATTCGGTGCTCTAGGGTAAATCTACTTCTATCTTTGACTTGGGGCGCTGTCTGACGCTTTACTCTCCAGAACTGGGCAAAACAACCTGGTGACGATGACCTATGGCGAACGCTGGCGCCTGCACAGGAAGCTCACGCACATGGGCGTCGGTCTCCAACAAGTGCGGAACTACAAGCCCTTCCAGGACGACGAGAGCCGGATCGTGGCGTACGACGTGCTTCGTAAGCCGGAGCAGTACGTGATGCATTTTGAGCGCTATGCTGCGAGTGTCGTCAGTATTATTGGCTATGGACGGAGGATTGCGAGCGATACGGATCCTATTATCACCGAGGTTATCGCGGTCATGCAGCGGGCGGCTGAGCTGAACGTTCCGGGGAAGACGTTCCCTGTGAGTATACGATTGACGGTGCTTGCTGCTTGGAAGCTGCTGATCCTCTTCAGATGCTCCTGGAGACGTTCCCAAGTACGCTTCCTGCCTGTAGACGAGTACCTAACCTAACCTGGCCTAACCCTTGTCAGTCCTCTCGTACTTCCCGCCCGAAATCGCCCCTTGGATGCACGGTCTCCGGCGGGGCGGCGGCCGAGCGTACGGGTTCTTCTACGCCCTAGCGGAAGAAGCAGCCACGGAGAGCAAGAACCACAACTACATGAAAGCCATCTTTGACGAGAACGACAAGAACCACCTGTCGAAGAAGGAGATCGCTTCCCTCTCCGGGAACCTCTTCGGCGCAGGGTCTGACACCTCTAGCTCCACACTGGTCACATTCGTCCTAGCGTGCTGTGCGTTCCCCGAGTGCCTCCCCAAGGCGTGGGAAGAACTCGACAGAGTGGTAGGCAACGCCCGCTCTCCAGACCTGGGGGACGCCCCCTCGCTCCCATACGTCAACGCCTTTGTGAAAGAAGTATTCCGCTGGCGGAGCGTAGCTATCATCGGTGGCCAACCGCATGCTCCGATCCAGGACGACTACTATAAGGGCTGGCTGATACCGAAGGATACGTGGGTACAAGGAAACACCTGGGCGATCCATCACCACTCGCGTGATTTCCCAGATCCGGACGTCTTCGACCCCGAGAGGTTTTTACAGGGGGGGAAGAGGAACAGGCCGTTCCCGAATGAGAAGGGGTATATGACGTTTGGCTGGGGGAGGAGGGTGTGTTCTGGCCAGGGATTGGCGGAACAGGGCACGTGGATCACGGTTGCGCGCTTGCTTTGGGGCTTCTGGATCCGGAAAGCGGTGGATGAGAAAGGGAGGGAAGTGCCGGTGGATATATTCGCTTATACGTGAGTCGAGTCGCTTCCCATATGCATCCTCTGCTTGTCTGCGACATCCCACTCACACGGTCTAGGAACGGGCTAAACATGCGCCCTCGCCCATTCGCCTGCCGCATCCAGCCCCGCACTGAAACGCACAGGCAGACAATTGAGCGGGAAGGCCTGCAGGCGCTGGAGGACTTGAGCGTCTATGAGGGAGAGACACGGTATAGGATGAGCACGTTTTATAGGGAGAATCCTAGTGTGGAGTAGTGGTGCTCTTCTGTGTCCGGGGGGGGGGGTGCGGGGGTTGGTATTTGTCAATTTGGATGGTAACTTTTCGACTTTGGGTATTAGCTAGGTGGTCACCCTCCGGCGCAGGCTAGAGCGAGTGATATCCCATAAGAAATAAGAAATAAGGACTAAGATACAGAGTAGAGTGGTTCCAGAGTGGTTCCTAGGGGATCGCGAGCACAAGAAAGGCACTACAGTATTCAGGCGCAAGATGAACTGAAATGAACTGAAATGAACTCAACTCAACTCAACTCAACTCAACTGAGCATGCACAGTGCGCGTACTCCTCACTCAGGAGGAACGCACTAGTGCTGGCCAGTAAATCGCTGTCCCACCCACATCACCTCACCAACCCTACCCCTCCCGTCCCACCCCTCTCCCCTTCTCACGCCTAATGCCTGACGCCTGACGCCTCCAACACCCTACGGGCTCTCGCCATACCTGTCCTCCAGCAGCTCAGCACACCAACATCCTCCTCACCCACCCTCCCCTCCCCCTGCCCCATCCCCTCGCCTCTCGCAGCACCCGCACCAGCAACACCCACAGCACCCACAACACCCACCCACCCAGCCTGCCAAGCTCAAGCACCAACCTGGACACTCTGCATACGCTTCAGCTTCTTCCCAGGCGCGCTCGTCTTCTGGACCTTGTTCTTCCCAGCCTCTTCTGGTTGGGAAGGGGCTAGGGCTCGGGCTGGCAGGGCTGGTAGGTCCGCGTGCTCCAGGGGCGGAAGTCGATCTCTGTCTTGCAGGTTTCGGGCGGGAGTTGGAGTGGGAGTGGGAGGGCCGGGGCCGGGGGTGGGGGTAGGACATGGACATGGTGGGTGAAGGAGCGTACGTCCCGTTCTTGTTTGTGGAAGGCGTGCGGTCACCTGCTAGTGGGAGGACTCTTCTTGCCAGTCTTGGCCCGCTCCCACTCCCACTTCCACTCCCGTTGCCGTTCCCATTCCCACTTCCGTTCCCGTAATACCGACTTGCAGAGTCGATTAACCTTTCCCTTTCCCCTCTCCCATTACCGTTCCCCCCGCCTATCAGCGCCCGCCTAAACCAACCCCCAGCTGCTTTCCCCTCCCCCTCCCTCGGTTCCGGCCTCAGAGGGACCGAGAACGAAGAGCTGACGGAAGTAGTGCCGCTTAGTCCGGGAGTGCGTAGTGTACCGCCTATATGTACTCGAGGGCGGAAATGGACTCGGGGGGCTGGAGGGGGTGGGGGAGAGGGGGGAGGGGAAGGGGATGGAGAGGGAGAGGGAGAAGGGGAGAAAGAGAGATGGAGTGCGTTTGTGTTGGGCAGGGAGGTGGAGGGTGTGGGGAGTGAGGAGGGGAAGGGAGTGAGGAAGGGAGTGGGGGTTGTGGATAGTGCTGAGGAGGGAGGGCGGGAGGGGAGTGGAGTGGGAGTGGGTAGGATGGGGATTGGGGGAGAGTGGGAGAGTGGGAGTGGGATGGGTATTGGTGTGTGGTCTGACATCTTGGGAGTATTAGTGAGAGAATGGGGAATGGACAGGGCTCACTTTGGGCAATATCGGATAGTCACTCCACTATCACTAGATAAACAATGCAAGTATATGCACTTAGCACTGAACACTAGAGGACAGTGTACTGAGCGCTCAATGGCGATGGGAGAGTGTGGAGGAGAAGGGTCCCTTGGCTTCTTATTCACTCAAGCTCATGGAAGCACAGTTCATTCCTTTCTAATGCTTGCACTAGTACTGTTTATCGATCCACCCGAATAGCCCAAACAACCAACAAAGTACTATCACGCGCCTTGTCCTTGGCATCTGCATCTTACATTCCAGCTGTTTGGGCATGGCAGACATTGCGACATTATAGGATGAGCTACCCCGCCTGATGGGTTACATTCCGAAAGACGCGTGCTTCTGTCCTTCGTAAATCATTGGGAATGCGAAGAAAACCGCCGTCTTTCCCTGCGGGGGAGTATAAAGGCTAGAGGATCTTGGAGCTGCTATTCGTTGCATGCTCTGTGATACCCATCCACTCAATATCGGATGGCCCTCCTCCTCCTCCTACTGCTCGCAATCCCCGCTCTCTGCGCTCCACAAACCCTAACACCGCAACACACTACCACTCCCCCACAACACTGGACCCCTCTCTCCCGCGCACCTCCCTCCCACCCCCTCCAGCTCCAGATCATACTCCATCAACCTAACATCTCCTTGCTTCATTCCCGTCTCCTAGCTGTCTCTGACCCGTTGCACGAGGAATACGGGCAGCATCTGACCAAGTCGGAGGTGGATGACCTTGCTGCTCCGGGGGAGGAGAGCGTACGTGCTGTAGAGGGTTGGCTGAGGGATGCCGGGCTCTCGCACCGTGCTCAGAGAACAAGAGGCGGGATCTCCCTCCTCCTCCCTGTATCGGAAGCCGACCCTCTCCTGGGCGCAGAGTACACTCTCTTCCAGCATCTTCATACCAGGGAAGGGATTGCTCGCACTTTATCCTACTCCCTCCCCCCGGCTTTACATGCCCACATACGCGCAATACAGCCTACGACGATCTTCGCCCGTCCTCTGGCTATGCATTCTCCCCCACGCGTCCGACCGCTTCAAGTGCTAGCCAACACCCTCCAAACCGGGGATAGCGATGTCACTCAGCCCACGTGCGAGCCGAACGTGACCCCTGCGTGCTTGGCCCAGATGTACGGCACGCGGGGATACACTCCTGCGGGGGATGAAAGGCTGGGGATCACTGGCTACCTTGGGCAGAACGCGAATCTGGAGGATCTGCAGAGGTTTTATCAAGCGTTTGCGACGGATGCTCAGGGGAGCAGTTTTACGACTGTGTTGGTTAACGGTGCGTCCCGCTGCTTTTTGCGTTGGGCTAGGCTGATGGGAGCAGGAGGGGAGAATAACCAGACCTTGTCCGCCGCTGGCACAGAAGCGAACCTCGACGTCCAGTACTCCGGTGCACTGACCTTCCCCCTGGAGAACATATTCTACAGCACAGCCGGCTCCCCTCCCTTCCTACCCGATCCCTCAGAACAGGAGAACACGAATGAGCCGTATGCCGCTTGGCTGGAGTATATGCTCGGCTTGGAAGACCAGGAGTTGCCTGGTGTTGTGAGTACCAGTTATGGGGATGATGAGCAGAGCGTGCCGGAGGGGTATGCACGGGCCGTGTGTGACCAGTTCGCCCAGCTCGGAGGTGCGCTTCGATTTCCCCGCAGTCTAGCGCTGGCTGCTAGCTGACGCTGACGCACGCACTCAGCGCGGGGCGTATCCCTCCTCTTCGCCTCTGGCGACGCAGGCGTCGGACCAGCGGAAAACGAGTGCTACTCCAACTCCGACGGGAGGAAGATGTTCGTCCCTGATTTCCCGGCTTCGTGCCCTTGGGTCACTAGTGTCGGGGCGACGACGGGTGATCCTGAGATAGCGGCTTCCTTTTCCGGAGGAGGATTTAGCAACTATTTCCCTCGCCAGGAATGGCAGGACTCGGCTGTTGAAGCCTATTTGAGCACGCTGAACGGTTCGTATGCAGGCATGTACAACTCTTCTGGGAGAGCGTACCCCGATGTTTCAGCCCAAGGACAGAATTATGTCGTCTACGTATCCGGCCAACCTGGGCTAGTGGACGGCACATCCTGCTCCACGCCAACATTCGCAAGTATCATACTCCTGCTCAATGACGCCCTTCAACAGCAAAGCAAGCCTCGCCTGGGGTGGCTGAACCCGTGGCTCTATGGAAGGGGGAAGGCGGGTGTGGGGGATGTGAGCGTTGGGAGGAACCCCGGGTGTGGGACGGCGGGGTTTGGGGCGGGGAGGGGGTGGGATCCTGTGACGGGGTTGGGGACGCCGAGGTGAGTCGACAGGGAAGGGGGGGGGACTTCTCCTTTTTGGTTTCTCTTCCCCTTGCGCTGGGGGATGGGATGGGTTAAGATGCAGGTGCTGATTTGATTTGGCACAGGTTTGGACTGTTAAGGGAGGTTTTGGGGGTTTAGGGCTGTTCGTGGATGCCCATGCAATGCTCATGCGTATGGGTATGCAGGAAGCTGATTTGGGATTGGGAAGTCGAGCGTTGCTACGGTTGGGTTTACGCATATGGGGGAGGGGGAGGAGCTGAGCTGACGAGACTCAGGCTGGGCCGTGGACAGTTGCACGCTTGACCGGGGCGGACTGGCACTGGAGCGGGAGGGCAGATCAAGTAGGCAGTACGCACAGGGGAGCAAAGAATCGTCGGACATTTTCGAATAGGACAATTGCAGACAAGTTCGTGTTTTTTGAGTACACGAGTTCTCACATATTACCGTCATTGCTGGAGGGGAAGGGCACGACAAATTTTTCTTGCCGGATAAATTTTGTCTTGTTTTGCCCTCGGACAACAGTTGTGATGAGGGAAATGCACTCGTGCGTAGTCCACGGTCAACGACGATATGGATATGGTGCCAGCGGGTAATATGCTGCTATGTTCCTATTAGCTGGTTGGACACGATCGGGCTTGGTCTGGTACATTCGGGAGTGGATCGGGGACCGCAGGGTTGCAGAGCGGGTTGATTGTCGGTCCCTTTTTCAGAGGAACAGGTGGGTGGAGGGGGGAGGGGGTACTGTTACTGGTATTGGGGGATGGAGCAGGAGTAGGGAATTTAGAATGATGTGCGATGTGCAATGAACAATGTACAGTGTACAATGAACAATACACAGTACACAATATTGTGTACTGTGTATTGTTCATTGTGCAGACTGAGATCACAAAATGGACAACGGACAATGGGAATGTGATATCTGAAGAGAGCGGATTAGGCTGGATATCAGCGTGTCCAACGGCGACGCTGATACTGACGCTGATGTTGTCGGAATAACCGTTTGCATATTTTGATGTCTATGCTGTCCATTCCCATTCTGCTGATAATTCATCGCATAAGCGTAGATACGCGTACACGTACGGCGTTGGTTATCCTTTGCCCGTGTTGGCGTTGGTTGGTTGTGGAGGGACGAGGAACGGAGGTTAAATGGCGTTACTGTTCTCTCAGCAAACAGCCCCGCACACCCGCCCACTCCGGCCCTTTTCTCTCACTCACAGACGGCCATCTGCTTGTCTGTCCACAACCACCACCATCCTCATCACCGCCATCCACCCTCTACCCTTCTAACACACATACAAAGTTAGCATCATCCTCTCTATCTACCCGTTCTCTCCAAAATTGCTTCCAAAAGGCTGACTTCTTTGTTCCATCATCTGAAGATGTCTCAACCTGTGTACGTACTATATGCGCATATACCCTGCTTGCCGTCTTACACAATCTCAGTGCTGATATCGGCCTCATCGGTCTGGCCGTCATGGTACGTTACATACTCAGGGGAGTCACTCAGAAGCTGACAGCACACGCATGCAGGGCCAGAACCTCATCCTTAACATGAACGACAAGGGCTTCGTCGTCTGCGCGTTCAACCGTACCGTCTCCAAGGTCGACCATTTCCTGGAGAACGAGGCCAAGGGTGCGTTCCCCATTCATTGCAGCCCCCTCACCACCTCACTCACGCATCGCCATAGGCACCAAGATCGTCGGCGCTCACTCCGTCGCCGAGCTCTGCGCCAAGCTCAAGCGCCCCCGCAAGATCGTCCTCCTCGTCCAGGCCGGCAAGGCCGTCGATTCGTTCATCGAGCAGCTCCTGCCCCACCTCGAGAAGGGCGACATCATCATCGACGGTGGCAACTCCCACTACCCCGACTCCATCCGCCGTACCAAGGAGCTTGAGGCCAAGGGATTCCTCTTCGTTGGCTCTGGTGTGTCCGGTGGTGAGGAGGGTGCTCGTTATGGCCCCTCGCTCATGCCTGGTGGCTCCCCCGCCGCTTGGCCCGCGATTAAGGAGATCTTCCAGGCTACCGCTGCCCAAGTGAACGGCGAGCCCTGCTGCGACTGGGTCGGCGAGACCGGTGCCGGTCACTACGTCAAGATGGTCCACAACGGTATCGAGTACGGGGACATGCAGCTCATTGCCGAGGCATATGACATCCTCAAGCGCGGCCTGGGCATTGACGAGGAGGAGATTGCCACCATCTTCGACAAGTGGAACAAGGGCGTCCTCGACTCCTTCCTCATTGAGATCACTACCAACATCCTCCGCTACAAGGACACCGATGGCGTGCCCATGATCCGCAAGATCCTCGACGCTGCTGGCCAGAAGGGTACCGGCAAGTGGACCGCCATCGAGGCACTGGATGCTGGCAGCCCTGGTAAGCCCTTATCTTCCACGGCGTAATCACGGCAAAACTCACGCTTATCGCATAGTCACCCTGATCGGCGAGGCTGTCTTTGCCCGTTGCCTGTCTGCGCTCAAGTCCGAGCGTGTCCGTGCCGCCAAGTCCATCTCTGGGCCCCAGCGCGAGACCTTCAAGGGCGACAAGCAGCAGTTCATTGATGATCTCGAGCAGGCTCTCTACGCGTCCAAGATCATCTCCTACACCCAGGGCTTCATGCTTATGCGTGAGACCGCCAAGGTGGTACGTACATCTCACTCACAAGCGATGATCCCTTCTCACGTCCATGCAGCAAGGGTGGAACCTGAACTACGCCGGCATTGCCCGCATGTGGCGTGGTGGCTGCATCATCAAGTCCGTCTTCCTCGGCGACATCACCAAGGCCTTCGAGAAGACCTCCGACCTCGAGTCCCTCCTCTTCGACAAGTTCTTCAACGATGCCATCCACAAGGCCCAGCCCGGCTGGAGGCGCATCGTCGCCCAGGCTGTTCTCTGGGGCATCCCCACACCGGCGTTCAGCACCGCCCTCGCCTTCCTCGACGGCTACCGCTCCGAGATCGTCCCGGCCAACATGATCCAGGCGCAACGTGACTACTTCGGTGCCCACACCTTCCGCGTCCTCCCCGGGTTCGAGAGCGACCGCCTGAAGACTGGCGAGGACATCCACGTTAACTGGACCGGCCGTGGTGGTAACGTCTCTGCCTCGACGTACAACGCCTAAGCCTCTCCGGGCTCCGGGTTGTCCCTCCCTCTTTCCCCTCCCGGTGCAAGGGAAAGGGGAAGCACTCTATCTGTCTGCTACTGTGGGAAAAGAATGTGTGTTTGTGTTTGTTTGTTTGTTGTGATGTTGTGCGTGTAGGGCAAAAATGAAACTTGTAGACTGGCGCTGGGCGTGGTTCTTGCACTAGTGGGAACGCGTAATCGCTGATTATGTTATGAACGGAACAAATGAAATATACGTTGCATCATTGATTGGATTGATTGGGTTGCGATGCCTAAGGGTCAAAGGGTCGACAGGTAGATGATAATGACGATGACGTTGTTCATTTATACAAGCTTTTCTGGTCTATTTTGGAGTGAAGAAAGAGCCTGGTGGGCAGCATATACTCCAACTCGCTGTCGAGTCATTGTCATCCAACATCCATCCGCCTCCGCACGCACCTCTGCTCTCTTTTTCTTCCTAGGCCTCTCAGAGGACATCTACCCGTCCTCCTCTGGCTGATGTGCGGGATCGTCTTCTCCCTTAGGTGGTGTCCTACGCTTTCGGAGGGGGGGAAGGGTTTTGGGACTGAAGGCGAGGAAGACAGGCAAGGGCGCGGAGAAGCAGACGGGGAAGAGGAGGAAGAGTGGGCAAGGCTCTGCGCACTGAACGCTCACCGAGGTACAGCATACTCTTTCCCCCCTCGCCCCTCCCTCCTTCGCCCGCTTCCCTCTGACCATAACCCCGATCCAGGCCCAGACCACCAAGCGGAACACACTGTCAACCTCGCTCTTCCCGGGTGCAGCGTAAAACTCAGGTTCTTCAGTTCGGTCCTTCATCTCCGGGGTGAACTGACCCCCCAGCCCCTCAGGCTGGTGGCGGGGGGTGATGTCCTCTGCTGGAACGGGGAGGTGCGCTAACCGGCTTCGGCTTCAGGGAAGGAAGCTCACGCGTGTAGGTGTTCGAAGGTCTTCCCGTGGGGGACGTATGTCCCTCCTCCCCTAGTCGTGGCTGGGGGAATGCTGATCATGAGCAATGTAGGAAAACGACACGGCTGTCCTTTTTCGGGCGCTGCAGGCTGGGGATGTACACTCCGTTCTGGGCCAGGTAGAAGGACCATATGCGTTCGTGTACCTTGATGTACCTCCTTTCCTTACCGCTGGAGCGCAGCTGACATGCGGTAGAGAGGAAGGAAGAAACTGTACTTTGCCCGGGATCCACTTGGCCGCCGATCGCTGCTGCTGCACCAAACGGGGGAAAGCCTGCTGCTCGCTTCCTCCGGGCTTGGGAAGTCTCTCACACCAAAGGAAGTCGACCCTCTCCATATTCAGGTTATCGACCTCTCCTCGTTAGGACGTGGGCTGACCGTGCAAGTACTGGAGCGGGAAGGGAGGGAAGAATGGAGGAAGCCGATGGAGGTCAACCGTTCCCTCCCTGGGGATGGGGATGGGGTGGGGGACGAAGAGCTCCAGGAGAGTGTACGAGGGTTCTTGGATGCCCTGGAGAGGAGCGTGCGCTTGAGGGTGGAGCATATCCCTCGTATTAACAGGTGCGTTTCCCCCGACTTGGTGCTGTATAATGCGCTTAAATGAGTAGACAGGAAGAAGGACAGAGTAGGGTAGCGGTGCTCTTCTCTGGAGGAGTGGACTGTACGCTACTGGCCGCGCTGGTACATAGGTGATTTTAGTTCCTTAGGTACACGGGGAAAGACTGATGGCTTGTGGTTGTAGATGTCTACCGATCGAGGAGAGTATCGATCTCTTAAATGTAGCGTTCGAGAACCCACGCAAGCTTCTAGCAGAACAAGCCGGGAAGAAGAAGTACAAAAGCGCCGGCGTTACCACACCAGGAGAAGCAGACCGCCCACTACCAGGAGGAGAAGAGACAGACAAGTACACCGTCCCCGACCGGCTGACGGGCCTGGATGCTTGGTCCGAGCTGCGATCTATCTGCCCCGGGCGGACCTGGAATCTCGTAGCCATCGACGTGCCTTGCTCGGATTGTATCGCCAACGAGCCACTTGTGAGGGAGCTGATGTACCCTTCCGAAACGGTCATGGACCTCTCTTTGGGGAATGCGCTATTCTGGGCTGCGAGGGGAAGGGGGAAGTTGGTCGTCCCTGCCGACGCGGGGATGGAAGGAGACGCGAAGGGGCGGGGAGGGGAAGAGTACGAGAGTCCCGCACGCGTGCTGCTTAGCGGTCTGGGGGCGGACGAGCAGCTCGCCGGGTATGCACGACACCGGCGTGCGTTCGAGCGCCTAGGCTGGGCCGGGCTGGTCGAGGAGCTGCAGACGGACATCTCCCGCCTGCCTACTCGGAACTTGGGCCGGGACGATCGGGTGATATCCTACCTTGGAAAAGAGGTACGCTACCCGTACTTATCCCTCGATTTTGTGGCTTTCCTTTCGCGACTCCCTGTGGAATGGAAAGTCCGCCTGGATGGGGAAGGGGGGGATAAGTGGGTATTGCGAGAGGCGGCGGAGAGGTTGGGACTGAAGAGAGCGGCGGGGAGGAAGAAGCGGGCGATGCAGTTCGGGAGTAGGAGTGCAAGGATGGACCAGAATGCGAAGAAAGGGTATATAAAGCTAGATGATCTTTAGATGTGTAGTATTCCACAAGTACATCGGTCATCGTCCTAATATTTCGGTGTGGGAGATGTAGCAAACCGACCCCCGTACGCCTATCGCGACAAACAGGAGCACAAGCAGAGTCCTGCCCGCTAGTCCTTCTGGGCACCCACGAGCACCTGCCTCCCCGTGGATGATAAATGAGGGACAAGCGACTCTAAAGCAGGTGCCTTGACATTGAAGAAAAGAAAAAGGGATCGCGAGGGTGAGAATCCGTTTCTGTAGGAAAATTTGTGTCCGTGTGGGCACGTGGTGGTGATGTTGATGACCCCTGGCGGAAGGCCACAAAGCGGGCGTTGTCAAAGGTTGAGAGGCGTTTCCCCTGTTAATTCTATAAAGGGGAAGGGACTGTTATATTGATAGGTCACACATCTAGGGGAGAAAGGAAAGTGGTCGATGGATGAGCGGGTAGAATACAAATTATCACGTGACATATGACGAAACTCGGCGCGGGTCTCACCAAGAGGGATGTGTGGAATGAGCAGCGAGTACTGTGAGCATTCCCACCCAACGAACAAAAGGTCTGCAGCATGGGTCTGTTAGACGAACTACTCCAAAGCCCAATCCAGCTAGGGATATTATACCTTACCCTCGCTCTCGTCGCCCTCATCCTCATCCTCAACCCCGTCCGTCTCCTCCGCCGCTTCTCAAAGCCCATCAGGCATCATAGCGTCGCCATCGTCGTGCTTGGAGATGTAGGCCGCAGTCCGAGGATGATGTACCACGCAGAGAGCTTTGCAGCTATGGGATGGGAGACGTATATCGTAGGGTACAAAGGTGCGTTCATACCAGCACACGACATCCACGACTAACGCGCATATAGGCAGCAAACTCATCCCCTCCCTCCTGCAAGTACCTCACGTACGCGAACTCTACCTCCCCCAGCCTCCGGCATTCATCGCCAACCTCCCACGTCTGCTCTTCCTCCTCTGGGCACCGTACAAGATCCTCTTCCAAGCGCTCACGGTCCTCTCCACTCTCCTAGGCGAACTGCCCTATGCACCAGAGTTCATACTCGTACAGGTATGTCAGTCCCCCAACATACGCGCCCGCTTCTGAGTTATACAGAACCCACCGAGCATACCTACGCTGGCGCTTGTCCAGCTCTGCGCGCGTCTAACAGGGTCGAAACTCGTAATAGACTGGCACAACCTCGGGTACAGCATCCTCGCCCTCCGTCTGGGAGCTAGTAACCCCGTTGTTGGCTTGGCGAAGATGTACGTCCCCCCGCTGGTGTAACGTGCGATACCTGATGAGTGCAGGTTCGAGAAGACGTTTGGGAGGAAGGCGTATGCGCATCTGTTTGTTACGCATGCGATGAAGGGAGTGCTTGTTAGGGATTGGAAGCTCCTGTATGTGCTTGGCTTGCATGCATGGAGTTGAGTGCTGACCTTCTGCAGGGGGATCAAAGCGGTGCTACATGACCGTCCCCCGTCGCACTTTCACGCGTGCGAGCCAACAGAGATCCACGACGTACGCTTGCCTTCCTTTCCTACCAACGAGCTGCTCACCGTTCCCAGCTCTTCAGTCGCCTAGACCTCCGACCAGCAGGGGAGGACTTCCTTCCCCCCTCCTCACCCCCCCTCTCTACCCCTTTCACCCGCCTACGAGACCTCCCGCCCTCCTCCCTCTCCCCGGCTTTCGCGGCTACCCTCCCGGACAGGAGGGAGGACCGCCCTGCGCTCGTGGTGAGCAGTACGAGCTGGACGGCAGACGAAGATTTCGCAGTGTTGTTGAACGCTATGGCGTTCTACGAAAAGCGGGCTCGGGCCGTCAACTCCCCGCCCAAAGAGAACCCGCAAAAGGGGGACAAGCACGACAGACTCCCGAAAATGCTCGTCATCGTCACGGGCAAAGGCCCGCTCAGGGAAAAGTTCACGCAGGATATTGATGAGTGCCAAAAATTGTGGCAGTGGGTCCGGTGCGTGCCAATGTGGTTGGAAGCAGCGGATTACCCCTTGTTGCTCGGTATGTCTCTCCCTGCTGCCCGTGCTCCCTCTCCCCCCGCTAAAAGGTACTCTTCCAGGCTCAGCAGATCTTGGTGTCTCCCTACATCTCTCTTCCTCCAAGCTCGACCTACCCATGAAGATCGTAGACATGTTCGGCTGTGGCCTGCCCGTGTGCGCGCTGGGGTTCGACTGTCTTTCCGAGCTGGTAGGGGAGGGGAACGGGAGGGTGTTCAAGGATGCTGGCGGGCTCGCTGCGGAGTGCGAGGTTCGTTACCTGTCTGACTGGTTTGGGAGTGACTCGTAAGCTGATCGATCACTCGACAGACGGTACTCAAAGGCTTCCCTCACGCGCCGGAACTGGAAAAGCTCAAGCAAGGTCTTGTACTCCAGAAGAGCCCAACAGCAGGAGAAAAATGGAACACGTGGGCCGAAGAATGGGACAGGGTCGTGAAGCCTATTGTTACTCATCGACCTGGGGTGGAGTAGTGACTCGGGACAGGGGAGGGGAGCAGGAGCGGGGGGTGTAATGATATTGGTATTTATTAATATGAGGTTGGTGTGCTGCTTGGATTGGGTCACTGGCCTTGAGCGCTCGGTTGTACCGTAGCTCTAAGCCAGCATCGGCAGATGGGACGAGAAGGTAGAGGCCGACCTTTCGTCGTCCAGCGAGTTGAGCAGAGACAATCGTTGCGAGCGCAAAAATCGTCAACATAGAATGTAACAGTATAGTCATTGATCAGTTCGTTTGTTCGTACAGCCGTCAGAGGAGTGAAGAGGATCACAGAGTCATCGTCTCGATCCTCCCCTTGCCTTTGAGATCGTTTGCCAATAGCTCGTTAAGCACCTTGAACTGCCCCGGATCGATGATCAATATCTTCGTTCCTGTAAGCGTACACCCCCTGCAGCAAGCAAAGCGACTCACGACCTCCCATTCGTCTCCCCAGTCCTCATCTTCTACCGACTCTGCAGCCTCGACAATCTTCTCCTTAAGCCTCTTCTCATCCTTAGCCGGCATCGTCACCCTGACCCTCATCCGCACTCTCTGTACCGGAAGACTGCTCTTCTCCTGCAGCTGCCTAATACACTCCAGCACCTGGCTCTTCGCCCCTTTCCCCTGCTTGACGCTAAACCCAGCCTCTGTCATCCCCTTCTCTATCATCCCGACAGGGTAAGGCCGCTGAGTGCTGGGATCAACGACCTTCTCCGCAACTTTGGTAGCGATGTCCTTCCACAAATTGCCTAGCTCATGTGCACGCTCCTTATCCCCGACCTGGAGCTCGCCCTTTTTGAGGATCTCGTTGACGATCTTGTCTAGCTCTGTTGTACCGAAGGCTTTCTCTAGGTCGTCGGACTTTGCTGCTTGACCTTTGGATACGTTGATGAAGACGTTACTGATCTGCAGGACGTCGTCTAGATTCGTCTCGCTGTGTTCTCATTAGCCCCTCGCTTAGACAAGGCGACAAAGGCACGCACACACCGGACCTCCATTCCTGAACTTTGTTCTTATAACATGCGATCTACCAATATGTTCATTAGCGGTGCTAGGGAGATGCTGCACTCGTACTCACTTCGAACCGCTTGCCACCTTTTTTGAGCCGAACGACGGAGACGTTTGTAAGCCTGAGAGAGAATTAGGTTAGATGATGCTCGACAAATACAGGGTATACTTGATTTGGTTTGATGGTTGCTGAATAGGCATCGTGATACGAGTATTGCAATGATTGAAATCTAGGTATCTAGTTCAAATTGAAGTGCGAGTCTTTCGCTTCAAGTTGCCGTCACCTATTCATTTCTTCATCAGCAGTTCTCGCCACCCTCATCCAGCCTGACTTGACATGACTCGCTAGCGCCCAACGCCAAGCAGCCATCGCCGAATTCCCATTGTTGTTTACAATACAAAGAAATTCCCTTCCCATACATCCACTCATCAGCTAGACATTTCCGCGATTCCCGACCTGTTGAGCTAGCGGACTTGAGATTAACCCTGATGAATCGTCCCACGCAAGTGTGCCATCCTAGCACTGGCATTCCAACTCTCAGATTGATGCTCAAGGACAATATATTTCGCTGTCAACTGACACCATATTTGATGGTGAGGTGCTGATACTACTGACCGTCCCCCCCATTAGTGCGGAGCCGAACAAGGGCCGACAACTGAAGTGGATTGTCACGGTGGAACCGTTGCTGTCGACGCTAGATACTACAACGTCCACTGCTCCTCTGCTGTCGCGGCTGCTGCTATGCAGTCCAGGTGGTAGTCTTCAATCAGTGCTTTGATCAATAGCTACTCGCTTTGTTTCCAACGCGACTAATGACTTCGTGATTCTGGGGCGCTTCTTCCCTGATCAAGGGTGTAGCTTCTCCTGATTCTGGCGCCTAAATCTTTCCTCTCAAACGCCACGAAAGAAGAGGCAGGGACACAAGGGCCATCTTGCACCTGAACTTACTCTGCGGGCGATTCCGACGACTATAACCGGGGTATGCACTTTCTCTTCATCTTCTGGAAACCCTGGATATCAAGCTCCGTCGCTAGGTGCCCACCATCAGCAGGCTGAACCTAACGCACTATCGCCGTCTTCATGCTCCATGCTATACCCTTACGGCCCCACTCGGCCTGAGAAAGCGGAGTTGCATTTGACCCTCACACGTCCACCCAAATGTCACCGTGTGGCGCCAGCAAGAACCCGATGACAACGAGCACAAGAAGCAATTAGGGGCTATCAGGTATCGGTATGTATAAAAGGCCTACATATCCAAGGTCAGTCCGGTCTCCGATTCGCGGCAGCGCACAGCAGACATGCTGTCCTGGATGCCGACGCCGGACGACCCAGCCGTCGCACTCCCCCTCACCATCCTCGCCGTCTTCGTCGCGCTCCTCCTACGGTATGCGCCTGCTAGTCGCGCCCTCCCTCCCGGACCGAACCCCGTCCCCGTTCTGGGCAATCTCCGACTGCCAAAGGACAGGCTGAACGCGTTCCGACGTTGGGCTCAGGAATACCCGGACGTGATGAACATCCGTATTTGGGGCAGGAATATGGTCGTGATGAACTCCCAACGGGCGGCGTTAGAGATCATGGAGAAGCGCGCAGCATCATCCAGCGCTAGACCGAGAACAGTCATGGCTCATGAGCTGTTCGTCCTATCAGTGTCTACCAGCGCTCTAGATTGATCATTAAACACCATACAGCGTCGGTTTTGCAAACGTTCCAAGCCAGACGAACGATCCCGTGCTCCATAAGAAGTATCGCAGAATGTATGCTACGGCTATCTCGACGCGTACGGCTGAACGATACTGGGGTGTGCAAGTTCGCGCATTGCGTAGGGCAACACTGGACATGCTAGCAGATGCCGGTCGCTGGACGCCAGCGCTGAAACGGTGCGTTTTGGTCTTCCTTCTATCCGTCGCCCTGATAGAGCTGATATGACCTCCGGACAGAGCTGTGGCTTCTATAAGCTTTATGGTCGCATATGGCTATGATGTGGATAGCGAGAAGAGCGATTTGGTGACTGGAGTCAACGAAATATTGCGGATCTTTGAGCGCGTCATTCAGCCTGGAGTGTGGATAGTGGACATCATCCCTGCTCGTGCGTCCATTCCCACACTTCCTGCTTCACCTGCTCATCGTATCACAGTCAAGTATCTTCCGCCATGGTTCCCAGGAGCCGGCTTCAAGCGTATGGCGAAGCAGTGGAGGACTCAAATAGAAGAAGTGCGCCAAATCCCCATGCAGCGGGTCAAGCAGGAACTTGCAGCAGGCACCGCAAAACCCTCGTTCAGTCTGACCCTGCTCGAAGAACTCGCCCTCGACCCGCATGCGAACGTGTATGACGAGGATTTCATTCGAGACACGGCGGCTTCCATATACTCAGCTGGGTCGGATACGTCCGTAGCAGCTATACAGACCTTCCTCGCCGCCATGGTTCTGTACCCTGACGTGCAGAGGAAATCACAGGCGGAACTGGACGCCGTGGTTGGCCGCGACCGATTACCGACAATCAATGACCGCGAGCATCTTCCTTATTGCGCAGCCATCGTGCAAGAGATCCTGCGATGGCATCCTGTGACGCCTTTAGCGCTGCCGCACGTGCTGGAACAAGACGAACTGTTTGAAGGGTACTTAATGCCCAAAGGCGCAGTGCTGCTGGGGAACGTGTGGGCGATGTCAAGAGACGAGCGTGTATACCCATTGGCGGATGACTTCGTGCCAGAACGCCACTTAACTCGAGAAGGCGCAGCTCTCCGCACACCAGACACGGGCCGGTACGCATCGTTGACGTTCGGATTTGGACGAAGGTGCGTCTCACACCCCACCGCCTTCGGGAACTGCCGCCTGACCACATTTTGTTGCTAGGGTCTGCCCTGGTTATGCACTGGCTGAAGCCTCGGTGTTCGCTGCCGTCATATCCTTCCTATGGACTTGCAGCCTATCAAGAACCCCAGGAACAGAGGAGGTACCAATCGAGTTTGAGGTTATCGGCGTGCAGTACGTCCGTTCATTGGTCTCGTTATTCTGCAAGCGCTAACAGGTAGTCCTGGAACAGTCGACCGAAAGATTTCCGCCTCGATGTGAAAGAGAGGTTTCCGGGGGCAGCGGATCTCGTACGCACTGGTATCGATATCAATGAATGAATAATATTGGAAGACGATGAACGATGAGGGCGGGGCACGTGCGGACAAATGGCCGATTGTTTCATACACTTCTGATCAGATCTCCAGAAGTTAACTGGGCGGAACACGCGGTGGCTTCCATTCTACTGGAGCAGCCGATAGAACTAGTTGTGCATATGTGTGCTGTCACCGCTCTCCGTGGAAAACATGCAGACGCCGTGGTGTGCACGATTTTCTTACTGATTGCAATGCTGCTCGGCTCCCTAGAATAGGGTTGTTTGTGCTGCCTCATAAGACCACATTGATGATGCGCCACCCAACAGAACAATGATGATCCCCCTGGCATACAGGGTCCTTCCGCTCTACAACAACCACCGTGAACCTATCTCTGATGCACATTCCTTGACGTGTTTCCTCAATGCTCTTCATCAGAATTCTGTGGTGCGAAGTGCATTCCTCGCTCCTTCGGGGAGTATCGACGCAAGACGCTTGGCAGTAAAGGATATCCGGTTTGCCACTTGGGACCGATATCGCCGGCACCGCATGTCTCCAACAGAAGGATCCACCGGCGTTCTCTGATGCTTCCCGTCGTGCACTGCTGCTATCAAACATGCTGGCTGCTGCATTTACTGTCTGGACGTAGGTCTTTCAAGCGCCGCGCCTAGCCCTTCTGCGAATGAAGCATCCGCGGTCCGTGGCGGTGATCGGAGTGCTGGGTTGTTCCCCATTTCCTGTATGAGCCAACCTCGAATCCTTGCGAACGAATCAATCGCTTTTGGTCAAAATGCGGAAACACGATCTTCACTGGATTTGTCTCTTTCACACAGGTCGTCGTACTGGTCCGCCCTCGAGAAGGCGGCGGTAACCAATATTGTCCACGAGCTTATCGCTGGCTTGTGACAACATTCCTCCGGTCTGAGACAATCAAGCCGCGGGATTGTGACGCGACCCTGGACAGGGGACAAGTATAGACAACCTGTGCAGGTTACGTTTCTCCTGCTTCGTTGTACTGATTGCCGCCATCATCGTGTCGCCGATCATTGAGACGCTCGCTGCTACCCCTGGGAGACTTGAGAATATAAACCAACACTTCCCCTTCACGCATCACGATGAATGCTCTCGCTGGCGACGCAGGATGTCGGTTTCTACATCTACAGTGTTCGGCATGGTCGCCTTGACTGTTGTCCTGGCCCTCTACGTTTGGCTTCAACGCTCTGCCCGCCGATTCCCACCTGGTCCGAATCCCATACCCATTCTAGGTCGTTTACATGCACCGATTAACCAGCTTGCGGAATTGAAGCAATGGGCAGACCAGTATCCGGAAATCATGACCGTCACGGTATGGAGCCGAAAGATCATAGTTCTCAACACGCACGCCGCCGTGGCAGAGATCCTGGAGAAACGTTCTGCCACAACGAGCGGTCGGCCCAAACTGGTCATGGCTCATGAACTGTACGTCTGACTTGTCACCACACCTCACATCTGTCAGTAACACTTGCTCATGCAGCGTTGGACATGGGGATTCGCCCAGTCAGACTAGCGATGCCTCTCTGCATAAGAAATATCGTCGTTTATTTGCAAGCGGGTTCGCTCCTCGCACAGTTCTAAGCTACGCTCCTTTTCAAGTGCGACAAATGCGCAAGGCAGCACTGGCTATGCTCGCATCACCGCAAGGTTCTGTCGCTGCACTAAGCAAGTGAGTTCAGACCCTGTTGACCTCCATCTGGTGGAACTTGCAGCTGACATCAGACCACAGGGCGGTTAGCTCTGTGAGCCTCATGGTTACCTACGGGTATGATCTCGAGAAAGAGGACGATGCTTTTGTCAATAGAGTCAAGGGTTTCCTGCCTATCCTGGAGCGTTTGCTTACTCCAGGTGCCTTCGTGGTGGATTTGGTTCCTTTCTGTGGGTGTGGCACTTGTCCGTTAGACCTCCCATTGACAGGCCGATCGAATAGTGAAGCATCTTCCCGCTTGGCTGCCTGGAATGAGCTTCAAGCACCTCGCTGCAGAATGGCGACAAATCTTGAAGGACATTCGAGAAATACCGTTTGCCCGAGTGAAGCGTGACATTGGGATGGGGAAAGCTAAACCATCGTTCTGTGCTTCGTTGATCGAGGAGCAGGTGCTTCTGCCAGAGCAGGCAAGGTACGACGAAGACCTGCTCATAAAGACGGCCGGCGGCATCTACGCCGCTTCCGCAGACACTGTAAATACCTTTGTTAAGCACGATGCTACAAGCACTAATCCATCTCACAGACGTCCAGTGCACTCAGGACCTTGCTTGCAGCCCTCGTTCTTTTTCCTTCTGTTCAGCAAAAGGCGCAATCAGAATTGGATCGGATTGTCGGGCGTGAGCGACTACCCACACTGGAAGACCGAGACCAGCTTCATTATTGCAAGGCTGTTGTGCATGAAGTGTTGCGGTGGCACCCTGTGACTCCTTTTGCCACACCTCACGTAATGGAGAAAGACGAAGAGTTCCGAGGATATGTCCTTCCCAAGGGTACAACAGTCGTACCCAATGTGTGGGCTATGACACGAGAGGAACACATCTATCCTTCCCCGGACGTATTTCTACCAGAGCGATTCCTAACAGCTGACGGCAAGCAATTCTGCATCCCCGATATGGCTCGAAATATTCCACTGACATTTGGCTTTGGGAGGAGGTAAGCTGATCGATAATCAGTGGGATATGGTTATTGACCACGCTTCCTGATAGAATATGTCCGGGATCGCATCTTGCCGAAGGAACGATATTTGCTGCGGTTATCTCGGTTTTGTGGTCTTGCACAATATCTAGACCGCCAGGTACGGAAAACATGGAGATCGAATTTCTAACGCCGGGCGTTCAGTACGTGTCTCGCCTGGCTAATCTGACTTTATCAATGACGATCGTCCAGTCATCCAAAACCGTTCCCGCCCAATGTGACGCCAAGATTTTCCGGTGCCGTAGAATTGCTTCAGAATGCCATGAGTGATTGAAATCGAATTCTTCTTCATACGGGCGTCTCCTGAAAGACAAAACCCTCAACTTGTGTACCAACAGTAACCAAACTGGGCTACCCTTGAATTCCGGGGTCGTTTCTTCAATCCATTCTTCTCAATCAAGATCCCTATTGCATTTAAAGTGCCGTACAGCTTGCGAAACCCGACTAAGAATGCTGAATTACTTGTGCTTGGGAGAATTGAATTGTCAGCTTTCTCGCTCCGGAACTGGGAATTCGGATACAGCCGACCCCACTTTGCCAGTAGCGTGGCAAGATCCTTCAGTGAACAGTATTCCTCTCTTCTTTCAGTCACTGTAAAAGATATCTATAGCCATAATATTCTGGACAACCCCCTGCCAAATCTTCTGCATTACTGAATTCCGTGTACGGGGCGAGACTTGCATCAGGTCTTCTGGTGGACAACGGATATCGAAGGCAAAGATGACGTCTCTGACGGCCAAATAGCTGACGGCAATCCTACGGTTCTTCCTGACAGCACGGTCGGGTAACGAGCCGATAGCTTCTCAGACGAGTTCGACATCAGATTGCCCCTTTTCGATGAGAGCCAATAACGAGGTCTCTCTGTTGCACCCAGTATGTTGTCTCGTATTCTGGTGTTCTCTGACATGGTTAGGCCAGGCGTCTTCGTTTTGGCAACCTTGCTAGTCGCAGGATAATCTTGTTCCTAACAGAATAGATAGGCAGATATATCTGGAAGTCACAAGACCGCCATCTCTTGAGGGCGACTTTTCCACTCCGTCATTCTGCGCGCTTCAACCAGTCTGGCACGTTGCAAGATGGTCTACATAAGGGCTGGAATGGGAGGCTTCTGATAGCCTTCAGGGGACCATGAACTGATATCACTATATATGTATATGACTTACTGGACGATCGAGGACCGTTTAAGCACCACCGACGCCACGCGGGTTGTGACTGGCAATCACCATCGGTGCGGAATGAGAGTGAAAAGGATGTCGTACTGAATGCTTTCGACTAGAATCTGTCTTGACGCTATCCGCGCTATGACATGTCCCTCTGTATAAAAGGTTGAACACTTATATGAATCGAAGCAGTAAGTGTCTTTCCTTTCCGTTCTATGTTTCGCAGAGAGAGAATGCCAGTTCTCCTATGCTTCTTCTGATCAAGCTAGGCTTCTCTGGTACTGGAATGTGGTAATATGACTCCTGTACAGAGTGATCGGCCTTATCAGAATGGCACGCTTCGTCGATATACGCGAGGTCCATGTCCATACTAATAGGGGTATGCAATACAGTAGTCCATGTTCAAAAGCAAGCTTAAGCTTAAGACGCCGGAGTACTAGTGTCAGCGCTCGACATTCGGCATTGATTTCGGCACCTCCCGCGGAAGCGGTTCTTTACCCCGCGGAAATTTGATCTCTGATCATTTCTGACTATCGTATGGTTTTGATAACACCGGTCTACTACTTTTGAAAGACAAAAACTTGAATGACTGCCCACCTTCTTGCTCTAGGAGAAGTCTCTTGACTGCCATAGTTATCAAGTTTGACGCCAAACTTGATACCTGCTGCATCGTCAAAACAGGATTTGTAGCTCCATCCTACTCCCGCTCCCGATCTCTATGATTGATTGTTTCCTGCAATGGTATGTACACATATGGAGTCTTGATTCAATACTAAACGTCGTGATGCTATTCCGAAGGCGATATGGAAGTGCCAGCAATACCCCTCCAACCTCACGACCAGGAGTTTCACGCCCGACAGTCCGGATGCCGCCTTGGCAACTTCTGTTTGATACTTTGACGCACGCCCATGAACGGCTTTCGAAATACTGCCGGCGCTAGACTGTTTTTTTGTTGGCGTCAAAACTCACGCCTCATTGCAGGTGTTCAGCCCCGAATAATTGGTATAGCTATATCTGTTTTTGCCACCCTGGTCATCATTCGTCGATTCGCCGACCGACACGCTCTCGATGGTGACACAATCCCGGCGCACACCCGATGGATGGGATCCAAGGGTGATATTTCTGATTTATGGAGAAACGCCGAAACCGAAACTTCGCGGAAAACAACGATAGGGAGTATAAAGGCAACCAGTGTAGTGATCCTATTTGACGCTTCAACCCAACATTGGTTTGCTCTCCTCACATCCGCCAATCATTTTCTTGCCGTTCGGACAAAATGCCTTTCACATTGTCTTTCTACCATTTCCTCGAGCTGGGTGCGGTTGGTGCTGTCCTCGCTTTGTACTTTTTGTATCGCTCCCAACGCCTGCTGCCGCCAGGACCGAATCCCATTCCATTGATTGGTCGTACGAGGTTCCCAATCGAGCATTTGGAGGCCTTCAAGAGCTGGGCTGAGAAGTACCCAGATATCATGACTCTCCGTATCCGGGGCCAAAACGTGATCATCGTGAACTCCCTCTGCGCCGCGAACGACATTTTGGAGAAGCGTGCGACATCCACCAGTATTCGGCCTCAGCGTCCTATGTGTCACGACCTGTGCGTCTTACATCCTTCTTGATGTTCGAGGAACTGACTAATATCTACATCAGTGTCGGCTACAAGAACTCTACCAGCCAGACCAACGATATGGTTCAACATAAAATTTACCGTCGCATGTTTGCGACGGCCCTGTCTCCGCGCGCTTCGTAGACTTTTGGGCTGTTGAAGAGCGCGAGCTTCGCAAAGCTACCCTATACATGCTCAATGTTCCTGGGGATTCGACCAAGGCTCTCCGGAGGTGCGTAACGCGGTGACACGGAATGCTCAAACATACTTACTAATCAAAGGGCCATGTCCGCGATTGTTTTCTATGTCGCTTACGGCTACAATATTGAGACCGACGGGGACGCGTTCGTCAACAGGATTACGGACTACATGAAGGTGTATCAGCGCCTCCTGCGCCCAGCTGATTTCCTCGTAGACATTCTTCCTCCACGTGGGTATTTGTCTTGAGTTGTTTTCAAATCTTTTGACGTCGATCTTAAAAGTCAAGCACCTTCCTGAGGGTTTCCCAGGAGCGGGTTTCAAGCGAACAGCGTCAAAGTGGAGGAAAAGCAAGGAAGATATTCACAATGTCCCTTTCGAACAGGTTAAGTGCGACATGGCATCTGGAAATGCCATGCCATCATTTACTCAGCACCTTCTTGAAGAGATGCCTGAGCAGAAGGGTACAAATAAGTACACCGAGGAGTGCATTAAACTAGCTGCCAGCAGCATTTACACCGGTGGGAATGATAATGTGCGGAATTTTCGTGCTCAAAAAGGTACTCTTGCTGACCAAGCCCCAGAACACGTCATCTGTCCAGAGCATGATGGCTGCCATACTTCTGTTCCCCCAGGTGCAGGATAAAGCGCAAGCGGAGTTGGACCGAGTTATTGGGCGCGATCGTCTGCCTTCAGTCAAAGACTTGGACGATCTCCCCTACTGTGGCGCCATCGTTCAAGAGATCCTCCGTTGGCAGCCGCCAACTCCCTTTGCTCTTCCACACGCTTTAGATCGCGATGAAGAATTCCAGGGGTATATTCTTCCGAAGGGCGCTACAATTATGGCAAACGTCTGGGCAATGACTCGGAATCCCACTTCCTACCCGTCTCCCGAAGAATTTATTCCAGAAAGGCACTTATCGACCGACGAGAATGGAAATTTCAAATTGGAACCCACCCGTAATGCCTCGCCTTCGGGTTTGGCCGTCGGTAAGGCACTCAGCTCAACAGCACGCACTAATTGAATTGACGTCTCATTTCCTTAGTACGTGTCCTGGCTCTGACTTGGCTGAAGCCGTTATTTTCGCCGGAGTGATTACCCTCCTATGGGCTTGCACCATGTCTAGGCCTGTTGGCACAGAGAACCACGTCATCGAGTACGAAACATACGGTGTTCAGTGAGTGCTGCTTGTCACCGTCTTTGACAATGAGACTCAATCTATCTCAGCTGGCCTAAGGATTTCCCTATTTCGTTCAAGGAGCGATTCCCAGGTGCTATGGTCGTTTTACGCAATGCCATTGATGCCGATTTGAAATGAAGACAAACATTGTGGCCGATCAACAGTGAAATTCCCATACCGCAAACCCGGCTCCGATTCATTTTCTTTACGTCTCCTGATATTGCCGGAGCGGTTTCCAAACGTGTCTTGTTAAAGTTCTTACCATGAGAATTTCAATACTATGACTTGCACCCAAGTTTTGAGAGGTGCCATAAGTTGAGAAGTCTAGCCAAGCCGATCAAGATCGGATGCTTCCTCAAACCCAACACAGGATGACAGGCCAACTACCTTGAGGGAAAGTGTAACGGTGAGATAGCCCAAGAAGCACGCACACCCGGATTCTCTCACAACACACCGCGTGTTTCATGGTCCGCACACGGTGGAAGCACTCCTGTAATAGGAAATGCCAACGACGTGGCGGGTAGATGGTCATTTATGTTATTCACATTGTAAATAGGTGGAGAAACAAGATCAGTGTCTGGAAGAACATGACACGTTCATTCTGCTAGCGTACTGCGAAGAACATCCTCTACGCCTGGGAAGCGAGGTTTAGCCTGGAGGGGAAAATCCAAAGCATGACTGTCCGAGATGTCAGATCGTAGGCCCTGGGTGGTGAGTCGAGACTCACTTGATCGCAATATGCTCTATCCACTTGATGTCGGTCCCTGGCTCCGCAGACATGGTGCTTGACCAAAGAAGAGCGACAATCCCCGCAAAAAGGTTGGCTACCGCCAACTGCCAACCGGGACAAATACGTCTCCCAAACCCAAACAAGAGAGGAATCTGACGTCCCGGAAGCTCTTCCTTCGTCTTGCCTTCCGGTGTCAGGTATCGCTCCGGCATGAATTTATCTCCTTGTGGGAAGTCTCTTTCGTCGCGAGTCATGGCCCTATGTTGAATGTTACTCGATTGCTCCATCGGCGAATGGGATACCATACCAGATATTGGGTAAAACATTCGCTCCCTTGGGAAGAAGCCATCCATTGTAGATCTCATCATTCACCATGGAATGCGGGAGGCCTACGGTTGTCACAGGCTGCCACCTGAGCACTTCTTCCACGATGGCATTGCAATACGGCAGTAGCTCGCAGTCTTCCAGAGTTGGAGGTCTATCCCTCCCAACCACTCTATCGAGCTCGGCCTGTGCTTTGGACTGCACCTCCGGATACATCACCATAGCTGCCAAGAATGATTGCAGTGCAGCGACTGACTACGGCGAAGTTAGCACAGAAAATGCAGATAATCAAGGATCACTAAGCACGGTGTCTGCCCCACCCCCATACCTAGGTTCACATCAGCGCACTACTATGATACCGGAAGGAAGGTCGGATAAGGACATACACACTAGCGCAAGCCCACCTAATCATATTCTCTCCGTACTTATCATCCTTCGACTCTGCATCGTGCTCGATCATCGCCACAGCAAGACAGGATTTGCTCGAACCGGACGCCTATATGAAGCATAAGCGGAGGATGGTCTAGCAAGGAGGCACTGACGATGTCCGCCTTAACCGCGTCATAAGGCATATTCCTCGTGGCATCAAAATGTGCACGCCATTCTGCGGCTTGCTTCTTGAAGCCTGCTCCAGGGAACCAAGTAGGAAGATATCTAACTGCCGCATTCTTCAGCATCTGAGAAAATCGCAATTAATCTCGCTTACGAAACGGAATGATGTCGACAATGAAATTTCCAGGAACAACAACTTTCCAGCAGATGGTAAGACTATGGTTATCATCGACATTGGTATTTACCTCTTTCAACAACTCGCAAGCCTGACAATACGTAAGTGATTCGATCCCAGAATAGAGGAAAAGACGTCACCCTCGTTCACACGCTTGACCATAGGATGATCGTACGATTCAATTTCGATTCCATAAGCAATTTGAAATGCTATATCTGCAACAGCTCTGCAGGGTCACAATCAGGTTCACTCCGCGACTGCGGTCTGTTGGAACCGACCGACGAATAAATTCCATATGTCTATCGGGTGCTCCCAAAATTTCCAGAGCAGCGCGGTGCATTTGGCGTGTCTGAGTGCCCCAGTAGGCCTGGATAGCACGTGGTCCCAGAACCGAGTTGAATAGACGGCGGTACTGCTTGTGCATATCCCAGTCGTTCGAGCGGAAGGGGTCAGGAGCCAAGCCACAGAGCTCGTCTGCCATAATCTGATGGGGTCGACCAGCAGTCGCTGCGGCGCGCTTCTCCATAACCTCCAAAACTGACTGCCTAGTGTTGACAACGATGATAGGAATACCAAGCACGCGCAGGGTCATCACGTCAGGATATTCCTTAGCCCACTTCTCAAACTTCGGCCGGAATGGCACAGGAAGCGACAGATTCCCAAGTATCGGAATGGGATTAGGACCAGGAGGCAGACGAGATCGCGATATCATGGAGCAAATGATAATGCCTAACAGCAGTACGACAGCACCGACTTGCAGTGCCGTACTCACTGAAGGACTTGCACCCAATGCCATGGCGGTTAAGCAATACAGGGTTTTGCAGCTCGGGGTGAAGACTAAGGAGAGCCGGAATAGAGCCGGCGAGGTGATGGGTGGGGGAGCAAGACGGATCCGTCAATCTGATATGAGAACGGGCTATTTAACGATAATGTCAGTGGAAAGGTCCACGAAGTTGAAACAGATGTATGTCGCAGCAGCACTGCCTTGGAAGAGTGCTTATGCACGTGAATTGCTACCTGTTTTCCGACACGTTCGCTAGAACTCGTTCCGCGCTCGTCCGAACTAGAATATTGTGTCTTACGTATTACGCAACAATACATTTTAACAGCAAAGGTGTGTAATATTAGCGATCACATCGTTGGAGCGTGAACTTGGAGCAGCTTGGGCTCCCGGGCCGATGCTCTCATGAAATACCCCCATATCCTGACAACCGGTCATATCAAAGAACCGCTCGTCTAGCAATGTCAAGTCAAAATTGTGCTGCACCATTCCACACTTTCTGGACCCAAGCACAATATTCTGTGCTTCTCTGACAAGTAGGCATATAGTAGAGGGTGCACATCTATATCTCTGTTGTCCCAGGGGTTTGGGCGGCAAGAAATTGACCTTTTGCTCCTGCCCATCCTTCCTTTGGGGAACTCTTAATGGTTAATCTGTTTCCTGGCCTCCACAGCCTGCATGGTTTGTTTGAGTCATGTGCAACCTGTTCCCTGTGCACGGCATGTTCCTTGCTCTGCACTAACAATAATGTCACCCCTGAACCTCATTTCTCTCCCCCCTTTACCTATCATCATGGCTCCTCCCAGCAATGGGAATTGCTGTGATAAAAAAACCCACCTATTTGGGATCAGCTGGTTATGGGTGGTGGAAGACTGATGGTAGGGCAAGCTTGCACAAGCTTCACCAGCTTTGCGCAAGGCTGATCTTTTCCAGTGCACGAGGCCACATTAAGATTGGATTGTCTCCAACTGTGTCGTGACACGTTCATTCTGCTAGTGCACTGCGAAGAACATCCTCTACGCCTGGGAAGCGAGGTTTAACCTGGAGGGGAAAATCCAAAGCATGACTGTCCTAGATATCAGATCGTAGGCCCTAAGGGGGTGAATTGAAGCTTACTTGATTGCAGGATGTTCTATCCACTTGATGTCAGTCCCCGGCGCCACAGACATGGTGCTTGACCAAAGAAGAGCGACAATCCCCGCAAAAAGGTTGGCTTGCGCCAACTGCCAACCGGGACAAATACGTCTCCCAAACCCAAACAAGAGAGGAATCTGACGTCCCGGAAGCTCTTCCTTCGTCTTGCCTTCCGGTGTCAGGTATCGCTCCGGCATGAATTTATCTCCTTGTGGGAAGTCTCTTTCGTCGCGAGTCATGGCCCTGTGTCGAATGTTACTCGATTGCTCTCTCCGCGAATGGGACGCCGTACCAAACATTGGGTAAAACATTCGCTCCCTTGGGAAGAAGCCATCCATTGTAGATCTCATCATTCACCATAGAATGCGGGAGGCCCAGAGTCGCCACAGGCTGCCAGCGGAGCACTTCTTCCACGATGGCATTGCAATACGGCAGTAGCTCACGGTCTTCCAGAGTTGGAGGTCTATCCCTCCCAACCACTCTATCGAGCTCTACCTGTGCTTTGAACTGCACCTCCGGATACATCACCATAGCTGCCAAGAATGACTGTAATGCAGCGACTGACTATGGCGAAGTTAGTACGGAAAATGCGGATAATCAATGATAACCACGCACGGTGTCTGCCCCACCCCCATACCTACGTTCACATCAGCGCATTACTATGATACCGGAAGGAAGGTCGGATAAGGACATACACACTAGCGCAAGTCCATTTGATTAAATTCTCTCCGTACTTATCATCCTTCTTCGATTCTGTATCGTGCTCGATCATCGCCACAGCAAGACAGGATTTGCTCGAACCAGACGCCTATATCAAACATAAGCGGAGGATGGTCCAGCAAGGAGGCACTGACTATGTCCGCCTTAACCGCGTCATAAGGCATATTCCTCGTGGCATCAATATGTGCGCGCCATTCCGCGGCTTGCTTCTTGAAGCCTGCTCCAGGGAACCAAGTAGGAAGATATCTAACTGCCGCATTCTTCAGCATCTGAGAAAATCGCAATTAATCTCGCTTACGAAACGGAATGATGTCGACAATGAAATTTCCAGGAACAACAACTTTCCAGCAGATGGTAAGACTATGGTTATCATCGACATTGGTATTTACCTCTTTCAACAATTCGCAATTCTGACAACAGGTGAGTGATTTATTCCCAAAATAGAGGAAAGATGTTACCCTCGTTCGCGCTCTTGACCATAGGATGATCGTACGATTCAATTTCGATTCCGTAAGCAATTTGAAATGCTATATCTGCAACAGCTCTGCAGGGTCACAATTAGGTCCACTTCGTGCTTCTGGTCTGTTGGGACCGACCGACGAATAAATTCCATGTGTCTATCGGGTGCTCCCAAGGTTTCCAGAGCGGCACGGTGCATTTGGCGTGTCTGAGTACCCCAGTAGGCCTGGACAGCACGTGGTCCCAGAACTGAGCTGAATAGACGGCGGTACTGCCTGTGCAGATCCCAGTCGTTCGAGCGGACGGGGTCGTAAGCCAAGCCACAGAGCTCGTCTGCCATAATCTGATGGGGTCGTCCAGCAGTCGCTGCGGCGCGCTTCTCCATAACCTCCAAAGCTGACTGCCTAGTGTTGACAACGATGATAGGAATACCAAGCACGCGCAGGGTCATCACGTCAGGATATTCCTTAGCCCACTTCTCAAACTTCGGCCGGAATGGCACAGGCAGCGACAGATTCCCAAGTATCGGAATGGGATTAGGACCAGGAGGTAGACGGGATCGCGGTATCAAAGAGCGAATGATAATGCCTAACAGCAGTACGACAGCACCGAGTTGCAGTGTCGTACTCACTGGAGGAATTGTACTCAATGCCATGGCGGCCAAGCAATAACGGGTTTGCAGCTCGGAGTGAGGACCAAGGAGAGCTGGAATAGAGCCGGCGAGGTGATGGCTGGGGGAGCAAGACGGATCCGCCAATCTGATATGGGCTATTTAATAATAATTAAGTAATGTCAGTCCACCGAGTTGAAACAGCAGGGGTGGGAGAAAGAAAGGAACGCTAGTGGCTGTGACGTTGATTTCCCGAAACGGAGATCGGCTTGTCGGCTTGTCGGCTGTGCTGATCCAGTCCCACATCATCTGTGTAGAGCGCCGCCTTAATTGCTGCGCGGTTCTCCCTCTCCTTTCTCCATCAACTATATTGTATCGTTGTGCACGAGAGGGAAAGAGAAATCAATATGAAGGGACTCACAAAAGCCATCATGCGGTATGCCACGGATTCATGGTCCGAATGCGGAGAAAGTGGCTGACATGCATCCCACAGGACACCGCATATGATGGGTGCTCGAGTGGGGTTGTCGAAGAGTGCGCATACGTTCAGCCGTCCAGAAAGTGTCCTGATGAAGAAGTACAGAATCCAATGATCCCGAGTTCGATGACTACTCCCGCAAGTTTACGGCAATGGAGTCGGCGACGGACAAGTTGTTTAAGGATAGCAAGACCTTTGCGGATGCGGTCATCTGTGCGTCGCATTTACCCACTCCATGAAAGTTATTTCATACCGCTTGCAGCCCTCTTGTCCTCCGAAACGAATTTCGCACAGCACTTCGCCGGCCTGTTCGAGCCGCTCGGAAATGAATACGACATCTTAGGCAAGCACCCTGAGGCGCAAGAGACTATCCGTAACCTTCCGTCCTACCAGCGTGAGATGGAGGAGCTCAAGGAAGCCCTCTCTCCTGAACTTGAGCTTATCCAAACCCGTATCATTGGCCCCGTCAAAGAGCTTCAGGGTATCATGAAGGGTATCCGGAAATCGATCACCAAGCGGGATCACAAGGTGCGTTACTTTGCCCGGCCTCCAATCAGAATGTCTCACTGATTTCAATATAGCTGATCGATTACGACCGGTTCAATAACTCCCTCACCAAGCTGAGGGACAAGAAGGAGAAGTCTCTCAATGACGAGAAGAATCTCTTCAAGCTCGAGCAAGACTTTGAAGTTGCGAGCAATGAGTTTGAGTTCCATAACACGACGCTGAAGACCGAGCTACCCCAGTTCATGATTTTGGCGACCCGTTTCATCGACCCATTGTTCCATTCTTTCTACTATATGCAGTGCGTCCCTTATTTCTTCCATTGTCTCTTTGGATTTCTCACCGTCTGTAGGCTAAATATATTCTATTTGATGCTGGAGAAGATAAATGGCTTCGCAAGTGGCAAGTACGACGTGAGCCTCCAGCCCGCCGATGTGGCTACTGCCTACGAGGCGCGTCTGGGCGACGCGCGCGATCGTGTCGAGGCGCTCACAATCACGAAACGTGCCATGCCCACCGCTAAGATGCTCTCTATGCGGCAAGGGTCTTCCCCCTCAGGCACGTCTGCAGGCGAGCGCCGTGCTCCTCCTTCGCTAGCTGCCAAACCCTCCGTGCTTGCGGGGAAACCACCATTGCGTTCAAACTCGTATGCTGCGCCTCCCCCTGCGTATCAGGAAGCGTCGTTCGGTGACTCGCCTGCTGCAGCGGCTGCGAGCTCCGCGGGCACGAAGCGTGCCCCACCGCCCCCGCCACCTCTTAAGCCAAAGCCAGGCGCACCAGCGGTGAAGTATGTTACTGCATTATACGACTTCGCCGCACAGGCAGAGGGAGATTTGGAGTTCAGAGTCGGGGATAAAATCGAGCTCGTTGAGAGGACTGCGAGTTCAGAAGATTGGTGGACGGGGAAGCTGAACGGCAGGACGGGCGTGTTCCCTGGTACGTTCGCCTACGACTTCCGTCCAATGGTAATCTAACTATGCGTTGCAGGTAACTACGTTCAAGAGTAAAGCCTCTTCGCTCGCTTGAGGGCGTCTTCATAGGATGAGAGCAGTCCAGCGCTGCACATACCATTTTTTCTAGAAGCGCCCCCTCTCTATGAATTACTTGTGTTTGTACCAGACTACCTATTTGAATTGAAATAGCTTATGCTTTCCTTGGCTTCTGGTCTTGAAAAACACCATTCTGGACAGGGAACGTTCTGATGCCGGCAGTTTCCGTGCATATCAGAAGAGGGGTATTCTTTGCACAATACATGCACATCCTTCTTTGTTGACCGCATCCGAGCTACACCTTTTCTCAGCAGAAGAACAGACCATATCGTCTCTGCATCAGGGGTACATACAAACGCCGAAGCCCTGGAGACCAGTGCGTGTGCATGCACCGCCTGTCGGCTCTTCATGGGTTAAGCAGGTTGTTCTCTGGTGGGAGCTAACCGCCATGAAGACAACCAAGTCGATTGACTGACGATGATGAGTGGGTCTTGGAAGGTGGAAATAAAAAGTAGTACAAAGTGAAGGATATCCGTTGTCTCCTGCTTGGCGCTTGTTCTCCAACATCCCCCAGCATATTTCTCAACACCTCTCGCGCCGCTTCTCCGACTCAGTAACCCCATTCAGAACTCGATGCAGCCATCAACTCGACGGCAGAACGAATGCTACTTCGCCCCTCCCCCTGCAGTCTCCGCAGTCGCCTTGTCTTTTGCCTCCTTCTTCACCCTCATCGCTTCAGCATCCCTGTCCAACAGTGAGATATCGGGGAGCAGTAACAAATACAACATGATGCACCTCTCCTTCCTCTGCTGCAAGCTCGTGTTGCTCTCCTTCGGCTTTTTGGCTGCGCCAGTCTTCTTTTGTGCACGTTCGCGGTCACGGTCACGTTGATTTCCACCTGTTGTTGTCCAACGAGAATAAGACATAGGCAACGTCAGATGATTTCAGATCATGGCGTTTGGCGAGGAGACGTACGGGTCATTCTCTTTCTTCCACGGAGCTCACTGAGGGCGACTGAAGAGAGCTGGGGTTTGGCGGTATTTTAAATAGTGTGAAGATCCGCCCTGCAGTGAACCGCTTTAAGTTGCAGTGCCTGGCGACTGCTGCGTGTAGAGGGCGCCCGTGAATTAAGGAGCTTCTACCCTGTGTGGCGTGATGATGCAACGGTACGCCGGAGCCGAGCATGCATGGGTACTCTAGCAAGCACGATCGCTGGCCGAACGGCGCATTTCATCCACGTTGAAGTCCTACTTTTTTGCTGGCAATGGCCTCGCCGCCGATGTGGAGAAAACTAGGCGCATACATGCTCAACAATACCAATGCCAACGAAGTGTGCGCTCTGATTTGTGCATGATCGCTTCACATGCTGAGCCTGCATATCACGCAGCATCGACATCGAGCTTCTTCCTGCCGATGGAAGCGAATTCCTCTCCCAGTACCCAGAAAATCCAAACAGTCCTTTCTTCCTAGTGGAAGGTCATCTCGGCATCCCACAAAAGCAGCTGTACGGAGCATATCTGAGTGCTCTCCATTTCTTTCCCTCTTTTCGACAATCCATCGTGGATGCCTTAGATTCGACGGATGTTGCACTGGCTACGTCAGTCATCCTATTAGCCAATCCTGACCACAACTCTGCCTGGAACATAAGAAAGAAGTTTCTTCTATCCGGAGCTTTGCAGATGAACAAAGAGCTCGAGGTAGTCCGTCTCATAGGAACTATCCCCAAGAACTCGAGGGCTTCGTTGCTATGGCATCACTGGCGATGGGTCATGGAGCATCTTTTCCCTGTTGCTGCTTCAAAAACTCTAAGTCGATCAAGCGACTTAGAATGGGCCGTGGAACTTCCTCCGGACATATGTGAACGAGACCTGGAGATTGTTCACAGGGCAGTGGCAACATATCCGAGGAACTACCATGCCTGGGCACATCGAGCCCTCGTTCAGCGGCATATCCTTGCTCACTGCAAGAATGATCCCGACGGTGCATGGAATTCCATATTGCGGGAAGAGTATGGACGGATGACCACATGGCTCGAATCGCACGTTTCCGACTACTCAGCCGCGCAATACCTTGTCCAAATGCAGTGGAGTATGCAGAAACTCGAGCTCCCCCTACCGAATATAGCAAGGGACCCGAACAGTCTTCCGGGGTCAGGGGCAGTGGAATACTTCATGGCACTTCTACGGAGATTCCCGGAGAGGGAGACACTATGGCTTGCTGTAAAGGGACATTTGGTCCAACCAGAACAGCACATCTTGACAGCTGCCCAGACGGCGAGCCTGAAGGGGATGTTGCTGGGCGAGGTTAAAAGTGCTGGTTCGGGGGACGAGCGCCTTCGTGCTGGCGCGAACGCTCTGCGGTTCTTGTTTTGGTACCTCCACCAGGTAAGTGAGCTCGATAATCCCTTACGCCCTCGGGTGAATGTATTTCCTAGGAGGACAACGTCAAGTTTACTGAGGAATCCATCAGAGCAGTGTTATCGTCTCACTCCGATTCGGCCATCACACGGCAGACACTTGCGCTACTTCCGCTGCTCGGCAAGACTGAATAGGAGCACGCGTTGATTACGAGAGAATCGTCTTCGATTATGATACATAGATTGGAGAGAGATGAAAATAATATATGAAACGTGAGTAGCCTTGAGTTTCATGAGTATTTCGTGAAGTAAGCAACTTTTCAGAGACGTCTATTGCAGGACGATTCCGCCGTCACAGACATATGAAGTGCCGACGCAGTACGAGGCCTGGTTCGACAGCAGGAAGAGCGCAAGATTGGCAACTTCATCCGGGGTGCCAAAACGGTTCAGCAACGCAGTACTTTCCACACGCTACATGCGGTCATCAGTATATCGTTTTCAGCAGGAAAGAAGGAATGTACTCGGCGTTCGTCAGCCGTCATAGAGCTGGTCATGTCAGTCGCAATGTACCCTGGATCGAGGACATTGATCCGCGCGTACCGTGCCCATTCCTGTCACTCAGTATCAGCGTCCGGTCATCTAGACCATCTTATTGCCTACCTGAGCAAGGGACCTTCCGAGCATGCTTGCTGCTGCCTTGGAAGCCTGATAGAAGCTCACCGACGTCCCTCGGGATACACGCCGTCCGCCAATTGAGGACACGATGACAATGCGGCCGTCGTGGTAGTTGTGTCGTATCCAGAGGCGCATGAGGCATGCAGCGCTATTGTATGGTCCCCAAGTGTTGGTCTGGAAGATTCGCCTACACACGTCTGGTTAATCGGATTTCAAGAAGATGCAAGAAGGCGAAGACACACAGGAAGTCATCCCGCGTCATGTTCACAGCAGGCTTGCTAACGGCAATTCCGGCCGCTGCGACTAGGCCACCAATCGGCCCTAGCTCACGCACCACCTGATTGTACACAACTTCAAGTCGTGCGGACTAGCCCGTCCGTCAGTGTTGCAATCTGCCGCGAGGCCAATAACCGCTCACATCGGCAACATCGACTTGGTACGCCTATGGATCTTGGTTAACCCTATTCCCGTGACCGAAGAGGCGCCAAGAGCCCTTACCCGCACCATAACTCCAAATTCATCCTGCAATGCCCTAGCAACTGCTGGAGCATCGGCAGATGAACGATACAAGACAGCAACCCGTGCGCCAGCTTGCGCAATCGCTCGAGAGATTGCGTAACCAATGCCCCGGTTACCACCTGCAAATGAGAAACAAAACTTCCTGGCCGTTTACATCGAATACTTACCAGTCACGACGAATGACTTAGACGGAAGCTCAAGCTCGAAAGGCATGCTTCGTTGCTGTTTTTTTTTCCCGTTCGAATGGAGAACAGGTTTCAAGGAAAAGGTGGAGCGTGAGCGTGTGCAATTCCGTCGTTGCCTCTCCGAAGCATTGTATCCGGTATGCTTTTATACACCTTCTAAAGTCCAATTGACGCTGGGTAACGGGATTGCGTATGACCAAACTTGGTCTTGCTGTGAATGATGCTGCATTGGCTCGGGGTCCGCAAGCCATGGGGTGGAATGAAAGCCCTTGTGGCGATGAGGGAGGCACGAATCTGAGAATCCAGAGTCATGGCTAGGGAACCTCAAGCTGCACGAATTGTGGCTGGACAAACTACATAGCCTTCTGTTCAAAAGAGCGCAGTCGATCTTGTGCAATAAGTGGAGTGTGGTCTATAGATGTTGCATAAGACGCGTGCCCGGCGATTGACCAACACCGGCGCTCTTCCGGCCTCAACCCCTCCCGGTCTCATGTGCGGAGTCCAAATGCGGAAGTAACCCTTCCTTCCCCGCATCGTTCCGTCGAAGATTAACGGAGAATACATCCAACGACCGTCGAATACGTGGTCGGGTTTGCAAACTTCACCAATGTCTCAACGAATATGCTGGGTGACTACCTGATGATGATTCAAGGATGATCAATGGCACACTTTCCAATGCACCACAGTTCGGGGATGCCGCACGGCGACCGCAAGCCCTTTCGGCGCTAGGTCTTTCCTGGTCACGGCCTCAACAATAACACAAACTCGCCCACTCGGCACAGTCAATGCGATGCATCCTCTAGCTTGCCTTCCGTCACATTGATAGCCACGATCGCGCTTTCCATGAGTTGCCGGTGGGATGCCGAGCAGAGAGACCACAGAACTTGAATATGATTCCAAGATTATTGTGGCACAGCAAACAAAGGAGATGAACAGTGGGAAGAAATCACACGACCATGCTTTGCGGTACGGGAGTCTCAGCGTTTGCAGCCCTGGTAAAACAAGGCTAGTCGCCAGCTCATCGATCGTCAACCCATGTTGGAATGACTCATACCCCTCCTCCCTCCAAATGCAGGCGGCTAATTTTGCGCCACAGATCCCTTTGATGAAAGTGAACCAATATTCACATGGAGCTGTTTGTCGTATCATCTATTGCAGAAACTTTATGTTCGCTACACTACACAGCAACAAATACATTAGAGGTATGCCGCTCGCTTGGTCGGGAAAGACGAAAATGAGAAAACCCAGGAGAAAAAAGAAAACGCAGGTTACTCTACATCGCTGAGATCACTCTCATTCGCGACCGAACCGGTGCTCACAGCTCCATTACCACGTTTGGTAGAGGGAGTTGGTTCGTCAGCTTCTTCGTCGCCTAATATACTATCATCATCCGCCGGTTCTGCACCGAGCAGATCAGTTCCGCGAGTAAGCCTGGCAAAGTATCTCAGTTTGATTGGCGGTATGCTTGATCCTTGCTTACTTATTGTACACGGTATTGAAGACTCCCTCAAGTGCTACCGCATCGACGTATACAAAGCTGCCCTCCTGGTTATAAGTACGAGCGTTGGTAAACATCAATCGCCAATCGGCCCTGAATTCTGCAACCGTAGAGTAGCCGCCACTATTCATCCTCTTGCGAATCGCCGACATGGCGATGACGTTCGGGATGATAGTGTAGTAGTCTGGGTAGAGCTTGCGGCTGGGTGGTTCACGGAAAAGTTCGCAGCGCTTGCGCCCGCCGTCGTCCGTGCAGGCGGCGACGGCCAGATAACACTCTTGGAAGACGGCCTTCATTCGCGAAGCCATTTGAGGAGACATTGCAGTTTTGCGACGCTTCTGACACTGGCATTAGTAAGGGAAACGGTACAAAAAGCTAAGATGCGCACGACATCACGCGAATCGTCCTCATCATCTCCAGGAGTTGCCAGTTCCTTCTCGCCCCGCTTCCGCTTCCCGGAGGCAGGCGCAACTGGCTGCCAGTCTTCCTGCTGCCTTTTCTTCGGCGGCCTTCCCTTCCCCTTTTTAATAAGAGGAGGGTCGTCATCAGGGATAGGGGTATCGGTGATGGAGCGCTCTCCTTTCTTTTTCTTCTTCTTGGCTTCTTTGGCATCGCGCTTATCGCGCCAGTCTTCGAAGTCAGAATCGCCATTGTCGTCCAGCCACTCGTTGAACTCTTCCGTCTCGTCATACTTGACGGGATTCCGGACACGGGCTCCTCTTCCTTCGGCCTGCAACACCTCCGTCTCTTCCAACAGGGTCTGCGGAACCCGCTCGCGACGATATATTTCGGGCAACTCAGCTTCCTGCATGAGACGTTCGGGCTTGGGGCCCTGACCGCCACGCGCACGCCAAGCCTTCTCTGCCTCTCGCTCCCGTTCGATATCCATGATCCTGAAGGCCTCGAGTTCTTCAGCACTTCTGGCCAGGATCTCATTGATTTCGTCATCGGTCATGTCCCCTTGTTCCTCAACTTGCTCATTGTCGTGTTCAAGCATAGATCGCAGGAAGCGTTCGCGCTCCTCCTGCGTACTCTTGTTATCGAACCGACCCGCTTGAATGACCTTGCCGTCAATATCAAGCTTGCCACGTGCACGATCCAGGATCTCTTCTTCGAAACTGTGGCTTGTGATCAACCTCAGAATACATACCGCCTTCTTCTGGCCGATACGATGTGCGCTGTTGGAAGCATCAGAGCGGATCAAGATTGGTCATATGAGCACAACGTACCGATCCTGCGCCTGAAGATCTGCATGTGGATTCCAGTCCGAGTCAAAGCTAAAGTCTATATTAACACTGCAGTAATGCACAGGATGGAAAAACCTTACATGATGACCGTGTCCGCAGTCTGCAGGTTGAGACCCAGGCCACCGGCACGAGTGGAGAGCAAGAATGTGTCGTAGGGGGAATCGGGAGCATTAAAGACCTGAAGCATGCTGCTACGATCCTCTTGCTTCGTGGCACCGTCCAGACGAAGGTATTTGTAGCCTTTGAGTCTCATGAAATCCTCGAAGATATCCATGATGGCCGTCATTTGAAAGAATATGAGCATCTATGGACCGTCAGATAATGAAGAACACAGAGCGGTATTATCTCACCCTATGACCGTGAGTAAGGAGCTTGGGAAGGATCCGATCGAGAAGCTCAAACTTGCCAGCCGTACGCCAAATGTTGTCGTCGGTGACACCGGCAGGGTTGATCGCCCGTTCAACTTCGTCAAATACGAAAGGATGATTGCAGAGCTTGCGTAGCTGCATGATGGCGTTACTAAGGCCTTTGATACCCAGTTGACGACCCTTGGCATCAGTCTTCTCAGAATAAAGAATCCCCTCAGATTTCATCTGGTTATATAGCTTCATTTGCAGGGAGCTCATCTTGCACTTGATGACCTTCTCAACCTTGTCCGGCAATTCGGACTCGACGTCCTTCTTCAACCGACGGAGCAAGAACGGCCGAAGCACTTTATGCAAACGACGAATGATAAGAAGCTGCTCTTCTTCGTTCAGCTCTATCTTGTCTTGACTGCCTGTGTTGGCGAAAGGCATGTTGAACCATTCGTCGAAGGACTTGACGGAGTTGAAGATCTTAGGGAGGACAAAGTTGAGCAGCGCCCACAGTTCGGGCAGGTTGTTCTGTAACGGCGTGCCCGTAAGGATAAGCCGGTAACGGGAGACATAAAATTGCATCAGCGTCTGGGAAAGCTTGCTCTGCACGTTCTTGAGCCGATGACCCTCGTCGATGATCATATGAACCCATTTCGGCCTGCAGAGCGCCGCGCGATCCTTGATGATGTACTCGTAGGTTGTGAGCAACACTTGGAAGTTGCCCTGCCTGACCTGGGATGAGAGCATCTTACGTTGGTTGGGGGGTCCCTTGAAAACGATGAGCTTTACGCTTGGAGCCCACTTGTCGAACTCGAGCGACCAGTTGGTGATGGTAGACAGGGGGACTATGATGAGGTACGGGCCCTGCTGTTTCTTCTTTTCGATGAGGAAGGTAACGAGCGAAATTGTCTGAATGGTTTTCCCCAGACCCTACGCGAGGTGTAAGCGCAAGCACAGGCAACAACAGATGACATACCATCTCATCGGCGAGGATCCCATTCAGCCTGTTATTATACAAGCTGACCATCCACTGGAGACCCTTGATCTGATATTCTTTCAGTTTTCCTCCAGTGAGGATCTTCGGCTGCTCCGTCACTCGCTCAGAAATACTATGCGCCACAGCATAGTAGTCGATCTTGCCAGTGTCCTCCGTAGGGTCATCCTGCCGCGTCGCGCCGAAGGTCGCTTCGCTCGTCGGTCCAGTCTCCAAAACGAGGTCGACGCCTTCCTGCTCACGCAACTCTCGCTCGATAGCTTCCCTGTGCACATCATCGTTCTGCTGCGCACGGACCATACTAGCAAGGTTGTCGAGGTACTGATCGGTCTGCTTGAGCAAATGCGTGATACGCGTATCCTTAGCAGTGTCGATCAGCTTGAGGTAGGCCTCCTCATCGTCATTTTTAAGCGCCTTTAGACGCTCCTTGCTGATCCGTTCAACCCGCTTCTGCTCCTCCTTTTCCGCGATCTGATGATACTGTTGGATCTTCTGCCCGAAGCGTTTCTGCTTTTGCCGTGCAAGCTCATCTTGCATGGACAGTTCTCGTCCATGGCCACAGATAAGCTCCAGTTCTTGCCGGTGCGCAGCACGCACACGACCTTCACGCTGATGCCGTTGCTTGCGCTCTAGCTTTTCCAATGCGCGAACTTGGCTCAGGTCAACCCGCTTCGGCCGTCGGAACATATCCTTGTCGAGACATGTCGTGCCTGGGAGGGCAGTGGCGACCTGGGTAACCTGAACAAGGTCTGAACGGAGCTTCCGTTGTTTTTCCCTGAGGAGCAACGCCTTCTTCTCGATGAGGAGTTTGATCTCCACTCCAGCCTGGCCAAGCATAGTCCCGATGTAGGCCCTTTGCAGCTTGCCCGGCCCAGGCGGGGCCTGGTGGAAGCGATGCAGTTCCTCGAGCCGGTTCTCCATCCGTTTCTCCAAGAACCGTTCCCGTTCTTTCTTCATCGCATACGCGTCGACGCCCAAGCCGCGCGGGAGGAGGGCGGGAATCTGCACCCGCCTGCCGGGGACTAGAAGGGAGGAAGGCTTGAGGTACGCGTTGTAGGGGTAGATCGGGGAATTCTTGTCTTCTTCGAGCATGTAGGGTGGTGGGGGGTGCACAGGCGTGACTGGTAGCGGAGCAACAGCTGGAGCCGCCACAGTCGGAACAGCGGGGATACTGGGTGCAGGTGCGGGTATCTCGACGGCTTGGGGCACAAGAGAGTGGGGGACAGCAGGCGCAGGGGCGACGGGTGAAGGCTCTTTGACTGGTTCTGGGGCAGGGGCGGGAGGAGGTGCGCCATCCACAGGCTCCTCGTCAAGCTTGGGAGATTCCTCGATAGGTGCTTCAGGCTCGGATACAACAGACTGAGGCTCGTCAGGCACGGGAACGTCAACCTTTGCGCGCTTGAGGGGGGAGGTGTCTTCCTCTACCTCTTCCTCGTCTGCCTTCCTTTTCCCGAGCGTGCTAGTAGGCAGCTCCTTGTCAACGCTGGCGAAGCGTGCCTTGGGACTCTCAGTCTTGATCTGAGCCTCTCGGACAACCTTGATACTTCTCAGCTGGTCTTCCGTCACAGCAGCAGCGTTCCCATGGTCAAGCACATTATAGAGTTTGAGCTGGGCGTTCCAAGCGTTCACAGCCTGTGGGCTCATCCCCAGTTGTTGGGCGAGGCGAAACACCTGCATCTGCTGGTTGAGCTTCGCGGTCATCTGCTCGGGAGTGAAGTGCGGGCGGTTTCCCTGTTGTCCGTTGGGCGCGTAGCCGTTCACGATCCCGTTCGGCGCGCTGGATGCGGAGGGCGTACCGACCAAGCGTTGATTTGCGAGTGCGGCGGCCTGCTGCTGATGTTGAATCTGGGCATGAAGGAGCGCTTGTTGTTGGAGAGTGAGGTTATGCGGGTGCTGGTACTGAGAGAATCCAGACTGCATCTGGAATGGCATGCCTTTCGGAGGACTTGCGGAGGTTCCGTTCGCACTTGTTGGGGAACCATTCATTCCCGGCGTTTGGGAGCCGGGATGCTGGGCGGTGGGCATGGGAGAGGAGGGATGACCGGGGTACATGATCGGCATCATGTTCGGAAGTGCAGACATATTCGCTTGTTGGCCTGGAGCGCTGGGGTGAACGCCCTGGGCAGCCATGTGCGCTGCGAATTGAGCGGGGTTGATCGCTAGTACAATCGGGGTCAGAAGGGAGGGAAGAAGGGGATATATGCGGACCTTGAGGGTTGACAGGTTTCGCAGCGTGGGGAGTGCCAGCGTTGTATCGAATTAGGTCGGGCTGTTCTGGCGTGGCCTGGCCTACCATGTCCCTGTGCTGGAAGGGAGTGGGGTAAGGGACAAGGGGTGGATGACACGCGGGGGAGGGGAAGGACATACCATGAAAAGATGTTGCATGTGCTCTGGGTTTCCCCATTGTGGGGACTGGGTAGCCATGCGGGGGGATAGGGGGAGGGGAGGAGGAGGGAGGGGGGGAGGGAGGAAGGAAGGGAGGCGGTGAGGAGGCGGGGATAGGCGATGAGGAGGGGAACGGAGACGACGAAGACGCGTGGGTGGGGAGGGAGGGAGGGGGTAAGGGGATTGGCGCCCGAGGGGGAGGGGAGCGCGGTTGATTTCTTTTGTGCGGTGTGCTAATGAAGAGTTGGTTGGATATGGAATATCGGGACACACGGGGATCGGCACACACAAACCACGGAGGGGCGAACAGCTGGGGGTGAGCGTTGGGGGGTCAACCGTCCAAAGGGCTGATCTGAGCTGACTTGCCCCTCTCTTCCTCTTTGATCCCGCCTTACACATACACACACGGCACCACTTTGCTTCCGTCATCATCATGTCCCTTCCTGTTTCGGTCATCAGCCGCCAAAAAGAACAAAAGACGGAAAAGTCACACCAGGCACACCCAGCCTATTTCTAAATCTCCCACAATCAGAAAGGGGTAATTTCCCACTTGGCGCCCGCTCACACAGCTCCCGCGGGGTAGTCGCCACCATCATCCTCTAGCCGTCATCTCCCGCCCCATCGGCATTCACCGGACAACCGGCGTTGCGCTCTTCCCAACTTCACCTGATCCGTGCTTACCCAGACCCCTGACCCATCCCGGCAGCCAGAAAGAGTCACAAGCACAGCTGACAATTCGACGTGAGTGTGTGCGACGTCATCCCGTGCACATACACAGGCAGCCAGCAAAGGGGGGAACGGAAAGTGATAGCGCGGGGGACGTCCACCTTCCAAGAAGAAGGCTTTATATACGCTACATACCCTCGACCCTGCACCAGCCTTGGCTTGATCAAGCTTCCCTCCCCGCTGACGCACCATGCAGCGGTCTTACTCCCCTGCTTTAGGACAGGCTGTGCCCGATCGTACGCAGCATGGTCCACGTATCTTATCGTATGTTATCCACCTCTTTCATCAAAGGCTATCCCCCAGGCTCCCCTCCCGCCGCAACGATTCCTCTGCTCCCTCGTCCTCGTACTCACACCCCCGAGAGAACCGCCCTCCGGACTCCGGACCCTTCCCGGGCCGAAGCTAATCCTACCTAATACTGCTGGTAGCCTTCTTTCCCTTGAGCTTCCTCCCAGCTGACGTGTCCGAATTCCATGCAGGGGTTGTTGATGGGGCATGTAAAACATGTCCCGGTCGTGTTTGTTATTTAACTTTCGACTGCTCACACGCGGTTGTAGTCTCATGCACCTTGTACAGTACCTGTAGTCGCCTCCTGAACCTCACAAATCCCAATTGATACCTGACACACGCCGCTTTGCCCAGGAGTGGACCGCCATAGGTTCCTCTCAGCGGTCAGACCAAGCTCCAGACACGCGAAGTGTCTCAGAGAGGGTTATACATGGATGAAAGTGAAATCCTTCACATGCATACTTGACATTGATGACTATAAAAAAGACAAAGCGAACCAGCACTGGGGTATGTAGATGACAGGAAAGAAAGGATCGTGTAATGCAAACTAACGAATCATTCTACTGGCAGGGTGGCTCAGCGACCGTCGTCTGCCCCTTTCCCCCTGCCGCACCCCCGGCTGAGGACTTCTTCGTCGTCGCGGCCGCTGCGGCGGACGAAGTTGTCTTGCTGCTCTTACTCCCTCCGGCGGCGATCTGAGTCTTCGCGCTCGACTCGGCAGTTGTGGTCTTCTCAGCGGCGGACGAAGTTGTCTTGCTGCTCTTGCTCCCTCCGGCGGCGATCTGAGTCTTAGCGCCCGACTTGGCAGTCGTGGTCGTCGCAGCGGCGGAAGTAGTCGTGTTCTTGTTGTTGTTCCCACCCTTGGCACCCTTGCTTCCCGTGCTGGCATTGTTGGAACCCTTGCCAGCAGCAACCGTCGTAGTCGCCGCTGCAGCGGCCGCGCTGGTGGACGTGTTGGTGTCGACACTGGAAGAAGAAGCACCGGCGCCAGCGTTGCCAGAGGCACCATTGCCCGCACCAGCATTACCGGTAGCCCCGTTGCCGGCAGTAACATCCCCCGGATTATCCGACACCGTGAAGTAGACTGTATCGTCAAGGTCTCCGTGCTGAGCAACAGCAACAAGCACCGGTTGATGGTTGGATGCGCTGTTTATGCTGGAAGAACATCAATAAACAGAGCGGTCCCGGTCCGGCAGGATCAGACTTACCTCGACAGCTTGTACGTACCGGCGGGGAGACCACCAGTAACCTCGGCAGTCAGTATCCCATTTTGAGCAGGAGCGTTAAGACCTTTGAAGAAGGCAAACACGGCGGGTTTGGTGACTGTGGTGCTGCTAATCGAATCGATCGCCTCGATGACGACGTGACTGTGACCGAATTGAATGCCCTGGCTATTTACTTGTGAAGGGGCGCCAAAATAGTTTTGCGTCGCGCTGACAAAATTACCGGTCACCAGGTTGTTGATAGCCATGCTGATCGTAAAGGCCGTGTTCGATTGAATAACGTCCAAGTTCTTAGGAAATTGGAACTTGGAGCTGGGCATGTTATCTGCACATTGATGCATGAGTAAGTGTTGACAAGATTATCGGATGGAATAGCTGACCCTGGCTAATAATGGCACCCATAGGGGTCGGGTTGCAAGAGCCTGTCTTAATTTGCTGCCCGTTCGTCAAGGGAACGTTCGGCATGGTAGCGCAGAAGTTGATGCTGGCCACATAGCATGAGTCTCGTAGAGCACACGAGCACATGGAACTCACAAGTTGTTCGACGATGTCAACGACGGTACCTGGCCAGCCTCCGGGGTCTCTTGGCCGTCCTGCTCCAACCCAGGCTGCACCTGAGAAGCCAGCAGACAGAGCGACGTCTGTGGGTCATTGCCGCAGACGGCCGCATTGTTTGACCCAGCATTGTCCGACGCTACGGAAGTGCTGGCGGCAGCGGCGTCTGACGTCGAAGACGCGGCGCCTTTACCAGCGCCGTTGTTTGCGCCACCCTTGCCAGTGCCCTTACCAGCCGCAGTCACAGTCTTCCCCTTGCTGGCGGGGGCCGCAACGGCACGAGCGTTCACTTGCGGAATTGCAAAGGCATGCACCTGGGCAGCCAGGAGAGGAGCGAGAACAAAGAGTGTTGAGAACTTCATTTTTTAATCAAGAACGTTAGGACGCTGTCTTGCAGTCTGTCAAAAGTATGCGAGTGAGGGCCGGCCTAAAGAGTGGATGCGGTCAACGCCACTTGATGAAAATCAGCAAGGTCATTCCAGGGTCGTAAAGTGGGTATACTCACAACGATGCGAGTGCACAGCGTGAAGGAGGGAGGGAGATGAGCTGCACAGCAGCGGGGACCGTTGAACCAGGGACAAAAAGGAGATGGGGTGAGGGACGAATGCCTGGGGAGACTCCATCGTTCTTAGCCAAGCTTTTAAGCCATGAAGACAGGAATGGTTGACAAGGTTTTCCGTGAGAGGTGGTGCCAAAGAGCCGCCGACAGTTACGACCAGGCACGGTTGCATGAGGGCCGGTGATCCGTTCATGCTCAAATTCAACAAGAACACTCGCAGGTGGTTGTTGCTTACCAACGAAGCGAAAGACAACAGCGACGACGACGAGGGCGCTTCCCTCGCGACCTTTTCCCTATCTGACAACGACGCGGGGGAAGGCACGTGAGCACATGATTCTCGCGTGGCCTTCATTTAGTAGCCTATCAAGTCCGCCCTCGTCCCTCGCGACTCGTTGCCACCGTTGTCATTCGGTATTTTACCTTCACCTCGTCTCTATCGACCGCTGCTTCTTCCTTGACAACTCGTTCCTCAACGTCGGGTCACCTTTCCTCTTCCTGAATAGATTAGATTACGACCAGATACCGCCCGATCACCTGTCTGAGCGCTTTTCGGCAGTTGCTGCCGAAGTCGGAGAAAAGACGCATTTCCTCTCAGAAATGGTACGATACTTTCACGGGCTGTCTTTGTAATATCCCTCCCAGCCGCGGTCTTTTCGCTCGCACGGAGTTGCTCTGTCGACAATGTACTATATAACCTCAAGCTGTGCAGGGAGTCATAACATCTGGTATTCAGCCGTGTTGTCCTGGCAGTTGGATTGTCGGACTGTTTTGCCTTTCTCGGCTCGGAGTTCTTTGCCGTCTTTCGGCCCCAACGAAGCCCGTCTTGCTATTCCCACGGATTTTCAGCGGTCATACTCCGGCTTAGTAGCTTTGCTTCTTGAATGCGTTCTATCTATTGCCTCGAAACTCTTCAGGAGAGACGACAGTGCGGCCCCCAATGAAATTGCCACTTCCGTCATCTTTTTCTAGAGCTTCAGCCAGCGCCTTTGGTTGGGTACAATTGTGGAGTTGAGGAGCCAGGTGCTGGTATATGGACTCTCTAACGCAACTGACCATCTTCCTGTAGCCCGTCCTGCCGCTCTTTTCGAATGAAACGTGTCTTTCTCGCTTGATCCAGTCAATATATTAGACTCGTCAAGAAGAGCAAAGAACGGCTACCCGTAGTGAGGACTTCACTAACGCTGTTCAGAGAAAGCTCCCCTATACAACCCAATCACGTGCCTTAGGAGCCTTTCGGAGACGTGTTCTGCTCTCCGGAAGCGATGGTTTTGCAAGCAGCCCAAGTGCCCTTCGACCATTCTTTGCCCACTGACGCACTTGTCACGCATTCTCTCTGGAGTAATTTCCTCCGATGCCCCCTCTTCGGAGACAAAGTTCCTACAATGCCCCTCCGGAGGCAATTGCCCTAAATGCCCCTCTTTGTCACATGTGCTGCGTATTTGCGCGTCGTCTTTGTGGCAGATGAATGAGAGTGTTTAGGGGTCTTCCAGTTATACTTACAAATGATGTTCTGAAGAAATTAGAATATATACTCCTAAGAAGAGAGGTGTTATTTGAGAGTTATAATAATGGCAATATGCCAAAATGACTGAGATAGATTTCGCTCTTTGTTTATAAAACTTTTTCTGTACTATAATATCCAAAACTTGTGGGACCCCTGAACTATCTAACTATGATTTTCTTTCTCACTGCCACAATGACGACGCGAATACGCAGGGCATTTAGGGCGATTGCCTCCGGAGGGGCATAGGAACTTTGTCTCCGAAGAGGGGACATCGGAGGAAATTACTCATTCTCTCTGAGACGCGGTAAAATGTTTCCATGAAGTTAGATGCTAAGGATTGCTGGGCGGTCTTGATGAGGCCATACTTCAACATGGGCGACGTCAAGAACGTGCTTATGTGCGGAGAAAAAATTCCGATGGTTTCTGCTTCAGCCACTTTTTGTCTTAAAAAAAAAGTCCGTATCTAAGAAATGACAGGAATGTTCAGGTGTGGCTTAAGGGCCGGAACTCGATAAGAAGATCAAATGTTCAAAGGGGATCCGAAGAAGTAAGTGTAAATTGGACAGCCCTTCAATGCGCAGCCACACCGAAACTCGTCGACCAACCTGCCGTTTCGAATCTCGCTTTGGAAAATCAATTGATAGCAGTGGTCTCAGGGCCGGTACCACCCGCTGTGGGCGCCGTATGAGGACCACCAGCCGTGGCTACCGTGTGCGGACCACCAGCAGTGGCTACCGTGTGCGGACCACCAGCAGTGGCTACCGTGTGGGGACCACTAGCTGTGGCTACCGTGTGGGGACCACTAGCTGTGGCTACCGTGTGGGGACCACTAGCTGTGGCTACCGTATGCGGACCACTAGCCGTGGCTACCGTGTGCGGACCACCCGCTGTGGCTACCGTGTGCGGACCAGTGGGCACCGTATGAGGACCGCTACCACTCGGGATCGAAGCCGAGCTGGGGATCGAAATAAAGCTGATGGTCGAAGTAGGTTCAGAAATAAAGCTGATGGTCGAAGTAGGTTCGGAAACAAAGCTGATGATCGAAGTAGGTTCAGAAACAAAGCTGACGGTCGAAGTAAGTTGAAAGCTACGGGACGAAACCGAACTGGCATACGAAACCGAACTCGTCGGGTGAGGGTTCTGATGTAGTTTGAATCGAATTGAGTACATTTTCACAGTGAAAAAAAAGGGGGGGGACCGACCTCGTCTGTCAAAGGAATAGTAGTGGAAGGAGTAACAGTAATGGAAGGAGTAATGGTGATGGAAGGAGTAATAGTAATGGAAGGAGTAGAGACCTTCATTCCCAAGTGAAAGGTTCAGTCTGTGAGCACAGTGCTGAGCGAGAAAGGAGAACTCACGAAGGTCTCGCTCGACATGATCTGAGGCAAGGCCAGCGCACCAGTGATCACGGAGACCGCAATAGTGAGGCGAGCTGCGAATCGCATCTTGAAAGGCAGAGCAAACGGTGTGGTTAGAGAGAGCTAGAGAGTCGGAGACACGGGGTTGCCACGGAAATGAGAGTGCCATATTTGGCCCATCTTTATAGCGTTCAAACAGGACCTCCGAGGTTTCCGGAGGCTTGCAACAGCAACGCGGTTGTTGCACCCCTGAATGAGCGAGTCAATAACAATGACAAAGAGCTGTCTTTTTCATCGAGATTCCAGTAGTGGGCCATCAATTGATGCAGTGCAGATGGAAGACGGTTTGCAGTGTTCCTGGCGGATTCATGCCTGCCGTCAACCGAGCGCAGGTATAGAGAAGAATGAACCTCTGACAAACGTTCGGCGGGAGGAGGAACACATCTTCGATCTTCTTCTGTCCTCCACGTCTTCTCGGCATATTGCGTGTGACAAATACACACAAAACGAGAAATATTCGAGCTAAGATCTGATGCGGAGTTGCCCCATACAGCATGCAGCCACCCCCGAAGGCGATCCATATCGTGGAGACAGTAATCAGGCCGAACCGAAATACTCGCATCAGAAATCCTTATGCCGAAACCGACCTTGCAACGATCGCCCCGCACGGTGAAGCGGAGGTCTGAATTTTCCGGACAGAGACAAACAGTCCGCAAATCCGGTTGCTCATCTTTCCATCTGGTCATATGTATTGTATACGTTCTAGATCGAGGATTATTGTTGGAAAATAGTTGAGGAGACTGGCTGTAGCTGATGGATGCCGTACCTCCGGCTGTTCGCGGGCATGGAGTTCGGACAAGTCCGAGCGCAGCGGAGCCGGCGTGGGGCCCCTTTTCCCATGCCTTGGGCCGGCGGCGAGTAAGGGCAGCTCGGAGGTTGAGAAGCCCATTGTCTATGGGGGGGAATGAGACGCCGAAGGCAGATTTTAGGATCTTGCCAATACGACACGTGCATGCGCTTCTATGATGACTCAGCACGTCCTTCTGACGCACAGCCAAGTCCGGTCTCGGGAGTTCATGAACAGAAAGGAAGTTGGTCTCGGGGGAGAGACGTCCTCGTCCGACAGGCACGGAAAGTTCTTACTGCGCAGTGTGTCCATCGTCCGCAGCAGCGCCAAGACAATATTGATGGGCGGTGGACATTGTCGAGCGAGTGATTGGGAAACAGTTTGAGACAGTATTATTAGCTCTTTCGGGATTGTTGACCGTTCGTATTGTTCGGATGTCGTACGGCAAAACGTCATCATCCGAGAAAAAGACAAAAGTGGATCACGGTGCTCTGGAGACTGATACGCTGCCGTCGGGGTGGAGCTCTTGGAGAAAAGCGGCCAAAGTCTCGGACAAAAAGCGCTCGTATTTAAAGGACTTCTGAGTACACGGTCGTTCCGAAAGAGTAAGCCGAGGCATGTCCGTCGAGTGTCATTGCTGCCCTTGACGTGAAGAGATCGGCCTTTTAGTTCGACGTCATTGACTGCAGAACGTGAAACAGGCGGATCGCATTTTGATTGATGTGCTGCAACCAGGGTAAAAAGCACAGTGCTCGAAGGAGAATGTCCAGAGTCCACGATCAAACTCCGCGGAAACCCGACGAGAAGAAAAGCTGCAAATACAAGGCTTTGGAAGGATACGCCAGGGCAGGTCTCTCGAACATCGTGCATTTCCTCCTGGAGTGCAGCGTCAATTCGGCTTGTTCCTCGACGTTATGGACCGCAGAACACAGAACAGAAGTGGGTTCTCCTACCTATTGATACACATCCGCCAGGGTTAAGAGAAGGACGCTTGAAAGGGTACGTCCAGAGTCGGGAATGTGCAGAACAGTAAGAGCACAGGGCGACAACACGCATACATGCTGCGGAGGGATATATCATAATGAACATTTCTGAAAGATCGTCAGAGGATGCCGATATAGTCAACTATCGACTCACTTAGACAAGCAGCATTCCCTCAAGATATGCGCTTGGAGGATACTCTTGCGATTATCGTATTGGTAAGCATGATAGCGATCGAGAGAACTCGAGATCGACAGCGGAATCCCGGTATCCACCAGGGGTTGTATCCCTTTTCACGGGCTGCAAACCCATCCTCTCCAGTCCAACGTCCATCCAATCCCACCCTCTACCCTGCCTTCGCCAGGGAACGATCCCATCCAGCACCGACTCTACACCCTACTTCCCTGGGGCTGCCCCCTCCCCTCTTCCTCCCGCCAAACATCTTGCTCAGTCGGGATAGCCGTATACTTCGGTGTTCCTCTCCCCCACCTCTCTTCCCTGGGTACAATCCCTTCCGGCACTGTGTCCTGATCCAGCTCCGGATCACGAGCTGGGTTTGGGTTGGAGGGAAGGGTCGGGTTGGAGACGAGAGAGTAGACGTGCAGTGGGAGGATGGTGTGATGTTCTGAGAGAGCGGATGGGGGTACGCGCGGTGCGTAGGGCTTGGAAGCGTGTGGGGAAGTGAGGGGTGGGTAGTCTGCAGAGGATGTTAGTAGGGTCATCAGACGACAGGTGCGCAGGAATCGAGCAGAGGGTACGTGCCCCATTCTGGAAGATAGACTTACAGAGACGGTAAACGAACCAGCTCATGAGCCACCCCACCAAGCTCCCAACAACAATGTCCTGCCAATGATGTCTATAGTCCATGACCCTGCTGATAGCAACGAGCGCTGCGACCACGAGCGGAGCACCACATATCCACGGTTTGATAGCGTGGCCTTTCCTATCCCAGAGGCCAACTTTCCCCGCGAGGTAGAAGGAGAGAAAACCGAGACCTGCGAAGGAGAAGGAAGAGTGTCCAGAGAAGAAGGACTTGAAGCCGTCGTTGAGGATGTGCTGGTTGGTTTGGGTGCAAAGGGAGGCGGAGACGAGCCCGTAGTAGGGGAAACCGGCGTCTGACGTATCGGGAGGGAGGAGACAACGGGCGAGGAGGTCTGGACGTGGGCGTCCGACGGTGAGCTTGCAGAGGTCTGTGAGGACAGTGGTGAGGGACAAGGTAAGGAGGAGACCGAGGGTAGCAGCGTGCAAATCGTATAATGAGCGGAGCCATACCCCGCCTATGAAGAGGAAGCAGGTGAAGGGGAATACGGCTGCGATGAGGACTGCTGCCCACATTGGGACGCGTTCGTGTTGTGCATAAGTATGCTGTATGGATGGATCTAAAGTTGAGAATTGTTGTTTGAATCCTGGACGATGAGCGATGAGACCGAATATGAAGAAGAGGAGTATAGTGAGAGCATAGTCTGGAGCATAAGAGCGTATGAGAGCAAAGACGTGTGCCGTGTCTGTAGGTGGCTTTGGAGTGGGTGGACCATATATGAGACGGTGTATGATGCGTGGAGGGGAAGGGAAGGGAGTGGGTGATCGAGTGGGTGATGGATAGGACATGTGAGTGGGTAGAAGTGAAGTAGAAGGAATGACGTCGATGGATGACGATGATCGTTCAGGAGGATACGTTGGTGATGCCATATTTCATATCATCGTCGACATGGACAGAGGGGAGAGACAGCGAGGTGTGTCGTGTGGTGGTCCCTGGCTTCTCTCCCTCGACCATGATGAACAACGATACAGTCCAAGATGGTCAACCGTCATATCCAAGTCTCCTCACAAGTCTCGCTCATCACCGTCTACCACGACCATCACCACCCACCGCTCAGCCACGTATAGTACGCTCACTCTCTCACTCTACCCCAGCACAGAACAGTCGATCAAGCACAAGTCCATCACGCACACGACAGCAACATTCCGCTACTCTCCCTCATCCACTTGCAGCTCCCTTCTTACGACCAAGAGGTCCAAGTTATCTCAGCTCACTTCCTGCCCCAGGTTTCCCTCTCCCCCACTACCTTTCCCATTCCACTTTCAGTCCCATCCTCCGCACCGGCGCTCCCTCTGACGGTCAAAAACCGATCGAGTACACTATCCCCTCACTGGGCGTCAGTGACCCTCCACCAGGCACGAGGCGGAGGAATACAGCGAGGCACAGCGACAGCGACACATCTCCTACGCCGACACACCGGCGTGGACGCTCTCATCCCACTGGCACCCCACCGGAACACGATGGCAAAGAGTTCAAAGCTGAGCGGGCAACTCCAGATCCCTTTACCCCGATATTCATCCCCGCCCGGTGGCATGCGAACTATCACAGCCCGTTTCTCACCATGTCCTCAGACGGATTGTCGCTCACCTACACCAGCGCGGGCGGACATGGAGATCGGGATGCAGCTACAGCGCTGGCGTCGCATCCTATTCCACCCCATGTGGGTGTGTACTACTACGAAGTCGAGGTGCAAGATAAGGGCCTAAACGGGTACATCAGCATCGGCCTCTGTAAGCAAGACATGCCACTCGGCCGTCTACCTGGATGGGAGTACGGAAGCTGGGGATATCATGGGGATGATGGGCATGCGTTCACGGGCACGCACGCGGATACGGACTATGGGCCCAAGTTCTCTACGGGTGACACGATCGGCTGCGGGGTGGACTTCACCACCGGTGCGGCCTTCTACACCAAGAACGGGCTTATGATTGGTGCGATCTTTGTCCTATGATCGAGCTAGGCTAATCCTTTCTAGGTCCCATATTCCCAGAACTCACGCAGCACGGCCCACTCTGGCCCTGCGTCGGCCTGCGCTCGCCGAACGAATGTATCAAGGCGAACTTTGGGCAGAAAGACTTTCTCTTCGACGTCGACGGCTATGTTCGTAGGCGGAAGGACACAGTGCTGCGGGAAGTTGAGAAGTGGGCTGTCCGCGCATTACCCCTGTCTGTCAGTGCTGCGGTCAAGCTGGAGGACGAAGACGCTCCGGGGGGAGGGAACGTGGTCGTACGGTTCACTGGCGGTCCGAAGGCGGCGGAAGATGCACTCTTCCGACGGCGGGCTCGACGGCTCACTCTTGGTGCAGCAAGCGAGCGAACTCCGAAGAAGTCTTCAAAGAGGGAGAGCATCGCCTCCCGTGCAGCTGTCGACTCCTCCGCTGCGGAAGATGGGAAGAAGGGGCATAAAGCCAGCAACTCTGTCGTCTCCCTCTCCGCAGGTGCAGGGAAGGGCGTGACAGGGGTGGAAAGGAGCGAGGAGGACGAACTGAGGATGGCACTGGATGCTCTTGTGCTCGATTATCTGGCACATCAGGCGCTTGTTGGGAGTGTCCATGCGCTGGCGCGCGAATCAGCCACACGTGACAGGGAGGACGGGGTGCCGGGTGAAGCAGCGAGCGTGATAGGGATGGACATCTCACGGCCAGCGAGCGCGATGGACGTCGATGTGCCGTCCACTTCAACAACCGAGGCAGGAATATGGAATCTCCCAATGAACTCTATCCGTGCACGCCGGGAGATCACCACGCATATACTTGCAGGCTCGATAGACCCAGCGATGGAACTGATCGCCCTCCACTGGCCTGGCTTGCTTCGCACACGCGCGGTGCAAGAGAGTGCGATAGAAGAAGACCCAACAGATGGAGAAGCGGAAAAGGAGGTATACTCTGAGCTGAGCTGCAGACTCGAATGCAGAAAGTTTGTTGAGCTCGTACTGGCCTACTCTGCCTCGCCCCTCGGCTCGCCCATCTCCCCCGTATCCACGGCATATACCATCCACGCTGGTCAGAACCCACCTTCCTCCCCACCTGCCTCGCCCTCTATCCCCGCACCCACCCCACCTTCTCAGGAACTGGACGAAGCCTTCTCCTTCGGGAGAGTACTGCATCACCGATACTCGGATGCTGCAAACCCCGAGATGCGCGCCCTGGTGAGCAGAACGTTCTCCCTTTTGGGATTTGCGAGGCCGGAGGAAGCGGGTGGGGACCTGGCTGTTCTCGTCGGCCCTGGGGCGCGGGAAGAGCTTGCTCAGTGGGTGAACGAAGTGATATTACGTACGTCTTCCCCACCTCGTATGCTACACACCGCTCAACCCTAGTAGGAGCAGAAGGACACTCGGATCGCCCGGCGCTCGCACGCGCTTGGGCTCAGACCGCGACGGTCATGGCTCAGCTTGGGCAGTCTGGGGGTGGTAAGGCGGCTTTCATTGACGTGAGGGAGGTCGTTGGCGGTGAGGTCGTGTAAGAGTATCGGATTGTATTGTGTGATTATGAAGAAGGTAGATTTACTCCGAGCTCAAACGCGCGTACTCATAAGTTGCCCATGTTTGTCGGCGGAGGACCTGCGATCCAGCAGATTCACCTGTGCCGGTGCGAGCAGATCCGACTCTGTCCGACAGAGTGTGCCAAGGCTTGAGCAACCTCAATGGATGGTCTGTTAACCTCGATGTTCGGGTGAAATCGTAGTGGACGTGCCCCGACTATCGGAAGACCAATCCCAATGGATGGCGGTGCTCAGCTCCAACAGCCCAATGGATGGTCGAGGGAGAAGTCCGTCCTTCGATGCCAAGAGTACATCACGTGACTGCGGTTGACTCTATTCTTGTCCCTGGAACGGGGTTAGCGTGGTTACGTTGTCGCGGGGTAAGGGTCGCGCTGTCCCAGGGCAAGGGTTCATCGAGGAATGCTTCGTGAGCGCTTCATTCCTTTCTCTGTTCTCTCTCTGT